CTCTCTATTATATAGAGGAGATATCATTCCTAGAGATGCAAGTTATTCAATTTACTAAATAAAAACTGCAAAAACCATTAAATTTGTTGATTGGTGTCCAACTGGTTTTAAGGTAGGAATAACCTATCAAGCCCAATAAACCTTTCCAGAGGATAATTTATGCAAAGTTCCAAGATCTGTATGTATGATTGCAAATACAACTGCTTTGTCTCAAATCTTTTCAAATTTAAGTCATAAATATGATTAAATGTTTTCAAAAAGGGCCTTTGTGCACTGGTACGTAAAAGAAGGTATGGAGGAAGGACAATTCATAGAAGCAAGAGAAGCATTAGCAAGTTTATAAAAAGATTATGAGGATTAATATTCATATATACATGAAGAAAATTAAGAAGAAAATGCACCAGTCTGAATATTTTATCAAGCCCCCCCCTCATATATTATCTTTTGTATTGTTAGATTGAATCTAAGTTATAAGATAAACTAAGAAATCTAGTTTATAATTTGATATACTTATGTTAATTCTATCAGGCATGCTTAGTTTGAATTATGCATCAAATATATAGTTTAATGTAATCATACATTCTGCATATAATTTGTATTTTTAGAATTAATTGTGAAAAACTCAGAAAATTTCAAAAATATCTTAAATTGTTATAATCAATTATATGAAATCACAAATACAAATATTAAAAAAAATGAATAATTAAGAATGTGATCCTGATAAAGGGTGCTGGCTTTTGAGTACTTGTGAGATTGATGAAATTAGTCACTCATGTGTCCATGATCCTATTTTATAATTGTCTCTTTACACAGGGTTTGTTTATTTCTTAATCCCTATTCTTTTGGGGACTAGTATTATGGGTGGTTTAGGAAGTGGAATGATTAAAAGGCCTATCTTAAATCTACTATTGAATTATCCATCAAGCATTTCAACTCAAGTAGCAGATTGTTTCTTATTCACAACATCAACATTGAATTCACTATTTCTTTTTTTTGAAAAGTAAATCAGAGATAAAAAATTATAGGCATCCTGATCATCATAATTTACCATTAATAAATTTTGATATAAGCATAATCTTAAATTAAACTATTCCATTGGCATGGAGTGCTGGTGCATTTTTACAAACCAGATCACCAAAATTTGTTATTTACATTATATAATTGTGCTTTCTAATGGGTGCCATACCATTTTTGTGGAAATATAGTAATAAAATGTTATTTAGTGTTAGCATATTTATAGAAAAGAATAGAGTAGGATAAGAGAGAAAATGTAATATTGGTCAACTAAAAAATTAAAACCTAGGAAGATATGGCTTCTGAAACAAATTTTGATGAAAAGCAGCTAACCTAATATTAGAAATTTTATATAAATGATCATAGCAAATTTTAGATTAAGAATTTATGTTTTATTTTTGGATCCTTTTTAGTTAATTAAACAATCATCCTAATGAGATCTAATAAATATAACAATTCTATAATTGGTTTAGATAAATGTACTCTTGAAAATAATCTGATTCTATTAGCAATTCTAGGAATCAACCTTACTTACACATTTTTTATATATTGGAGTAAAAGAAACGAAGAATATTATAAAGATATAGTGTAATATAGACCAAATTAAAGATTTTTTAAAGATAAAAAATAATTCTTTTTTTATTATATGGCAGGTTTCTTGGCTGGATTCATTACAGGATTTTTAGGTATGGGAGGTGGATTAATTATGGTAACCTTTTTATTATCATAAAAAATAATCGCAAGAGAAGCAGCTGCTACTGCTGCTTTTGGATCATTTATGATTTCTCTAAACAGTCTGATCTAATTCATATTGTAAAAAACTATAAGTGATGAGCAAATGATTGTGTTTTTCATTTTAGGAGTAAATTATTTCATTACTATTAAGATTTTAGGTGTGATAATGATAAGCAAGCCTTCATATATTTTTATGAACAGATTCAAAGTTGGATATATTATTTTAATTGTCGACATTATTTAAGTGTCTATCAATGTAATTTCTATCTTAGCCTTAATTATTATCAATTCCATGTTGTATGGATTTGATGCCATGTTAGATTACTCCTCTAATTGTTGAAAATTTGTAATCATTTTATTATTATCATTATCAAATTGAAAAAATTTATTTTTGACTAATAAAATTAATGATATTTATATAAGAATTCTTATAAATATTCATTCTTATATTCTTATAAGAATTTTTCATCAAATTAATGTTATAATTAAGTATTCAAAAGACCTTATTTAAGCTGAATAAGCTAATTCAATATCAACAGATTTAATAAAATCTAGATATTCCTTACAAAACTTCTATTGGAATAATTTTTTGGTTTAAATGCATATTTATCATAATGATGTGTGTTGGTTGTAAAAATAGTGTATAATCAAACTTGATCATATTAGTTATTTTTAATCCTAATTTAATAATTCAATAATTAAGAAATTCAATGTTCTTATAATTAAAAAGAATTCGCTACAAAATACTAACTAAATAAAATTTTATTTAATTAAAATCACCCTGAATTTCTAAATTCTGTAATTGAATTTATTAAATTCTTAGCGATTCAATACAATAATATTCTTGCTTTTAATTTTGGGCTTAATAAACCTTTTTCTGAAATTAGATAGGCATTTTTTTGTAAATTGTAATTTATAGGACATTCCAATTTCTTGAATATTTGACTTGTAAACTTATATATAAATTTGAGTCAAAAAAAAGAATTGTGATCAGAATGGCCATTCATTCAAAAATGAGGCAATTTGAATGCAAAATACGCTATTCATGATTTATTTTAACTTAAGAAATTATATATCAGCTTTTAATATAATATTGCTTTGTCTTATAAAAAGAAGTTCAACTTATTGTTCATTATATAAAGAGCTCATAAGAATTCTGAAATTTGATTGTCTCCGATATAAATCGGAGATTAGAATTGTTTGCTTTTTAATAAGTAGAAAAAGGAATAATGAGTTAATTATTTCAAAATTATATGATAAAACAACTTCTTGTTTTAAGCTATATTACTTTAGGATAATAACATATAAATAAACAATATAGTATTTCATATTAGATTAGCAAGATAGTTGTTGATGTCAAAAATTTATAGATTTGAAAAAAATCTTAAGCTTCCTCATTTTAAGTTTTAATAAGAACTTTGTTCTTATTTATTCAATAATAAAAATAGTTCTGACATGTATCTTCAAACTTCCTAATATCAAATAGTATCTCTGATTGGATAAGGCTCAGCACATTAAGTGTTTAAAGCAAAGCATAATCTCACTTAACAAGTATTTGCACTTAAAATTGAAAAATGTCCTTAACAAGGTCAAATAGAAGGCGAGATTAAAATCCTCAATGTATTAAATTAAATAGAAGGAATCCCGCGTTTACTCGAACATGGAAAAACACCCGATAATAGGTATGGGTGATATACTGAATTTAGGAGATTTCTGATAATGCCATAACTAAATTGTAGCTTACGAGATTTAATGAAATCTTAACAATTGTCTTTGCCTTGCATATTGTCTATCGGATTAAGTGTTATTAAAACGTTAGAATAAGTACATCGAAAAAAAATCTTACATCTAGATATTAAACCAGATAATATCATGATATAATCTAAGGTGTTAAAAGATTAAAAGGAATAAATACTAATCCCTGGATTTATCTAATTAATCGATTTTGGCTTATCACAATTTGTAGGTAATTCAAAATTCCTACAAAATGTATTTGTTGGATCCTTAAATTTTGCTAGCAGAGCATCGCATAGAGGAGAATAATTAGGCTATAAAGATGATTTGGAAAGTTTATTTTACGTATTGGTATACTTGAGAAATGGTATTTATTCTGATTAAATTTAGGCAAACTACCGTGGTCTTAAAAATCTTCCATGAAATCTAAGGATTTGGATATCCTCTAAATTGGTTAAATAAAGACTTCCCTCTTTAACACGATGACATTATCCAAGAAATTTCCAATAGAATTTTCGAAATTAATGTCCTACATCGATGAACTAAAATATGATGAAATGCCAGATTACTAGTCCATTAAAAGGTTATTTATTAATATGTTATAAACAACTTCTTTATCTTCAATGATGGACTAATTCTTGACATATTCACCTAATTAATCATTTAATCAACAAGGAAACTCGGATATAGTTCATATTCCAGTTGACAAACTTAATTTCAACAATAATTCCATTGAAACTTAGATTTAAGAAGATCTAACAGATGTTGAAGCTAAAGTCGAGCATTTATCTGATTTAATTGGAAAATATACTACTATTTAAATAAAATCAATTCTAGACATAAAATATTGACTGTAATTATTATTAAATAAAAATGTTTATTGAATTCAATTTTAATTTATATCGCTTTTATTTATAATTATTCAATTATTCAAGTTTAATTTTGATACTTTCCTTTTCTTATTGCCAATCATTAATTTAACAATATTAGTTTTCAATACTCTAATATCAAAATTAAAACATTGAATTATTAAAAATTTGATTCTATTTTTGACCTTTTTATAGAAATAATAATAATACCTATATTTCTTAATATGTACATTATTTGAAATTTCATAGTTTTTATTTAAGTACATTTCTTCCAGAACTATTTCAAATAGCTGATACAATAATTTGAAATTGATTTCAAACCTTTAAATATTATAAAGGTTAAGGACCCTTCATAGGTGTATCTTCTAATCGATCAGTAAATAATGTATTGGGCATGAAAATATAGTGATGGGAAAATTAATATTATTTCACTTCTTTAAACATTAAGGAAAACACTTTTTGCAAAATGCTTTTTCTCAGAGTGTCTTTATGGATATCCAAGTTTTTCTTACTTTCTTAAGTTAAATAGAATATTTTAGACCAATTTTTTGAAGCAGATACCATTAAATTAGATTCCAATTATTAAGGAAATTTGCATTATCTCTACAAACACGGAGTTAAGTAATCCAGTTTTAAAAATAAACTAAAATTATTAGTTAATAAATTCAACTATTTTGCTTGAAAATATGTTAATTTTTTAAAGTCATAAAGTAAAAATCGATGATTAATAGTGTATTAAATTTTTCTTTATGATAATGCTGCATATAGAGATGTAGTTAAATTGAAAAATTTTTCAAAAAATTTGATATTTTCAATTGTTAATCTCCTTCTCTTAGTAAAGAATTCTCATCAAATCTATAATTTTTCAATAAATAGATGTTGGTTCCTTTAATAATCAATAATTAGAGTGTTAATAAATTCCCAGAATTGAAGCTTCTAAATATCGAATTTAGTAAAAGAAAGTTTTTATTGCTTTGTCGTAAAGCTTCTAAGAATTTGGCAACATAAAATTTTATTAAGTATTTCACATAGGGAATTGCTGATATTTTTGAGCGTCTCTGGCTTAAAGGATTTATGTTTTCAAACAATTAAAATGCATAGAAGGTTACAATATTAAATATGCACAGATGAAAAAATGTTAAGATATTAATGGATATTTGAGTATTGAATTAACATTAGTTAGTATTAAATGCCTTCCTAATCAAATGGTAATTTACAAAGAATAATTCATTACTAAAATTTACTCTGAAATTAACTTTCATTTAATTGTGTTTTTATCGTAATTATTATCTAGTTAAATCATTTTTTAAGTTGTGCACTTGTTCTCAATTCGTCAGAATTAGATTTGAAAAAGAATTTTTATGTTTAATTTATCTTTTCACTTGATAAGATTATTTTGCAATAATAATGTTAAATTTTTAATAGACTAGTGTAAATGATAACATTGTGGGCAATATAAAATTTGTTCGACAAAATTAACAAATATAAATTTATGGGATTGTCTTATAAAATCTTAATTATTTGCCATACCATTATTAAAACTCTCTATATTAAATAAAAAGTGGTTTCTAATTCTTTAAGGATTTAGGCTAATAAATACTATTCATCATGATATTGCTTTAAGTATTTCTGATCTAATATTCGTAAGAGTTGATATATCATTGTTAAACTACTATAATTCATGCTGCTGATCCAAACAGTTCAGCAAATTTATTATTCTACATTATTATTTATCATTGATGTTGCTTATATCTACTTAAATTATTAGGAATAAACTGGTTCATAAATCTGCAATTTAAGTCCATTTTTAGTTAAAATAATACTTTTGCATCAACTAAAAATCAGAGTTTAAACATTAATAGTTTTGAGTGTTAATTTCTCTAATTCTACATTTCAGCTCATTTATTGATAAAAGTTTTACGAATAAAATATTGTTGAAAAAAGCTAACTCCACACTTTTTGAAACTAGTCTATAAATTCATTTCCTAAAATTCTTTCAAAAATTATTTTAATCGTTGTCTGTTTAAGCATATCTGCAAATTAACTAAGCTAGATTCCCCTCCCGCTTCAAATGTGAAGCTATTTCTTAAAATAAAATAGTAAAAAATATATATATGCACAATCAGCTTATTTAAGGGAGAATTCCTCTAAATCATACAAATATCATCTTTCCATTTATAGAACTCAGAAACTGTAAATATTATAATTTAGAATAGCCCCATTTTAATCTATGATACATCGTTATCCTGGACTTTTCAATTTTATATTCACTAATTATTAGAATAGCATGATAGGTCTACTTAGAATTCCGAAAATTCATTAAGTCTTTAGACAATACCTTAATAAGCTTCTATCACTCAACCTTATTAGACTTGGGGGGTTCGTCTTTTATATTGATAGAAGATATCAATCTATTAAGGAAATAATATAAGATTATATGTTTTTAACCTAATATGAGCTTGAATGACCAATGGCTAATCGCATTAACTTTAAAACAGTTCGAAAAGAGGATAAAACTTTAATTGATATAATTTAAATGTAATTTAGGGTCTAAGATTTTAAATTGAAATCTTTCCTTTACAAATAATGATTAAATCATATAATATTTAATCATTAATTGTTGAACACATTAAAAAATGAATTCAGCATCGTTAATATGATTATTTTGTAATCATAAACAAATATCACAATTCTAATAAGATATTTTGCATTTCCCTATCATAAAAGAGAATAGGAAAAAAAATGTTGAAATATACTTTTCAAACTTAAGAGATTCCTCTATATGTGCATCTTATTTAATAATTTACTCAAAAGATGAAGTTGATGCCTTTACATTATGACTATTTTGAGAATTGAATTCCTACTTAAGTTGTACCTTCTAAAGGACCCAAAACCATATTATCAGTTGTTATAATTTTAACCATCTCATTATTTGTCTATGTATTTCTTAGCTTTATTAGCAGAATTCTTAATGGATTAGAGATGAATTTTATGGAGATTAATATAATCCTTCAAAAGGTCATTGTTAAGACTTTCAACTATATTTTCTAATTCTCTACCAGATCAACAATATTATCTAAAATTTATAATGTTAATTAAAACCTAATTATTTAATTAAATAGATATGCAACAATCACAGCATTAGTAGAACATCTCTGATTCTTCGATAATATTGGCGCATAGTATTATTAAAAAGTGATATGAATATATAGCCAATATAAGTTCTTCATCCTCATAATCATCAAAATGAAATAACCTTTTTATAATACGATCTTCTCCACTTAAAATATCTATTGTTTTTTTATAATATAATTATTTATTCAAGAAATAATACAATTTTGATAATTAATAACTTCATAACCCTTATGGATCATTTAAATTTGTTAGATAATCTGCTGATTTTTGATCTTTTGTGAAAAAGTCTAAGATTGCCTCTATGTTATTTTCTATAACATAAATAGAATTTAATATTTTTATTTTAAATAATCCAATTAATATAATAATTTATGCTCAATCATTATGTATAATTTATCTTGATATTATTTAAATTCTAAATCTCATCCATATGATGATAATAATTAAGTTCAAAATAATGTTTTTATTAGATAGCCATTTATTTGAATAAACTTTCTTGATCTAACTATTAAGCCCCTTATAGATATTACCATTAACTATGTTGGATACGTAGTACTTCCCATCCTTCTAATCCAATAATTTCATCGTACACAATCGAATTTTAAATGTATTTACTCAAATCTTAAAGATATTATTTTATTTCTTCTTCACTCTTCATCAGCACTTGTTAAACATAAATATATTTGTAGAATAGTTAAAATATTTACGGGTCAAACTCCTATGTATTTTTACAAAATGCTACCCATGACTGATAAGAATTATTCAATTTTTTTCTATTTTTAATAATAAATGCTATATCAGATATAATTGTTTAACATTACATTATGATTGAATTAACTTATTCTTATTCAACATAATTAAATAATTCATTAGAAATACATTCTAAGTTTTCAATCTAATTATTGTCGAAAAATATTGTTAAAATTGAGTGAAGTTTTGATAATAATGTAGATCTTGAGGCTTATGACTTTATTCCAGCTATAAATTACCAAATTTTCGAAATTCTGTTTTTTGATTCATCAAATTTATTTTATTTTGTTAAAATACATATTATCATTAATTCTATCTAAATGTAATAATATTAATTATCGATATCAATCAATTTTAAAGCGATCAATGCAAGATCCAAAGATTTCTAAAAATCTTTGATAGAAAAACAATATTATGAAAAATGAAAATAAATTTCCCAGAAGAAACTTGAATTTGGAAAATCATTCTCATAAATTAAAATTGCTGTTTCAAATAGATTTATTATTATCTGTTTTTCATTATTCATATCAATACGTTTAATTAATTGTTAAATGAATATCTTGACTCCATAACTATCAGCTCCTCTTTATTTTAATTACTTTATCATATCTTAAACACTATTTTAATGGTCTAAACCTTTCCAATTACATAACTCAATCCATCTAGGTAAATGTACTGAATTTGTGGACAATATTTAGTTTTCCTGCTATAGTGTTTCCATTACTTTATAATCCTTTGAAGCCCGATAATGCTTAACTATTGAGGTTTAGTAAATCCAAGAAAAATTTCCCAGCAATAGAAACATCCAGTTTTCTATGTAATCTACATACCTGTTAGCATCATAAATCATTCGTTAAAATTAATCTGCTACTTCTAACCATATTCTACCCCTTATGGTTTTGATAATTTAAAGTTAGACGAAAGTGATGTCATCCATATTTGGCTCGTCATCCGATAATTAGATAATTAATTGATCTGCCTTTTGATAATCTTCTTAAAACATGTAAATTGATAGTTCTTCGAGTTTTACTTAAAATTAATGCTTTGCAGTGTACTTTTAATATTATTAACATAGCTTTAATTTTTGACTAATATTGCCTAATCTAAACCAATATTCAGAAATTATTTGATATTATTCAAAAGTTGTTTCTGATGTAACTGGAGGTATTTAAGTACTTTCTTTCACAGTAAAGTATGGGTCCATTAATTCAATATAAATCTTCAAATCATCATAATTTTAGGCTTCATTCTTGATTTCTCTATCTTTTGCTTGAATTTCATTTCGAAAATAGAGGATATTATAGAGAACCGGAAGAATGTTTTCCTTTTTCTTCTTGAATTATTGTAAAGTAGTTTTTATTTAGTAAAATCTTTCAGCATAAAATACTTGCTAAAGTGGAACTTTAAGAACACCTCTTTTTAACTATTAAGATAATTAAAATTAATTTTGTGTGAGGATTTACAATTCTTAAGGCAGCTGATTGTACATATTTTAGTCATCCAACATGTGTTATAACTAATAGATTGTACAGTCTTTCATTTAAATTTTTAGCATTGTTAAAAGAAAAGCATAAATGTCATTTTCAAATAGATCCATTTTCGATTCGCTAAAACTTTAGTTTTATAACATCATTCTATATTTTTTCGGTAAATATTGAGTAGTCCCTTCAATTTAAAAAACACCAACTGATTTCTTATATTTTAGAGCACATCCAAAATCTCCGATAATCCATCCCTTGTTATAAGTATACATAATATTAGAAGGTTTAATATCTCTATGTGCTATCTTTAAGGAATGCATATTAATTATTGATCTCAAAATTTAATGGTAAATGCTTTGATATTCTTCTTTTTCTATATTCACTTGTTGTGAATATACATCCAAGGTTGTTATTGCAATCTCTAAGCCAGCATAAGAAGAAAAAGTATTAATGTTTTCTTATAAAATAACGACTCTATCAATCAACTTAACAAAATGCAAAGGAAACACTTTGTTTAATGTCTGCTAAATTTTATATTCATTTAATTGTTATAAAAACTCTTCAAAATCATCTATTTTTTAAACTTTTACAACACAAGGCGAACCGTCCATATGTTCAGCATACAAAACTTGTCCATAACCACCAGAACCAGCAAACCCATCCTAAAATTCTTTTTTATTATTTTAGTCTTATTTAATAATGGTTGAAATGTGATATGGAGCTCTTTAAATGATCTAAAACGTATCCTAGTGATCTTTCATTATTGATAAAGTATTTCTCAACTTCAAACTGTCCAAAACAGATAATTTTTGATCATAAACACAGTTATAACCAAATGTTGAGGTTTCTGATTTTTGTGAATTATTGATTTCCTGATTTGTATGCATAATAATAATTATTTATAATTTATTGAGATTATAGCTGTTGAAATATTTCTTAGTATTTCCTCATTGCAACATATGATATCCAATTGGCAAGCATTTAAATTATCACTTTTGGCATACAATTCTTTTATTTTATGTAGTTGGAATGGTTTAATTTTAATACTTTGTGTTTGGTCATATATATATTTAATAAGTTGTCTAATATTTTGTAAAAATATCCCTGCCTTTACTTTTTTTAATTGGGACTTAAAATATATATGAGCGAGAATTTTACTAAGAATTAGATACTCGGCAACTAGAGATAACCAACTAAAAAAATCGAAAGGAATAAATATATTATTTTACTTAATACTTATGTTAAAATTATCTTAGTCTAAATTGTTATCTCTATAAATTATATTTGTCACAAATCATTAGAATAAAAAAATATTATAATCTGAAATAAAAAATAAACATTCTCTCCTAATGATTTCAAATTATTTCAACATAATCATTCAAGATAATAAAATTGTAATCAGTGGTGAATTGAAATTTATTTCTAAAATGATTACTTTTGGATTATAGCAATAAAATAAGGACTTTATTTATCATCATGATCTGTTGTTTGTTGTTTGTATATTTTATTAGTTAGATATTCAAACTTAACAATTAAATTAGAGCATAATTAAATAATATAATATATGAATAGCAGTAGATTAAACTTTGATTAATTTAGCGAAAATTATATATATTTCTTCATGATTTTTCATTCATCGATGGTAAATGTAAATATAGATTGTAATCCTGTACACCATCTAATAGCTATTCCTTAATAGTTTTTGAAAAATAGCACTTTTGTATTTGTATTTTGCTAAGAATCACATATATATTTGAGTTGGTATTCAGATTCCAAAACAACATCATCTTTATTAATAATAATATGCTTTTAATTTTCCTAATTCATTATTTAATTTTTGTTACTTATGATGCATCTTACTCATTTAATATAACTTTTAATTCTTAATTTCCTTTCACTAATTATACAGATTTTCCATTATTTATAATTTGCGCATTCAAATCTTTGTAAGTAATTATTCTAATTGTAATAATGTATACTTTGAACAACTAGTATCCGGAAAAGTCGCCATTGTTGGATAAAGCAAATATTTATACTTAATTCTATAATAATAAAACTAATTAAATTCATTATTTGATATTAAATCTCATTCTTATTCTAATACAAATGTATAAATACTTTATTGAAACAGAATATTGATAACTTGATATACGAAATCAAAAGGTTGTAGGGCACTCGATTGTTACTAAAATCAACAAAGAATGTCATTTTTGGAAATATATTGATTAATTGCCTTTGCAAAGCACATCAAAAGAACCATATTTCTTTATGCAGAAATACTTGATCTTTTGATAAAAATATAATAAGATAAATCAAATGCTATAATGTGCAATGAGAATTTTTGATTTTAATACTATTTCAATAATTCTTAGTATTTCTAATTCTTAAAGTATAGTTATTTAATGGGCAGTAATTCCTTTTAGAATAAATCATCTTAATAAATGCATTAGAAGAATCAATTAGTTTTCTATATTGATAACGATCAAAAATATTCTTTAGATGCCCCAGCTCTTTTCCTATTCATGATTTGATATATTATTATTCTCTATCATATCTTAGAATACCATCTAAATAATAAATATGAATATTTGAAGCAAGTTAATTAAGATTATTTTCTTAATAAAATGAAAATTGACAAACAATGAATTGTTTTGTTAAATTCAATAATTATTTTATTAATTTTAGAAAATAATTATTCATAATTGATTCATAAATATCTTATCAAAATCTTCTCGTTTAAGCATTTGAGAGTTTACGTTATGTTATATTTAACAATCTAATTATATCAATTAAACCAACCCCAAAACCCATTACTAAGGTTATTCCAAGAAACAATATCAATTATTTAAATGTATCATAATATAGTTATTCTAATGTGCAATTAACATTTGAATATCCATCCTTAATTGTGCATACGATAGATTAATAAAATTCGGAATCTTCCAGATAATGAGAACCTATTAATGATGTAATTATAAGGACAAATAGAGCAACGCTTAAGAATTAAAATAGATTAACCCTCTTCTAGTATCTAATAATTTTACAATTGCAGGGCTTTTTTTGCTAAAACAATTGTGTTTCTTGTTTACAAGTTTCACAACATTTCATTTTACAGCGTGGGCATTCTACTTATCTTTATACATCAAAATAGAAGAGAGGTAGTTAACATTTTTTACATTTTTAATATGATTTCTACTCGCTTATTTTTTTACAACATAAGCATTTTTTAATTTCATATTTTTCTTTATGAATGCAAGTGAATTTAGAAACAAGGAGGTGATTATCCTTTTGATCCAAAAAAAATAATTGCTTACATTTTTTACATTGAATATAGTTGGATTGATTTTATAATTTAATCAAAAAGGTCTATAGATTTAATGGAAAATCTGAAAAGCCTACTTATAGAATAAAAAACTTTCCACAAAATTGAAGTTTATCCAATGTTTTTAGGTTTTTGCACATTTTACAATTAAATGCTTCATATCTGAGACAGTCCATCAAAATATGACGATTAGATCTCCTACGACAATCAAAGATGCACATGTAAATAATATTAATATATTATATTATATTATATTATCGTAATTACTCATTATAAATATATTTTGAAATGAAATATCTGACAATTCAGTATAAACTATAACTATTTTAAGATTGATTATTTTTATTTGGCTATGAATTTATGATGAATTGCATTAATTGTTAGATTTCTATAAAACATAGATTATGTGATAAAATACAAAAAGAAAATATATATTAAATTCTATGACATTTTCCTATCCAACTCTTCAAGAAGTAATTTTAAAATTACTTTAAATTAGATCTAAATCGATAGAAATTTGAGGGAAAAGGTAATAAGAATAATTATAATCCTTAATTTCTAAAAATAGTTGAATAATTCAATATTTATTAATATTTTCGAATAAAACTTTCTCATAGATCAAGCAATGATGAATTTTCAAAATATAATATTCTAATATAATTAAAGTTATAGATAAACGCATTTATCTTAATCCCATTATAGTACGCCTTAATTTTAATTCAAAACTTAGACAGAATTAATTGGAATTTTAGGATTTAAATGCATATATGTTTTCTAAAATAAAATAGTTATAAATGAGACATGGAACATTTTTAATTGACTCTAAAACAAACTAAGGTAAAAGTATTCTACAAAACTGAATATAATAAGGTTTATTTGATTTATTTTAATTCTTTAATATGAATATTTAAAACTATTTAAACAATAATTCTAGTAGTAACTAAAGTAGGAAATTGAAATTTTAAGATATCCTAAACTCAATCAATCAATTAAAGGTAAGGCTTACAAAAATATAATAGTAAATCATAACCTTGATGGATGAAAGAGTAAAGTAATTGGAGAAAGACATTGTTCAAAACGAAGTTTAATAGCAGGATAATCAATAATCTTAGCAAAATGAGACTATATACTTATCTGATTTTACTAATCTTAAAGAATTGCTAACTCATTTTTAAAATACCATGTCAGAACTTTAAATTTCATTTGGAGCTATACAAATAGTAAAAAATAGATAAAATATCGAGTTTGCAATACCAATCCAATAAGTAGAGATGGATCAAAAGAAAGAAAGAGAATAAGCAAAATAATCACAATTAAATTTATAAGAACATATTAAAATAGCAAATTTATAACTTTAATTACTAGAACAGCATGAATCTGAATAATTACTTAAAATTCAGAACTAAGCACTTATAAATCAAATTTAATAGTTATCCTAATAGGTCTAGAATTTAGAGTATTAGTAGAAAGAAAAAATTCAGGAGAATGAAGGAATGAGTGTTATGAAGAAATTCAAATATGAATAAATTAATTAAAATGATACAGCCAAGTAATAGGAATTTTGTGGAGCATTGGCATTCAATGCAGATTGTTCAATTCTCGCTGTTGGCTGCAATAAAATGATTAAAATATTCGATTTTGATTAGGGAGTATTGAAATTAATCTAAACTCTCACCGGTCACAGTAATCTAATCTAAACACTAAACTTTATGAGGAATAACAATTAATAATTTTTATCAGGCAGCAGTGATAATTAAATATTCGTTTGGACGTAGTAATAAGATTGTAATTGGATTTGTCATTAAAAATTGTAAGGACATGCCTCAGGTATATTATGCTTGATTTTGAATTGTAGTGATGATCTTATGGTTTCAGGTAGTAAGGATAAAACCATCAAATTTTGGGTTAAACCTAACAAAGATGCTGATTGGAGATGCTCTTAGACAATTTCAGAACATTAAGACTATGTTAATGCTATTAGTATGAATGAAAACGAATAAAAATTGATCTCATGTGGGGAAGACAAGTTAATTCTAGTTTTAGAAAGACCTTCAAAGTTTCAGGATTAATGGAATATTATACAAAAGATTAAATTGTAAAACATGGGATTTCGACTATGTTTTATTAATGATAACCAATTCACATTTTAACCATGCAAACAATCCTATTTGAGTGTTTTTGAATTGGATAATAACATTTATAAATTGAAAACTGAGGTTGCAGTTAAAGGTGGGATTGATGATTGTTATAGTCTATTTCCATAATAGTTTAATAAATCAAAAAATGTTCTTATCAATAAGAATGTTAGTAATATCAATTTTATACGAAAAAATAAAAATGGAGAACTAATAACTGAGTAATCAATTGATTTTTGCACGAGTTCGATGAATGGAAAACTTAGTAATGATGGGGAATATTTAGCAACATGGGATAGAAAATCATGGGAAATTCAAATCAGAAAATATTAAGAGTTTTGAAATGAGTGTTCACATTATTACTAATTTTCTATCAGTTTTTCAATTGTATTTCCATTTTTATTATCATTTTAAAGTATAGCTAAATTGTAACATCAAATGATAATTCTTCTCACAATTCTGTAAGAAGAATAGATTTAATTGTAAATAAAATCAATAAAATTTACTACCCTAAGATACATCTCACATTTTCTGATTTTTTCAACTTAATTTTTTTCAAAATATAATTTATTATTTATTTCGGCTTGTTGGTAATTTAAATATTTGTTGTCAATTTGAACAAATTCAACTTGTTGAAGTTGAATAACCAATTAATGCAACATTTTTGAGTTTTATTAATCAATTAATTAGAATTTGAATACAAAAACCTAATTTTTATTATACAATTAGATAATATTTTCATATTAGAGATAATTTAATTAGCATTGAAATTCTATAATTTTAAATGTCATTTATCAACTGTTAGCAAATAATTAATGATCATTAAATAAAAATTAATAATAGAAAATATCATTTAAGGTCAAGAATATATCCAATTAATTAAAACTAAGTTTAGATATCAAATGCAGCTATTGAATTAGTTATTATATACTGAAAATAAGAAATATGAAATAGTTTTTAGGTTAATAGAATTACATTTTTTATTTTATGATATTATGTATTAAATCAGAAATGATATAATTTTTACGAACAATTAATAAAATAAATGGATGACGATTTCTTATGTTAATACGATGGCCATGATGAAGATGAAATCCTTGGTTTCTGTCTGAATAGTAAATGCAAAGAAAATTCGCAATTTTGCTTGAAATGCTGTTGGGATAAACACAGCAGTCATGAAGAAGAATGCAAAACATTTAAGCAAATATAGAAGACAATTGCAAGCAACAAAGTGCTGGAAGAAAAGCAAAAAGAATAGTTAGTTAACAAAATCAAAGAAATACAAAATTTGTGTGATCAAATTACTCACCAAAAGAACGTGGACGCTGTGAATTTGTAAGCTTTAGAGAAAGATTTAAAGGATAAAGAATATAAAAAATGCCTAGATCACATTCCCCTTTTTAAACAATATTGTCAATATTTATAATCTAATTCACAATGTAATATACATCATTTCTATATTATTAGAGGTGTTATTAGATTAATTAGATTAAGGATTAAAATCACTTAAATTGTTCACATTAGGAATCTCTGCCATTTTGGAATAAACAAAAAGTATTCTTTAAATATAAAATAAGTATTGGACAACTAGAGTATTTCAATAAAATCTGAGATCATAAACCCAAACCAGAATGAGAAAAAACCAGCTCAAGTTGAAATTTAAAAAAAAGGTTATTCTAATATACATCAATGTAGATTAAGAAGTCTAAGTGAATATTGAATTACCAGCATAGACTCAAAAAAAAAATGAAATTGAAATTGTAGAGAATAAAGACTATGGAAAACCAGTAGGTTAAACAGCGTCTTCTAGAGTTGGATTACCACCTTAAGTACGATTTGTTTATATTCTAGTCACAACAACCTCCTTCTACCTATAATTATTAACAACCTTCTTCTGCTTAAGGTTATTAATAACCCAAACCATAGAATCCTTCTGCTGGTTAAAATTCATCCTCTAATATATACCCACCATAAGGTTCAAATCCACCAAAGACATATCCACAACCAAATCAATATCAACAATAAAATCAATACCAACAATCGAATCAATACCAATATTAATAGCAAAATCAATATCAACCGCAAAATCCAACTAATAAATCATATTAACCACCTACAGGATCAAGTTCTATAAATTCACAACCATATTAGCCATCTTCAGGATCAAGTTCCATAAACTAACAACCATATTCTTAGTAATCTGGCAAAGTCCCTCCTCCATAAACCAAACCCTATTAGCCTAGTTCAACAAATCCATAAAATTAATAGTATAAACCTCCAAATCCAAATCCAAATCAAACAGGTTAAAAAACATATCCTCCTCCAGGCACTCAATCATAAATACAAAAATATTAACCTTAAAATTCAGAATAAGGAAATTAAAAAATGGATCCTCAATAATTAATGAGTTTATTGGGTAGTAGCGGAAACGAAGGTTTAATGAAATAAGTAATTGAATATGCATTACAATAAGAAGTTAATAAAAATTCAAAGTATATAATTTATTAAGCTTAAGGAATGGTAATCAACCAGCCCCTAAAGTATAACTTGATATGGAACAAGTAAAATATTATCAGAGTTAAATAGAAGCTGAATAGGTTATAAAATAATGTAAGTATCATTTCCTAAATTAAGGTGCTGAATTATTGCAATAAGATAAATACAAGGAAACTCTGGACATAATCAATAAAGCAAATATCGGTATAGTTGTAGATAATGTTTAAATTTTATAAATCAAATGTATTTGAATTTCTGAATTTTAGGGAAATGCTTACTGAAAACGAATTAATTGGAGGATGCTCTCTAAATTTGTAATCAGATAATAGAGCTAAATCAAGACGATACAAAATTCTTGGCTATCAAAGGTAAAATGACTGGCGATCTATTTACTAGGATTGACTTTACATCAATTAAACAGATACGAAGAAGCCATGGAATTATTTGATATAGCTACTGAAATAAATCCAAATGAATTCAACGGCTATTTCCATAAAGGTTTATTGTGTTTTATATACCCTCATAGGATAAACCTTGCTATCATTGAAGAAATATGAAGAGGCCATCAAATGTTTTGAAAGAGCTATTGAAATTGATCCTGAAAGTGAACCTTCATACTTTTTATTGGGTATTCAAAATAAAACATTCTAGGAAATGCATTAAAGAAATTGGAGAAATTCAATCAAGCTGTTGAAAACTACAACATAACAGTTAACATAAACCCATAGCATCAAGTTGCCCTTACTTTTAAAGGTAAATATCACAATTGATGTTATTAGCTCAATGTCTAATTGAATTAAAAGTGTATGAAGAAGCAATTAAAGCTGCAGATGCTGCATTGTCAATAAATGAGAATAATTCTCTTGCCCTATACTCTAAAGGTTACATATTTTTAATATTTTAAGGACTTGGATTGTTCAAAGTAGAGGCTTTCAAAGAAGCTCTTAGTTGTTTGGAGAAAGCCATCTTAATAGATAATACTATGCACGAAGCTATTGCCTTAAGAGGTTAATATCTTTTTGATTTTTAGGCGAAATACTCCATAAAATGGAAAAATATGTAGCTGCAGTGTCAGCATATGATTTGGCTCTCTAAATATCCGCTAATCCTTAGTATATGTTGAAAAAAGGTATTTCAATTCTCAAAATTAAAAGCTGAGTCTTTACGAGCATTGGAAAAAGTTGAAGAGGCAGATATTTTATAAAATTAAGCTTAATAGCTCATAGACTAATAAAAATAACCTTAGGAAAAATAAACAATTTGAGGTGAGATATTTATAACAATAACCTATTAAATTGAAATTTTTTTTTCGTCTTTGTTGTCAAGAAATATTTTCTTACTTTATAAAGGTGCTTCTTGCGAAGTGTTCTTCATTATATATTCAACTAAACATGAGTAAAATGATTATAAGGATAGTTCACTTGCTAAATATGCTAAAAATCTATCACTTTCTCAAATTCATCCCCTCATCTGCTTTAGATTGGTTTCCTTCATTTTCATTCGCACCTTCAACACAAAATGATCAAAATGTAATCTACCTGAATTACAATAAAAAAACATAAAAAGTAAAATGTTGAGAACTATATAATGATAATGGTTTTAAATTAATTAAGCCAATATGATCTAAATGATTAACTAAGTTGAAATTTAATTCTGTCTATGAAAAAAGAATCAATGTGATAGAATGATTAAATTTCTCATAAAATAAAATGGCACATTTAATAAAGGCAATTATTCTAAAATTTCAATAGCAAGATCATCAAATTGATATTTTGCAGATATATTAAATATTATTGTATAGATAAAGTATGAAATTAGAGGATCTAGAATAATAATATCTAATTTTAACATGTAAGGAATTAAGATATAGTTTATGTTTAATGATGATTTAGAACAAATTAATCGATTTCTATTGTTAAATTACTTATTTGAGTTTATACAAAAAAATATTGAAAATCTAATATAAATGTCCAATACAATATATATTTTTTAATATTCAATAATTATATACACAAAAATGAAATGTTTATAATCTTTAATAAGGCATAGCTAAATAATAGACTATTCTAAATTGAAATTGAGTCTTGATATTTATTCATGTCATCCTATTTTATGTTAGACTTATGCATTTTAACTTTCTCATAGTAACTTGTGGGACTCTGTATACAATTCTTTAGAAATCAACATAAGTTAAGGAATAGCATCGTAAAATAAGAACCATCCGATTTTTCATCTGGTTTGAAACTTTCTAGAATGCAAATATGTAATTACTTTATTTGGAATTGAAAGTAGGTATTCGGCATCATAATTTGATTTTTTTGAGAATTTTCAATTATTTATTGATTGACTAATTAGGGATGGAAAATATTCACTTTTCTATGAATAATATTTTTCCTTTATATTTTAATCCAATTTTTATAAGATCCACTATCTTGATTTTTTCTCGAGTTTCCACCTTAAAATACAAATTTTTTTACCTTTATTTAAAGTTGACTATCTCTATGCTTTTTAACATGATGAAATTAGTCCATCGTCATAGTATTTTTATCTGCAACTATTCCTAAGCCTAATTTTTAAGAATTATTCTTACTCCTAATCTTTCTTCGATTGCTTTTTGCTTCAACTTCATACCCTCCTGATAAGAGATTATTTCAACTCATTTGATATTGATGCAATTATTGAAGATAAACTTAAAATTGAGAATTAAATACTTCCTCTACAACTAAGTCCCCTATAGGCTCATTTCCTTTTTCTTCTGCAGAAACTCACTCAACTCTCTTGATTCATAACAAAGATTAAAAATTGGCGCATTTTATTTAAAATTGATTTTATAAAATTTACAAAATAATATTATTATAAATATAATTATTATATATTTATATAAATTTATATTTGTAAAATCAAACTTTATATTACACTATTTTCTATCTTGGTGTCGAAAATGAGCTTATTTTCCTATTTTTTTTTCATGAAAATTGAAAAATTATGGTTGTTAAAGATACTTTTATAAATATCAAAGGATATTTTACGATCAGTTCTTATAATTGTTAGGTATTTCAGATAGAATAACTCACTTTTTATTCATAAAAATCATAATATTTAAGCCAAAAAAAGGTTATGGATTTTAGCATTTATTAAATGAAAATTATTTTAGTTTCACTTCTCATAGTGGCATCTTTTGCAAACGTTAACCGAGTGTTGTCTGAAATTAGCTAGACTAGCAATAAATGGCAATTCAATCTTTTTACCTCTACAGCGGAATAGAACAGCTAGACATACTTATTAGAGGGTGAAGAATTGCTATTAGTTTAAAATATAATCTCTGGAGATGGAAATAATCAAATCAAAATGAACAAGTATTTAAGAGATGGTACAGAAATTACATCTCCAAAAATCATTGGAGATTCAACAAAGGCATGCAGCAAAGCTAGAATCACCTTAATTCCTACGATTGGTTTTGTTGCCGGATGGATTCAAAAAACGGAATCCAGTTCACAATTGTATCTTTAATTATTTACTAATAATTTAACTGCCTTAGGAGAATAAATACTGGTAAGTGACATCAGTCAAGAAGTACATTGGGATTTGTCATCAGAATACTACTACATTTACAATTTAGGAAATTATTAATTATTACTGTTGTATAAATAAACAACTAGTGACAAATCATGGAGTGGTACAATCTATAACTATAATTCACAATAGCGAAGCAGTGCAATTAAATTAAGCAACTCAAAATTTGTAGAAATAGCTTAGAACTCTCTTGGTAATTTAATATTAGTATAACGAATTTATGTTTCTGCTTTGAACTCATATTTAATTGCCACAAAAATAAATTAGAATGGTGAGATTGTTTACACTAAGAATATATACCACATAAGACTTTAGTCCTAATTTGAGCCTAGATTAGTTGCATTATCAAACAATAATTTTGTTGTGTTTTACCAACAAAGTGAATTCATATATTATCAAGTATACAACTAACATTTCGATTCAGTATTATTTGCTAGCTATTCAAAATATTATGGCTAATAAACCCCAACATGGGAATTCAACAATTTCTTCAAGGGTAGCCAAATTTAAGTATTGGCCTTGGAAGGAAGTGTAATTTTGGTTGGTGTTAATTACAATACTTTAAGATTTTAGTTGATTTAATTAGATAATGAATTTCTGGAATTCATACAATAAAGAGAAATTCATTATGAGGATCTAAACATTTATAAATTTTCAATTTAAAAGACCAATGATGAAACTATATTTGTTTAATGGATTAGTGGAAATCCATTAACCTTATTGCCTGAATTTACACAAAGTCTCTATTAATCTGAATTGAATTTAAAACTGACTTTATCAAATTGTGCATTTAATTGTGATCATTGTGAAAACAATGTGTGTTAAAAGTGCAATAATGGATATGTGTTGAATAATAAGAAATGTTAATTATAATGCCAAACAAATTGTGTTCAATGTTCTACTAAAAACAGTTGTGATGTTTGTGCATCTGGATATGTTTTAAACAATAAAATGTAGTGTGTTAATCAAAGTAACAGTGCAAATACAGAATTGAAAGTCAGCATTTCTGAATCAACTTATAAATATAACCAATAGGTCAAACAATTCCAAGATGGAAGTTTGCTAGTTTATTATTCAGAATATTCGACTCCATAATAGGTGTTATAATTTAGAGTATTATCAAGTGATGGAGAGATAATCTAAGCACATTAATTAAATTATTCAGGATGGGCAGGATATGATGTTGCATTAGTAAATGATACTACTGCTTATTTGTATACATTAGAGACTTCTGAGGGATCAACTGTTATCAAATAGAGACAATTCAATCCAAAAACCTTTGAATTTACAACTATTATCAGATTATAAATCTAAAATTAAGGATTTTCTTATAGAAAAGATGTTTAAAACAACTTAATCGTTGCTGGATTTGAAAATTCAGTTTGCTTGATATTAAAAGGTATGGATAGTGGTGATAACATTAATTTAAATCTTGGTTTTTACACATACAATGGAGAGTTTTTGATAAATCAAAATTTAGGATAAGTATAATTCTTATAGAACTACTCTTATAATGAAGAAGAACGAAAATTTGATTACGATTTTGATGAATAATACTTGTATATTCTAATTGCAAGAGGATGCAGCCTTTAATTAGTGTAATTCAACCTAGTTGGATAAAGAGTATACGAAGAGAGTTTTGGATATGGTGGCTACGTATTTTGCTAAGACTTTATTAATCCATCTTTATCCAAGATTTCAAATAAATACAGGTTTATGATTGCAATGGAAACAGTCTAAGGCATAATTGTATTTAATTGGAAAGATTCAACTGTTTTATATACTACAGATTCTAAAGTTAAAGCCAGAAAACCATAATTAAATGCTTTTAAAGACAATATCTTTGTTTTATTATTCGAGGAATACGACTTGAGTGATAGATTCACAACAATCTAGTATTTAAGATTTGAATTTACTGATGTAGTTGTTAATTAAAGTATTAATTCAAACTCTGTACTTCCTTAAAATTTGAAAACATTGAATTAAGATAATGAATATTTAATACTTAGTTGGTTGGCACATGGTTCTTCAAAAATCTCATCAACAAATCAAGTTTACTTAGAAAGAGTGTTATTGAATGACAATTTGATTGTTGGATTTGGAAAGTAATGTCCATCAAATTGTTAGAATTGCAATTCAGATAAAGCTTGTTTGTAATGTAATGAAGATTACCAATTAACTGCTGACTTGAGTAAATGTGTAGCACAATGCCCATAAGGTTGTGCAACATGTGCTACAAAAGATTAATGTTTAGTGTGTCAATTTGGTTATTAATTAAGTCAACTCAATGTTTGTGAATAATCTTAAAAGAATACTATTGCTATCTTAAAGGAAAATACTCAGATATTTGATTCTATTGATTTAGATTTGGCACAGAATGGTAATTTATATGTAAGTTGGATGCAAAGGGATGAAAATAATAATTAATAGACATTTATTAAATAGATTGATGTTCATGGATAGCAAGTAGGATAAGATATTTCAGTTAATGTATGTACCTAATATGCATCTAAAATATACACTACATCTTATCTTAATATCCTATCAACAATTTGTGGAAATCTTGAATTTGGAGCAGATATGTATCTTCATTTCTATACTTCAAATTTTGACACAAGATATTAATTTTGGGTTGATCATGGAATCAGAATGATTTCATATTCAATTGGGGATACTCCATATGCAATTCAGGTTATATCTGAAAAAGAAGTATTAATTGCATACTAAATAATGAATTCCGAAACTGAAGTATATGTTAGGTTTATTAAGTTGTGCAAACAGGATTTTGATAATTTATACTTTTATTGTGGTTCTAGTTAATTCGGACCTTTTAATTAAAAAGTTTAGGATTTGTAATTAGCCTTTGATTATTAAGTTTATTACATTAACTATAAAATTTTGGTACAGTAAGAAGATGGATCTATTTAATTACAAACATTCAAAATTACTACTGATTTTAATTGCTAATAAGTGAATATCCTTTAGACATTTACTCTTAACTAGTAAACTCTTATATTATCCAATTTAAATAAATTAGACCTTTCAATCAATAATGCTTAGATTTCATTTACTATCACACATGGTAATAAATAGCTAAATCAACATACAATTGAATTAAATAATCAAAATTCTGATTTACAAATTGAGTAGGTTGACGTGGCTGCAACCGAATCAGGATTTTATGTTGTTTGGATTGAATAATAGTAAACAAAATAAATAAAAGCTTAAGGTTTTTACAATAATGGTACTTAGATAACTGAAATCTAAAATTTGATATAATCAAGTTACTCTCCAAGCAAGATATTTGTGTAATCAGTAAGAAATAATTAATTAATTATTGTCTGGTAAGATTAGGATCAAAATGGATAGAAATTACTTGCAACAAGATATAACTAAATGCTTTAATTACTCCCTTTAAATACAGTATTATGTTAGTATCATTGTGAAAATTGTTAAGCAGCAAACAGTTGTGCTAAATGTTCTTAGGGCTATTACTATAATACTGATTAGTCATAATGCTAATTAATTTGTCCTTCTTATTGCTAGGTTTGTACATAGAAGGACGTATGTGATATTTGCTAAACCAATTATTACTTAGTAAATGATCAATGTGTATATGATGCTCAAAAGTAAAAGGAAAGAGTTTTGGCTGATGTTGAGGATTCTACAGTTACAAGAGTATCTGTCAGTGCATTTTCAGATAATGGATTTGTTGTGGTTTGGAATGACAATGTTGATGGTAAATAACAATTGGTTATGCAAATTTACAATAATTTGAAAGAATAATAAAGATCTTTGCCATTAAGTGGTGAGAATGATAAACAATATGCTTAAGTTGAGGTATTAGATGGAGATCTCATTGCCCTAGCATGGTTTGAAGGATAATGTTCAGTATCTTGTCGTCTTCAATTATAAATATTTGATAGATTTGGAACAATTCAGTCAACTGAAATAACTATAGCCTTTGTGACATTACCATCATTAGGTAAGCAAAAGCCTGTTGTAATCAAAAGATTTGATAGAAAGTTAATTATTGCATACATAACATATGAAAATGGAAAGACAGTTGGTTATTCTACTATGTATGAGTAAGATTCAAGTTCAGTATAAGCTAATCAATTAATAGATCCAGACCAAAATATCGATAATTTAAATATCATTAGTTTGAATGGATATTATCATGGTATTATGTATGTGAGAAACAACAAAGAATTGTATATTCATCATACTTTTCAAAATGGATGTTTCTAGGGTTGTGGATATTTTGATGGAGCTTAATTAATGATCTCTTCTGACTATTAAATTTCATAACCTTCTGCTTTCTTGAGACAAGACAACTTTTTCATTGTGTTGTGGGTGGAAAAATCAGCAGTAAATGGATTTTTAATTGAAAAGACTTATCAATCTCGTTGTTGGAATTGGGGTTGTGATGGCAAAAAATAAGTTTCCTCTAATTAATTTGATGAAACATATTTACCCTAATCGGTTGGCTAATATCTTTAATATGGATATTAGAGATATTCCATAATTTATGGATCTCAAGATTATCCAAATCATATTAGAAGAACAATAAAATTATAGTCATTTAATGATTATTATCAAGGAATGGATAAAAAGCTTTAGATTAATGTAGTATCCTAAAAGATTGAGTAATTTGTTACTTATGAATTTTAAAATGGAGATGTGCTTGTAATTAGTGTTGGATAAACAAGTGAATCAAGTAGTTAGATTCTATTGAATTTAGTCACTGTATTAGGTGATTAATAGAAATTAATGGGTAATCCTACTTGTTAATAACGTTGTTAAAGATGCGATGCAAGTCTAACATGCTTTAATTGTAATGCAGGCTATACATTAATTGATGGTTAATGTTTGAGATAATGTGATAAAAATTGCGCTGTATGTGATCGTCATTGGGAATCAGCTATGTTATAATGTAATGAATGTGAATTTGGATACAAATTAAATAATTTCTAATAGTGCTTGCCAACTGATACTACTATTATTCAATCCTTAATTAATACTTATTAGAGTGGAAATCAATATGGTCAAAGAATAGCCACCTTAAGTAACTATCAATCAGTAGTTGTCTGGAATAGTGAGAATCAGGACAAGAATGGAAAATCAATCTATATGCAACTATATGATTAATAAATGAATAAGATTGGCGGTGAAACACTTGTTACTAAAGATAATATAGGAGTATAAGAGGAACCAGATGTTGTGGCATTACCTAATAATCATTTTATTATTATTTGGAAAGACAATCATTCAAATGCCGGCAGAAGAATCCTTATGTAGAGATTCTCATTAGCATTTGAAAGACTTGGAGATGAAATAGTAGTTTATGATTCCACTACTGATATTATTTCAAATTTGCAATCTCTAGTGAATTACGTTGATGTACATCATAAGATTACTGTGTCATTAGATGGTTCAATATTCGTGTTATTGTACTTACAGCAATCATATAATATTTTTGACATAAGATTTAAACAGTTTAATTCAAATTATGAAGAATATTCATCATTATCAATTTGGCAAACTACATCTTATTAACAAACTTCAACATCTACTTTAAATAATCTATTATTATTTACATTCAAATCATAAGAGGGAATAAGAGTTTTCTTTATTAATTAATTAGGATCAATTGTAAATAGATTGTTAATACCTAATTCCAAATCATATAGTTACCCATCAATTATTTCAATTTCTGAAAATGAAATATTAATTGCTTGTGTAGGCTCTAAACTTAGTTAATTATTAGTTTACAAATAAAATCTAGATTTATCATCTACTTTAAGTCCATAAATGATTGATTTCAATAACTAAATAACAGATGTAAATTTGTTGAATATGAATTCTGGATATGTCATAGCATTTAAATAATTAAATTAGACACCCTATTACTAAAGTGATCTAGTTAACTTATTGATATTTAATAGCCTAGGGGATGTGTTATCATCTGATCCTATTTAAGTAAATGACTATTATGGATCTACAACAGATATTCGATTAGCTCGTTTATCAAATGATGATTTCATAATAACTTGGACTCAAATAATTAATTCATCCTATGGAGTTGGATTAATAAATCAAAGAAATATAGATGATTTAAGCGGAGACGGAGTCTATGTTAAGAGATATAACGTAGCTGGTTAGGTTTAATCAATTTAAAATGTAGTATGTCAAAGTTATTGTAAATAATGCAGTAAATCAAATTTGTGTGAAGCATGTATGGATGGCTATCAATTTGATTAACAAAAATTGATATGTTTGCCAATATGTTAATCTCATTGTAATTAATGTACCAGATTTTTGGGTTAATATAAGAGTTATTGTTAATAATGTGCAGAAGGTTACACAAACAATGATTAAGGAGATTGTGTCAAAGTGCAAGAATAATAAATTTAGTAACTTTATGAACTTTATGGAGATTATGTGGTGAGTCAAATTTTGACATTATCAAATGGAAATATCGTGATTCTGTATTAAGCGAATGGGGGAGATAAATATTTGATGAACATAATTGATAGTTCAGGTAAGGTTGTTTTAAAGGGAAATGAATTAACCCTTTCATGTTGTAGAAAATTAACCAAAGCTACAGCATTAACAGGTGGTAATTTTGCAGTTATTTAAAGATCCTTTGATGTTGTTGTGGAAGGATTTTAGCTATTTGTTTACGATTAAGAAGGTAGATTAATTAAATAAGATATATTATACAATCCTTACTATTGGGGTTATCCTGAATTTTGGAGAAATTAAAATTTATTACAAATCAACTCCCTTTCAGATGGAGGATTTGTTATATTGTTTGTTTCAAATAATGATGGTTACATATCTTCCCAAAGTCCAAAACTACATTTAAGAATCTACAACAAAGAATATTATCTTGTTAAGTAAGATATTGTAATTTAAACTTATTTCAATAGAAATGAATAATGGGATTATTGGAACTATGATTATGTTTACAACAATCAAAGAAATCAAGCGATTCAAGTATTAGAAAGTGTAAATTCAATTATAATTTCATTTGGAACTAGCATATATAATAAATGGGAAGAAAATAAAAATAATATTTAAGTGTTTGTTTATAGTAAAGAGGGATAGTTCATATTAAACAAGGCTATAGAAATACCCAATAATGATTGGTGGGTAGGATATACTCCTAGAATCAATTTATTTGAAATAGAAATAAATAAATACTTATTGGTCTATTTCAATAATAGATAAGTCTATGGATAATTTTATGATTAAAAGTTTAACCTATAGGTTGAGAAATCAATAAATTTAGAATCTCTAGGTGGATTACACTGTTATGGATGTTGTATTGGATGTTGGGATTAAATAACAAGTTAAGTGGCAGTAGTTAAAAATGTGATTGTTATTACAAATAAGCCTAATGGCCAGGATCTATATATTTCGGCTTACAATCTGAATTTCAATTAAATTGTTTCTCCATTCAAAATATCAAATAATAAATACGATGCAACAGATTATTTGAGAAACCAACATTTCCTTGTAAATTATTAACTTGAGACCTTATTACTTGCTTAGGTTGTTTAATTTAAAGGAAGCAGACTAATAATGTTTAATAAATTAGATAAAAATTGTAATATAATAAAACAATGGACATCTTGTGGTGAAAATTGTATAGATTGTGCAGAGAACAATTAATAATGTCTAGAATGCAAGAGTGGATACTTTGTAGATGAAACCTAAAAATGCAAAAAGAGTTGTGATATCTAATCTTGTTTATTGTGTGAAAATCCTGGATAATATGGAGGATTTTGTAGAATTTGTTAAGCAGGATATTAATTGAAGGATAATACTGAGTGTGTTCAGGTTGATAGCTCAAGAATATAAGAAACTAAACTTTCATCAAGTAATCATTAAGCTTAGAATACTCCGAGAATTAAAACACTTTTAGATGGTAGAATACTATTAATTAGTTTAAACTCAAATAATAAGATTATTGGATAATTCTATGATTCTTAAGGAAATCTAAGTGGAGATTAAGTTACATTATTGGAAGAAGAAGGAATTAATCATTTTGACTTTTCAGTATCTAAGACTGAAGATAAAATCGTATTAGCTTGGGTAAGTTATAGAAACTGGAATGCAAAATCACTCAAATTTAGCATAGATCTTCAATCAAAAATCACAGAATAATTAGTAATTATAGACTAGGTATATTAATATAGTATCTCATAAATCACAGTGGAATTTTTATAAGATAATTCCTATGTGTGTGTTTTATATGGAAATGGATAAAATTGGATAAGAACTGTGAATGAATTTGATTAATTGAATTGTTTTAATCAAATTAATTCAATCAATTAATGGTTTTGTGATAGATGGGGTTGTTATGATCAGAGCCAATTTTATCAAGCTTAAAACCGATACATAGATTATTTCTCTACAAGTTATGAGAGAGAACCTAGCATCTTAACAACTTAGAATTATATTGTATTGGCATATGTAGAGTATAGTACATTAGTTTTAAGAACCTATGATAACTATGGAAATGTCTAATATGTTTTTAATAATTAAAACATCAACTAAAATGAATTCAGATAACCCTATTAACCATCAGTTACTTTATTAGAGAATGGCAAGATCGTCATCGTGTGGAAGGATGTGATGGAAACCTACAATATAGCAACATATGAATAATAAGTTCCAAGTTATAAATAAACTGTGATAGCATATATGATTACAGATGAATAATTTAGAGATGCTAAGGTACAATATATAGGAATGGATTATATATAAGAAGAAAGACCAGATGTTGCTGCCATTTCTAATGGATTTGCCATATCTTGGTCAGGTAGAAGTGAAAGGAATAATTAGAATATCGATCTTAGAATAGCATACTTTGATCTATATGGAAATCTTTAAACTGGATTTATACCTGTCAGTTCAATTTGCAATAGACCAATTAACTCTTAAATTAATAAAATAGCTGATGGTTCTATACTTGTATCTTGGTACCAAGATTAAGACATCTATGTTTAGAAATTAGACAGAAAGGGAGTTATATACCCTTTACCATAACCTATTGGATGTTCTTGGTTCTGTTCTAAATGTAATTAAGAAGGTTGCCTAGAATGTTTTGCAGGATATGAATTGAATCAGGTTAAAGAATGTCAAATAATTGTGCCAAAATGCAATGTTGAAAATTGTTAAGTTTGTGAATACGGATGGAATAGATGTATGTTATGTAATGAAGGATATTTCCTTGAAGATAACTTTGATCATTGTACATTGATAGATGTACCAAATAAAGAGTATAAGTTAGCTCATTCTAATGTAATTAATGATCATTCTACATCTATTGTATCAGTTGATGATGGAACTATTATCCATTTATGGTTAGATACTAATGATGATGGTTATGTCTTAAAGGGATCTACATATACCTAATTTGGAAGTTAATCAATAGCTGATAAATTAGTCTATTTATTACCAAAAGATGTATTTATTTAAGTGAAATCATAAAATTCTAATGTGGTAGTGTTAATTTATAATGCTGAATTCAGTTAAATTTTAATTGTTAATGTTAAATTGGAAATTGTAAAAGACAAAGTAGATATTACAAGTATCATAAAAGAAGAATTTATAATTTCATATGAATGGTAAAAGTAGAATTTAGAGACATTTAATGATGGATTCGTAGTAGAAATAACAGGAGTTAGATAATAGGTTATTAATCAATTTGATATCAATCCAGAAATCAGAAAATGCATGGTTGTTGAAACACTTGTTTTCAATTTTAACATTGAATTAACTACTCAACCTTTTGGATTTTATATGGAAGGATAACCTTCAACAGGAATTGTAGATTCTGTTAATAATTGCAAAATTACAAAAGTCTTAGATGTTCTTTATGACGATTATATCTATGTAGTTAGTTATCAATATGATCTTTATAGATAATCACTTTAAGTTTATAATTACAGAGGTGAAAAATTAAAAGAAGTTTGGGTGAATCAATAGGTTCCGTGGTATAGTTATGCTGACTATGATGGCTAAAGATTGTTCAAATCCTAAGATGGCAAACTATATATAACTGGAAGAGAGGGAAAGGGAATAATTTTAAACATCGAAAATTTCTAATTTTTAGAATTTCTTGATTACCCCTTACTAAGCAATTATTGCATAGATTATAGAGTAGTTAGGTTTTTATACTCTTAAGAGTTGATATTAGGATAATAAGTATTCGGTTTGGTGTCAAGATGGAAATATTCAATCTTCAGGCTTTGGGATCAAGGATTTGTATCTAAATTTGCAGTCCAATAGCAATCATTTAATATATTAGAATTAACAGACGGATAGCTATTATTCAGTTGGATAGAAGCATCAAATAACTCTAATAAGGGATCTATTTAGATTGTGAGATTAAATTAGAGTTTCCAATTAGACATTTTCTAGAGATTCGCATGTTTACCTAATTGCCAATAATGTCCAAATGATAATACTTGTGATATTTGCAATGACCATTATGAAAATATAAACAAAAAGGAATGTAAAGTCATATGTCCAAACTTATGTGATACTTGCTAATATCCTTAGAGTTGCACTATATGTTAAGATGGTGCCTATCTTAATGATTAAGGAGAATGCTACATACCAAATGATGGAAACATTGAAATTCCAATTCCCATAAAGAGATCAGACAATTAGATTAATCCAAGAGTGGCTTCATTCAGTGATGGCAGCTTTGTTGTAGTTTGGTAGGCTGAAAATCAAGATGGAGATGGTTATGGAGTTTATGCATAAAAATTCAATTCTTTGATTGAAAGAATAGGTGATGAAATCAGAGTTAATGAGGTTGTTCTTAATGAACAATATTATCCTGATATCACAATTCTTGATAATTCGAATGTAATCATAGTGTGGGCTGATGGGCAAATTGAATCAGAAGCAACTCTGTATTATTAGAGATTTGATAAGAATTTAGTAAGAATTGGTGGTCCTGTCATCCTTGATAAAATAAAAGTATAGTATATATAATAATACGACACTCCTTTTGTTGTGCAAGCATTACCTTAAAATAAATTTGCAGTTTGTTGGGTTAATTTTGCTGATTGGAATTCAAATTTCTATGTTACTTTGATTGACTCAAATGGAGTTTCACTAAATTCTTATGTATGGAATAGACCAGATTAAGTAAGGGAAATTGCGATAGCATCAAATGGCCTCAACTTTATTGTTTTAATAAAATAAACTTGTCATCTAATATCAAATATTTTTAATTTAGAAGGATAATTTTAATACGAAAAATATATAGATTTTGCTAATTCCTGCAACGGTGCTTCAGGAATAACCGCTAATTCTAGAGGAGAATACATAGTGTCATTTATTGAAGCAGATTATGTGAGAGTGAGCATATATGATACTCAGTTTAACTAATATGGCAGAAGTTCTAAAATAGAGGATTCGGCTATTGATACTATTGCTGATAATCCAGATGTTATTGCCCTCGATGGTGATAAAATCGCTGTTGTGTGGTAAAATACTGATAGACTTGATCCAATATTTAAATCAAGAAAATTAAAGATGGTGATCTTAGATTATGCTTTAGTTGCATTAACTTCAGTCTAAGAAGTAAACTTAATAACTACATTTGCATAATTACCTTAACTTTCACGATTGAACAATAACCAATATGTGGTTGTTTGGTAAGCAAAGAATTAGAAACCAAATGTTGATTCGGAATATGGAATATATTTAATGAGATATAATTCAAATGGTGATTAAACTAATCCAGGTGTTCCAATTTGTCCAGATAAATGTGAAAAATGCCAAGAATCAACTACATGCATCAAATGCTTACTAGATTACGACCTTGTTGATAAGGAATGTAAACCTAGATGTCCTGTAAACTGCTAATATTGTAATACATCCAACATTTGTGACATATGTTTACCAGGATTTGAATTGGATGTGGTTGGTCATTGTATTTACATTACTCCAGATCCTATTCCTTATCCAGTTCCTATGCCTGAATATCCAAGTAAAGTAAATCCAAGCTTCAAATCTATTCAGAAATTCGGAGATACATCAGTCTTAATTTACGGATCATCTCTAATTCAAGTTGATTCAAAATATTATCTAGATATTAGCTTAATTTTAATCAATGATAGTAGTAAGGCTTAGTTACCTTATAATAACAAAATAGAAATTGATGGAGAATGGGCAAATGTTTATAACTCTGATATACTAGTAATAGACTAAGAGATAGTAATTTATTGGACAGAACATTCTTACAGTGTCAAATAAGTGCACTTGAAATAAATTAGATTAGATTCAAACTTAGTTTCTTAGGGATCAGAAACTATTGACACATTTGATTTTGATTTCAGCGAACATACCAATAGAAAAGTGTATCTCTTTGCTTTAAATGGAAGTTATTATATATTCTAGTCTATTCAATATATCAATGGATAATTTGAACTTTATGGACATATAGTAGATAGACAATTGTACACAAGAGCTCCTCCAAAGAAATTGATGGATACTTTTAACTAACTTAATAGAAATTAGATTCATTACATCAATAATGAATTTGTAATAACCTAGTACACAATGATAATATTTTGGCGGAAATTCAACACAAATTTAGGGGATTTGGTTGAAGGTAGTACTTGGCCAATTTTCAATGGAGATATTGATTACAGTTCAATCATCATTCAATAATTAACAAATACAAATTTCGTCGTTGCTTGGAGATCTAAGAGTCAATAACCATAAAGTTCTTCCAATTCAATTAAATACATGAATCTAGGTTTAGACTTTTAACCAATAAGTAGTGAAATAACTGTTGTCACATCTAATGATGTTTTATAGAGCCCATTCATTGTAGTAACAACTAGTTCCTTCTATGTTATTTGGAATTAGGAATCAGTTGTGTCTAGTATTCTAAATTGCAATTAGTTTTCTGAAAATGGAGGACCAGCACTAAATACAATCCAAAAATTGAACAGATTATAAAATAATGTAATATTCTACACAGGTACACAAATTACTGGTGAAGATATTTATGTGATTTGGATTTCCTATTAAGATACAACATTAGAATATCAATATCAATTGGTAAAGATTGGTCCTCAAGGACGCTTACCTAATCCAATTGACCCCCTCCCTGTTTGTCCAACTGGTTGCAATGTTTGTTAGAATGAATACTCATGTGGACCAGGTGATTGTCTCCCAGATTATATTTATGATATTATCACACACAAATGTGTTATGCCTTGTCCATCTAATTGTAAATAATGCTCTTTACCGGGATAGTGTAATACTTGTGATGAAGGATATAAATTAGTTAATCATCTTTGTGTTAAAAACGTTTGTTAAGCTGGATGTGAACTTTGTGATGAAGCCCAACTTTGTTTCAAATGTCCTCAAGGTTATGAGAAAGTAGATCAATTCAAATGTAGATATGCTTGTGATGTAAATTGTGAAATATGTGGAGAAGATAAATGTACTCAATGTAAAGAGTCCTATTATTGGAGTGAAAAAGATAGACTATGTGTGGATATAACCATATACATCTATTAGACAACTAAGGAGAAACCCCTAAAGGCAGTATTTGAGTCTAAAGATTATGTGCTTATGTGGTATGAGACTGGAGCCACTGAAGGAATTTACATCTAATTATATAGAAGCAACGGAAAACCAGTAGGCAGACCAACAAAAGTAAATGAACAGGATCTTTTGGGAACTAGAAGATTGCTATAATAGTCAAATAGTTTTGATGTTAGATTGTTTGCTGATTTGGCAGCTATAAAGAATGAACTAGTAGTCTTGTGGGTTGATCAGACTCAAGGTGATATGATGAAGCTTAAATTCAGAAAATTCGATAGTAATACTACCTAGATGTCTGAAGAAATTACTATAAAAGAATAGCCAAGATAAAATTTAACAAGTATGGCAGCTCCCTGTATAATTAAACCTACAAAAAATAATTAATTTGTTATTGGTTGGTTTAATTAATAGGCTTAGAGTTTGTAATAAACAGCAACCATGTTCATTTAATCCTATAGTTCTGAGTTGAAACCTATTGGTGAATTGTCAACACTATTGAATGCTGATTACACGTCTGTTCCCTTGATTTCAGCATCTGAAAATGGAGAAGTGTTTATCACTTATACAAGTCAAGGATATACTTATTTAGCTTAAATGTCTCAAGATGGTTTCTAACTTGGTGATCCAATCCAAATTGCATAACCTTATCAAACCATAAAATCATCAAATTTGGATGATGGTAGTATGATATATGTATTTGAATCAAAGAGTACAAATGTATCACCTCCATTGTTTGTCTTATAATATCAGATTTTGACCTTGGATAAGAAGTTGAACGAACCCCAATTATTGACATCATAATAATATGGAGAATAATAACCAGATCTCCTGAAAATCAATAATGGATTTGTGATCACTTGGAGAAGTGTAGATAAAACATTCAAGTCTCAAGATGTCTATTTCTAAGTGTTTGATAATTCTGGAAAAATGAAATCATTACAAATTAAAGTTGACAGACAAGGAAATCATCCATAGAATCCAAGCATTCAACTCTTAAAAAATAATAATAATAGTAATAGCGATGAGTTAGTGATTACATGGATAGCTGAAAGTCTAGAGGATCCAACTGTAAACACTATTTTTAGTAAATAATTCAAATTATCAACCATTATAATTGATCCATAAACACCAGTCTGTTCATCAAAATGTCTATATTGCGAAAGAAATAACACCTGTATGACTTGCATTCCAGGATATTACACAGTAAATGATCAATGTGAGATTGATTGTCCTATCAATTGCTAATCTTGCTCAAAGCCATATGTTTGTGACAAATGTGATCAAGGATATCAATTCACTGCTGATAATCAATGCGAATTTGTTGTTGCTTGTGATGCAGGATTTGAATTAAATGATGAAAATGAATGTGTTCCCATATGTTCTGATAACTGTCTAGTTTGTCAATCATAGACATCATGTTTAGAGTGTTCTGCAGATTATTACTTAACTAAAGGAATCTGTTTACAATCACTTGGTGATATTACAGCCTCCATGAACCAATCTAACCAAGGAATGCCTATATATGACATAATTGTCATTATAGTTGCTTCCTTATTGTTCATAGGATGCCTATTTTATGTCTACAAACGTCATTAGAAGAATTTAGCCAAGCGCGAACATGGATAATAATAATTAGCAAATCAAGTAGAAGATAGTAATAGAGTTCCATAGTAGACCATGATACATTCAGAGTTCACGGTTAATAGAGGTTAACCAGACAATTTATAATTTGATTGAGTTTTTCATAATTATTATATTTTTATATTTCATTTTTAATTTATTTTACTACTTAAATAGACAAATGGAAATCTAATTATTGTGTTTATATTCCAATCATAATAACTCCTAAATTCTTGGACTCTGTCTAAATGAAGACTGTTGCTCTCAAAGAGCCTACTGTAAAGAGTGCATCGAAACACTGCACTTCAATCATTTAAATGATTTATGCTCATTAGATTCATTTGGCAAGAAAATATAAGAAGCTAGTTTAACTCTTGATTCACTATCAAAGCGCCTGGAATAAGTAAAAAGTTATATAGAATCAATTACAAAATGTTAGAAATAATTATTCTCCTTCCTACAATCAGATTTCTATAACCTATCTCATTAAAGATTTAACCCTATTATTGATCAATTGATTGCTATCAAAAAAATAGATAAAGAATTAATACCTATGTTGGGAAACATATGTAAGGACTTTTAACCTATGATGGCTAAATTCTTAGAAATTTAGGACTATTAAAGTATAATTATATTTGATTATTAGATAAATAAGAATTCTGTAGAGTTCAAAGTCAAATAGTAGAACCTCTAAATATTGTCTTTCATAATACTATGGATAGTATCTATGTTTTCGATTAAGGAAAAAAAGCCATGAAATCAACTTTAGGATATCAGTTTGTAATTTGTCATCCTGTTATACCTAAATAAAAGAGAGTTTGTTTTACATTCGAAATACTCTCTGTTGGATTAAGAACTGCTTTAGGAGTATGTCATAAAGATATCAATATCAAGATTTAATAATTAAAAGAAGGACATGGGTATCTTTTTATATTTCATTTTAGTTCTTATATAATGGTCAATTCAGGAAACTGTTTTGAAAGTTCCAAACCACAAGGCACCAAAACAACATTTGAATTTGAAAAAGGTTCTAAAATACTTGTTGAAGTCAACACAATACAAAAAAAGATCATTTGGAAAAATTTGGATAATTTAAGTGAATATGTACACATATTATTATATTCTATTAAGTCTGTCGCCATAGATACATCTAAAGATTTATATCCGTGTTTGAGATTGGGTTGCAAAAGCCAATAGGAAAGCTCCTCAGTTGGAATAATAGATAATTACAACTATTTTTAAGCAAGTTGAGAATGAATTAATAAAATTAAAAATTCTAATTTTAAATTTGTTATGTTATTTAATAATGATTCAAAATTCAATTTTCTTTTTTGAAGGAAGATATTTTTGTAAAATAGCTTGAGTAAAGAACCCTATTAAGGATGCTATTACAACAACAGCTATCATAATCCAATTATACCCTTTGAATCTAGAAATATAATAAAATATTGTTACGCATTATCATTGACATTAATCAATTTAGCCCATTTTCCTCCTTTTGGAAAGATAGCAGAAACAAAGAATAGAATAAAACCTAATATTGTCCATAAAAGTAATAGGTAGTTTCTATAGTATCTTTATTTGAAAGGATTGGAAATGTACAAGTTGATTGCAAATGTCATAAAGAAGAACATCAAACTCATAAACATTACTGATTAAATATCTCCAAATTTTTTTAATTCTTCAATTGGTTTTGGAATACAATTATCAATTGGTTCATCTATTTCACATGTATGAACATCTCTAACTGCTGTTGAAATGAAATAATTGACAATTAAACTAATTTAAATAAATATTATGTTAATACCCTGCTACTCCCCAAATTAAATTATTAAATATTTAAATTTGATTATAAATAGCAAATTAATCATCTAATGGATTATATTTAGCTAATGTATCACAAGGACCAGATAAACATAAAAATATTAATAAGGGAATATTTGATATAATGCTTGTATAAGTAAATTGAAAATCTGCAAAGGTTTCTGCTTCTAAAAAGGTAAAGAGTACAGCTACAAATTTCAATGTATTAACACTGATTTAATATTAAAAGACTTCAATAATAGTCATGGTAGCTGCTTTGCCTTATAATAATACTTTAACAACACAATCTAATGAAGTAGATTTACTACTGAAAGGAGCAGTATATGAGGCATCAGCTTCACTAAATGAAATTCCAACTTAAGCCTATGAGATAGCTGACTAAAATGAATTAAATGAATATAATTACACAATCATTAGCTCCATCTCCACACATTAATACTTATCTTCCAAAACTTTGAATTATTTGAATAATTAATTTCTTTTATTCAGGTTTTTAACGAGCAAATACCTTAGTTTTCTTAATAATTGAGATAGTCAATTGTCCAAAAGATCCGTCGTCAATATCAATTTGATTAATTTCAGTAAATATCTTTTCCTTGCTTTAAGACTTAACAAAAGTGCTTGATGAATACTTAGGTTCTACGAAAAAGTTGCCTTTATTTGTCATAAATTCTAAAAATTTGCCAGTTAAAGCTAATTCTTATTGAGTTTATATAAATGATTCTAATTCTTAAATACTATTTGGTTATTATTCTTTAATTATTTATTGATTGTTATTACATTAAAGTATAATTTCTTAATTTTATTAATTATAATCTAAAAATGTAATTTCATTATCTGAATTAATAATACCAGCTAACTTTCCACATTAAATAGTTGTCAAAGGATTATCTCCTGATATTACTTTAATATCTAATCCTGATTCTTTTAAAGTTGTAATGATTTCATTTGTATCTGATTTTAATGGGTTCTCCATAACTAACAGACCAACAAAGTTCAACTATGATTCTAATTACTCTCTTTATTAATCAATCTAATTTGATTATAATTCTTTGTAAGCTAATCCTAGGACTCTATAACCTTTAATAGCATTCAAATTGAATTCTTCAATTAAATCATCTCTTTTCTTGATTGATATTGAATTAATTGATTCAGGAGAACCTTTTGCATATAAATAGTATTTAGATCCATCTGTTACAATAACACTCATCATTGATTTTGATGAACTAAAGTCAAATATCTTATGAATAGTATAGGTTTTTCCATTTCCATCAATTGTTAATGGATTATTATTGAAGTTACATTGCCAACCTACAAAATTAAGCATTTCAATTTCTAATGGATCTCCTAATAATTAACCATTTATTTTAATTAAATGATGACAACAACCCATAATAGCATCTAAAATAGGTTTTTCTTCTTCTGGAAATGCTTTAATTGCTTTAAATCCTAAAGTAGTAAGAGTTCCTGTTTTATCAAAACAACAAGTATCAATTCTACCAGCTGATTCTACTTTATCAGCATTATTTCCAATAACTCCTTTAGCTTCAAGTCTAACCAAACTTGCAGTCTTGCAAATTTAGAAGAAAATAGGCATTGATGGTGGAATTGACCAAACTATATTATCTAAGAATCTCAATACTAAAAGACTTGATTTGAATTCCATCGGAATGTATTCAATCAATAGGAATCCATATATAATTGAAGTAATAAATGCTATTTCAATTATGAATTTAGCTGCCTAAATATAAAATCTCATTGATGGAGGCTCAGGAAATAGTACATTTCTAAAATATTAACCTCTAAGGGATGTGAAACCAGTTCTAAGTACAATGGCTATATTTTGCTAAGCATTGTTAACTTAAATTAATTTAGTTCCTTCAAATAAACAATGTTAAGACATTTTTTCAAGTTCAAAAAGAGAATTTTGATTAGGTAATGCAGATTTAGGAATAGGAATACCTTCACCAGTTAAAGTGGCTTCATTAACAATAACATCACCTTAAATGATAGCACAATCACAATTTAATGTTTGATTATCTTTAAGGATGAGTAAATCACCAGGTAAAAGATCAGCTCCATTAATCACTTTAATTTAATCATTTTCTTTAATTGATACTTCTTAATGTATATTAGCCAATTATTATAATCTTCTTCTTGATCTAACATATAAAAAGTAATTCAAATAGACTGTTAAAACTGTGAAAATCAAGATCAGGACAGGTTGAAGTACTGTTTTCTCTGCAAACCATATTGCAACAGCAAAATATTATAAAATATTGAATGGACCTGTAAATGCATGCAAAGAATAAATGAATATAGATTCTATTGGGATCTTAAGTTAACATGTTCCAAAATATTTAATGTTGTGTTCTCTGGTTTGCTTTGAACTTAGGTTAATAATATCGGTCAAAGTCTTACCTTTTATTTCAAATTCAATTGGTTAATAAAATTAGCCTGCACTATTAAATGAATACTTTAGCATTCTATATATTTTTTAAGAGAGTACTTAAACACGAAATAGGGTTTATCAAACATAATTTTTTTTTTACAAACAAATTCTTCTCCAGAAGTCGCTACTATTCTATAATGAGTTGCAATCGATTCATCAGAGCAATCAATGAACAGAAATAATTAATAAAGCTTTTTGAAGTATTTCAAGGCCAAGGCAAATAAAAATGCTGTTGAAATAGATAAGAGAATCTAATTAAAATTATATTGATACTGCCAAGAAGATTCTTGCTTTACTTATTCTAATTGGCTGGATTTGGGATAGGGGATGTTGCCCTTCAACAAATGAGTTTTAGACTGGAAATGGCATTGAAATGTACTATTGACCAAATAATTAGGTTTTGATTTTGATCACATATTCCCTTATAAATAGGCTTATAAATCAATGATATCATTACATTACATGACGAAATTACAACATTGATGCAAAAATTGATAATTGTAAATTTTTAATTACATTTATTTTTTATTTGGCAAATTTTGAATTGTCATACATTTGAGACTTTATTCCATAAATGGAGTAAAGTAAATGGCATAAGGATTTTAAGAAAATTTGAACATTTAAATATAGTAGTTTTATTTTATTTTGAAAAAACAATAGTTATTTGTAAAAATATGAATTAGCAAAGTCTCTCATTAAAATAAATATAGCGATAGACAGAATTTTAAATAATATTTGAATGAATATTAAAAAATCATTAAATTTAATTAACAATAATTTTAAGAAAATGAGGAATTCCATTTAATTATTTTTAGTTGTTTTATATTTTTATACAATTTCTTAAATAAATATATCTAAATGATTATTCACATAATCTTAGCTCTGTTCTTATTGATGTTCTACCTTTTAGTGGTAAAACCTCTTGTTCCTATGATTAAACTAAAAATGTAGTTTGGTGATGCTTGTTTAATGAAATATCATCTATTTGGAGGGGAATTATGGGAAGCATTAAAAGAGATGAAGACTAGCAAAGACTTATTTAAAAGACATAGAGACTTATATATGAACCATCCATACAAAATATTTGTAACAAATTTTCTTTGGAAAGTAAGAATAAATGTAGCGGATCCAGAATATTATAAATTAATGTTAACTAATCATTAATATTATAGTAAATTTAATAATATCAATCATGAGTATTTATTCAATCATTAAATTAGCAATGTCATTTAAAATGGTTTGATTTGTTAGATGGGAGAAAAATGGAGGGCTCAAAGGTTACTTTTAAGTGAATCATTCGATTATGATTAACTTAAAAGTCGTTTACCTATGATAAATGAAGTTTGCCTGGATAAAATAAACTCAATTCACGGAGAAAACATCTTAGAATTTCTAGAGTTAATTACAGGACAAGTTGTAATAAGAAGCTTTTTTGGAAAATCAGCCGATGGAGTACAAATAAATAAAAAGAAGATTCAAATAGAAATAGCAGACTTATTAAATGAATTGGGGGAAGTCAGATTTAAATCAAAATATCTCTTCGTTAAAAGATTCTTTTTGGGTACCAAAAGTTGGGGTTTCTTTCCAACTAACAAAGAGAAAGAGTTACTCTAACGAATTTCTGAAATGAGGCTTGCTATTGAAAAATTGATTTAAAAGAGAATTGTAGAGATAGAATTAAAAATGGATGAAAATGAAGATGAAATTAAGCAAAGAGAGACTGACTTTTTAGATGTTCTTATTAAAGAATATTTAAAATAAAAGAAACAAGGCACTTAAAAAATAACAATTGATGAAATTATATAGTAGTTTATCACTTTGTTTTTTGCTGGTACAGATACCACAGCTGTCTTAAGTTATCATTGTCTATATTATATGGCTCAATACCCAGAAATGCAGGATGAAATAAGAGAGGAAGTACTTACAATTTGTAAAAATGAAAGCATATTGGATGACAAAATCAAACAATTACATAAATTATCTGCATTCATTAATGAAGTGTTGAGATTTAAAAATCCAGCTTTGAGGTTAATGATGAGATTTTGCAATCAAACTCATTAAGTAAAAGACCTTACAATCTAGAAGGGTATTCTATTTCATTAAATATCAAGGATGGAGTGTGACAATTGATTACTAATTTCCTTAATGGTTGCCTAAACATTTTCCAAATCCTGAAAAATTTGACTATAAAAGATGGTTAGAAAAGGAACCAATAAAAGAAAATCATCAATTTGTATACCTGCCATTTTCATCAGGACCTAGAAATTGTATTGGATAACACATGGCCTTGATGGAAGCAAAGATTATTTTATCATAGATTCTTAGACAGTATTCGATCGAAATTAATCACGACGTGGATTCAAGGTGGACAGCTAGATTCCTATATTAATTATAACCAGGAAATTGTGTTAAATTATAGAAGCGATGAATGATTATAATAAAAATTAAAAAATTAATTATTTGTTTTTAATATCATAATTTTTTATTGTTTAATCTCCACACTATCAAAAATCTTAAAAAATGCTACCCAATTTAAAAGAAAAATAATTTAAAATTAGAAGTAAGGCATTTCACAATGTGTAATTGAAATAAGTATTGAAATTTGTTAATCGAGTAAAATTTTAAGTAGAGTGATAACATTTCATTAATAAATATTCTCAAACTAGATTAAGAAAGAAATATTTTAAATCCTTGATTAATTCGATTCCTATATTGATCATTTGGATAGCTGTTTACAAGAAGAAACAAGGTTTCAAAATCTTATTTCTTACAAAAAAAATAAAACAAATTTACAATAAGTTTTATTAATTTAGATGTCTTGCCTAAACTATAATATAAGGGCGTTCATTTATAATTTTAAGATTAGTACTTGAATCAAGAAATAACATTGTGTAAAATTCTATAATTATTGTTTCCAATAGTATTCCTAGAATCTTCAGACAAGACAAAGTAGATAAAATAAGTAAAAATACAATTCAGTATTTTAGACAGAAAGTTATTAACTAAATTGCAATGTCTTGAATGAATCTATATCTATACTATATACAATGCTTATAAACTTAGTTTAATAAATTATTAATTCTTATTACAGATTTTAATAAACCTTACAAGCATTTTATAATTATAATTATATAAAGCTAAAAGAATTATTGATTATAAAAACTACCAACAAAGGATAATGGTGATTTTTCATCTGATTCCTTGTCTTGTAACTAAGCATATGATTAATGATTGATATTTTTGTGCCGATATTCATTCCATAAATATAACATAATAATTATATATTATTGTATTTTATGATACTGAGATTAAATTCTACATCAGCAAAAGTATCAAATTCTCAATTTGAGCCTTAATGGGAAAACTAATGCAAATGTAAGAATCCTTAAATATCAAATAAAAACAAAGGTATTAATTAAATGCCAAATATCATGTATTATCAAAATTCCCTAAAGGTCTAGTTTGAAAACTAAATCTAGGATATATTTGGTATGTATGCCTAGAACATTCGCTATTAACATTGGAGTTAAATTTGACAGTAGAATAATATAGAAAGTAGTTTAAATTATTTGGCAACATTACAATCCTAATTGATTAATAAAGAAGGAATGAATTAGAAGGAGTTTGCCAAAAAGTCATATTGTCCCTATAAGTGTCATTTTTTTAAATAAAATGATTCTACCAGTTTCAAAGACCTCTAGAAATACAATCTACGAATAATTATAATATAATATTAGGATGGTTAACCTGTTTTAAAATCTATTTAAGATTTTATAGGCAATCATTGCCACCCATTGTTATCAAACTTAGAATAACATATAATATACTAATATGTAATATATATATATATCAATAAAAATAAAAAAATGATCTTCAGGTCTATATCAAAAATTAATGATAATATACATTTTTACAATCAGAAAACAAAGATTTTTTGCAAAAAATATATATGATTATAATTTATTTTATGTATATTACGCTATACTGTGAATTAGATAAGATACATTCATGCCTGAAGCAATCTATATTCGCTTACATATATAAATAATATAATCATCGGTAAGAGTTCAAGAGTATTTGCACTTCTTCTATTGGCTACTATTGTTATTAATACTATTCTATGAGTCGAGTTTATAATTCCTATAAATTTATTGATTTGCTGTTGTTTAGAGGTTTTAAATCTCCAACATGTGCCAATAGAAGTAGTGATTTAGTCGTTTTGAATAGTTTAATCTAGCAAATCTTAAATGGTTTATTAGTAGAACTTAAGGTGACCAAAATCTCGGCCTTATATATATGGTAAAGTTTTATTTTGCCTTCTGTTAAGCATCTATCTAATAAAAAATCGATACCCAACACTTACGTTCCTTGCATCTTCATTATATTGAGAGCTATCCATAATTTAGCAAATTAACAAGAAATATATTTATTATCAAATAATATCTTGGACAAAAATTGAAAATAATCACTTTAGAAGAGTTTTAAAAGGTTTTTCTTCTAAGTCTACTAATTATTTTATCTTTTAGGAGGATTATTAACAATAAAATTTTTATGTAGTAAATGTTGAGGTCTCCAATAAAAATTAAAAGTTATCTAGTTTTGGTACAATTAGGGTTGTAAATAATAAGCTAAAAGCTCAATATGAGAACATCTTTTGTAAAGGTGTGAATTAGCTTTATTAGTAAAAATATTTATATTTTCCTATTTCTATTAAAAATAAAATAGTATGAAATTATTTTTTCTATCTCTATTAATTATTTATTAATTGATTGGAGAAATCTTATAATATAACTCCTGGAGCCTTTTGAAGAGTATGAATCGATGTTAGGCTATAAAATAGAACTATTTTCAGAATTCAAGCTGTTTTCTTAATTTTATATTCAAAAATAGATAAATCTAAATATGCTCACCATTCTTGTCTTCAATAATTTATTAAATGTATATATTGCTTTTTATTGGAAATGTTAAATCAACACCATTTTACAACCATCTAGTAGCTTAATTTGTAATATTTGGTAATTAATTTCTAATTTCAAATTTTCCTTTTTTATATTAAATTTAAAAATAAACAGCTTCAAGACCAAAAAGGAATAGTTTATAGAAACTCTTAGTTTTTATGTGAAATTGGAGATCATTTTGAATTATGATACGGTGGTATTACACGATTAGGAATAATGTTAAAGGAAGGTGCGGCACATCTATTCATTTTTGTTCTAATATGTTATTATACTTATGAAAATAAAATTATAGTTGGATATAATCATTTTCTGCTATTTTGATTGCTTGAGGGAACATAAGCTGAGGATCTACGAGCTGCAGCAACTCTTTATGCTGGCGTCCTCTCTTCATCAAAATGAGAATTTCTTTATTTTATAATGATTGTAGTTTTATCCTTTCCTGAAATTCGTATTTCTTATTTCTCTTCTAAAATTGGCATCAGTTTAATTAACTTTGAATTTAACATACTCTATCTCTTACTAAGATTATTATTATATTATATTACGATCTATCAATTTCTGGGTGCAATGGCTACATCCTTTTTGGTGGACTGCTTTTGGGTCTCTGGAAATCTCTAAACACAGGAATGCCATCCTCTCCATATTCCACCTCCATTATTTTAGATTCAAGAATTTCTCTGCAAGATGGTCTATCTTATGGATTCTGGGATAGAATCTTTTACAAAAGCACAGTTAATGAATGGCTCTAATTGAGGTCTTTTTCCAATTAAGCAAAATCAATTTTCATCTCCATATTTGTCTGCTTTACTGGTTAAGCAAAGAGGGGATGGCCAATAAGAAGATAATAAAGTATACAACCTAAGGAGAAAACGTCGCATTTTTCATCATACGTAGCATTATCATCATTTTCTGTCAGAAATACTTCTGGGGCCATGTAACCTGGAGTGCCACAATATTAATATATAGCCATTCTTTATTGTTTTGGAGTGGAGATACCAAAGTCACTGATCATGATATTATTACCTACATTTATGAGACCATACCTCTTAAGAGGGATGAAATCTCTAAAAAGTATATTATCTGGTTTCAAATCTCTATGAATTATGCCCTAATCATGAATATATTGTACACCTTCAAGTATCTATCGAAATATCACTTTTGCACTTAAGAATGGAACTGGGGCATTCAGTACTTTTAAAGCATATTCAAGTGTGCCTCCTCTTGCCAAGTCCAATATTAAATAGACTTGAGCTTTATTCTCAAAGACTTCATGTAAATTGATAAGATTTGGATGATTGAGTTTACGCATGACATTGATTTCATTTTCTACTTAATCTCTTCCCTTTGGGTCTTGGAACACTTGTTTTTTGTAAAATGCTTTAGCTGCATAAGATTACTGATCATTCTTTCCTTTTGCTTCATAGACAGATGCAAATGATCCTTTACCAATTAGCTTACTAATTTCATAATGCGTTTGATAATCCAGCATGTGTAGCTTGTTTCTGAGATGATCAAACCAATACATAGTTTAGAAGTTGAAGTTGTAGAATTCAACCGAATTACAATCATCCCTTTCAAGAGTAAGTTTGTATATTTGTGTATGGAATTCATCTCCTTTCATTTGTTTATGTATTTGTTTTGAAGTTTATTCAGCTTTGACTGAGAATCTCACCTCACAATTGAGTTTAAGTATGTACACTTTCGCTTTATTATTGCTGACTTTATAGATGAAATCATTGCTACATAAAAGCAAAGTGACTTCTTTGTGATTACTCATCTTGAAAAACGAAGTTTTAAAAAGGATATTGTCTTATGGAATTGGTGCATCATATTTTACAAATAGCTTAGTTAATTATTGTTAATACATATTAATATAAATGATTCATAGTTCAAGTCATAGTGATTCTTTAGCTTACAATTAGACTTTTTATAATTTGTAAACTTGTCTATTCAAAGCTGACTTTTAGATCAAGAAACCTAATTTTGCATAAAATCTTAGTAAGTGTGAACATTATTCACCACATTGTCTTTAATGATTCTATCTCAACTTTGATAAGTATTCATTAAACTCCTCTTATTTTATCTCCTCTCCCTCTCCTTTATTAAAGAACTTTTTGATTTAATTGACAGCCTCCTAAAATTATGGATCATTCTTGCCTTTTCCTTGTTGCAGTTTCTTAAATGCTTCTTTGTCTAATTCATTAAAATCAGGTTTATCAATAATAATTTGAGAGTTCTATTTCTTCTATTAAAATTACTCTTAAGTTTATGTGAATAATGGCATTTAACCCTCAGTCTAAATTCCAATATCTATGACAACAACAGATTACAACTCTGCTCGCGGTAATCTCTTTTATGATTATCTAATTTATTTTAATTCAGGATTTAATCCATCATTCTCCATGACTTCAAATTCTTGAATAATCTCTTCTCCTAGAGCATTGATTCTCTTTTTAATTAAAATTCTTTAACCAAATTCATCAACTCGATCTTCTTCAATTATCTTCTCATTATTTTCATCAAAATATGACCTTTGATGAATATGTCTCTTAGCACCATTAGATAGGTTGATTGTTTACTATTGATATTCAACAGAATTCTTAGTGAAATTTGTTGTCTGAATTTTCATGTTATTTTCGTGATCAACCATATGGATAGACTCTTAGCCATGTTCATCAACTAACACCTTCTACTCAATAGTCTTTCCATACTTGGTAATTCTTTCAATTCTTTCATTAGGTCCAACTTATATAATAATTTGTTTGCCTATTTCCAACCCATCCAAAGTGATAACAGTTTCAATAGTTTATTTACCATCTTCATTTTTAAAAGTCTTTTGCATTTACACTTCCTTTGTTCTCATATTCATTTTCCTTTGACATTCCACTTATTATCCCTTTTCATTGATATATGTATATTTGGTCACTTGAATTTCATCTCCAAACTCATCATTAAACACAGCCTCGGTTTTATCTTTGTATTGTTTCAATACGATACTAGATCTCCTTCCATTAGGATGAATAGTGATCTCATCTATTTTCTTACTTTAATCATCTCCATTCACGTATATCTTTCTCATTATTTTGACTCCTCCTTATTTAACTTCTTCCTCATGCTAATACATTTCCCCATTATCATCCTTCAAAACCTACTTAGTAATCGATTCCACAACTTCATGTTTACTGTTTCTTCTGATAATCTTTAATGTATCCTAACCATATTTTTATTTCTCCAATATTCTCATCACACTACCATTCTCAGTTGTCCTCTCCTCTATAATTGATTCTTTATGATCTAATCTCTTTGCCGACAATCTAATCCCTACTGATTGTCCCTTGTCCTCATATAACAATTATCCATTCTACTAATATACTTTATACTAATGTTTTCCATCTGCCTATTAAGCGATCCACTCCTCTTCTAATTGCTTATTCCCATCAACAGATTTCACTCTAACAATCTTTTTAGCTTATGCAGTATTAACTTCATATTAAGTAACATCATCTGATTTTTAAATTACCTTAACCTTCTAATTTCCATACTTAGCCACAATCCATTCATTTTCATCTATAGTTTGTTCCTTTGATTTGATTTACTTAATCAATTCTTCTTATTCCAACATAATTTCTTATTGAGGATCACTTTATCTGGCTCTGCTTTTGATTACTTCCCCACTCTCGACATCTACAACTACCTCCTCTATCACTTGTTAACCATTAATCTCTTTAACTCTAAATTCTATTCTCTTATTCTATAGTAATTCTGGATCAAATTCAGGATCATATTCTATAATTCCTGCCTCTATGGCCTTTCTCTTATGCTCCTACAATTGTACTTGCTTAATGATGTCACCCAAAGGAGGAAGATTCTCTTTCAGCTCTTTCGATTTAAATTCCTTAGTTGCTTCAATCTGAGCTATTTTTTGTTGTAAAACTTAAGATACATGTTACAAAGATTATTATGCAAAATATTTAACTTTTAATGCTGGTGTGTCTTAATTCACATCTTAAAAGATCTCAGTTTATTTTTAACATGCCTAAATTCCTTCATCTATAATCTACTTTACACTATCATATTAGGAATGTAAATAATAGTAATTTACAAAATGGTTTCTCAATTCCGATGTAGCTTGGAGTGAAAATTTTGATGGAACACTTTCAGTTTGTGTTTCTGCATCAAAAGTATCTGATTTACTTATTCTTTGATTCTCATTTTCATTGCTATTTGAGTTTTGTAATAACAATTCATCTAATTCAACCTAACATGCTTTTGATGTCTTATAGACAAATTGATCTTCATCATCTGATAGTTTTCTAATCTTCCTTTCCAATACTACATGATCCATTTTTGAATTCAGTTCAACTCCATCTCTTTTCAATTAATCCAAGTATTTTTTGTAGTGTGCTTATTTAGAGTCTTACTTCGAGGGCATTTTACGATAATGATCACACAATGAACAATTGATCAATCTGAGAGATCTTCTTCTTTAAGCCCTTTATTAGAACAGTTTTTTGGTCACTTCATCAAAATCATTGTCTTTGAGACACTTAATCAATTGGGTGATCAATTGAAACACCTTAATTGTTTAACCTCTGAACTCTTCTCTTATGTAAGGCACAATCGACTAAATCACAATCCAAGATATGGTGTGGACTGAATGAAATACGTGTTGCAATTTGTCCTGCTCTATCGTCAAAACATCGTCACTTAGTTTCTTGAGAATTACATCCAATTTATGAGCCAATTCTTTTTCCATTTTATAATTTGAATAATATTTTAATGTATCAAAATTGTTTAGGCAATAGATACTTCGGAACATCATTAAATTTTGGAGGGATATTATAGGCTCCTGGACCTGGAATGACGTCCTTCTTTATTAAGCCTTGACGAATGTCTTTAGAGAATCCCCATTAAGGACCTTCGAGAGATGATTTAACCGAATATTGTCCAGGCCCTGGGAAATATTGAGTTAATAGTTATTTTGATTTGTGTTCTGGCACTATTCTCACTGAACCATCCTTGTGTTTGCATACTGAATCATCTGGGTTGTACTAACCTGGTCCTGGAATGAATGAAGAATTATTGGGATTATACTTCGATCCCTTCATCGAGACCATCTACGTATTCTAATTCTTCGGCATCGAATACTATCCAGGTCCAGGAGTTATCGTAACCGAGTCATTGAGATCCTTCCTCAGTGCTTAAGGCATTTTGAAAGACGGAGCTGACTTCTACAACGAGTTTAGACTATCCAATCTCCTAAAAATAATCAAATCAATCACTTACTCTCTATAATATTGTCCAGGACCAGGAACCAGTTTGTCCATAGCATTTTATGTATTCCTCAATTCAGAGCCTATCTTATAAGAAGGATAATGAGATTTGATAGTTGATACGTCCTAATCATATGCCCCAGGACCTGGCTGATAGGAACTATAATCCTTGTTCTATAGTTTCTATTTGATCGTGAAGTTTTTGGATAGGTTGAGCAGACTCTTTAAATGATAAGCCCCAGGTCCTGGCTACAGATCTTGCTTCCTCATATCCGGAGATCTTTAAGATGTCCCTATTACCCAGGAAGGTTAAGATTTCTCTAATAATAACTTTGCTGCTTTGTCAATATTGTATTCTAAGAATTATATTCTAAGTTACATCCAGGTCCAGGAGACATTCCCCCTTCTAAAGATGTCAATCTAGGTTAGGTAGGAAATTTAATTGAATTGCTGGAGATATAGGAACTGTTCAAATCATATTGTCCAGGACCAGGGATCAAGTCCTTTTGAGAAGTGTGATGTTTAAGACCCAAAGTGTACATGGGCTACTTTTTGTAAACAGAACTGAAGCTTTCATCATTATAGTTTCCCGGTCCAGGTGACATCGAAGCTTACTTGGTTTCGTGTTTTCCACTTATTGTGTATTTTGGTCCTTCAATTAGTTTGGATTGATAGCCATATTGTCCAGGTCCAGGTCCTATTGATGTAGATCGACCAGCCCTTTGAGCTGCCCCACCGATACTACTGTAATAATTTGGTCTTACGTCCATTGAGGCGCTTGTAGCTTGGAAATCAATTTCGGAAGATAGGCGTTGGGGGCAGGTGCTATTGTTTTGAGAGCAGGATCAGATCTTTTGGCTTAGCCTATTGAATAAACCATTCTTTATTAATTAAATTAATCTCAATTTCATCAATAAGTTTCAATCTCATTCTGGGTCTTCTCCAAAATATTCACACATTCATCAATCCAATCTCTCACTTCTTGATTGTTTACATTTTGGTATAAAGTCAGCAATTTGTCTTGGATGTTGTGTACATTTAGTTGATTCATCATGTAAACTTGTGATTTAATCTTATCATCTCCTGGGATCTAAATTGATGCTGTGTAATATTCAATGGATTGCAATAAGATCCACAAAGATTTCAAAGTGGAAATTAGAATGTCATTGTTAAGATATTCTAAAATGCGTGAAATCAAGCTTAAGATCTTGTTATTGATGAAATTTTGATTCATTTCAATCTTTTCGTATTGCAACATACTGTAGATCAAGTTGACTCCATTCAAAATCTGCTATTGTTCTGTCTAGATAGTTATTGATATGATCTTCTCAATCACATAAGGCATTTTAGACAACTGAATTGCAAAGGTCTCGTTGAGATTGCATAAATTGGTCAACGATATCATTGATTTCAATCTATATTCCTTCTCATAAGAAGACAAGTATGTGACATAGACTTCCATTAGATTGTATTTGTTGTCCAGCTTCTTGACTTATTCGTAGTCGTTCATGGTACTCAATGCAAAGATTATCTCCAAGGAAGTCGAATGCAGATGTACCAGATCCTATTTTTGGGACACTATCTCAACGATTTTCTAAAAGGAAGTCAGACCAATTATCATCGGTATTGCATCTATTTGGTATTGGCTGATGTTCCTCAAGGCACTTAAACTATGAATGAAGTTTTCAACGTCATTTGATTGTAATTATTTATCGAGAATTTGCAATGACAATTCCAATTCCTCCTTGTTCAGAAATTCTCTATTCCCTGTCAGAGTGTCCAATACCCAAACAACTGTGTTCAAATGCATTGATACTTAGAGTAAATGCTTCAAACCAAAATGCTATTTGAATTTTTGAACCAATATTTGTTAATCGTAAAATGCATTCCCTAAAGCATACAAACACTAATATTTAAGTTCAATCATACTGAATCAACTAATGGAGCATTCTTTGAAATTAGCAATCTCCCAAAATTCTTAGTTATCACATCACTCAACACATTCAACATTGGCAAGTATGAGGAAAAGTATAATCGTGAATTTTTATCCATCATACCAAAAAAATTAGCTAAAATTGTAGCTCCTTCCACTTATAATTGAGAAGCATGATCGAATTGCTCATTCAATAGAACAAGAATATATCTACATCACACTAATCTTTATACTCTATAAAATCATTCTTAAACAAACAAAGAGAGAATGCCTCCCCTCGTTAATCCAAGTTCTGTAATTTCCTCAATCTCTTTAAATTGTTCAGCATCTTATCAAAATCATCTGGCAATCTGTTTCTGTAGATATCAATGCACTCTTTCATCAACTCTGTGATGTACTAATCTAATTACTAATTTCAATTATATTTCGTACCTCAGGATTCAATTAGATGTGTTCGGGTGTTTCGTTTTATTTTTAAATGATTCTTTTCGATTTGAAGATCTCCTCTCTCTTCTCCTTTCGAAGCTATATATGAAACAATTCTTTTTTATTTTACAGCAACAAATTAGTTGAGGTATTTTAATTTGTTTACATTTAATTATTATTAAATTCTCATCATTCAATATACTAGTATTTTCTAATTAAATTTCCACTACAATTTTATCTATTACCTTAAATAACCAAAAGAATGACTAAATTTTCATTATTTATGGGTTATTGCTCTAGTTAAATGTCATTGTTTAATTAATACATAGATGACAAAATATAAATGATTAAGAATAGAATTTGAAATAATAGGATATCGGATGATCTTATGTGGAAAAAAATGGAGAAGAATAATATTTCATATAATTTGTAATAGAACATTGATTTAAATTAAATTTATAAGAATATTTATAGTATATTAAAATAAGAATAATTAAATATTTATATATAATTTAATGAATTAAACATAAACTAACTTGTCACAAGTTAGATAAAAAGAGAAAGTGTCATTGAATGATGGATTACCTAAAATAGACCCTAGAACTGTAATTGAAGAACTTAAAAGCCATTTGTATTCAGATGACAATTTTAAAAAGTGTTATTTATTATCGATATAGACTGTTTTCTGATGCAGAAGATAAGAAATACAGAGAAAATTTTTAATTGTTTGATAGAGATAGTGATGAAAGAATTAATTTTACTGAATTACAAGAACTATTGACTTCAATTGGTTATGTTTATGATGAATAAGAATTGAGTGAATTGTATAAAGAGTTAGAAGATTCAGAAGGTTAAGGTATCAGGTCAGATGCTTTGTTCATTCTCGTGAGCAAGAAAAAGAGGGAGCAAGACAGAGAAGAATAATTGATCGAGGGTACTAATCATATATTATAAAAACAGCATTTAAATCAGTTGATTTAGAAAATACAGGGTATATTTAGAGTGAATACTTTAAAGAATTATTGATGACATTGGGATATCGATTTACAGAAGATGAAGCAGATGAGTATATGAAATTTATTGATCCTAAAAATGAGGGAAAATTCCTTTACATTGACATTGTTAAGAAAATACTTAAATGAATTATTATACATCTAAAATAAACTCATCTAAAATTGAAAAGTTGACTTTTGGCAACATTATGGACTCGCAAAAATACCATAAAAGTAAAAATTACTATAATAATGCTTCATATATGCAGTGTAACAATGATGCAAATGATTTTTTTGGAATCATAATATTTCTTGCATAAATAACTTATTTATCTTTTAGCTCTTTGTTTTTATTTATATTTACTCATCATTTATTTTATTAACAATTAAAGTTCCTAAAATTTAGTACCTTGTTCATTAACCTAACTTTCTAAATCCAGGGTGGACTATAAATAACTTTTTTCATCCTTAATTCTTCCACAATCAAATTTATCTTTTCTATTCTTCCTTTAGAGATTCATTCAAGAATATATATAGTACCGATTAAATTTATATAAATTTACTGAAAACACAAGGCCATAAATTACAAGGAAAGTATTTTACAATCCAATAACCATAATTTCTTAATGAGATTGGATTTGCAGTCAAAAATCAATTTCAACTTCCTTTTTTCCATATTCAACCTATGATTTATTAGTTTGTATCATGGATGATATTAAACAACCAGGAATTCCAACTGCAATAAATACTTGCAGAGGAAAAAGAACATAGAATCCATTTAAAAAGTTAATTTTGGACAATTCTATCTCTTCTAACTTTTGAACGGTTGAATATCTAAGAAGTGTAAGTATTATAATTAAGAGTATTTCTAGTGGAAATATTCATTAGATATTTCTGAAGTTTAAAAATAATTATGATGAAAGCCAAAATATTGATATCAATTGTTTTTGTGATTCCTGTTGATACCTAGTGTTATTTTGTACAAGCGTTTTATGATAGCTATGTTAGATCTGATGCAATAATTATTTCTAACTATTAACTTCTTCAAAAGTGACATATTAAATGTATGTAATTAATACAATCCCATTTAAATATCTTGATTTGATTGATCTTCAAATCAATCATTTTTATTATTCAATCTTAATGTCCTATCCTGTGAAAAACTCAGATATTGAAGGCCAGCACATTCTTTTTCAAGTTACGCCTGTTCAACTAAGCAAACTTCGGGTTTTATTGGCTGTAATTATTGAATAAAGATAGTTAGGTTGTGTTCTCAATTTGTTCTGCTTTTGTTTTCGCCTTAGCTCTGAGATATTCCAGAAAATTTTACAATGCCTTTCTCTTTACTCAATGTCAGGAAGAATCAGTCGCAACTCATTACTAAATAGAAACAGTTTAAGGTGAATAATTTGTGTGTGCCAAAAAATTTATCGACAATAAACCATATTTCCTCTTCAGGTAAATAAACTAACTATTCAAGAATGCTTAAGTACAGATTTAATGAATAATCGAAAAGTTACGAGCCCATTGAATTTGATGCAAAAGAAAAAGTTATCTCTGAAATTGTATAATCAAGAAATACACTTTCTAGAGACCTTAAAAATTAATATTTTGGAACATGTTAACTTAAGATCCCAATAGAATCTATATTCATCTATTCTTTGCATGCATTTACAGGTCCATTCAATATTTTATAATATTTTGCTGTTGCAATATGGTTTGCAGAGAAAACAGTACTTCAACCTGTCCTGATCTTGATTTTCACGGTTTTAACAGTCTATTTGAATTACTTTTTGTATGTTAGATCAAGAAGAAGATTATAATAATTGGCTAATATACATTAAGAAGTATCAATTAAAGAAAATGATTAAATTAAAGTGATTAATGGAGCTGATCTTTTACCTGGTGATTTACTCATCCTTAAAGATAATCAAACATTAAATTGTGATTGTGCTATCATTTAAGGTGATGTTATTGTTAATGAAGCCACTTTAACTGGTGAAGGTATTCCTATTCCTAAATCTGCATTACCTAATCAAAATTCTCTTTTTGAACTTGAAAAAATGTCTTAACATTGTTTATTTGAAGGAACTAAATTAATTTAAGTTAACAATGCTTAGCAAAATATAGCCATTGTACTAAGAACTGGTTTCACATCCCTTAGAGGTTAATATTTTAGAAATGTACTATTTCCTGAATCTCCATCAATGAGATTTTACATCCAAGCTGCTAAATTCATTCTTGAAATAGCATTTATTATTGCAGTTGTATATGGATTCCTATTGATTGAATACATTCCAATGGAATTCAAATCAAGTCTTTTAGTATTGAGATTCTTGGATAATATAGTTTGGTCAATTCCACCATCAATGCCTATTTTCTTCTAAATTTGCAAGACTGCAAGTTTGGTTAGACTTGAAGCTAAAGGAGTTATTGGAAATAATGCTGATAAAGTAGAATCAGCTGGTAGAATTGATACTTGTTGTTTTGATAAAACAGGAACTCTTACTACTTTAGGATTTAAGGCAATTAAAGCATTTCCAGAAGAAGAAAAACCTATTTTAGATGCTATTATGGGTTGTTGTCATCATTTAATTAAAATAAATGGTTAATTATTAGGAGATCCATTAGAAATTGAAATGCTTAATTTTGTAGGTTGGCAATGTAACTTCAATAATAATCCATTAACAATTGATGGAAATGGAAAAACCTATATTATTCATAAGATATTTGACTTTAGTTCATCAAAATCAATGATGAGTGTTATTGTAACAGATGGATCTAAATACTATTTATATGCAAAAGGTTCTCCTGAATCAATTAATTCAATATCAATCAAGAAAAGAGATGATTTAATTGAGGAATTCAATTTGAATGCTATTAAAGGTTATAGAGTCCTAGGATTAGCTTACAAAGAATTATAATCAAATTAGATTGATTAATAAAGAGAGTAATTAGAATCATAATTGAACTTTGTTGGTCTGTTAGTTATGGAGAACCCATTAAAATCAGATACAAATGAAATCATTACAACTTTAAAAGAATCAGGATTAGATATTAAAGTAATATCAGGAGATAATCCTTTGACAACTATTTAATGTGGAAAGTTAGCTGGTATTATTAATTCAGATAATGAAATTACATTTTTAGATTATAATTAATAAAATTAAGAAATTATACTTTAATGTAATAACAATCAATAAATAATTAAAGATTAATAACCAAATAGTATTTAAGAATTAGAATCATTTATATAGACTCAATAAGAATTAGCTTTAACTGGCAAATTTTTAGAATTTATGACAAATAAAGGCAATTTCTTAGTAGAGCCTAAGAATTCAGCAAATACTGTTGGTAAATCTTAAAGCAAGGAAAAGATATTTACTGAAATTAATCAAATTGATATTGACGACGGATCTTTTGGACAATTGACTATCTCTATTATTAAGAAAACTAAGGTATTTGCTCGTTAAAAACCTGAATAAAAGAAATTAATTATTCAAATAATTCAAAGTTTTGGAAGATAAGTATTAATGTGTGGAGATGGTGCTAATGATTGTGTAATAATATTCATTTAATTCATTTTAGTCAGCTATCTCATAAGCTTAAGTTGGAATTTCATTTAGTGAAGCTGATGCCTCATATACTGCTCCTTTCAGTAGTAAATCTACTTCATTAGATTGTGTTGTTAAAGTACTATTATAAGGCAAAGCAGCTACCATGACTATTATTGAAGTCTTTTAATATTAAATCAGTGTTAATACATTGAAATTTGTAGCTGTACTCTTTACCTTTTTAGAAGCAGAAACCTTTGCAGATTTTCAATTTACTTATACAAGCATTATATCAAATATTCCCTTATTAATATTTTTATGTTTATCTGGTCCTTGTGATACATTAGCTAAATATAATCCATTAGATGATTAATTTGCTATTTATAATCCAAATTTAAATATTTAATAATTTTAAATTTGGGGAGTAGCAGGGTATTATAATAATATTTATTTAAATTAGATTGATTGTCAATTATTTCATTTCAACAGCAGTTAGAGATGTTCATACATGTGAAATAGATGAACCAATTGATAATTGTATTCCAAAACCAATAGAAGAATTAAAAAAATCTGGAGATATTTAATCAGTAATGTTTATGAGTTTGATGTTCTTCTTTATGACATTTGCAATCAACTTATACATTTCCAATCCTTTCAAATAAAGATACTATAGAAACTACCTATTACTTTTATGGACAATATTAGGTTTTATTCTATTCTTTGTTTCTGCTATCTTTCCAAAAGGAGGAAAATGGGCTAAATTGATTAATGTCAATGATAATGCGTAACTATATTTTATTATATTTCTAGATTCAAAGGGTATAATTGGATCATGATAGCTGTTGTTGTAATAGCCGCCTTGTTAGGGTTTATTACTTAAGCTATTTTACAAAAATATCTTCCTTCAAAAAAGAAAATTGAATTTTGAATTATTATAAAATAACATAACAAATTTATTTAATATAATTCATACTTTTTTAAAGATATAAATGAGATAAAATTATTAATGTTAGAAATTTATACGTGAGATTAATTTCCAATTAGGTTGATTACATAGTGTTTTCTCAAAATATTTTTTGTTAAACAAATGCATAGTAGGATTCAATAAATTTTATTGAATTAAAAATATAATGATTCAGCATAATAAGACTTATATTTAATTCAATTTCCATTTAAATTTCATATTAAGAAATTATCATCTGCTATGTTAATTAAATTTGTTATTAATTGTATAACTATCTTTTGTGCAATTTTCTTTAGTCGAATTAATTATTTAATTTATTATGTTTATTTTAGCATTATTTTCTTTTGTTTCATCGCAAATTATTATTGGGTAATTGCCACCAAGCATAAATGAACAATTGACAATTAAAGTAGATACAAAATCGATTCGAATTAGTTATTGTTTGTCATCAGATTAATATAAAAATGGACTTAAGAAAAATGAATTCAATTATCCTAATCCAAAAACTTTTACCCAATTAAATCAGAAATTATTACTTTAGTATATCACAAATGAAATTTTCAATGAAATGGAATCCAAATCAGCTTTGTTTCATCATGAAAATTGGAGATGCAAGTAATACACTATTTATGATTATTTTCCTGAATTATTTGAAATATCAATCAATAATGCTAAGAATAGAATTCTCACAATCCTCAAATCGGAGAAATAAGATGCAGGTGAATTCAAACGTAATTATACCACTTATTTTAGAAAGCCAAGATTGGACTTATTAATTACAACTTAATTCAAATACATAATAATAGTGGATGTAAATTAAATACAAAAAAGAGTCAAGTGGACCTAAGTATCATTATGAACGAAAATTGATTGGAGCTGGGTTGCATTAATTTATTGAAACTAAAATTATTTTTGATAAATAGCCTAGTTAGAATGTAGTCATTGTAGATGAATTAGATACTTTTACTTATGTGGACAAGGATGAATTGGATAAGTTACCTTATGAGGCTAAATTGATGACAATTGTTGATATAGAAAGACCCAATGAACTTTCCACATAGCACATAATTCTGAGTCAACACAAAGGTGCTTTGGAAATTACATACCTCATGCCATATCATTTTCGATATCATTTGGCTTCAGACACACACTATAAGACCTCCTATGTTCCAAATATTCCCAGAGTTTACTTGGAATCGTAATCAGGTGACCCTTTAATTAAATCATTTTTCAATGGCAACTTTGAGGAAGCTCAAATATCAACATACAAAGAACACCTAACATATTAAATTCCAGTTGGATACTTGCCATATAAAAATGTAGTAATTATGATAACTATTGGTATCACACTTGGAATGGCCTTACATATATCTAACCTAATAAGAAGAGATAAATAGTGATATTTATATAAAATAGAATTTAAATAAACAATACGAAACAAGGGATGAGGATAACTTATTATATCTAATATTAACAATCTGATATAATAATTTATAATCCCCAAAAATTACTATCTTTATTATAATAATATAATGAAGTTAGATGACTTCCCTTCTGTTATTAATTTATTTTCAACTATAACTTAGTTTTGTATAGATATTAGCTAATTATTCTTTTTAACTTGTATTATGAAAAATTAATAAGATATGAGCATTATTTATAAAAAGAATTTAAATGTATGTATTTGTCATAAATGGTTAGATTATTTGAGATTGAAAAATTGTGATTTATTTATAATAAAGAGTATTTAAGATAATAGGTCAATTGATTAATTAATTAATATAAATATAAAAATCTGATATATTTCTTAGATGGCAGGAAAAGAAGCAACTTTAGTTTTATTAGATGTAGGTGCCTCAATGTATGAACCATACAAGTAGGCTCAAGGAAAGAAAATCACTAGATTAGAATTAGCTGTTGATTGCATAGGGATGATGATTTAATAAAAGATCTTTAATTACAAGAATCATGAAGTTGGATTAGTTTTGTTTGGAACAGAGGACGCTGAGGATGGGAATACTTTTTACATCTAAACATTGTCGTCTCCAGATCTAGAGTTTTATAGAAATCTGACAGAATTACCTAATCATGATATACCTAAAATAATTGGTGGAGATATTTTTGATGCTTTGGACAAATCAGTTAGCACTTTAGATGAGTATGTGAAGACCAAGAAGATGGATAAGAAGATATTTGTGCTCACAGCAGGATTTGGTTAGACAGAATATAATGAGAAGAAGATTGCAAAGCTTATTAAAATGATTGAAAAAGTAGATGTGAAGATCAATTTCATAGCATTGGATTTCATGAATGAATATGATGCTGAATTGGATGATCCTTCCAAACCTGAGAATCAAGAAACTCTAAATGATCGAATGCTTAATGCTGTTTACGAAAGTTAAGAGCAATCAATCAATTCACGTTTAGTTTATTACATGGTTCAAGAACTAAGGAGTCATATGAGAATATTCCCAGCTAATATCGCATTTGAATTGTATTCACAATTTCACACCAAACAAATGCAAGCAAGAGCCTCATTTAGAGGAGATTTTCAAATAAATGATGAGACATCCATCTCTGTATTGGTTTACAAAAGATGCACAGAGGAGAAATTACCAAGTTTAAAAAAGCATTCTGCTACTGGAGAATTCAGCAGTGAACCCACTAGAAATGTAGTTAGAAATGACACCATTCATTACAATCCAGAAGACCCAAACATGACTCCAATTGAAAGAGAGAATATCATTAAGGGTTACTTATATGGCAGAAGCCTAATTCCTGTGGATAGTATAATGGAAGATAAAATGAAGTATTAATGTGTTAGGTCATTTTAATTATTGGGATTTGTTGACAAGTCATAAATTCCTAGACATTATTTTATGTCTAGTGTGGACATGGTTGTAGCTATTGATTGTGAAAAAGCAAAGAAATCTTTATCTTCTTTGATCATAGCCTTAATTGCCACAAAGAAAATTGCTATTGCAAGATTTGTTGGCAGAGAAAAGAGTTCTCCAAAAATGGTGGTGTTATTGCCTCATAAATCAAAGAGCTATTAGTGTTTTTGGATGATTGCCTTACCCACTTCTGAAGACATCAGGCATTTCCAATTTGCTGCTTTAAGAAAGTCCACTCCTCATCAATAAATAGCTGTAGCCTCCTTGATTGATAAAATGGATCTAGAAGCACTTCCAAACGAATCTGGAGAACCAGAAGAATTACTTAAAATGAAATACATTGCAAATCCAACTAGACAATATTTCTAATAAGTAGTCATGCATAAAGCTATCACAAGAACTGATGTCATTCCTCCAATCTCTCCTTTGATTCTAGAATATTTGCATCCCGAATAACGAGTATACAATTATGCTTAGGATGCTATATAGAGAGTGAAGAATGCTTTTAAATTCAAAGTTAATGAAATCAAGAAACCCTAAGATAAAAAAGTATTTTGGAAACAATTATTCGATGAACAAACTACATAATAACAACAAGCTTAACAATAAATAGAGGAAGAAGTGGTTGAAATCAATAGAGAGGAGGAAGAGATGGTCAATATGTTTGCCAAATAAAAATTGGGATTCAATGATGATATCATTTAAGAAATTGGTTCTGTGGATCCAATCTCAGATTTCAAGAAAATGATCACTGAAAAGAGAGTCGATTTGGTTGATTCTGCCCTTCAACAAATTCAGAAGGTTATAATTGGATTAGTCGATTAATCAGTAAAAGGCAGTTTCTTCCCCAAGGCCTTGGAATGCTTAAAAGAAATGAGAAGAGCTTGTATTTCAGAAGATGAAGCTCCAGTTTTCAACAAGTTCCTCTTTGTACTTAAGGATAAGTACAATCAATCTATATTTTGGGCCCAAATTGTACAATAAGGCATCACTTTGATAAGCAACATAGAGAATTAAAAATCAGGTGTCACTGCTGAGGAAGCATAAGATGTATATATATTTAATTAATTATTAGTTCCTGAACAAAGAAGATAACAAACATTAGTAAATGGTTGATCAATTATAACATGAGGAAGAAGATTTATTAGCTGATATTGAATGATTATAATAATTTTATTAAAATACAAAATAAACCTGTCATTTTTGTACAAAAATCAGCATCCTTCCAATTTTTATCTTAATCCTGATAGTAGTTGAATAGTTGGAGTTTAAAAGTAAGGAAGCTGATTCATTGCACTACCTTATTTCTATTGTAGGATGATTTAGAATGTTGTTCATTTATTGTGTTTTCTTATTGGAATATAATTATTTCTCTTTCTGTCTGATGACTTTGACTTTGATTTAAATTATCTGAAGAATTTAGCTATTTATTAGGTTTGATGAAAAATTGGAATCATTTTTTTATTAACATTATTTATTTATCTGAATATGAATTGAAATATTTTAGATAAAATATATAGATTTGCTAAAGTTAGAAATTGAAATCAAAAAGGATTATTTGCATACATAAAAATCAAATTAGACACTTTTAGTAATAGAATATATTAACTAATAATTTAGATGAATAAGAATGAATGAAATTTAAACTCATTTCAATTATACACATTAATATTGGTGATGTTTTGCTATTTCATCTAATTTCTTCAATAAATCCTTTTAATATTCCTACGATATTCTTTTAGGAAATTATATTTAGATTTAATTTTATTCTAGATCTGAATATATTTTAAATGAATTGTCAATTGTATTTTCTGTATTCTCATTGCTAATAGTTTTATTTTCATTAATGCTCCAAGTTGTCATTTATTCAGATTCCTTTAATTACTAATCAACAGAATTGTTTGCTAATTATTCATCCTATGTGGAATATATCGAGAATGCTTTGCAGCATTATGCTTTGAACTCAGTCTTCACTTTTTCATAATTCTAAACTAATTCTTCTTTACTCAAAATTTAATTAGTGATGGGTCTGAATTTTGATAAGTATTATTTTATGTGTTATGATTATTTAGATAAATTATTTTGAATTTCTTTAGTTAAAGCATTTTACTTAGTTTTTACAACTTTCAATAATAATTATAATAATTTTTGTGTGTAATAGATAGCATTTTTAAGAAAATAAGCAGATTTGTCTTCTTCATCTACTTCTGAAATCAATGTTAATTGATCATTATCTTGTATTAATTCGATTTGTAATTGGTCATCCGAATTATGTCTTTTCATATTAATTAATTTTTGTATTAAAATTAATATAAACAAAATCAATTATTGAATTTCTTAGCTCTTTTCTTATTCTTCATTTGTGGTTTTCCTTTTTTTGGTTCTGGAATATTATCATCATCTTCAGATTCTTCCATTGGAATTTCGCCTTTTTGAGTCATCATCTCAGTTTTTCGAACTTCCATTTCAGCAACCTCCTCTTTAATAACCTTTCTGATTTAAGGCTCCAACTACTATATCTGACGACGCATTTATCTAACCTTATTGGTATCTGCAATCATTTTGAATAACTATTATTTAGATTATCGTATCATCTTTTTAAATTTGACAACTTCATTCTCCAAACAAATTGTTACTGATATACCTTATGCACCTATCCTAGCTGTTCTACCGACTCTGTGGATGTACCTCGTAACTTCATATGGAATCTCATAATTAATCACAGCTTTGACATCTGTCAGATCCAATCCTCTTGCAGCTAAGTCTGTTGCTAATAAAAATTAAAATTTTCCTTCCTAAAATCAATATACATCATACTTTAAAATCTTCATAGGCTTGGATTCTTTATTGTTATGATAGATTCCCATGTAATTCACAACTGCTCATATCTAAAAATCCTAGAACTATTGCCAACCTATGACAATCATGTTTGGTCTTAACAAAGATTATGGTTTTTTCTTTGAACTTGGTTTTCAATAAAGTAATGAGTCTAAAATCTAAGATTGAATTAGATACGTTGCTTCTCTGTCACTGTCTTAATTGGATCTTATTCGCAACAAATACTGTTTTAATCCATAAGCCAAACCACCCACAAAGTCAACATTAACTTTTATTGGATTATTCAAAGCCAATAAGGATAGTTATTTGACAGTAGCATTAAGAGTAGCACTGATCAAAACAGTCTGTCTATCTTTGGAAGTGGCTTAAAGGATTTACCTGATTTCCTTTTCGAATCCCATTTCCATTAATCTATCTGCTTCATCGAATACTAAGATTTCAATACTATCAATATATGAGCAATTATATAATACTTCTGAATTTCAAGACTTGATGAATTAGTTAATAAATCAACAGTTCTACCTGGAGTTGCAATTATGATGTCAGGATATTTCCTCAATTCAGTTTCCTATTACTAGATTGGAACAGCCCCAATGACGAGAGCTGCTGTGCAATTAGCATATTTATTTAATTTTTCAAACATTTCAAAGCATTAAAGTGCGAGTTCCCTAGTCGGCAATATTATCAAGGCTTTGGAGTATTGTAAATTTTTCAAATTGCCAAAACGCTACATGATGGGTAATAGGAATGCTGCTGTTTTGCCAGATCCCGTACATGAACTAGCCAAGACATCTTTACCATTCATAATTATTGGGATTATTTTAGCCTAAACATTGGTGGGATGAGTATATCCCTAATCATGACAAGCTTTGACTAATGCCTTATTTAATTTTAATTGATGGAACTCTGTGTCAATTGCAAATATTTTTGAATCCAATTATTATTCCTATTAGAGATCCTGTTATGGATCCTCTTCTTCTACTTGTTCTGGCTCTTCATAAAATTGCTCGTTCTGTTTTCTGATTTTTAAGGCAACTTTGTTTAATTTTGATTTAATTTTTTAATTTAAGGTGGATTGCTTACTAAAGGTTTGTTTAGTTTGTTGTATTACCTTATCCTTTATGGTTTAGGTTTCTTGGGGTTTTTGGGGAACTTCTTCACAAGGATCAAACAACCCAGAATAAAAATTGAGATCTCCCTTTTCTTATTGTTAGATGAATTCTTCGGAATCTGATTGGATTTATGAGTTGCTCATTAATTTTAATTAATGGTAAAAGGATATAAATTCTTAGTTAATTTATTTACTTAGTTTTTAATATAAAATTAAAGTTAGATGTGAATAATTTGTTTGAATAATATAATAATTCATCACAAAACTATATTGGATTTTTGGCTTGATTTTTCAATTTCTATTTTCTGTTGATCCATCTTTTTCAATTCTTTTTCTTATTTCTCATTTTCAGCCGATAGATTATCTATTTTTTGTGAGAGACGCTCTAATTTAATATTCATTTCCTCCTTTTTGGCAAGTTAAAGATACAATTTCTGTTTGATTGCCTCCTCATCCTTTTAATTTAAGAGAGTGGAATTCTCACTAATTTAATTAATGATTTGATTCTATCTATCTCTGGTCTCTTAGATTTGTTGTTTGAGCAGATCAATTTTCTTCTACTTTTTTTCTGGGAACTCTTCATTTTGCATTTATGATAAGTCATACTTGTTTTGAATGCTTTTGTGTTATTGGGATTATTATTTGTTTTCCTCCAATTTGGATTCTGTAAAAGTACTATTAAATATTTCCAAGATGGTAATTCTATCCTTGAAATCAGTTGATAATTAGGTGAGTTTCTTTTCAATTTCTTATTGGATAGCAATAATGCCTTCTTCCAATTTCATAAAACTTCTTTTTTCTTCCAAATCCTGAATTTGTTTTTTGAGGAGCAGTCTCGTCTACATTAGGTCGTTGATATAATTATTATTATTGACAACTTCTTCTTTATATTTATCAACAGATTCTTTATTCTCTTTGATTTGCTGTAATTATTCCATCTGTTATTCGATAGTCTACTTTAGACAGAATTGCTCTCCTTCAACTCTTGGGATTTATTACATTTGAATTTTACAGAAATCTTAACGAGACTTACTGTCATAATTAAGATAAGAGACAACACTCTCTCTCTCATCACTTAAATGCACAGTTCCACTAGATCGCAATTTCAATTCACTCATAAGATCCATGTTTTGATTGTTAATTTAGGCTAATTATTATTGAACAGTATTCAACACCTAAGTCAAATTGGCTTCTTCACTTGCAGACACTTCGATCTTATCCATTTTCTTAAGTATTTTAAGATCCAAAGCCTCATTAGTGGTCTTCACATTATCCAGGATCTTCTTCTTAACTGATAATCTCACTTGAGTGATCTACTCTTCCACATCAATACATTATACTGGTTATTATTATTCTTATTCTTTTTCCTCATAAGTTTCTGGTTCCTCCTCTAAGATTGAAACTATATTAATTTTATCATTAGGTCTTTGGATTCCCTATATCCACCAATGCTCCTTAACCTAGGAGATGGTAATTCTTTTTGATGGATTCACTTGGAATATCTAGACCAATAAATCCTACACTCCTTCACTCAAATTCTTTTGTGAAAATATTCCGTTAACAATATTGTGTTACAATACATCTTACTTCTTCTTACCTTTCAATTGTTCTGGCTTTGGCTCAAATGGGAATTTGCCTGTGAGCATTTAATAGAGCACCACTCCTAAACTCCAAATGTCTAGGGCTTCAGTCTAAGGTTGCAGATTAAATTATTCAGGCCCGAAGTGATCATTCCCATTAAAAATGCCCTCAGTATGTTGGATGTAAGTACTAAAACCAAAGTCACATAATTTAATTGTAATTTGCTTTTTTTCATCTGAATGATAGATAGACAATAATACTTTTTCTGATGAGTATATTTTCAAGTTTGAAATTTCTATGTACCACATTTTTTTTGTGCAGATGCTCTAAAATGTCTATCATTTATTTGGCATAGAATAGGGTTTCTTATTCTGAGAGCTTTTTGTCCTTCAATATTTTTTATTGCATATTGCCATTATTGAAATATTCGGTGACCAGATAGATGGACTTTGTATAGATGAGATAGAATTACTTCCTTGTCTTCAAAGTGATCAATCAATCGAGTTGTATATTAATTATCTCCCAAGACATTCATGATTTCTATCTCCTTAGCAACATTGGGTGATATACGCTATCTTGAGAGAGTTTTTTTGATGTACTTTTTGATTGCGTATAGTTTGTTTTCTTTTCTTAATTTAGCAGAAAATACCTTTCATTTATTGTTATAGTTTACTTGTGAATATTGCCCACAAGCAATAACTTTCATATCTTTAAAATCCTGCATTTTATATTTATTTTATTATTAGTAATTTATACATCATAGAGTGAGAGTGGTATCGCCAATGGTTTCATATTTCATTGAGTATGAATGATGCAAATATATAGATTAATTTGTGTGAACATACTGATAATAATTCGGATTGTCATACAATAATCATTTACGTTGGTTATTTCATTCCACAAGAATAATAATGCATTAATGAAACATGTTTTGTAGAAAGAATCTAAATTATTATATAAATATACTATTATTATATGAGAGACAGTCGAGAAAGAGCCAATACACAAATCGGTTATGGTTAATATCAGGACATTCTCCAGAAATAAAAGAACTTGTCTCAAATCAACAATTAGACGAATTAATTGGAATCTATTGAGGAAGATGAAGCTCCATCAAATTTTTCGATTGATCAGATGGAGAAGGATAGAGAAAAGAACCAGTTTCTTCGGAAATCCAACGATCTGGATATTGTCAACTAAAATGATTGTAACTATTCAGTCTATCTATATAGCAATCTTTAAATCCACTCTCAGCAGCGAGAAATTAAAGGAACTCAAATCAGGTAAAAATGAATGTTGCATATGTCATAAGAGTGGCACACTCATCCATAAGATGAAGCAATGTAAATTCTGTGGGAGTGTGGTGTGCAAGGAACACAGTAAAAAGAAAAGAAGGGATCCAAATAATAGTACAAAATTTAGGCGATTATGTGAAATCTGCGAGGACAAATACATTAGACTCAGTGTTGAAACTGCCTACATCCAGAAGAGAGATTAATAGGCTCAATAGGCTTTGCAATTGGATTCCTAATCCAAAGAGTTGCTGTAGGATATCAGGGTCTTGTAGAATCAGATTTCAGAGATCCATTAACAAGGGGTGAAAAACTAGGGAGAATACAAATAAATACAGAATGAGCTTATCTTTAAGACTCAAAAATTAGATTATGAAATCAAGGGGTTCCAGGATGAAAATCTAAAGTTGAAATCTACCATTCATTCTATAAAAAAAGAATTGCAATAACTGAATGAACGACTCAATGAAAAAAAAGTGGATTCTCAAAAGAAACAGCATCAATTACATTCAATAGAGTAAGAGATTCAATACAATGACATTGAGTGTCAAAAGGTGATGTTAGAGATCGAAAAGTTTCAATTGAACATTCAATCAAAGAAACAAAAGGATCAGCAGAAATAATAATAGTAGAGATCTCAAATTCAAAAAGCAGATATCTAAAATTATCAACAATATATCTTGGCTGATGATAAGCCCACTATTTAATAGTACAATCCTTATTTGAATGATAATACTACCATTAATGTGAATAGTGAACCTGAAACTTCAAGTAGTAGTAATAAAAAGAAGAAATCCAGTAAGGAGAAGTAAGACCGAGAAGAAGACAACTGTTGCATAATAATGTGATAATTTTAAATAATTTAATTCTAATAATAATAATAATAATAAGTCAATCATATTTAATATTCAAAAAATCATAAACTTTTTCTATGATATTAATATCCTAAAATAAGTATTGAATGTTCGTAAGCACTGATTCAATTGGTTTACCACTTATTTTCTATTTGTTGTATTAATAAATGCATTACATATCTAAACAATTTAGTCAACTCATCAGATTGTGAATTAGCCATATGCAACACACACGATATCGTATTCTGTATCACTTCTGGCAACTCATATTGTTTCATCATATGACCTAACATATACACATAGTCAGTTTTGGTTAGTAAGTAATGATACAGTTACTCGTTGGAGTATTTCCTAATTAACTGTTTTAGCATTTGACTAATATAAACGAAATCATTTTTGTCCAATTCCTACTCATCCAATGCTAGAATGGTGTTGAAGATTTCTGATGTAACTACTTCAGTTATGACATAATCATTTTTGAGGAAACAAATGTTGGCTGTTATGTATATGAAGGCTGTTTGATTCTCTCTCATCTCGAAATACAAGTTGCTAAGAGTCTTCAATAGTCCATGTTGAATGAATAAGATTGTTCCTTCATCTGACTCTTCCACTATTTTCGTAATGATGGAAATGGACAGCATCATGCTCTTCTCCAATCGATCCATGATCAGATCGACGAATCCTGCATTCGCCAGGAGGTAATTGATAGAGTTCTTGTTGTCTTTTTCACAGGATATCATTGTTAACATGATCTGAAATGTGGCCAAATCTGTGTCTTGTTCTATGAATTTAATGCATGTCACCACCAACTTCTTAAACTAAGCAATTAGACTTATAATACGTAATAGGATGGTTAATTTATGTATGCTCCAAGCACTTCAACTATTTTGAACCACTCTTCGAAATTATCTAATAGAAGTGAGATTTCTACCAAATAAGAGACGAAGTCACATTATTCTACCAAATGATTTATTGGGTTGTTTTTTGCAATTTTGTGTAAAAGCACAACAAATTACTTAACGAGCTCGCTATTTTCAAATCTCTAAATTTGAGATAGTAAATATGGATTTAAACATTCTGGCAGATAGATCTTTTAGTAGATGCTGAGAACTAGAGCCAAAATGTGAGGATCACAATTCGTTGCAATCTCACCTAGAAAAGTGATCGTGTTAATGGATTTAAGATTGGCGCTATATTATGAGTCAGCATATTCATTTAATCTTATCAAGTAATTCTCAGATTCCTACAGGTCTCCCCGATTGTAATACTCCAGTGCATACTATGCTAGCAATTCAAGGTCCTTGAAATCACTCACAACACCCAAACCTTATTTTGCACAAAAATTGCGCGTTTCTATTAGAATGTGTTTTCAGTTCGTTTCCGGCGAATTTCAACTTGGAATTTATTCCTTTTCTCTTACAGTAACTATAAAGCTGAATCTGCTGTCAAATACATTATATAAATATAATTAATGTTTAATTCATTTTAATCAGGTTATAAATAATTTAGATTATTCCTTAGGAGTGCTATGGAAATACTTCAACTCCGAAGTGTTTTATGGATGTACTTTATCAGATTCTAATTTCAAAAACATATCTCTTTTCTACTTTTCCATGTCTTCAATAACTTTCAACCTTCTCCTTTAAATTTCTAATTTATTTTAACTAAATCATTTTATAATTATACATCTAATCTTTTAATCTTTGATCTCTCTAACTTATTTTTAGTTCCAATTGTTGAAGATAGGACAATTTAAGTTTATCTGCCCTAGCCACTTACGATTGTTGTATCAGCCATTTCTAATTCAGTCTCGAGAGTTTCGACTCCAATTCCAATTAGTTCTGACTTTGCACCAATTGAAAGGTTTATTCTTTCAAAATCTGCTTATTCAACATATTGAGTGACTTATTCCTAAATATATTCTCAGATCTCGCTCTAATTTAGTTCATTTGTTGATGATGCTCGTGTTCCTTATTATAAGTAAGTTATAAATTGGTTAATCTCTTCTTCTCAATTATATTTATCTTCTCCTAAAAATAATCTATCTTTTCTTTTATTTTTTTTATTTTCATCTAAAATATCTGATTCTACTTTTCCTTGATCTATTCCAAATGTTCCTAAGATTGCTGAGCCTTCTGGTAGATCTAATCCATTTTCTCATATTTCTGTTTATAAATCCTATTAATTTTGCTTTCATAATTCTTCAACTTTTGTTCACAAATCTAAATATATCATGTATTACTTCTTGAATCCTCTTCATCTGCATTTAGTAATTGGAATAGACATTTTGATTATGAGATTCATTGATGTGCATAGACGAATTTAAAGTCAACTATTTTTAGCTCATATAATCATTCAGATATTTCTGTTTCTGTTCCTATTTCTCAATGTAAAGAACGTTGACTCTTCTTAGATTATAATCCAGTTGATTCATCAAGTCATCGGTCTTCTTTTTAAACTCCTCAAATTTGAGCTTGGTCTATATTTCGAGTATCCTTTGTTTGATTTCCTTCTCATGTTGTTTCTAATCCATTTACCACAGTTCAGATTAGGATGCCTTCCTCTCCTTTTTTTGCTTCTCTAGTTCCTGCAGTTATTTCAATTTCTCCTACGAGATCTTCAGTTACTCATTCTAGTATCGTGAGGAGAGGATCTGATTTACAGTAGGAAGAGTACTTATTCCTTCATTTTTCGATCCTTGGCTTCTAGTTAGAGATTGCGATCGAAAATGTTCTGCAATTTCTATTCATTGATTTTTCTCTGCTTTGCCTGCAACTCCTCGTGTTTCAAATACACATCCATCTACTGATTCTAGAGTGCTTAAGATATAAGGATATACGAATTTCTGCATCATTTTCTCTGGGAGTGGAGCATTCATTACTATTTTAATTATATCATATATATTGTACTATTTGGAATGAAGTAAAAAGTGAATAAATATATTTATTAAAACCAATAATTGTTATCACCATAGGCTGAATTTCCGAATCATCAATTTCTTTTTTTCAGTAAATTAATTAATAAGTCAATTTATAGACTGTTCCTATTTTGTGTCTGCATCGGAATAGGCGATCTCAATTTCAAAGGGTTAATGTTGTTTTTCTTATAAATTTATAACATTTGTTTGGAGAAGTCCTGTATTTCTGGAACCGAAGGAAAATCCTTTCTCACTTGTTCCGGACGTATTTTCTTACGACCCAATAAGTCATTTAGCTTTTTGATACTCAATAGATCATTTATATTCTAGCTTTGTTTTTATTCAACTTCGGTTATACTTTTTTTATTTTCCATATACTTGGGGGGACTCATTCTAGGTTCTACTGACATTCTATTCTGAGATAGTTCATGCACAGAATAACCTTAATTAATCGATGGTAGCTTTTGTCTTACGATCCTTCTTTACAACCCTTATTCAAATTAGTGGTCAGAGTACATCTATCTATGCACCACAGAAGGACGGTATCGCAGAGAATTAATCTGTCGTTCAGTCACACTGCCACCCAAAACTGGCATTTGATGTAAATTAGTTGGAGATTCATCAGTTATGCATCTAATGTCAGAGCTGATTTAATTTAAATTTCTTTGAATTGAAATGCTCTTCACTTTCTTATTTGCTTAAAATGCTCTCCTTGATTGAGGTGCTTATTCATTATTTATATAAAGATGCAAATCAAAATTATACATAATTTTATATCATTAATATTTAAATCCATTTTAATTACCAAATAACAAAGGTTGTGTTCATTCTCTGTTAGTAAATAAACATTATTGAATTATACAATGGCACTTTGAGTGTTGAACTCAATCGAAGTTTGGTAACTCCTTTCGACTTCTATAGAGTCTTCGTCTTCAAATTGAAAATCTTACTATTAATACAAATCCTGTACCTAAGTTTCATTGCTCTTAACGTCATGCACTGATCCACCCAAAATCAGAATCTGATCATATGAAGTCTTGATGGCACAACTATTAAATGGCAACCTCAAATATCCATTGGACAGGAACTTGAACTCTATCTTAGTCTAAGGAATCAATCATTAACACATCATACCCAGGAGTTCTTCTGAATGTCATAGGACTCAATCGAATTGCAAGGAGTAAAGATATCGCACTTGCCTCCTATTTTGAACAAAGTATTGTTGTCTATTGCAACCAAGGCACAACCACTACATTTAAAGTGTGGATCCTCAATTGTTTGCCATCTCTTGGTGTTTAAGTCCAATTTCTCTGCTTTGGCCATTGATGTATTCTCATCATTGGTCGAGGATCCACCAACCACAAATAAGAAATTGTCCACCTAACAAGCCGAGGTCATTGATCTGGGCAGCACCATTTCTGAATGCTGGATCAGTTACAAATTAGTGTGATTAAATTCATAAACTGATGCGATTGCTTTGAATCTTGACTTGTCTCTATCCACTCCCCCGATAACCAAATGCTTACCAGCAGTAGTGGTATATAACCTATGATATAAGGGAACCTTAATTGTGCTGTTGATTGTTTCAATTCTATATTGTTGGGATTAGATGTCATATATATATGCTGCATAACCACCCTCTTCTAATCTAACTAGTACTTGGGGTTTGCCATCTTCAAAGTGATTTAGATGATTAATTTGGTATTTGGCTTCCTCATTTGAAAGACTTTCGGAAATCAAGGTGATTGGATTGACAAGTGGAGGTGGTATTTCAGAAATCTGAGTTATTTTCATTGTTGATAGATTTGATTTATCTTCAAGTTTGAGACTTTTATTAGGGTTGCCAATTTATGAAGTATTGGGTTGTTATGTATTTTTGACAAAGTAGCACATTTTTTTACAGTAGGTTTAAAACAGTTCAATATTATTTTTATCAAATATAATTTTAATTTAAGATTACTGATAATTTTGAATTAATTTCTCTAAAGAGACGAGACTCTTATCTGAGAATATTTCTTGTTTTCCATCACATATTTAAATTACAGCCCTGACATAGTTATCATTGTGTAAGTCTTCTTATAATTTAGTAAGTTTATGTTGTTATTGCATGATATCTTGTTCTAATTGATTTAATTATTTTATATATTCATCTTAATTTTATTCCTTTAAATCTTTGTACAATGTTTCAAAATAATCATCGATGATGTTTGAGATCTATTCATGTATTTGTCTCAATTGCTCAAGATTATTATTATAAAGAATAGATGGTTGTTCTGAGAAATACTTCTTGGAGTCTTGCAATTTAAATTACAATGATTTGGAGAGTTCATCTATCTTATAAGTGTTATCTTTTCTGACTCTCTGGATATTTTCCAATTTAGGCACTCTCCCTTTGGATTAGTGCATTTCAAGATGCTCATTGATGCATTCTGGACAAAGGGGTTCAATGCAATTCTGGAGATGATAATAAAATAACACATACTTGATCCTGACATAGATTGGTTATGAAGAATTCCGGATGAGTTGGACATGGCACATACATGAAATTAGCAAATTAGGTCATGTTGGACATTTTGCTGGTGTTATTGATATTGACTTCCCCCAAGATACTGCCTAGATCAGATTGATCGGCGTTGATGATTTTAGATTTGACTTAGTGAGTGGGTGGCAATTTTCGATGATTCTGAATTGTAATTACAATGTGGTTACTTGTTCATTCTCCTAGGTGTTCTGTCTTTCATTGGGTGAAACATATCTTTTAGATGCACTATGACTACTGCGACTGTCGTTAATAGGGGACTGAGACCTATTCATGAAATTCAAATTTTATAATATGTTAAATTTAATTTTCATTCTTGCTTTAGGAATTCATTCTCAAGAACCAGAACTTTGTTATAAATTGGAGGGTCATTTATGTGTGAATAACCAAATCGCAGACATGACCTTTGCTCCCTTGGATTCAATCATAGGTCTCTGGAGATTTGACAAAAATCAAATGGATGACAGTCAATTGCTGAATCACATGTCTCAACCCTGTGATCTGGGTCCTGGCAGAGGAGCCGTTGGCAATTCAGGCTATTATAGTGGAGAACAATATTCCATCATCCCTCATCACGATCAATATCATGAGATAGTCACCATCTCCATGTGGGTCTATCCCTTATCTTCCCAGCAGTCATTCACGACCATTCTGCGTAAGGCTTTGAAGTCTACCGAGTACACTCCCACAATTCTGTTGTGGCCATTTCATGATGAGGCCAATGTTGGAGGTGGACAAATCGAAGTGATAGTTAGTACATCCTACGACAAGGAGAACCTTCGCAGCAAGGGGAGTGTCACTGGCAGGAAATGGAACCATTTAGCAATCGTTTTGCAAGGGTTAAGCATTGATTTATACATAAACGGCATTCATGATAATGTATTGTCTCTGAAAGCCAGACCCTTAAAAAATGATGGACCCTTCTATGTGGGAGGAGATCCCTGGTTCAACGGTCCTCTGTTGTACTTAGACGATCTCACCTTCTACAACATACCATTCTTATGTATATATTTTATACATACATAGAATTGGAAATAAGCAAATTAGTCAACTTCCCTGGGCAAGTCAACAACAGACTCTTCTATTTGGGCTGCGATGGATGCAATTATCATCAGAGTTTGAGTAGTTGCAAATAGGGTTCGCATTTATGTTCTCTCTCAGAACTCACATCTGGAATCTATATGCATGCTCGTTAAAATGGTTGGCTACGATTAACCAAAGATTTCTGGTCCAGAGTTGATGAAATAGATCAGGAACTGGCTAAAAACTATTTAGATCCCCAAAAAACTAAGGCCGCTATTTGTTGTTCAGATTCTTTTTATTGATTATTATTAGCATTAGTATTACCATGGGCTTACTCACACATTCTAGAATATGTAAAATATTATTATATATTAATAATCAAATACTCCCACTTACATAGTCTTATCCGTAAATCAATTTATAATTTATAGTATACTAAAAATAACACAACATTAATGGTACTCTTCAATTATTTCAAGTAATTATGTATCATCTAATATTAACACTCTATAATTATGAATGTGGTTTAGTTAAAAATAATACAAACATTGAATTATGATATCGTCCATGTTGTTATGCATAGATCTAATGAAACCAATTATTTATTAGAAATCCCTGTCTATTTCAACCCTTTACGTATTACTACTTAAATAAAACAATTGATATGTTCCAAAAATTAGATCCTTTTGATTCTATTGCGATAACTCAATTGCACTCTAGTCATTCAGATATACACAGACAATCAACCAATGAGGCTTGGGGTTATGGAAATCTCTTATGATTGATGAGATGATTGAGTTGCGAGTCCGTTTTAGTCTAATGAAGAAATATTATGTAAAAATTAGGAAAACTGGGATTTGTAAATTAATTAATCATTATCACTTTATATTGTATTTAAAATTAACATCAAATGGAGGCATTTTTTGATTTCAGGTAACCATCCTCAAATACTTTAGTTATTTCCAAGATCTCAGAAAAATTTGTTCTTAGGATACTTACAAGGAAAAGCTAAGGGTCTTCCTATTTAATCCGTATATGGAATTGAAGGAGCACCAAGAAATAGTGGACCTCTTCATTGAATATGTATTTTGTTTCTCATCTCAAATAGGCGGAATTGTCTCGCGAGTATGGAATCACTTTCGAACATATGATCAATCATAACATTGGCATTAAAGAACCCTAATTCTATCATTACTTTTTCAATAAGCTCAAAGAGACCAATTCCAGAAAAGCTCTCTAATGTATTTAAATGGCTAAGCAGTATAATTTTATATATTATTATAAAATAGATTTTGTTATTCAAATTTTGAACAAATCGAGAGTATGAACAAGGAATTGGAGAACATCCTCCTCTTCTAATTCGAATCCTATTATCATTCTCAAAACTGCTCCAAAAAACAAATAGAAGAGAAACTCAAACAATTTGAACTCAAGTTCTATTAATCCAAGAACAAGAGAATCCAAATCCACATCGATGAACAATACAGAAAACTAGATCTCAAAGCCATCATCCATGAAATCGAGTCATTCAAAGAGAACAAATGCCATCCCAACAACTCCGCTCAAATCCCAATCGCCTAATCCTACTTTCTGAATCCAGAAGAAGCAGACTTCAACAGCCAACTTGAATCAAAGGAATTCAAACTCACCAAACCCAAATTTCAGAACAATCGCAGCAACCTTCAAATAGCCCCTCAATCCCCTAATTTCTCTAATGACATTGCTGTATCGGAAGAAATCAATAAACTCACTCCCATCAGTTCCTCTTCCACATCCAGTAGATACATCTTCAAAATGAATAACAATTACAACATCAAATCCAACCAACAACAAAAATTAATTATACCAATACCCACAATCAATTAATAAATCAGTCCATTAAAGTCATTGAACAGAATGAAGTACAAAAGCATCCAGAAACTAAGATAACTGATTTTTGAAGACAACGTTAAAAGTTCTGTCAAGGAACCCTTAAAGTTTGATTCCCCTTAATGATTTATATACTCATATACTTAGAACAGTATAATTAATTAAATAAATGTATTGCTTTTTTAAAACAACCACAACAACAAAAAGAAGTTTTTTTGAACTCAAATCCATCAACTTAGCGTTGTATCCAATAGAACTCCAAGTCATACAGGACGCCGATGAATTGAGAAACAAAATCATCTAGGGAGATTTTTAAGTCATTCCACAATATTTACAATTTTTCCTTAACAATTTAGTACTAATCCAAATATCATTAGAAACCCATCCTAAACAAATAGTCGCTTTTCCATCCCTCTTTCACCTATGAACCAATTGTAAGCAATTGCTAATTGAAGTCACCCTAAGGTAAATATTCAATTCCATATCTCAGATAGCCAAGAAGCCTTTGAAACAGATTATGTGATGCTAATCTACACATATTGTTGCGGCTAGTTATTTGATAGTTTACAGCAAATCAAAAATATAAGATAAGCAATCATTGAGAACAAATGTCCTAATCCAAAAGATGTAGACGTTATCTTGCAAAAGATGAAAACTTCATACGCTTTCCTAAAACACATAAAAAGTGATTCCTAACAGTTGTTGCCTAAACTTTCTGCGAAGAAAATCTTTGATTTCGAAGAATTTAGTTCTTAATTTTTCATTAGATATAATACATACTTTATCATTATGGCCAATTTAATTCACTTTGAAAAGATGTAGTAACTGAATTAGGAATAGGAGTTGATCAACAGACAAAATTTATGCAGCACTATGTTTAAATTGTTGGTCTCTATTGGGAATTTTGGACAAGATAGGTTGGGGGTGTATTTAACCTACTTATCAATCTACTTGAAATGCTTAGGATACAAAAGTATTATGGATCGATATTTGTACAACATTCAAAAGGAGATTTATAGGGAGAAGGGTATTGAAATATCAATTAAATTTAAGGCTTTACGGTAATGGTTTTAGAAATGATTCAATTGTGCTAGGAGTTAAAATAGATTTGTATGATAATCCTAAATAAAGATTTGAATGAAGATTATATGGATATATTCAAAATTTAAGCGTAAAGATGGATAGCGTTTTCAGATCTTCAAGTACGAGTGCATTCAGGAATTGCCAGAAATCCGTAACCAGTTCAAACCAATGAATAGATCCTATTGAATTCTGGCTATTTCAATTGTGTTGGATTGATTAATTCATATATGTTACTATTTAAATTTATTTGTTGACTTTATTCTATAACATCCCAGATTAGTATTTAAATTAAAAAATATTCTTTTAGAACAACCAATAATTTAAACATTTACATGGACATCCAAGTCAGATATTAAAATGAATAAACCACCTATAATGGTGTACAATCATTCGATGATTTGTTGCAAGAGATTGAAAAAAAGTACCCTCTTCTAACAAATTTCGAATTGTCATATTAAGATGAAGAGGGCGATACAATTTAGGTCTCAAACACAAGTGATATCATAGCAATTGTAAACATATGATTTATTATCACTAGACTGATTTACATAAAGTGATAATTTAGATGGAGGCTTAAATAAACTAAAATAAGGTCCAAGAATTGGAGAAAGCTAAGAAAGTGGAAGAATTAAGATAGAAACGACTTGAAGAGCAAAAAAGAAAAAAGTTGGAGGTAATAATACTCACAATTAATCATTTAGGAATTATAAAAAGAGATGAATAAACTTTAAGAATTGAGCCAAGAGAAACTCCAAACAGAGCAATAATATAGAGAGCAAGCTGATCAATTGAATCATCTCCTAATACAACTGAGTCAATTCCAAAATCAACCTTTGGCTGAGTTTAAAAAAGTGTTTTATGACTCTGACATTTTTGATTAAATCAGAGAAAAAGAATAAGAATTATTGGTGTTAGAGGTACTGATGTTGAATCATATATTTTGTAGGATAAAAAAGGGTTTGACACCAAATTAAAAGCAATTCAGAAGGATGTGTAGGAGACATTTGAAAAATTGTTCTCAAAAAGGACTGTTTAACATTAGGAGAACTATTAGAAATGGTTGGAAAATAAACACAAAATTCAAATTGTTAATTAATAGATTGCTTAGAAGGAAATCGAGAAATAGGGAAAACTTTAAAAATTAGATGATAAATTGAAGAAAGTTCAAGAGAGTGTGGCCAAGATGAAAGCAGAATTAAATGTACCCTAGTAGATTGATGATTTATTTTGATTCATTTTGATATTTTGATAGATTTGAGTCTTCTGTCCTAAAATTCTCAAAATCAGTTTAGAATATTATAGAAATATTTATGAATTAGAAGTGATATGTGAATTAAATACAATGAAATCCGTTTTTATAATATTTTATTAAAAATGAGAAGTTCGGCATTAGTCATATGTATACTAGTGTTAGGAAGTGGTATAATTGTATAACATTCTAGCCCTGTCTGCTGAATTGGATTTGGGTACATCCCTATTATCTATGGATTTATCTGATGTGGCCCTTCTGGACACCACATCGATGAGTTGTTCGACACCCCAGAAATGAGTTTGAGAGAGTCTCCGCTTAAATGGCAGCTTGGGCTGATATTGTTCAACATAAGGATTCCTTGCATAGAGATATCGATAGATTGGAAACCATCAAAGAGCTCATTCAAAAGAGAAAGTTCAAATCATTAGAGAAATAGCTGAATAAATTGGAATTGCCAAAGACAGAAAGCAAAATCGGAGAGCCTATTTTGGCAGAGTTCAGACAAAAACTGTAAGGACTAAGCAATCCAGAAACTGCTGATGAATGTGAAGCAACCTTACTAAAATTATGCATCTATCTTCTCAAATAATTTAACAGTTGCAGATAACAATGCCAATCTAGCCCTGTGACAGTCATTAAAATCAAAGGAAAGATCAAGGACTTATAAGTCGTCCAATAAGGCTGTGGATAACCTGCACCATGTGAAGATGAACCAGGAGTACCTGATGAACCTGTCCCAGAAGTCCCAGAAGTACCAGAAGAGAAAGGTCCCGAAGAAAAGGATGTTCCACCTGAAGTTGAACCACAACCACCTACTCCACCTGGAGAAGAAGATAAACCAGAAATCCCAGATGAGAAAGGTCCAGAAGAAAAAGAAATTCCACCTGAAGTTGAACCACTACCACCTGCCCCACCTGGAGAGGAAGATAAACCAGAAATCCCAGATGAAAAAGGCCCTGAAGAGAAGGATGTTCCCCCTGAAGTTGAACCTTTACCACCTGCTCCACCAGGAGAGGAAGGAAAACCAGAAATTCCTGATGAAAAAGGCCCTGAAGAGTAAGATGTTCCCCCTGAAGTCGAACCATAACCACCTGCTCCACCAGGAGAAGAAGGCAAACCAGAAATCCCTGATGAAAAGGGTCCAGAGGAAAAACATGAAGAAGGTGAACCTCCTGTTGAACCACCTGTTGAACCAAGTCCTGAAGAGAGTCCTGAGGAAGAAGGAGAGATTCCTGATGAACCACCTGTCAATCCAAATCATGAAGAATCACCTGAAGAATCAACAGAAGAATGGGTTGAAGAAATTGAAGAGGAATTCGAAGAATTTGAAAAACCACCTATTGTTGCTCCTCCTATTGAACCACCCAGTGCTGCTGAAAAGGCTTGTTTGAATTCAGTAAACGAGATTGTTTATACATCATCTGTTGATGAAGCCACTCCATTAATCAATAAATAATTGGAAGGTGATGATTTAAGTTGTTATGGATTTGGATTTTACGCTAGATGGCTTTAAGCTTATCCAACATTCTTGGTTCATGGAATGATAATCTGAAAAGATATTTCGTTGCAAGAGTTTCTGAATCTGATCACACAACCAGTGAAGTTACTGATAGTGCCTTGAGCGTATATTTGACTAAAGAAGGTTTTGAATTCTAATCATATGACGTTTATGGATTATCAACAACAGTAATTTCAGTTGGGGACATTGAAGGTAAATGGATTTATGTTTATTACTCATATTGCAATGAAAAAGCAGTTGCATTTGTAAAAGATGGTGAATCGGTATAATTGACTGAAGTCATTGTTATCCATGAAAGACCATCTCAATTGTATTTCTAATTGGCAGGTAAACAAGGGGATGCTCCATCATTCTAAGGTCAATTCAGATTGGTTTAAGCTAATGTTGGTTAAAATGTCTTCATAGGAACTTTACCAGAAGCTAATGATTTCGTATTTGCTTGCAATCAGTTACCTGAAGAGAAATGCGAAAGATAGATCTCAAATCTTCATGATTTCGAATTCCACGGTGCTGATTCCTAATTTGATGCATCAGCTGTCGTTGAGAATGCTGACCCAATTTATGCTTAAGAATACTCAGTTTCTGGTTGGTTCAAATGGAATCCAGTTCAAACTTCAGAATCCTGGTATTCAGCATTCAGATTGACATTGAACAATCTTGCAACCAATCAAAATTCAAAAGAATTGGGAGATAGAGATTTGGCATTATTCGTCGGAAGTGAAAAGAAGGATTCAGTCTTGGCTTTCACTACATATACTTACACAGACTTATACGGCAATGGTAACCCAACTTATTGGTAAGCCATCCCATATGAAAAGGATTTGGTCCACTGGCATTATATTTACTTCGGATACAGCAGACACATCTCCAAAGCTTATGGTTATGTTGAATTTTTCACTAGAAAGGGAGAAGTGCACTTTGAAAATGTCAAGCACTTTGATGCTCCTCACAAATACTTGTATGTCGGACAAGATCAATTCTATAAATCTTACAGCGGTAAAATCTTCAATCTCCATTACAACCTTTGTGATGGTTCATACAGAGAATTGAAATACGATGAACATTGGGGATACACTCCTAAACCAACCGATCCAGTCCCACCTCCTCCAGCTCCAGTTCCTGAAACACCATCCGAACCTGCAAGTGAAGAAGAATTTGTTGAACCACCCCTCCCAACAATCCCATCTGAACCTGAAGATGATGTTCCTTATGAACCTGAACCTGAAGATAAACCACTCCCACCTCCCTCTGAGAGTGAAGAAGAAACTCCAGTTGAACCCCCTGTCGAACCACCAGTTGAACCAGAAGAAGAAACTCCAGTAGATCATGAGGAAGAACCAGAAATCCCTGATGAACCTGTTCCTGATCCAGCTCATGAGGAAGAGCCAGAAGTTCCAGAGGAAACATCTGAATCAGAAGAAGAAACTGTTGAACCACCCGTTGAACCACCCGTTGAACCCCCTGCTGAACCCCCCGTTGAACCACCTGTTGAACCACCCGTTGAACCAGAAGCACCATAACCACCTGCTCCAGTTCCTTAACCAAAGTATATATATTTAATATAATTTCTAAGATGTCCACCAACCATTGAAGTTAATAAAGACAACGCTGCTGACATTTTATGTGAATTATCACACTATTTGGGTGAATTTGCTTAAGGCCATGTACCAGTTGCTGGACCAAGCACCAAGACTGTTTGCTTCTGCATGACTTACAATGGAGGTTTAATTTGAAATGTTATCTTTAGATTATGCTCCACCAACTTTATTGCAATTGGCATCAAAGATTCCAGGACATATCCAAATGAACGAAGCTAAAGTTGCAGTTCCATTATTGAAGAAATTCATCAAACAAAGATAATGAATATTTTTAATATTAAAAATGGCTAATGAATTAGATACAATTTAGTTTTCTGCCTCGAGCAAATTTCATTAGCATATCCCTTCGATTGACTCTCATATATAGAATAAAGTTTATTAATACCCGTCCAATTTTGACTATCATCAAATCAACAAGGAAATTTAATTCATAGCCGATTATGCATAGAGACTAATAAAAACCACTGAATAGAGTTCGGATAAATACAAGTACATAATTAGGATTGCAGAGATAAGCATGAAAGCCAAAGAGGTGGATAACAACAAAAAATTATTGGATGACATAGTTGATGAATTATCCATAATACTATCTCACTGTTAGAAATCAAAAACTGTGTAATTATTGCTTACCAAATTAATTTCGCTATATAGAAAAAAATAAACAAACTTTAATAATAGAGATTCAAATATCAAAAAATTTGGGTTAATATTTAATAAAAATATTAACAATCGAAATAACGTACTCTCCAATTTCATAGAATCCACAAGAATGAATACTCAAACTTAAAAATCATTTTCCCCTTCCTCCCAATATTAAAATTCGATGTTCCTTCAAAAGAGGGACAAGTAGATCTAGAATCAGGTCCATAAAGGCGATAATCTGTAAAATTACAAAGATGAACATCTCTAAGCCCTATTCAACAGACCCATGAGCTTTTAGAGGTAAAAAAACTATTATCTCTCAAAATATTGACTTTTTCGTGTACAAAGAAAGTAATTGAAGAGATATTTCAACATTTTCTAAAATATTTAATAAATTCGTTATAAAATAAACTATACCACAAAATTATATATAATAATTGTAATTTTCTAATATTTATCAACTAATTGGATTCTCGTTGACCTTAAACATATTTTTGATCCTTTTCTTTTCATCTTCGTCTTCAACCAAAGTCAAAATATTGATTCCTTATGATTTTGGTCCATTATATGGTACCTTCTTAATGAATGTCAGACAAAAACAATAAAGGAGTATTGCAGTCACAACCAGACCGCCAGAAACTCCTATTATAATATAAGGAGCATCCTTTGGATAGACCTTCCAATAAGGCAATATCTCAATACTTTCAACCTTAATCGTACCTGATACCAAGTATCCTGAATTAGCATTTGAAGCTGTCTAATCCGTTGTCTATAATAGCCTTCTTAATAATAATCTTCTCCTAGAATCAGCTGGATAGTTGTCGTCTAAATCTCTCTCAACCAATTAGGCAGTGATTGAAATTGTACAATTCTACACTGCAAAAGGCACTTAGAAAGTATAAATAGTAGCAGTCTGATTTTTTTCACTTACACCTTAAGATTTCAAATTGATTGAAGTTCCATTACCTAGAGCCATAGCACTCACTAACTAAAATTTGAAATCTGCTCCAAAATCTATGTATTTATTGTCAAGCATCACCAAGATATAAAAGGGATCATTTAAATACAATACTTGAGGTTCATCATAGAATGACCTACAAGTGGAACTCTAACATAACAGAACCTTGCCCTCCACTTTTGTAGAGGCTTCCCCTAGATTGATTTCAGAAGTCAAGACTCCAAATTACACTTAATCTGAGGTAATGTCTTTTGCAATTAAGATAGAACTCTCATTGGGATAATAGAATTCCTAAGTCCATGTTAAATTGACTAAGTCAACTGATGTGTTGTTCAAGAGCAAATAGAATTCAAATAGACATGAATATCCTGCCTATTAAGAGAGTGGTAGTTTAAGTGAATATTGACAACCAGCAGTAGTTAAAGTAGATTCTGAAATTTTGAATCCATATTAATATAGAGCCAATGACGGATTTGATGAATCTACGTAGTCATTGTTGGCTTTGTTCATAATGAATTTTACCATGTGGCATTCCTTTATTTTAACATTCTTCAAAACTATACCATATAAAGAATTCGATTCTGAAACCCACCCTACTGAGATTTTATTAGCTGTGATGCTGCCTGCATCGAAGTAACAGAAATCAGATATGCAGGCACCTCGATAGAGTCTTCCTACTTCACATGATGTACATTCAAAATAGGATAAGCAACTGTTGCATCCTGGAGAACAAATTCCCCTGTCAAATATCGAAATGTTGGTAATCAAAAATTGACCTGCATAATCAGTAGCATCAGAGTAGGCCTCAAAGACTATTCTAAATGGTTTTGTTGAATTTGGTTTTATGTGAACCCTGACCTATAATATGTTAATGATAGTGTACCTTTGTCCAGGTGTTCTCAGCGAGACTATTTATTGTAACAAATTAAGCGTATTCATTTGTTTAATTTACACCAGAGGTTATCAAGGTTTTGTCTTCTGCTCCAATCCAATAAAATTCATCGACATCATTGGTCCAACCTACCACAATTCCTGTATACGGTTTTTCAGATTAAGGATGATGGACAGCCAAATAAGCGAATTCCAAAGTTACTACATCGTCTACCGATGTGAAATTTAGACTAGATTGGATTTGTTTGGTGAAACAATCTCCTCCATAGGTGAGTTTAGTTATCACCATACAATTTTATTGTCTTGTAACCACAGTGCATGGAACAATCAGACAATTGTGAGTACTTGACAAATCTGATTCATTTTTTGAGGTTATAAATGTTGAAATGTGTTCGTTGAAATTGAAGAATGCGGGCGTCTATAAATATTAACCGAGCACCAATTCTAATCCTAAGAGAATAATATAGCAAAGCATTATTTTAAACATATATAATAATGATTGAAAAATGATGAGGAATCCTGGAATTCGACTAAAAATTGAAATATTCTATTTGAATTACATAATTGATTTTCTTGTGCCATGCATTTAAAATTTATGTAAGTGTGGTTTGTGATTTTAACTCGATAAATGAAGCTCTTAATTCTATTTGATTTCTCAATATTATTAACGAAACCCTCATTTGTCCTCCCATTTCTATGCTGCCCCCAATTTATTTACCAATGCTCCTTCTTCTGTATCTCAATCCAATGCTCCCTTTGATTTGCTGATCCTCATTTATCTGAAATGAAATCCCCTATTTGTATTAAAGGATTATTACAATTAACATTTTTCCATTGTCCCCTATTCACTTAGAATCAGATGCTCACAGCAATCTAAATATAATTAAATGAACATAATTGACTATCAATCAAATAATAGGCGGTTTCTATCCATGAAATTGAGAACTCATTGATTATTTTTAATAAATTATACAAACTAATAAATCAAATTTAGATTAATCATTTAAAACTAAGGTTTCGTTAATACATTAACACCAATAAATTAATATATGTATATTCGAATCCATTTTAAATAAAAGAATTTAAATATATATATATAATCTTGTAATCTGTTACCTTAATATTAACAAGTAACTTATTCTAATGATGTTAATTAAAATGATTTATCCAAAATTAATTATGAAGGTTTACTTAATCTGGAGGTTTATTTTTGAATAATCTCTTCAAAATATTAAATTCTTTTGTAATTCTTTCTTTTAAAATTTAAGGTTTTATATTATCATATAACAAATTCTATCTTGATTTCAATTTTTGTAAGAATATTATATTGATTTAAATTTAAAAACAATTAAGAATGATATTCTAGCAATCTTATAGAAAACCTTTAAATAAAAAGTTCATTTATAGTTAATTTATCAAAATCAATTAAAAAGCCCAGCATATTGTGCAATTTCTTTAGCATCTTCTTCGTATTCCCTTTCTTCCTGTCCTTCTTCTTTATCTTATGTGTTTTCATTCATGAATGATTTTTTTTTACTCATGTCATGCAACCTACTAATATAGATTATTTTTCTAGCACACAAATCCAAAAATTTGGGTTGATTCTAAGGTATGTTTAATAGCATTACTCTAAATTAATACATGACGTCTTCTATATTCAATTTCAAATTGTCTTCCTATTTCTCTATTGATCTCTTTATTGATTTTTCCAATACTCTTTACAGAAAATGGACAGCTGCCTTTTACACTTCTACAATAGCCAAGGGATCAGGATCCTTTTCTCCTGCATTAGATTAAAATGCTGTTCGAATAGGTCCTTCAAATATTTTGTTGGAGATCTTTGGGTTTTTGCTACTAAATAATTCATTTTTCATGATTATCAATAAATATTAATATTTATGAAAATAATAAAATAAGAGTCCTTATATTATCTATTAACAATAAAGATAGTATGAAACATACCTATAGTGATCAGTTATAGAGTATATAAGTGCTGCAGATAAAATTTAGTATTTAAAATAATATTCAATAATTAATTAAACTATCAAGACAATGCTCCATATTGAATCTGTTTTAGCAATCCAATTTGTATTTTAGATATTTAAGTGGATTGTTAAGCAACTTTTAGTTATCTGGCATGAATTGATCATAATATTTGATTCTATGATATTCTAACTTCTCAGACAAATTCCCAAAAGGATCAGGACGAGTATTCTGGACAGTTTTATTGTTTGTAGAGTGCAAATGAGGCAATTAATAACTTTATGCTCCTGAAGAATATGATTGGTTTTATGTTTAATTGTTTGGTTGTTTATTGGTAGTGAATGTTTAGGGTGTTTTGGTATCGGTAGTTTGTCTGATAGAATGTAGAGATATTTTATAAGGATCAGAAGTAGGAGGATCAGTCTACAATTCCACCTATAATTCCTGGATTTTTTATTTAAATTGTTCTATATTTGAAGAAAGATTGTATCGATCTTAGTGACTTTGTGATTCATTAAATTTCTTCGTGTATTATTGAATGGATCTATTGAACTCTTGCAATCCTGTCTTAACATCACTCAATTCATCCTTTTTGTCAGAGCTTTCTGGAGCATGAAGACTACTCATGTCAATCCCAAGGCGTTGCAATTTGGATTAACTCAAATCAACGTCTGAATCCTCAGACATTATCTAATCGTTTTGAAGATCAGCTAAGGTGAGTGCAGCTGGAAAGTAGGCTGAAACTTTGTTTCTGTTAGTGTCTGTTAACATTTATTATTTGCGCAATATTATTATAATTATTATTATTCAACGAGATTGTTTAATATTTAATATAAATAATCATCAATATATTATATATTTTATACTATCCTCTTATAAAGGAAATACAAATTCTAAGTTTATCATATGATTATAAGTAGTAATTAAATATTATACATAACCTCAATCTTATGAGTTATTAAGTATCTCTATTCTTCGATAGTTCTAATTTATGTTAATTATCAGGCTATTATATTATTTTTGATTGCTACATCTATTTATGGAACTGTGAATATTATACAAATTCATAAAAATAAAATAAATGAATTAAGTTGCTAATCATTAAGGTGTAAACTAATTAGTCTATGGAATCCTTGTTAAAATAAAAATGCACAAAGCCAAACGAACTTAGATAATTTTGTTTTTGAGTCCGAATGAGGCTCGAATGATTCAAATGGTAATGCAATAATAAAATTCCTAGCTTGATCCACTTGGTACATTCAGTAATTACTTTGATCTCACATAAATTTCAGATATGACATCTGAAGAGCAGAACAAATTGAAAATCATCAATTCCCAAGGCATCTTCATTAAACTCTACTTTGAAAATTACCAATAACTAAACATCATTAGAGAAGGTTTGCAATATCTTATGGCTGAGGCATTCCGCATCTAAAAATAACTAGATAGTTACAATCAAATATGGAGCAACGCCCTAAAATTGATTACGAAGTCAGATCTCGATATGGATAATAGACTCAGCTTTAAGGAATTCTAATTTCTAATTGGGGAATTGTAAATTGAAATCCCAGAAAGAAAACTCTTATAGTTATTTGATAAACATTAAAAAAATAACCAATTGGATGAGGCTACTTTGTATAAATTGCTTATGGAGATTACAAGGAAACATGAATTGATTCAATTATATCAAAAATATTGCAGTAAATAAGAAGGTATATTTGATGATCCACACAATACAATGTTGATGAGTGCCCACGACTTAGAAACCTTCTTCTTAATTGAATAAGGTCAAAAAGATTATAAGGCATAAAAATAGTGTTACAACTTTTACGATTTCTAAAACATCATTTTCAATCAAGAAAATTCAATATTCCAAGCTAAAGATTTTGATAAATCTTAGCCTCTTACACAATATTTAATCAACTCATCCCACAATACTTATTTAGAAACCAATCAATTAACCGGTTAATCAAGTTGTTTTGCCTATCAAGATGCCTTCAAGATGGGTTTCAAATGTGTAGAATTGGATTGTTGGGATGGATAAGATGGAGAACCAAATGTTACACATGGTCATACCTTAGTGAATGATATCAAGTTTATCGATGTTATCAGAACTGTCAGAGAATTCGCCTTCATTAAAGATGACAATCCTGCTATATTATCTTTAGAAATGCATTGTTCTCTTAAATAACAAAGAAGAATTGCTGATATAATAAGATCAGTCTTAGGAGACATGCTCTTTGTTATTAAGGATTATAAAGCCAAGCAATTTGCCACCTTGTAAGAATTGCAAAGAAAGGTATTGATAAAATATAAGGCCGATGAAGAATTCTTGTAAGAGAAACTGCAATTGAGTGATCATTCCTTATCCTTATCCTTGTATTGTACATCAACAAAAGAAGATATGCTCATTTAGTTTGAAGATGAACAAGATAATGATAACTAACTTAACTAATATAGCAAGACACTTGATAGTAAACAAGGCAAGAAGAGTTGCAGAGAAATATTGGAAATAACTTCTTTATTCGCTGTATCACTTAAACTGAATATCAATCCAGATTTGGTGTGGGTAGTTTCAAGTGTCTCTGAGGATAAGATCTAAGATGTCGTAAAAAAGAATTAAGGCAAATTTTAAGATTATGTGAATACGTACTTCGTAAGGATATATCCCTTAGGTTTGAGATTCGACTCTAGTAATTATGACCCTTTTCCATCATGGTCAGCAGGGGCTTAGATGGTGGCCTTGAATATACAAACCAAAGACATCTTTATGCTTTACAATTACGGTATGTTTCTCAATAGTTCATATGTGTTGAAGTCTAAAAATGACATTTAAATGACAATCTTCATCCAAATAATTAGTGCCAGTAATATAGTATGGGAAGAGGAGAAAAGGAGACAGCAAGAAGTTGTCGACCCATACATCAAAGTCAGGATTGCTGGGAACAAGGAGGATGTAAACAACTCAGAAAAGTGGAGAACTGAAGTTATCTACGACAATGGGTATCACCCAATCTTCAATTATAAATGCAAAATTCAACTGAAACATGCTTAATAGGATGTGATTTACTTCCAAGCCTATAGTTATTCGCTTTTGGGGGATTCCTTATTAGGACAATATTGCTTGTCTCCATTAAATTTGAGAAGAGGTTATCGAATAGTCCCTTTATTAAATTCTTAATTGAAGCCATTATTAAACTCTTTTGTTTTAGTAAATATTAAAATAGAGTATTGAAACAGTATAGTCAAACATTAACTTTATAATATCATTTTATTTTACATCAAATATCATCATCAATCTTCAACACGTTATATTATAAGAATGTCTTTTAATATATTCAATTAATATGATTTTGTAAAATGAACACTATATTAACTTAATAATAATTTTAAAACACAAATATAAAACTTTTAAGATAAGTCACACATCAAATGGATCGAATTACACTTATTGAATACTTGGCAACCACTAATATTAAAGTGGTTAACATGGAGTTCCATCACCTTATTTAAACGTAACTGATAACTTTTTCTTGTCTTGAATATTAATTTGAATTTACCTATCAAATGTCCATCCATAGCTTCTTTTGCTTTTTATGCACTCTCTTATTTGTCAAAACTCACAAATCCAAATCCCTTACTTTTACCAGTTTTTGGATCTGTCATTACTCTTGCTGAAATTACATTGCCATAAGATGAAAACAAATCCATTAAATCTGAATCCTTATGCTCATTTGGTAAATGAAAAACAAAGAGATTCGCTCCAGGAGGTCCTGTTTTCTTGGAATTGAACGTAGCCAAATCATTCAAATACTTTTCTTTAGTAATTATTTCCTTGCTTCCATCTGGTGAATATATGATTGAACCGAAACTCACACTATTAAAATGATATGAATATCCAACCTTCTCACAATTTCTCCAGTCTCCCAATGAATGTAAATTGGTTTCTTCTTCTGATCCAGCCACCTTGTATATGATTTAGTCTAGCTTATTATAATAAATGTACAATGTCTCGAATTGGATCTCCTTCTTCAGTCGCAGGAGTGTCTGGATACTGCTTGTTCGCAATTGTGGCAGGCTACCCCAAAAATCTTACATCTAAAGGACGATCTCTATGTTTATAGCATTAAGAGCATTACCCTAACTAATTCTTATTATGATTATTCTTGATTGCTAATAAGCAACTCTCCTTGAATGTATAAGACACGATGGCACTAATTGAGGACTATCCCTAATTCTGGATCTAAACGTCAGTGACTTGACCGTATTTCATAAAGATCTCCTTAATCATTGCCTCTTCGCAGTCCTTCTATAATCCATCAATTTGAATCTTGGGAGAAGTTTCCTCAGCCACTCCTAATCTTTCTTTTTCGCCCTCAGCCCATTTCAGTACCAGAGGCTGCATTCCATCCACAGCCACTTCTTTCAATTATTTTGTGGCTTTTTCTCCCTCTTGCATTTTATTGAATTTGACTATTGCTGCTCCCTTGGATTTAGCTTGATTTTAGATTATTTCAGTACGATCATCCTTTTTTAACATCTATACATCAGACACAGTATATCCTTGACTTGATAGAAAATGTTTCAATTTCAGTTCATCCCATGCTGAAGGAATCTAGGAAATCTGTATTTTGAGATAGAGTGGCTATTCACTTGAAACGAAAGTAGGAACATATGACATTCTGTAAAATAAATATTATTAAAATAAATGGAATAAACTTTTAAAGAATAATTATCAAACATTGAAGCATAAGCTCGTAAATTTGAAGAATGTAAAATTGCATTTACATTTCAAATTCATAAAAACTTCACAATTGGAGTTAGCTGTAAAAACCAATTGTAATCTCTTTACCTATTAAATCTTGGAAAATTTAAGAATCAATCATGATGCCATAATGCAATAATACTATAACACAAGTTCTATTGGATTAAATAAGATCATAATTTCGATTTAGTATTATTATTAATATATATATTTATATTTATATAAGATAAAATGAATAACAAAAGATAAACAATCGAAGATGCTATGAGAGCTGAACAAATAAATTCTTATTAACCTTAGTAATAAGGCGGCTATCAAAATTATTATGGTTACAATTCCAATGTGAATTACAGATACCAACCCAACATTCCTGTCTAATATCAATATAATCAATATTATCAATATAATTATCAAGGAGTTGGAAATCAATGTAAGCCATTATTAATAATCTAGAAGCAATGATGCAAAACAACTTTTATAGAGCTCCTCAATTTGTTTAACAACCGAGTACGGTTTTCAATTAATAATAAAATAAATTCCAACCACCACCACAACAATAATTTGGCAATCCTCCATTACCATAATAATAATCTGTGTCACAACAGCTTGAGCAACAATCTATATAGTAATAATCTTCAAAGATTCAAATCGAAACCAATAATGATCATCAATTTCTGCCTCCAGTCAACATTTCAGAACTGGATCAACCCACGAGATGGGAAAGCGAACTGAAGGTCTATTCGTATCTGTATCGCAAACTCAACGTTGAGATGCCTAATTTAGTTAGTATGATTGTTGCTTAAAATAAATAGGCGCTAGATTTTGCAATTCTAGAGAAGTATTCAATGAGTAATCATCGATTACTGTGAAGTAGTATGTTGAGAGGGCATTTAACAAATGCCAATCTGATGAAGAGAGGAACATCATGGAATAACATTTAAAAGCCACAATTGCTGAGGCTAAACGGAAGAATGAATATACTATCAGAGACTGGTCTAAATTTCCTTTGCCCACACTTCAAAGAGAGAATTAAATACGCACGCAGTCCTTATTTTCATCAAACTTACAAATTAAACAAAGCACAGCTATGGCATTGTCGTCATTAGGTTAAACTAGTAAATTTGGGGCACCAAGTCAAGCCCAACCTACTGGACCAGCTTAAAGTAATGGTTCTTAATAATAGAAATCACAGCATCTACTAATTTGCACAATTTGATCTCATTATACGATTAATTGGTTCAGTAATAGGTTGAATCAATCAATCAAAATCATATGAAAAATAAGAAAATTGACTATAGCATGGATTTGGCTATTCTGTAGATTGGAAAATTGTAACCCAATGCTACTACATAAATAAAATAACAATAAAAATAGTTAAAAAAAAGAATAGAAGAAGAAGACCAAATTATTGAAACAAATATGAAAATCATAGTATTATGGAATTTCATTTATTTTTAAGGGGACATGTGAAGATCTAGAAAAACCTTATTTTAGACTAACTGGTTTGCCAGATCCTAATATGATTAGACCTGAGCATATCTTAAAAAAAGCCCTTGCATAATTATTAGATAAATGGAAAAACTGTCAAGCTGATTACAATTTCATAATTGAATAATTTAGATCAATTCGACAAGATCTCTTGGTCTAACACATCGAAAATAGATTCACCGTGCAAGTGTATGAAGAAAATGCCCGAATCTGTTTAGAATGCGGCGATTTCCCTCGATATGAAAGTTGTTGGACAATGCTGGTGGACTTATATGAGATGATCAGCATTAGTGAGGGCAAAGATGTGAATCTCATTGGGAACAAAGTCGAGTTTGATAGTTACAGAATATTCTATCTCACCATGTTGAACAAATAAGATTAATTAGTGAAGATAATGCATCAAAATCTGGATGATTCAAGAATCAAATTCGCATTAGGGTACATATTCAATCTCATATCATTCCAGATTAAGAGAATCCTTTAAGTGTGGCAATTATGTTAAACTATTTAAAGATTACAAGGAATCAAGTGACACCATGGGGAGCATCATTAATCACTTTTTAGTAAGAATCAGAGTTAGGGCATTGAAATAAATTGTTAAAACGTATATAAATCTTATATCATAATCATAGTTACATTTCTAACATTGATCTTGAATACCTTGCCGATCTATTAGCATTCTAAGATGTTGAATAATTTAAATAATTCATGCAATTTTTTGGTATCATAATCTATTTACCTTTGTAGATTTAGTAAGATTTGATGAAACCTTAAAGTTTTTATTAATAAAATAAAGCATAAATGCTTTTGATAATATCAATTTTGATAAAATGAATGAATGAGGTCAAAATAATATAATATAAAGGTATAGTCTAATCAAATCTCAAGAATTATTTCTTCTCCAATTAACTTATTCTCTTTTCCAATCATATCCATCTCAATTAATGTTCTATTCTAAGAATTATCTCTCCAACTCCTATTAAAATGGTTTATTGTCTTAAATTAAATTGTTTTTGTAAGCTATTATTTTTGATTTCTAACCACCAAATGCCTGAAATGCTGATAATTATAATATTTTCATTAAGTTTACCTAATAAAAATATATTATTGAGTAATTCTTTTTTCTTATATATACACTTCTATCTATTTATGTATTGGCTACAATTAGGAATAATAATTCAATCAAAATGAATCTTATATGCAATAGAAAAATCAAGACTATCTAATTTTGGATTGCAAAGATTATGAAAATTTGATTTCATTATTGAATTTAATTTAACAATAAAATTATATAACGAAAATTCAAAAGAAAAATGAAAGGATATCTAGTTCAATCTTTAATCAGCCTATTTCCAATTCAATAATAGGAAACATTGATCAAGTGCGTGTTTATTATAGGATTTGATAAGCTTGTAAAAAAGGGTTTTTTCATTAATGGCAAACCCAAAATATAAGAAATAATAGATTATTCAAGTAAACTTACATATCATCTAGGTAAATTATAAACAGCTGGGAGATTGAACTTTGCTCAACAAAACTGTGATGTGAGACAAGAGCTCGATCACCTGAAAGATGAAATAAGCAAGTTGACATAGTAAATATAATATAATAATTCAATAATGTAAATTTGTTGTCATGTATTTTAGTTAAAAATAAACACAAAGAAGTCATGATAGGCTATTATTTTAGAATATCTCGACTTAATATGATGACAGAAAAAGGTCTGCATCAGTTGGATATAAATAATAATAACAATAATTGATTTAAAAGAAAACCAAAGAAATAACTCCGAAAATTACAGAAACCATACCATAAACAATCAACTAAATCAATATCACTATTTCTAAGCATCATTTGGATGATACAGAGATAAAGTCTATAATGAGGGACAATTTGATTAAAGAAAAACCTCCAAAACCCAATAAAGTGAATTAGGATCAGCTTTTCAAAAAAAATAATTAGATTGATTATTAGCGCGTAGATACAGAAGAACATCACATGTACGAGGATACTGATAGCGTACCTGTCAGAGAACATTATATTCCATAGATTCTATAATATTCAAATCTCTAAAATAGTTAGTTATCATAATATTAATAATAATTACAATAATAACAATAATAATAATAATTACAATAATAATAACAATAACAATAATAACAATAATAATAATAATAACAATAATAACAATAATAATAATAATAATAATAATCTAATATCTTCTAATAGTAAACATTTAACTAATTACAATAACCTTAGCTATAATAACTCTAGCAATCCTAAGTATCATCATAATCCAATGCAAAATTAAGTGATCATTAATCTCATAATACAAATTAAACCTTTGCTTAACCTTAGTCAAGCCAGAAGCATTTAGTTCCGCCTTAAAAATCTCCAAATAGTTAATCAAGATCTCCTAGTAAATCTCCAAAATTTAAATATCAACAAAAGCAGAATTCAAAAAGAAATTTAGAAACAGTGCAAGAAGAGAGTTTTACTTTAGTAAAACATCAAAGCAGCCATTCAGCTTCATCAAAGGGAAGAGGATCCTACCGATAGCAAAAAGCTCAATAAAATAATCAAGCTGTATCTAAGATCAAAGCTTTACTAGATTAAGATAAGAAGATTTACAAATAGCATATGATAGATGTCGCAAGTGAAAGAAGGTCATTTATCAATTCCTCCGATAAGATGAGGAAGATTTAAGAAGAGATACAATCTGAGCAAAGCCAAACCAAAAATCAAGAAATCGGTGATTCAGTAAATAAAAGAACCTTTTCTAACAATAGCTTTTATAAGCAATAATAGCACCAGTAGATCTCCCCGTAATTAGATTCTGAATCTAAATGCCAAGGTCTAAATCAGTTACACCAATTTTAAGGTTCTGTCTCAATGACAAACTCAAATAGAGTAAGCAATTTCCTAGCAAATCCCCATCTACAAGATAATATGCCAAATAACAGCAAATACAAGTAGCAGATGCCAAATCAATACTCTCCTAAAATAAAATATTAAGCAAGACCATAGAGTGTTGGTAAATAGTAGGAGAGTGACTTCAAAAGATCGAATGATTTTAATAGAAGTTCAGTTAGCAGTACATTTTCAATGTTTAATCCTAATGAGGAGTTGAAGACATTTTTTTAGAATGATTTTCTTGAGAGAAAACGATATATCCCATAAGGGTACAGTGATATGACAAAATAAGTAATTTATTTAGTAATTAAATTAGTCATCCTTAAACTCCTCTTAAGATCATAATTAACATTAAAGCAAATATATTAGTTAAAGTCAAATTGAAGACTAGCAGAACTATAGTAAGAATTTATACAGTCCTTAGCAATATTAAAACATTGATAAGTCTAATGTTTTTAATAATAATAGGCTTAGCGTTACTAGAATACTAAATAATTCATAAATATGAAATTATATTTTATTATTTTAAATGAAATTATTATTGCTATATATCTCACTGCTACTTTTATTAGAGTAATTTTAAATATAAGTTCGAAGACAATTCACACATTAAGTTGGTGAATCAAATTTATGTTAAATAATAATTTAAATTAATGGTCATAATAATTACTTATATATTAATTAAGATTTATGTTATCATAATAGTGATTTAGTTTTGAATCTGAGTAATAGAGGATCATTTGATATTAAAGTATGGATTGCTCTATTTGCTAAAAGGAATAATAGAAATAATGAAGTACTATACTCAAGTGATCATTGAATTCCTTAGAAATAGACTAGAGCGATTGATTTTAGGTTTTGGATGTTATTTCTGAATGAATTTGGGAAGACATTTTTAATTCTCTTACTATCATATTTAATCGGGTTCTTCTTGTTAAATATAAAAATTATATTGAATACACTAATTATCATAACAAAAATAATGCTAAGCTAGGTAACAGCCTTAACTTTTGTATACTTTAAAGATTAGAATGGAGAATAGAATACAGAAAGATTTATCTAATATTGTATTGTAATAGGTATCCTGAATTTTCTGGGTTTGTTTTTAAATGCTTTTGAGTAGCATCCAAGGACTAAACACAATTCTTTTAGAATCGTGGTGGAATTGGGTATTCCTGTATTGGGACTAGTTCCAATTGTGACCTATTTTATTAATTACTTGGAATTTTCGATGATTAGCATATTGATAATGATAAGTATGATTTCAATTTGGACGATTGAATGCCTCCTATATTATACCTTAAGTGAGAAGGGAATTCAAAGCATGCTTAGTTTATGTATTACTACGAATGCTTTATTGATTTTCGGAGATATTGCTCTGAGAGGCAGCTCATAAATTAGTGTAAATATTATTTTTACACATAGACTATATTTGATTACAGTTCAATCAATTTTTTGGTGTTATGCGCTCAATTTTCTTGGTCAGGGGATTTAAGCACGAAGAAACCAAATAGTTTGTTTAACATAATTTCAAGATAAGACTGTTTTAGGTTGATAGTGTACTTTCTAATATTCAATATTGTGAATAATACAATCAGAACAATTAAAGAGAATCAGAATGCAATTTCCCCTACTCTGGCTATTTTTTTACCATACATTTGGGCTACAATTAATTTTAATAAAAGAAAATACAGATAAGCATTTGGACTATTCATGTTAAGTATATTTATATATTTTCCAATGGAAATATAAATAAAATACAGCTAGCAAAGATTGGAATAAACAATTTAGCTTTGATTTTTGTTATAGAATTTATTAAAAATAAAAAATTAGATCTTAAAGTATCTTAAATGTAAATTCTCGTCTAAAGTGGAATTTCGTCTTAATTTTTATAACTTCAATAAATATTGATACTAAAACACAGTGATCTATTGAAATAGGACTAAATAAAGTTAAATTCATGATTACTAAGAATTCTGAATTGAAAGTTTAATCCTCAAGCAAGTTGCAGTCGAATGTATCAATATCTAAATAATAATATAGGGCGATAATTTGGTAGGAATAAATTCCGAGAGAAACAGTTACATATATAAGATTTTAATATAAATATGAATAATAAAGAGAAGTTGGCGAAGTATAAAGAAAAAGTGAATTAAGTGATATAAAAAATGGTATATGAGCTATTCAAGCATCAACCAGACAATTACGTATGAAAATATATCAATCTTAATAACAGGTCGATTGGATGATTGAATACTTGCAATTAATAAGATTAAGCAAACATCAAAGAGAAAGTTTGATTGTTGAATATAACGTAACTTCTGATGATGAAGCATTCGAGGATATTGATGAATTACCTAAGCCTCCTGGAAATCCAAAGCAATTCAGAAGTTCTGTAAGTGCTGAGGTGTTTGGTATACATAATAAGAAAGAGGATTTTTAGCCCAGAGTGATTGAAAAAACAGAAGAATAAAAGGAGAGAATATAGGAAAAGCTGATGAAAGTGTTCATGTTTTAGGCGCTTGGAGAAAATGAAAAGAAAATAGTTGTAGATGCAATGGAGGAGAAGCATTTTGGATAGAATGACTGGGTGATAAGGTAAGGGGATGATGGCAATGAACTATATATTGTTTTCTCAGGCGAATTGAGTTGCTACCGAAAGATGCATCCTTAGGATACCGAGCCAAAATTTTTAAAGGAATATTCAGCTGGAGATATGTTTGGAGAATTAGCTCTATTATACAATGCTCCAAGGGCTGCGTCTATTTAAGCCAAAAATGATGCAGTTCTCTTTGCTCTGGATAGAAGCACGTTTAATAACATAGTAAAAGATGCGACCATCAAAAAAAGAGAATAATATGAGGAAGTATTGTCAAAGGTTGAATTGTTGTATTCAATGGATGCTTATGAGAAAACTCAAATTTACGACGGATTGAAGGAGGCACATTATGGGGCAGGAGACATCATAATTAATGAGGGAGAAGAAGGGGACAAATTCTATATGGTAGCTGAGGGAAATCTGATAGCCTATAGGGAAGTGAATGGGACTTAGGAGGAGGTCTTACGATATAAAGCAGGTGATTATTTCGGAGAATTGGCTTTAATCCACAAAGTTCCAAGATAGGCTACTGTCAAAGCTGAAGTAAAATATTATATCCACTATAGACTGATTGTAATGTGGTCTATCTTGATAATAATTCGTTCGTTAGATTGCTGGGTCCTGTTTCTAACATTCTAAAAAGGAATGCGGAAGCTTACAAAAAGTTTATTAAAAATTGACAAATGCGATTTATTTCCAATATATTTAAGAAAATAATTTATTTTGTATTCTTGGAATTTAATTAGTTATAATTTATTCAATATATATATAAATGCAAAAAGCCTAATTTATTGAATTATTTCTTCTAGCATTTTTGGGAGTAATACATAGTCAAGAGAAGAGTGGGAATCCAATTACAAAATTTTAAATCACCAATTGCACCTATTTTGATCAAAACATCTCCTATATACCAGAATCATGCTAAAATGTTTATTTAACATCCTGTAACTTCGTTTGCTAAAAGAATTACTTGATTTTGAATGTTCAAGAAGTGCATTTTAAAAGATCAAACATAACAAATTGCGAGATAACAAAAATAGATTCTGATTACATTGAATTTCATAATATCAATTTAATCAACCCCAACACTAGTCAGTATAAATTGTAATCAAGGGGGAGTATTTCTCTACAAGGAAATCTTGAGCAATAGTTGAATCATACTTAATTACTCATAGAATCACAGACAGATATTATAATAAAAGATGCCTAGATAAATATTGATTATTTAGCGTTCATATCTCATATTGGCCATATTGAAATTTCAAACAGCTCTATTACAAGCTTAAGTCCTAAATGCAACATGAATAAAGATCTAGAATTGACATCAAATCTTAAGATAGTTTCTTAAGAAAATGTTACCATTGATTCAAAGTCAAAGATAACTGCTTCTACTCTAATTCTATACTCTAATAACACAATAGTAGATGGAGTAATTAAATCTCCTTTTGATTGTTACACTAATCAAGGAGTAGGAAAGGCTCCTACGTTTACAATTGAAGAATTAGTCTGTTTAAGTGGAGGTGGATCATCAGCTGGCCTGGGAGGAAGAGGAAGCCAGAATAAATCATGTTAAGCTCTAGAGAAGACTTCAAAGTAATTCATAAAGTCTCATCCTTATAACCATCCTAATTATTTAAGAAGCGGAAGTGGGGGTGCAGGAACAATATCTGTTGGTAGTGGAGGAGGCATAATTCTAATGTAATCCCTTAACTCAATTTCAATAAATGGTGAATTGTTATGTAATGGAGTCGATGGATAATATATTGATTTGTAAAATTAGTTTGGAGGTGGGGGAGGAGGAGCAATTCAAATACTAGCCAAAGTTATCGATGGGAATGGTGTCATCTAAGCCAAAGGAGGAAATTCAGATGCTTCTAACAAAGTAGGTGAAGGAGGAGGAGGAATAGTTACAGTGTAAGGAGAATTATCAAATACTTCCAAACTCAAAATAGATGTTAGGTCAGGAATAAGATAAGATTAATAAGCCTAAAATGGTACAATATAATTTTTCCCATGTGAAGATGGGTTTCACTTATATAAGTTTTAGTGTGTTGAATGCCCAAGTAATTCTATGTCTTTTGCAAAACGAGGGCACTGCTTCAAATGCCCAGGAGTTCTTTTTGGATAATAGTATATCGATTGGCCATCTTGTAATGAAAAAGTCTGCAATTAGTTTCACTGCGATCCAATTACATTCATCTCAAATATAGTGTCCAGTCTAATGAATCTCATTCTGTATCTAATGCTATTCATGTTTGTAACAATCGGATATGTAATTAGAAGGATGTATAGAATGAAGGAGATCAAATATGAGAAATTACCTTTCGACTTTGAATCAGCCACAAGATATATGACCATAGATCATTTGTTGACTGATGAATTGTTGAAAAACAATAATTTCTAATTGATTGATCTTATGTATCATGTTCATAGGATTACATTGCTTGGAAACAATTCTCCTGAAAACCCATGGAAATTGCCATCTCACCCTGAATCTGGTATTGAATATCTCATGGATCTTGAAGAGTATAAAAGATTTGCCAACAAAATCAATAAATTGGCTGAATGGAAAAAGTAAGAAAAGGTCTTATTGATTATTTTCTCTATCCTATATTACCCATTGTATTGGGTGATTTTAACTTATACAAAAAAAAAGAAATATCTAAAAATAATCGAATACTTTCATTAATCGAATATCATGAAGCTAATGGATGATCAATTCATTAAAATCAAAATATCCAAATCCGCTGATTATACATTGCTCTATTTTGATATTTTCAATTACAAGATAAGTGATTTAAAGTACTTCTTTCTAGCTTGTCCATACTATATTCTAGTTTCAGGGGAAGGCAACTTTCTGAAGCCATTTTATTTATGCGAAAGTAATCCTTTTCTCTCTTGTCTCTATTTTTCCATCAATAGAAATAAAGAGATTCATGAAGATAGAAATAAAATTCTGGATAATCTGGTTACTCACAAAACAAGAATGGAAAATAGTTAAAAGCTAAATAACTTCATTATTAAATTTAATAGATATGCCAGAGCTATTGATGTCGATAGCAATGACTTTACATAAAATGTATAATAATTAATCATCTTTTGCAATAATTAGAATGTTAAATTCTTTTCAGATTTCTTAATTACAATCAACATCATTATTATTATAGATGATGAATTTACTATTTTGGAGAATTATGAATCCTAAGAGTTTATTAAATTTATAGAAGGCGCTAAAAATAAAAATTTGAGATTGGGATTGTTCATCTATGATTCAGAAGCTAATCCTGAAGAAATAGAGGATGTGTTAGATAATCAAAGAATTTCATTGGAATAATCAAATCAATTCCAAGTTTTTGAAGAGGACAAAGAGAGCTTTGATAATCTACAAAACCTTGAGGATCTTAAACATTAGTACATTGAAAGAATGCAAGATTCAGTTTAGTCATCCTAAGAAATTTAATAAGAGCAATCAAAAAAATCTTAAAATAGGAAATCTGATATGAAAATATTTGGTAAAATTCGATACCTATTCCTATCTCATCAAGTTCCATCCGTTGGTCAGAATACAAAAATATATGTTCAATTATTGTTAGCAATTTTGGATGCAGTATAATATTAGATTATTTTAGATATTTTTGCCTTTATTAATTTAATAAGGACTCTTGGCAGATGATCTTTATTTAGAATAAATCTTGTTGATAAGTTTTCCTTATCCTTTAAGCATTTTGATAAGTCCAATTTTGGGATGTGTTTGGATGACTACTCAATCATATGGTATTGCAAAAGCTCATTCAATCTTCAATACATTATCAATTTTCAACCTAGTTGTTCATATTATTGTAATGATAAAAAAGTTGATCCCACTTGCCTTTATTATTTTATTTATCAACCTAATTCTAAAAATATTGTTGATGATAAATATTAAGAGAATACTGTCACTAAATATTAAATTAAATAAACTTAATTAAATTAAACATATTGTTTAATGATTTTTAATTTTTTATACACAATCATTTATTTGTATTACATAATTATGCTTATTGTTTTATTATCTCAATTAAAATGATAATTGAATATTGAATTAATATTTATTTATGATTCTAGTTTTATTATTAGATCCTTCTATTGGATTCACATTATTGTAAAGATATTCCATTAAAATATTTATAAAATATGTTTACAAATTAATTATTTTTATGTAATCAGATGCCAATCGCATTTACAATATTAATCTCTGACATAGTTTCTCTAATTTTACAAGGTTTTAGCTACCAGAACTCGAATTCCCTGAAGGAAGTAGGAAAGTAAAGCAAATTTTTATTCATAATTCCATTGTAATTGAGATTGTTTTCAAAGATTGGTAACAATAGAAATAATCCACCTTATTTTTAAATTAAGGCGTTTAATGAATAAAAGCAATGTGGAGAATCAAAGGCGCTAGCAATTAATGATTTTTCTAGGTTCTTTAACTGGACTTGCAGTTTCTTAGGACATATTTACAATTCAATTTAATCTTTTTAAAATTAAACAAAATGAAGATGTCTATATAATTAAAATTTGATTAGATCAAGTTGGGCCGTTTTTGTTTTGTGAATAAGGTTCATTAATAAATACGAAGTAATTAACATATAATATGTAAGTGTAAATAAATAATCCTAGTGAATGCTATTTAAGAAAGGAGATCAACAAAGATTAAGTTTGTATGGGAGTTTTTGAGTACCTAGATAATTTAATTTAGTTATTGTGTAAATTTATTGTATTTTTCGATTGATTTACTAGTCAATAAAAAGTGAATGATAAATAATAATGCTAAATAAAGATAGTATAAGCATCCTCGTAGAGTTAATCTTGGAAGAGTTTCACAGAACTGGATAAGTTGTAATTAAATTGATATTTTTGTGCATAGGAACGTGTATAATTATTTTGATATATATATAAATAATTTGTCAATTTAATCAATACTATTTTTATTTGAAAAAAATGTCATAGTGCGGAAGATTTTATCACGAGGTAACATCAAACTTCTGTCAACATTTTCAATTTAATTAAATAAATGCCTTATCTTTGTGGGGATCACTCGTCATCCCCATATCGATAGGAGTATTCAATTCAATTGGGCTAGGAGCATAGGGGTTCTAGATTTTTATTTTGCTGCTGGTGTTCAACTACGGAAAGAAAGTATTATAACAATTTAATGAAAGGATGCTTCATTGATGAATCAACCTATGTAATTGGCATAATATTTTCTAACTTCGATAGAGAATTTGAAGAAAAGAAAATAACCTAATTAACCAGCAGTAAATGAAAATTTGGTATTATTACTGGGCCCAATGATGATATCAGGATGCACAATAGGATTACATTCAAAGTAAAGTGATTAGTAAATCTATTTTTAGAGATTATATCCCTACATTTTTCACTATTGTAATCACTTTAATTTCCCTATTAATATTGATGATGACAACTTATAAAAAAACAAAATAAGTGAGATATTTAGAGTCATTGGCAACAAAAGAACAGTTAAAGGAATTCGAAGACGATTTTATTAATGTAGGTGATGGAATACTGATAAATGTGGAGCAATTCTTTTAATAAATTTAAAGCTCTCTTTAAAGAGAATCCTTTATTAAAATACTCCCTTAAGAAATGTTGGAAATGAATTTGACAATCGATGAACATAAAATAAAGGCCAAGGACTTTTTGAATTAAAACAAAGAAATTAGAGAGTAAATTCATAAGAAGTTGGTGACAAGATCAATCCCAAAATTAAAAGTGTTTTTTTATGCTCTTACAATTCTCATTAATGTTGGATTATTGTTTAAGACTACTGAAATGCATGTATGTGATGTGGATGCATTTAAAAATTTCATGATTTAAGTTTGGCATAGAAATTAATTGCAAGTAACTTGCAATGTGAGCTTATTCTTCTTCCTTGCTTTAATTACAAAGACATTTGACATCATATTGTTAATATAATTGTTTGTTTCATCTTACATTTTTGGATTTCTTTTAGGTTCTGTAGGAGCAGCTGCCTAAATTGTAGTGATAATCCTTTTAACAAAATTAAAGAGAGTTGAAGTAAGTACTGCAGAAGTGACAATGACACTTCCCATAATCATGTTCTCAGTAACATTATCAAGTACAATTATATCATTGGCAACTGGAATGATTCATGATGTATGCGGAGTGATTGCTATCTTCTTGTTGTCTATCATTGGATAGAAAGTAGTCAAACCAAAAGGTGGGTAGTAATATGTTAAACCCTCTGTTTGCATTGCATCTTGGACTTTATTTTTTAGGCTGTCATGTTAATAGTCTTTGTGGTTACTTAGTTTTTTAAGGAACTAAGGCAAAGGATTGTCAGAACTATTCATACCAAGAGCAGTGTGTAAATGAGTCTGAATTATTTTATTCATAAAAATCATTTCATAATAATAATAATAAATGCACTCTAATTAGGAGTTTAGCTGCAGAATTCCACACCACAAAATAGTCAATAAAAAGATTGTCTATGTGGTTATATTTGTTTCCCACTCCTATTGTTCTGCAAAAGTCTAACATCTTCGGTATTCAGAGGCTGAGAAATTGCATGCCAAATTGGACAAGTCATCATAACAATTACGTATCTCTGTTACACTACCACAATTCCCTGGCAAAAAACTATTTGGCAGTCATAATGATTCTGAATAAGGCATTTTAAGGCGTGTATACATTGTCATCATCTATTATTTTAGAGATCTGATTTGCAGGATTATTTCAACCAACTACTTAAAATTGATAAACTCTACTCTATTCCATGTCTGAAATCTATGTTACCAGATATCAATGATGATAAAAGTGATCTTACCTAATTCTTGTAGGATAAGTAATTATTAATCATGACTCTTAGACCCTTATAATAATACAATTTTATTATTGATTCATTCTAACAATTAGACATGTTTGTACTGTATTTTGTTCAAGTTATTGACAATTTTAATAAATCCAAATGGAGATTCAAAACCAGATATTCAGATCTCAGGGACATCCATTCGGCACTCAAAGAACAAATCAAAGTCAATACTATTCCTGAGTTCCCAAAACGAAAGATCTTTGGAATTACTAATGATGATCCCCATGAAATTGAAACCAGAAAAAAAAACCTTGAAGTATATCTCAACTCTATTTATGCGTACTCCAATTATATCTAATTAGAGTAATCCAGAACTAGCCAATACAGATATTTTAGATTATTTCATACAAAATAGCAGAAGAGAATCCAAAAAATTATAAAAATTTGATGAACAAAAAATGCTATTAAAAATGGTATTTATATTATAATTACTAATTCAATTTAGAAACTTAAATAAAAACAACAAAAATAATAATAGATAGAATAATTGCAAAAGAAATTATTGAATCCTGAAAACCAATCAGATACCAATACTGCAGATAAAGCATCTCAAAAACAAATCAAACAAATACCCAGAAAAGGACTCTTCGTCATTAAAGAGCTCTTAGATAAATACGAAGATGACAATACCACTCTTCTAAGATACAGCTCCCTATCTACCAATCCATTAAACACAGTTGGTGCTACCTAGATGCCAATAAACATTTTACAAAATAACTAATTGGAAGATGATTTTATGAAAGCATCCTCGTAACCGCATGCTGCACAAATTGTCATGGATGATCTTGAAGATGATTTTGTTATCCAAATTGACGAAAACCAAGAAGAAGAAGCTTAATTAACCTATTAAAAATGACAACAAAATATTAATTTTATATTTTTATAAACTATTTTATTGAAATCTAATTGCTTTCCCAATTTTACTTTTTTCCTGTTGTTTGGTTTTGGGGGAATAAGAGTGTATTTGAATATTATTTCCATTAAGTATAATTAAGAGGGAATTTAAATTCTCCAACTCTTAACTGCTAGGCAAATCTAATTAAATTTATCTAAAATCATTCCATTAATAAACTATTATTGTAATCTCCTACTCATCAAGAATATCAAAATAGCATCGTAATTACTTTGAAATTACAAAAATTAAATATTTTTGTTCTAGTCTATAAAATAATATCTTAACAACTTTTTAATTCATTAGAACATTCAATTAAGGAACGAGAAAATTAATGATGAATTAAAAATATCTGTGCAAATTTAGTAGTCGTATGTCGAAGGTTTCACCTTTTTTAAATAATATGCTGGTAATTAATTAATTAGTTAATTATTTTAATCTTAGTCTATTAGAGAATTTTAGCCTATAAATGTTAAAAGCGTTCATATTCCAAAGTCTTCAAAACTTGAAAGTAGAATAAGCACATGTAGAATAGTTAAATTATGCAAACATTCATAAAAGAAAGGTTAGTAATCAACAATTAATTTATACATGTAAAATATAAAACAAATTTCTCAATGTCAATTATATTTAATTCGAACCTATGGATGTTATAATATGTTTATAAATCTTTTAATATAATATAATTATTTAAAATTTCCTTTAATGAGTGAATTTCAGAAAATAGATGAAGATGATTATTTTCGGTTGAATGACATTTTTTGTATTTGGTTAATGAAAAAACAAAACACTCACTTTGAAGATCTCTCATATAAAGATGCTAAGAAAAAATTTAAAAAATTTTGCAAAAGGTACAACAACCAAAAGCTTGATCCCTTATATTACGAGCATGAAAAATTAATAGAGAAATATCAATCAGATATCCAATCGAAACACAAATGGAATTTTAAATGAGCTAATTTATCATTTATTTAATGAAATTAATAAAATATCAAAATATATATGATTATAGACAACCTATTGGATCAGACTCATCGTAACACAAGGAGAGGCATAGTGTTTTCCCATACTCGCAAGACTTTTACAATAAAGCCAGACTCACCCAAAACGAGAGAAGCATGCTTAGCTTTAGGGTATGATCCCCAAATCTTTTAATTTAAGTAATTGTTTGCTTTTCTAACATTCAGAACTTTCGAAGAGTTTGCTGAACCAGGGATAACTGAGAATGTCTAAAAAATGAGATATGATCATTATATGAAAAAGACTGAAAGTAAAACGGAAAATGGATTAAAATAGGTGCTTTGCAAGAAATAAGCAAGTAGCGAAAGGTGATAATCAAAAAATAAAAAGCGATCACAAATCTACACCTGGAGAAGAGCTATTAAAGAGACGAGGAGTATCTAACAATTGATATTAAAGATTAGTGAATGATTTGATTGAGACTTACAATAAGAAGATGAGCAACATCAACAATGTGGAGAACGATGATTCCTATCTTTCATTTGATGAAGAGGATCCTATTCTCGTTTTGGAATAGCAATTAGAAAAGGAGATTACAAAGTACAAGAAACAATTGCAAGTGAAAGCCAAAGAAGTTTAACATCAATTGGAGAACGAAAAAAAAAGATAAAAGCTATAACACGACATGATTGAAAGAGAGAAAAAGATTGAGGATTTGTAATAGAAGATAGCGCATTAGAAGGAACTGAAAAAGAAAGAACTAAAACGAGCAGCACAGAAAAAGTTTAATGAGATCAAAGAGAAGGAGAGAGAAAGATAAAAGAAATTGCTTGAAGATAAAAAGAAGTAAGCTGAAAAATTCGAGAAAATGTACATATGCATATCTATAAATTAGACGTAAGAAACTGGAGGCAGATGAATTATAGTAAAAGAAAGAACTAGAGGAATAGGAGAGAAGATATCAAGAAAGAAGGCATGCAATTCAATAGAGAAAGGAATTGTAAGATAAAGAATACAATTTACACCTGGCTTCAACAATGAATTAGATTGAATAGAAGTGGGCTGAGACTTCATAAAATAAGGATAGACAAATATGGGAATCCAAATTGGAAAGATTAACTATGAGAAGTACTTTACATGAAGAAAAGTTAAGACAATACAAAGCCAAAACTCAATAAAGAGAGGAGTCTATGGTGTAGTCAATTGTTAAGAAGTTGGCTACGAAAGAGGATGATCTAAAAGGTAATTATTGAATCTTTTCTCTATAGCCTTAAGGTAATCTAAAGAAAGGGAGGAGTTATTGAGAATCAAAGAAGAAAAATTAAGAAAAAAGAAGATTGAAAAAAGCTTAAAGAATATCAAATCTTAGTAGTTTGGTAAAGTTGAAAGTTTGTAAAAGAAATTTCAATTGCTTGAAGATTTCTCTTAAAAAAGAAAAGAGGAAACAGAAATTTAGAAGTACCTAAAGAAAGAGAAAATGAAATTGAAATAATTGGATCTTGATGAAAATTATTAAAGATAAGAGAGATTGAAGGATCTAAGATTTAAGCAATTGATAAAATCAACTCAATAATTAAATGAATAAAAATCATTAGAAAAGATGTCTAATGAACTTGTACGTAGAGCCTAACAGGAACTCTAAAGAAGATTAAAGAAGGATGCCGAAAACCTAGATTAGAGTTTATTAAATGTTAGTTTAGCTGATGAGAAACTATTGAAGTAATTCAAAATTTTATTTCTAGTTAAAAAGTTAGTTAGCTTGAAAAGAATTTATCAAATCTGGCTCAAAATTCTAAAATTTTAAGTTGAAAATGTCTTTATGATGTCATTATTTAATTATAATAAACTTTTATTTTATTTTTAATTTATTACAAAAAGGAAACTTCTATGGGATTTGATTAGTAATTGATGGAACGATTTGAACGTCTATTGCCTTTAGCGTTAGAAGTAGAAGGAGGATAAATATATCAATAGGAGTATTAGAACCAACCCAACAACTCTCGAATTTCATAAGATTCTTATAATCAATCACAATATAAAAGATAACAAAAAAATTAGAACAAAGGAAATAACTAAATTAAGGATGTTTCCTTACTCACCAAAGAAGATATTAAAGAATATTATTTTGATGTATTTCTCAAAAATAAGTGCGACAAAATTCTAGACTTGAGAACCTGCTACTTATATTTTGATATGGTAATTAATTTAGGATCTGAGAATGCTGCTCTAATAATGCAAAAAGCTTGTAATTAAACCTTGGAAGGTGTCATAAATAAAAACACTATTTCAATAGCTAATAATTTGGATTAAAATAAATTATAAAAAAGTATTATTGAGGCCAGAAAGAAATAATTTTAAAAGTTTTGTGAAGTGAAACCATTTTGCAGGAAGTTTGAAAAGGATCTCAATAATAGACTCAGCAAAATCTAAGAACGAATTGCATCGGAACTATCGGATAATGACAGTGCTTCCAGTGCTCCTAATATTTAGTAAAGAGCTGTTATAAAGAATAATTAAATGAAAGATATTAAATCGAAAATCAATTAGCCAAAGCCTCAAAAGCCTATAACTCAACAAGTAGTGGTTGATAAACTAAAATAAAATCAAAAGGAAATTCAATAGATTGATAATAAAATAAATCTATAGACATTGAATAAAATCAAAGGAGTAGATAAATAGACAGCACAATTTTTAATTGATAAAAATGATAATATTCATTTATCTGACTTAGCAACTGTACTATTAGTTTATAATGACCCAAACTTAGATGATAAACACAAAGGCATCTGCTTTAGTTTAGATCCACTAGTATTGCCTAACTAGGAAGAATTCAAACAATAGGAGAAAGTGTGTTGGCCAGATAAGTTTGTGAATAGGAATATTATACAAGATACTGAATTTGCCTAAATACTATTTGAAACAGATTATTTGCTAAAATTAATGAGTCTTGGGGTTTAAGATGATGGCAAAACTCCTTTTGTATATCCGAAAGAACTTTCAGATAAGGGTTTAAAATCATGTATAGCATTTGGATAGGGAAAATTTATAAAATTATTGTGTAGATTTTGGTTAGTACCATAATAATGCACTTATCAATTCTAAGATAATAAATATGTAGTGAATGATATAAAAATAATGTGTTAAGCTAGACAAATAGAGAGAGTTAATTCATAATTGTAAGATAAGTAAGCTTAGGATATCAACGATATGTCATACTAGTTTGCTGAGAAGTTCACTGAATTGTATGATTAAATAGCAATTCATTATCCAATTTTTAATAGACTTAAATAATTGTTCAAGGCTGTTGCTTTAGGTAAATGGATGTATTCGAATAGAGTAAGAGTGGATTACCAAAAATTATAATAATCAATTATAAAAGTTAATAATCAGCCAAAAGTGATTCCAATTCTAAAGTATGAGTAGATTGGAGATGAAATGAAGATACCAGTTAATTACACAAAAGAGGAGAAGATTCAGAAGGCAAAAGATTATTTGGTTGAGAAAGGCCATCCAACAACTCAAAATTTAATTGACTAAGTAGTGTAGCAAATTCCTGACTTGAAGGGATATTAGATTTCATAATAAGTCTTTTATACTCTTGGAGGTATAGATCCAAATTGTTAGAATATGATTGCTTAGGATGTTGTGAAAGAGAAGAAAGGATAGGAGAGAGAGGAAGAAGAGGTTTAGGCAGAGATACCCTTCTTCCCTTGTATAAAGTGTAAGGAATGTTAAAGGATGGTTGAAAAATAATTAATTTATATGGATCAAAGTAAATGTTCAGTTCACAATGATTTTACATGTTTTTTATGTTTAGAATTGGTGACAAACGAAGACAAGGAGCCGAGATGTTGTGTAATAAATAAATTCAAATATATATTTCACAAAGAATGTAGCGAAGAGTATGAGACAATATTAAATAGAAAGAAAGATATATTAGATTTTTGAAGTTTATTCTTATAATTGATAGAATTTATGATTGTATTATTATTGTTTCATCACACAACAATTTCCAAAAGTGCTGCTCTTGTTCTATCATTAAAGTTGTTTTCAAATAGTTCCAACAATTAAAGTACAATCTAGATTTATTCGTTTCTAGAAACTCTAGCTTGTTCAGCAGCATTGTTGTCCTCCTTACAAGCCACTTCAAATGACTTTCTTTCAACTTCTTTGTTGTCATAGATGATCTATTAAAGAAGGGCCTATTGTTAGAGATCCTCTAATCTTTATTAAGCAAATTCAGCAGCAGCCTAGTCATCAGCGATTTGACCTGACAATCTGACATTCTCTTTCTGGAGTCGGATCCTAAGGGAATTATATGAATGAGACATACAAGTCTTATTAGAAGAACTTCTCTGCCCAATCCTCAGCATACATTTCTCTCTTTTGGACATCATAAATGCTTTCGATCAAGTCGTTGATGATATCTACAATCACTTAGACATTGTCATTGTCTGAATGTATTTTGGCATCAGAGCATAATTCCATAAGTAATGAGGTGATGCTCTTGAATTCTGAATTCTAGGCGTAGTTCTTTACTTTGAATATGATCAACGTATATACTTAGTTGTTCGTGATGATCTTTTAATTAAACTAGAGCACCTCCTGGATGTGGGGTTTATAGTTATCTGATGATTTGTTATGCTTATTTTAAACCATTAATTAATCCTATCAACTCATCTCTTTTTTGTTCATATAATTGATGATCTTTTCTTCTTTGTTCAGATAAGTTTATTTATAATTGATCATTTCTTTGAATTTCAGCATTCTTTTATTCTACTTAACCTAATTTGTTGGCTAATTCTTCTTATTTTCCTGGGATTTACCTTTCGTAATCAGCCTTAGCTACAACAGCCTTCTCCTGAATTGAATTGATTAATGAGAACTGATCAGCGCATTAAGCCTACCTTTCTCCGTTGGCCTTACTAGATCGTGCATCTTCATCTCTTAAATCGTAGAAAAGCTTGTTCAACATAGTATAAATTTATCTGGCAGCATTTCTAATACATTTTAAAGATAGACAAGTACTCTTATGTAAGTTCAAGCTGGATAGTTTGTAGTATTTGGCGACCAAAACTATTTGAAGCTACTTGTTGTAAAAATTCAGGTTGCTGACCTAAAGCGCAGATCAGAAGGGTAACCAAAATAATGAATTTCATTATGAATATTAAAAAAACGAATACACATCTAAAATACAAATAATGATAAAATCATAATACTAAAATAGATTATCAATTCATTGGATTCCTACCTCTCTAAAGAATGCCTTTACGTGATCAAAATCTAATTCAGTCAAATTGTTGTTATGTCCACAGTCCACATTAATTAATTGTCCAATTTTGGTTATGTAATGGGATGTCAATTTCATCTCAATATTGGTTCCTCTCTCAGTAGATTCATTCAGATTATGCGTCTATTAGGTGTCATCCATATACTCTGAGAAGCGATCAACAATTTTATTGAATTGATCTAAGATTATTTAGCCATCTTGTTTTAACTAAATAATTATAGTTTAATATACATTCTCCCAATCATTTTGATTTGCCTCTAAGTTCAAGAACTCCGTCATTTCCTACCTGTAGAATGAATACTGTTATATAAAGTTACGATGGTGGTCGTGCATCCCAAAGGTGAAACAACATGCAAAGAAGCACTAGATCTTCTCCTCAAAATTGTCTTAGCTGTAAATCAACAGATCAATCAAAGCTGTATTACTGTACTTTAAGGCGTACATTATTTCAAACATTGAATACAGGAGGGGCTACATTCTCTCCAACTCCTCAACAGTAATCAATTCCACGTAGTTTTCTTAATTGTGAATCGTTTAAATAGTGTTCATATTGATCAGAGTTCTATCTTGAAGATACTCCATTTATTATTCCAGTTAGTTCAATTTCACTAGCAAACTAACTACTCTATTTAAACTATCTGATAGAATCTTCATTTGTTAAGGATTGAGAATGTTTTGGTAGAAGAATTTCTAAAAACTGGCTGACTCCTGATCTAACATAGACGTAATCTTGCTGAAATATTTCTCTTTATAGGGACTGAACCATTCTCTCGCTACTGCTACTTGTAATTGAGCAACGTAAGGGATGATTTCATCTTTGGAATCTTGCACGATCAATTTATGTCCTTTGTAATTCCAATAGCTCATGTATATAGGTTTATCCCAGTCCGTTACGATATTGAGAATCATCCTTATACAACTGCTAAAACACTTTGAAGCCACCTATCCCAGAGATGAGAATGTTCTATCAACAATCAAAAAATCTAGATTGTTTTACAAAGCCACCTCTCCCGCAATTGATCCCCCTAATGAATACCCTTAGATGCCAAACCGAGTTATGTTGAAATGTTCTCTGAAGTAATTGACTAGGGTATTGGCATCTTAGAGGAGGGCTTTGGGATTGATTTAGCCAGTACTATAACCATATTATCTATAATTCCAAACTATCACATTTATTTTATTGTATTCATAGAATCTAAACCAATTACACTAGAATATAGATTCATTATTTACATCATAGTACATATATTCATAATACCCTCCATTGGGATTACAAAAGAGCACTGTGTTATTTGGCTGATCGTCTGTTTGATTGATCAAGTACATGCAATCAATTTTTGTGTTTCCATTGATGATCATCACTCTCTTAGCATTTTAATTCTACAATTATATCATTGCCCTAAATTCATTCAAACCACCAAACAGTTCCAAAGAGCACCACCTTTTAAATTTTTGCAATCCCTTCAATTCTTGCACATGCTTATTTGCGATATTGTACATGGCATCCAAATTGGTTATCAAATAATCAACATACTTTTATTCAATCTGATTACCTTTCAATATTTACTAATACAAATATTCATCGTTGCATTTGATTCGAAGTATTTAGAGTATTTGCTTGAGACAATTGCTATACTCCTACTGGAGTTCGCTTTGGTTTTGCATTGTTTAAAATATCTATCCTTATGTTTCAGACCATTGTAAAATGTTTACGTTTGGCTGTTTGCGTTGGCACAAGATTTCCTCGAATTCCTTGACCTGCTATTGCACTCTCTATTATTTTGGTTGAGTCTTACTTTGGCATGTAACAATCCTTGATTATTTTGGTTGATCCTCTGGTATAATTTGAATGAGCCAGGGTAGATCAAGGCCTGGCAGATCAACCTCAAGAACAGGTAGAGGATTCCCAATAGGAATAGTAAACTGAGAGTAAAGTCAAGGAATAAGTGAAGAACACCAAATGTTCCAAATATAAATAGTATAACTATGGCGTAAAGGCAAATAATATGAGTATCCGTTTTAATATTAATAATAATGAAAGTCATCGCTTTAGTGTTAGTTGGTTTATTGTGTGTTTCCGCTGAAACCCAAACAAGATCACCAGGCTAATTGTTGGTTGATCACATCAATAGTTTGATCCTCTCCATCCGTAACGAACAAACAGAACACGACGACATCTACACAGTCTAACAAAGAGAATGCGGAGATGAATTGGGATTCAGAAAGAAGGAAGTCCAAGACGCTGTTGATGCCTTAACTAGAGCAACAGAACACAAGGGAAGAGCCCAAGCTGCTCATGCTTCAGCCACAGCCGATTTGATCAGAGTCAAGACCTATCAATAAATCCTTGAAGACTAAGTTGAATTCATTACCACCAGAAGAAACGACAGAGCTGCCAACTTCAACAAGAAAGTTTAAAATATCAACACATCATTGTCTTTGATCGATGGTGCTGAATAAATCGTCAATGTAAATTGTTTAAATTCACAACTCTTAGGAATTCGCCAACTCCTCAGCTTCATTCATCCAAGTCACAAAACACTTCAACAACATGTTCCTCCAAGCCACCAAAGCTGGTAATGCTGGTGAATATGCTCCCTTGTTGTCTGTCCTCGTCGAATTAAGTGGAGACGGAAACGTTAGCGTCGATAACATCAACAGAATCAGATAATTATTAAACGAATTAAGAGAAAAATTATCAGCTGCTCTCTCACAATTGACAGATAACGAAAACACCCAAATTGAAGTCTTCTAAGCCAGAAAGAACAGAGTCCAAGACGTCATCACCCTCTTAGTTAACGTCTAAGGATAATTGACTGCCTACATCGCCCAATTATAAGCCACCATCACCAAAGAAGAAGACATCATCAACTCAGCCACCAGCAAGAGAATCAGAAACTAAAACTTACTTAACTATGCTAGTGATATGTGCAATGCCTTCAATACTGAATACAGTGACAGCACTGGTGCCAGAAGAAAGGAAGTCGAACTCTTGACCAAATTGAGAACCTTCGTCGAATAAAGAGTTGAAGAATTCAATCAATATGGAGGAGATCCCACCGACGTCTTCGCCAGTTATGCCAAATAAGGATCTGCCTAAGCTGCTGAAGCTCAATTCCTCTAACTTAGAGCCAACCTTAGATCCAGAAAGTGAGTTTATAATTTCATAAAATTTAAACAAATCATAAATTCTTATTATTTTATAAATAAAATCAATTAAATTTTGGATAGCTATTACTACTGTAAGGATTCTAGGATTAAGGCTATTGATTATATAAAGCTTAAGCATAAGGGTTTTATTAATTTGGAATTGATTACTATTATAAATATTAAGGATATTATTGTTATTATTATTATTATGGATAATTAGCATACTATTGTTATTAAGGATATTATTAATACTATTATTATTATTATTAATATGGATTACCTTATTAAGGCTGTTATTATTATAAATTTATATTTTATTATTAATTTATTTAAGGCACTACAATTGCAGGAACAGCAATCATAGGCTTTGCTATTTATAGCTTTGGAACACCTGTAAGTGCACCTTATCCAGCGCTGTTTGTAGAATTGCTAAGATTCCTCTCAGGTTATTCACTAATTCTTTGAATTCTTAGTATTCCTAATTTTTGCATTTCCAATTTGAAGTCCTCTGGTAAGGGTAGCACATCAATCTCCAACCACTCTACACATTTCTTTTAGCTATTGCTTTACTATTTTATTTTACCCTCCTTTGAATGCTCCAAATGTAAATCCTGGGAAACAAAATCCAAATGACTTGTCACCCCTTCCGCCAAATGTTAAAGCCTTCCCTCGATAGGTTACAAATGTAATATTTATGATTCTGTTCTTCTTGGCAGATTAGTATGCACCAAATATTTCACTTACGTAATCGTCAGGCCCTATTTCTAATATTGTATTCTATAGTTCTTTCTTTGATTTTGGGACATTATGACCTGCTTTCAAAAGATCACCAGCAAATAATTTGTAAAATATTTCGAATCCACGTATACTAAAATATAGAATGCAACACATTACTATTTTTCAGTATAGAAAACCCGGATAGCCTATATCTTCTTAAAACCTCCAGCCTTTTAGAGTTGAATACCATCATCAAAGACATCCAATTTTTAATTTTAAATCCCAATTAAAGCCTTATTTGGGGCAATCACAACAACCTACATTTTATTATATATTAAATTAATTATGATAATCTTTTTCTAATTTATTTGGATTCAACTGTCCTCACTCTCATTAATCTAATATAGATAAGTATTATTATTGATTTACATTTTAAAAAAGCTCAAATATTTCATCTATGTTTAACAATTCTATATTCCTATATCAATATTTTTAAATTAGTTTTTACAAATCTTCCTGATAAACCAAATCCAATTTCAATATGTACCTTTTTCAAAATAAAATCGTGCTTCTCTTACTATAAATCAATTTAATAATTAATTTTTCGCAATTATTGTTTCTTATATTCTCTTTGAATATCTACATCAACATCATTTTATTTTAGACAGAATTTAATGTTTAATTCCTACTATTAATGAAATTAACTAGATAATTAATTTAATCTTGAGTATTGTTCGAAATCAATTTTTTAGGTATTCCATATGTCTTTGAATATAAAATTATTTTTGTCCTTGTTTTTTTCTTGAATCAGAAGATTTAAATTGCAAGAAATATGAAGGTAAATGACTTTCTATTCATCATTCCATTTAATCATTGCTAGTAATATTTTGTTATACCCTTATTCTCAGAATTAGATATTCATAATATTGATTAATTTTATAATTTAATTTCTCTGCATAGTTTCCAAATATGAAATTAAAAAATATATAAATACATAAATAACAATCAGTTAATTAAGTTAATTAAGTAGTTTTTAAGAAATAATAGTATAATAATATTACTGATTGTTTCCCAGATGAAAGTATATAATAAACTTGTAAGAATCTCATTAATTAAATTAAGTATTTTTTGAGAATAATTCAAATATTATTTTAAGAAGAATATTTAATTACTCAAATAAATAAAGAAAAAATTATTTAAGAAAAAAAAGTATAATTTGATCCGAATAATAAATCCCCTTACATCCCAATTTAGAAAATAAAATTAAAAAATGATCATTTTAATTATTAGGCCTTATTTGCTTTATTTCTTTTTTCTATTTCCATTAATTATTTTAACCGTTTCTGTTATTTGGAATAACAGTATCCTATCATGGATAACATTACAACACAAACAACGCCAAGTATTATCACAAAAATAGTATAATTCTATTACTCTTCGGCAGAGAATAGGGGTCTCCTTACTTCAAAAGTATAATGAAAATCAGTCCAACAATAAAGCAAATCTTCTTATGTTTCTATTTTCTTTGAACAGTTTGTGCTTTTCAATATCATCTATAATGTGTAGGAATAATAATTACATTTGATTAGTAGCGTCCTGATTTAGCATTATTGCTATTACATATCATGTAAGTAGGATAATAATAATAGGAGAACTTATAAAATCCATGAGGAGACACAGCAATGAGAGTATCATTGCTATCCCCAGATGTTTCAACTCCAAGCAAATTGCCACTAAAAAAATAGTTTTCCCTAATTAAAAAGTAAGAATATACAATTAATGATTTTATTTATCTAAATATTTATCTGGCATTCTTGTGAGTAAGATCTTATGATCATGCAATCCTCTTATTATAACTAAATTATCATCAATAATGTCAGCCCTTTGTAACTTGCTCTTCGTAACATATTTTCTGATTTGTATCCATTCGTCATTTTTTACATAAAATTCAACAACTTAATAACTTGATTTGAAGTTTTGAAGTACAATCAAAGTTGTGTCCTTTGCAGAAATGGAATGACAGTCTTAAAGGTTAATAGTTCCAAATTTATCATTTTTTGTAAAAGTGCCATTGAAATATATGTTAAATAGGGATACTCCATTTTTAGCATCTAATATGTAAAGTTTATCTTCAAAAACTGCAATGTCAACAATTTAGAGATTTTCTAAAGTTTTATTGTATAAGTCAATTGATTTTATAGTTTTAACGTGTTTTACATGATTATGCGATATCTAATAGATTAACAAACCGTCTTCTTCTTAAGCACAATAAAGCCAGCCATTGCTAGCTACAAGTCTCATTTTTTTTTATGGAGAAATCCATTCAGAGATTAAAGAGGCATCCAATTATTCTTATTGAAACTAAAATTTTATTAAATGATCTTTGAAGAAAGCAAAAAAATATCTTGATTTCTCATCATAAATTAATGTTCCTGATTCTTGATTGAGAGTAATATAAGGTAGAGTTTAATTTTTTATATTAATGGGGTTGTTGCCATTTGATTGAATCAAATAGACATTTCCTTTTGAAGTCAATACACAAATTCCATCAGGACTGTTAGCTATTGAAATCAATTTTTCTCGGTATCCTACAAACAAATCCTCCTCGGAGAGGTCATCCAAACTCTTCTTAACTTGTTGAGTCACCAATGGCACCAATCCTTCAGGAGATATTGTTAGAGAAACTCCTTAATAAAAAGGTTAACAAAATGTCTTAGATATGTCATTTCCTGTAAAATTGACTGATCTAATTAGATAATTGATGGGGTATACAATATTTTGCCATAATCATCAAATTGCTAGTAATAAATCTATTATTCTGCATTCAACAAAACTTTCACTTCTTTGATCCCAGACGTATCGACAAATAGAGTGGTGTTGAGTTGAAGTGTAGTTGCTACTAAAATGAAAATGATCAGCATGCAAATGAGAATAAATTAAAATATAGAGTTTTTAATTATAATTATAAAATAAATAGAAAAATTGTCAATCATCTTAAAAGTTTCAATAAAGAAATGGTATAAATGTCTAGCATAATTTCTAAGGGCAATAGAGTTATTAGCAATCTGATATAAATCAATCTTAAATTGACTTTCACTACGACAAAAACTGATGAAGAAAGAAGAAATAAAATAAACATTACGCCAACTAAAATCTAATAGATATTTTATTGGTCTTGCTGATCGTGAATCACAGATATTATGCATTCTTGCATCCTGACAATGAAGGCTTCAAAACCTATAAAAGTGTCAAGTTAATATTGAATGATGATGTTATTAAAATCCTACGTATTGATTTGTGAGTTTAGTAAAGCAAAGTCTTTAACTGATTCTCCTGTCTCAATTTCAGTTTCAAAATAAGAAGAGAGAAAATTATCCATTTTACTTACCATCCCAGATATTCCTTTACTTAAATACTCAGAATTGTTGTCTTTATTTTAAAACTTTCCGTATTTATTCTCAAATTCAATTTTACTTATGTTTTTATTGCAAAATGGAATATAAGAATAATAAAGCTAACAAAAATCTCCATTGTACAAACCTAGAATAAATATTTCATCTTCTCCGTTCATAGCATCAGATTAAATTATATTATTATAAATGTCATTGAAATTATTGTGATCAAAGTTATAAACACTAAGTAAAAGAGGAATTGTATTTAAGTGGTTTTCATAATAGTTGATAGTTTTGGCATAAGAGGGAATGACTTCCTTCATAAAGTCATAAATCTGTAATTCAGATTTTAATATCAACAAAATTGCAATAGAATTCTCAAAATCAATATAAAATGAAATGTAATCCATGGCCAATTCTTACGTAGGTGATAATTTTTAACTCTAATCAATATATATTAGATAACTGCCTAAGAAATACAAAATTATAAAAATGGCTAAGGATAGAACTAAAATGCTTTCTAGAATCAATCTAATAGAAGGGCTTTATATTCTAGAATTCAAAGGGATTGTTAATTATGTTGATTTTTTATTGTATGATTCTCCTTGATTCGAATTGAAAATGGATTCTCTCTGTTTTTTGCTATGCAAGGATTTTAGATTGACCCTCTTTGACTAGAAATCAGAGTAGCAAAGCTTACTACAATTTCTCTGTTTGTAACCGAACTCACCATACAGTTGCTTTATCACAGTAATTATTAATTTGAACTTATTGATTTGAGTTTCTGCTGCTTTTTCACTCAGACGATTTGACAACATCAATATTCTTTAACAATACAACTCTATTTTCTTCCAAAAATATAATTAAGATAGGATAACTAAGCCAATAACTATGATTTAAACCAAAATTGAATTAAAAAATGTAGAAATCTTTTCGCTTTATTAAATTTCAAAATATGAACTCAACGAAGTAATGACCTTCTCATTGTTGTTGATTATATTTCCAAAATTTATCCTGTATTTTAGAAGGTTGCTTAAATAATCTTATTAATTATCGCTATGCATTAACCTAAATCCTACTTATTCAAGGTAATACAGATAACCCGTAAATTCAACATCTTCTGCAGGTAGATTTTCACTTAAATGGATTATTTAAATGTCATCTAAGTAATTATTTTCTTCAAGAGATATAAAGCTACCATACATGTTTGTAAGATTTATAAAAGTAGTTTTCATAAGGGTAGATTACTCCTCTAGTTGGTTCTCTAAAAATTCACTTGTATTTAAGATATTCAAATTTTTCATGGTAACCATCCAAGAATGAGTAAAAACGTTTAAAAAATATTTGTTAAAATTAATTGGTAGATTGATTTCGGATATAAAGTTTACTACTTGATTATTAAAGTTCCTAACTTGAACCAAGTTGATCGACATAAAAATTATAAACAGCATAATTATTATAAGTTTTAAGATTGATACAATTGTTAGACTTGAGATTAAGGAGGTTTGAGTTTTGAATTTGTTGACAATTTCAATAGCAGTCTAAGAGGATGAACCAGATTTACCACTAGATTAAGACTTAAGTAATGCTCCTTGATTGGAATGATGTTCGTTGTTATTGTTCTAATTAATATCATTGCTATTCACTTCATGAAAGCTTTCTGATTCTACTAAAGCCAGAGCATCTATTTGTTTAGATCCTCTTTTGTTGCCATAAGTAAAAACTTGATTTGAGTTAGAATGCTGACCAAGACAACTCTATTATTACATTTGAGAATAAATTGGACTGGCAATTGAAGAATCCATTTACTAATCAGCACTCTTATATTGACTCTGTTTATTACTAAAATTTCGATTATTGACATTGCGTAATTCACTTTACTAAGCTATGAACTATTTCTTTTCGTCATCCTAAAGATTGCTTTTATCAATAAACTCAGAGCAATCAAAGATGAAATAATATTATTTTTGTACTTTATTACCGAATTCAACCATTCGTATTTTGGCTGTACACTAATACATGCTTTTTTACAACTCCTAAATATAGTAATAGCTTTACTTCTATAGCATTTAGAAAGTCAACCATTTGTTATTCTTTCTATTCGAATAGGGTTGACAAATTGTATTTCCTCTCTTAATTGTAATCATTTTAGATCTATCTACTTGGATCTATTGTAAGAGGATTTTCTTATTAATTAATGGACTTTATTTCAGTAATCAATCTTTAATTCATCCCTTATTTTGGACTATGTATCATAGAACTTAGATGTTCAAATTAAGTAATTGTCTTGTTAGTTTATTCGATTTATTTAAGTGATTGAGCCTGGTAAGTTGAAAATATAGATTCATGAATTTTAGATAATTTAACTAAGTCTTGGTAAATATAGAGAACCACTGACTTTTATGAGATTGTTTCTTCTTTCTTTGAGAGCATATCACTAATATACAAATGGATATGAGGTAGAAACATGTAGACATAAAATAGATCAACATTCTGTAAGAAAAATTCTAAGTTTTCTTTAGGTATCAAAAATTTACTCATTTCTTGTGTAATCCCAATTAATCTACCATACTCATCGAATAACAGATAATTTTGGGATTCTGTTATTTTAGTCAGACCACCAATTAATGTAAAATCATCCAAGAAATTGTAGTTATTATAAATATTAATGTATTAAGGTATTAAAAATCCAGTCTTCGATCTACCAAACGTGATAACGTCTTTAAAAACAAGGTCTGTTTTTGCTTCCTTGATATAAGATTGTAGAAATCTATCGTGTTATTAGCCGAAATGCTATGGCATCAATTCTCTGATATTAACAATTTAGTTAATTTCCATCACAGAATACCCAAAATAATTTGCTAATTGACTTTTATTGATATTTAATATTTATCCTAATTGTTTTACCATACTAAGGATGACCAGGATAGTGTTATCATTCAAAATGTTCGATCTTGACAATGTCTTTTATTGAAGTTCTGTGGTTATTAGATCTGAAATTTTCTATTCACATAAAAGTGAGATACAGTAATCATTTAATACAAAACTGTGGAACATAGAACAAATTTTCAAAGTTAAAACGTCTTCACAAGATTTTATGAATTCTACTTTTACCACATTGATTTACTACGCTCTTAAGTATAGAATACAGTCAATTATTTTTTTGCTTAATGGTAGTGCAAATGTTTAAAATTCATATATTGATTGGCATCCTTTTATCTAAAATCTCCAAATACTTATCTTATATTAAATAATATCAAGTAGTGCCTTTTAGAAGTACTCCTCTAATTAACAAAATTGATACAATTCAAATGTTGTGATTCTTTTCTCATTATTGATATCATTTTTTAGTGACTAAACTTGTTTATTCTGATAAATCTTCTAAACTTCCTGAATCCTTTTCTGTAAGTGCAAATCAATTCTTTCCTTAATTAAACTATAATAATAGGACTTCCGATAATTAACATTCTATTCAAATCTCTTAAATTGAACATAGGCTACAAGTGGTTTTTTTCTGACAAAGACCAGAAAAGTGACAAATAGTAACTGTGTTTCCTCGATTTCATTCTTTTATTCATTTAATAGTTCAATGAACATTTCAGTGATCAGATACAATCCCAATTTATAGTAATCAGACATGTTTGTGCTTTTATTACTAATCAGAGCCTTTTGTTTGAATTTTGCAAACTTTTCATTGTTGATCAACTGAAAAATGAGTATATGTTGTCTGGTTATAGAGTTAGAATTAATATTGGAAATGCAAGAATACAATTCGTAGATTAGATTGAGTTGTCTAGTTTATGTGATGAGGTTGTATTGATAAAGAAAGGTGAATAAATGATTTCCTATAATTAATCCGAGACTGAGAACGAACATCATGTAAATTGCTATTTACTCTTCAGGGAATGTTCTATTTTTAGATGCAACATTCAAAGTGATTAAAATTGCTAATGATTCCAGGGCAAATGAAATTTGGAAGTCCATCATATTTTTATGAGGGATGTCCGATTAAAAGTATAAGTGATTTAGGCTTTTGATTATAAAGATCATATGCAAAACAAACAAACCAATTAGATTGTATAATTTTGATTAATCATCCAATGTTAAAACAATTGCAATTAAATTTAACAATATTACTGAACTTCTTAACTTTGTAAACTTCTATTACATAGGGTGGTATGGGGTGAATGAATAAATTCTTAAAAAATACTCGCACACGAGTACATACAAAAAATACAGAATTAATGTGCACATGTTGATTATTAGTTGATTTGTCTAATTGTTGCGGTTGGCAACAATTATTTATTATATATAAAACTTATAACATGGTATTTGGAGAGTTTAAATAGAAAATAAGATTATTGAACACAGGAGACTCGTTCTCCCTTCCTTATAATTTGCCTTCCTAATCTTAGTGTTTAATTCTAAACTGAAAAAACTCAAGTAAAATAACACGCCTAGGAGTATTATGAGACTAAAAATTGTAAAAGGATAATAGATAAAATTATTTTGGAATTCGAAAAAGGGTGTAATAGTGAAATATGAGGTGGCTCTTTAGATAAAAATCAAATACCCATCTTTGTATTTCCAATATTGCCATCCATGTTGAGGTGTTAGCAGAGATATGTATTGGATGTATGGTATGATGATCAATAGTTTAGAGAGCGCATCCTCTGTTGAATTTCTGTGTTGAGAATGCGCTACAATGGTTAAGTTTTCAATCAAAGTAATTCTCATTGATATTTAAATTAATTATTGTAGTAAAACAATAATTTTGTACTAATTACAAATTTTATCTCATGCTATAAACATCAATAAAGTAGCGAGATTTTGAGTTTTAATGAAAAATGTTCATACTTAAATACTATAAAGAAACTACTAATAAAGATAATTTAATTTGTTTGTTCGTAGATATCTAAATTATAAATGATCACTTATGATGGAATAAAATTTATTAAATTAATTCAGTGATTAATAAACAATTTATTTGAACATCTCAAAAGACTAGAAGTATATACTTCTCATAGTTTAAGTATCCCAGGGTACTGATGGGGACATTGTATCAATGGAGATTCGGAAGAATTTATAAGATTTTATAAGATTTATAAGATTTTATAATGTGAAATTAAACACTTTATATTTAATTAGCATAATTGGCATTCAGCTTTGTGCTGGTTTGAGGTCAAGAAGGAATGTATTTGGAGTTAGAGCCAAACTAATATGTGTTATAAATTACTTTGAAAAATCTTGAAAATATACAAATATAGCATTCGCTGACTTGCACTACTCAAATATATTATTTATTTAATAATGAAACCTATTGTATTTAGGATTGACCCAAATGTCCTTTCTCAATTCGTTAAACCCTCAGGACAGAAGAAGGAGGCTGCATCCTAAGTGAATCAAGTTTAAGATTGCTTGAAAGTAAGATTAAGTTACTTATATAGCAATTGAACATAGACGATGATGAGGAAGTTGAGTAATTTACGAATCAGCAACCTTCTTAGCCAGTCATAAAAAACAGATCAAGAACACTCTATTCGAATGGGTCGACTCTGCCTGAGACGCTATCGAAGAACTCCAATCAGTAGATTCAGGAGATGAATCTCTCAATCAGTGGATCTTCCTTGGGTTGGGACGAAGTATTTAGTTCCACAATGCCAACCTCCTTCTAAATGTTTCAATTCAAAAACAAAAGACGCTATGAACCTTAATAGCAAACAACCCAATTCCAAATTCAATTACAGAATGTAAAAATATATAAATACTCTAAGATACCCAAAGACAACAGAACGACCCTGATGATAAAGAATATCCCAAACAAGTACTCCTAGCCTCTTCTTCTTGAGGAGATAGACTGCACTAATAAGGATACTTACAATTTCTTTTATTTACCAATTGACTTTACAGTATAATATTAATTCATGATTATAGAACAAATGTAATGTGGGTTACGCCTTCATCAACTTTTATGATCCCTTGGACATCCCAAAGTTTTATCTGGAATTCCACAATAGAAAGTGGAGCAAATTTAATTCAGAAAAAGTAAGTGTCTTCCTCAATAATCCCTAGATTTGCTAGATCACCTATGCCAGAATCCAAGGAGTAGAAGAATTGTAGGGACATTTTCAATATTCAACCATAATGCATGAAAAAGTACCCTTCAATTAATATCAATCATTAGGACAGAAGACTAAAACCCATTTTCAAATAAAGTTCAGAGTAGAAACTAAAAAGAAAATGATAAAAATTTGTTTCAATTAGTTATCAATGGTTATATCTCATCATTTAAATCATCTATGCTGTCCATTTTGTTTTTATGAAATCTAAACAAAACCCCATCTCCATACCTATGTGTTTCTTAGTTAACTAATTGTATCAATAAAGCTGAAATTCCTTCTTATGAAAATGCTAATCAAGTATTAATTGAAGTAAGACTGCTAGAAATCATCATACCCTTAGAATTCAAATGATAGTAATAATCATTTAATAATGCCAAATTTTGAATGAATCTTTTTTTCAATTGAAGTGTATGTTAGCAATATCCACAAGATATACAATTTGATATTTAATAAGATTTAGTTATTTACATTATATTTTTCTTAATTACAAGCCCCTCATATTAACGAGTATAGATTTGAATCTTAGTAAAGGTCATTGCCCCATTCTGTAACACATATGATTGAGAAAGGGATATAATGCTGTCTTCCTATTCCTAAATACCATTTCAATTTACTTAGGGAAATCGAAACAATGTTTGTTGGGCTATTTCAGCAATTTATAAAATTAGAGTATAAATAAATAGGAATTTTGTTTCAATAAAGTGGAGAACCTTAAAATAACTATTTATTGAATGTAATTAATAGTTAATAAAATTCTCACAGTTAATAAAAGAAATTAAATGAATAATTTAAATGAATTAATATTAATATTAATTTCTATATTAATAAAATGAATAAGGATGGTAAAGGTGAAATTGATGTGGACAATATTATTGAGAGGTTGCTCAGTGTAAGGGGAAGCAAGCCAGGGAAGAACGTGAACCTTAGTGAGGCTGAAGTAAGAGGTCTTTGCATTAAAGCCAGAGATATTTTCATATCTCAACCCATTTTATTGGAATTGGAAGCTCCTTTGAAAATATGCGGTATCTATATATTCTAGTAATTTACTTTAGGAGATGTACATGGTCAATACTTCGATTTGTTAAGACTATTTGAATACGGAGGGTATCCACCTGAAAGCAATTATTTATTTCTGGGTGATTATGTAGATCGAGGTTTGAATTCGTGTTAATGCTAGGCAAATAATCATTAGAGACAATTTGTTTATTGTTGGCTTACAAAATTAAGTATCCTGAAAATTTCTTTCTTTTGAGGGGTAATCATGAATGTGCATCAATCAATAGGATCTATGGATTTTATGATGAATGTAAAGATTAAATTGATTAATAGGCAAGAGAAGATACACAATCAAATTATGGAAAACATTCACAGATTGTTTTAATTGTCTACCAGTAGCGGCATTGATAGATGAAAAAATCTTGTGTATGCATGGAGGATTGTCACCTGAACTTTCAAATCTGGAATAAATAAGAAGAATTATGAGACCGACAGATGTGCCAGATACTGGATTACTCTGTGATTTATTATGGTCAGATCCAGACAAAGACGTCTAGGGGTGGGCAGACAATGAGAGAGGTGTTTCATATGTTTTCAGCCAAGAAATAGTCCAAGTGTTCTTGAAAAAACATGAATTAGACTTGATCTGCAGAGCTCATTAAGTATGAATAATAAACCAATTAGGTTGTGGAAGATGGATATGAATTCTTTTCCAAAAGGTAACTAGTCACTTTGTTTTCAGCACCAAACTATTGTGGAGAATTCGATAATGCGGGTACTAAGATAATTTAAACCATAGGTTCTATGATGTCAATTGATGAATCCTTAATGTGTTCTTTCTAAATCCTAAAGCCAGCTGAATAAGGATAGGGAGCAGCATAATAACATAAGACAGGCAATGCCAAGTTCGTAAATTGATTTATATATTTTGAAAGTTTTTCATATACATGTTATTTTTATAATCATAGTCAGCATCTCTTTAATCTCTACATTCATTTATTATGCTATTTTCACAGATCCTAAGTGGGAGTAGAATATCAGCAGTTAATTCTTTGTTTAAGTTATTATATTAATTGTAAATAGAATTGGTAATTCAATTCAAATTAGGCTAAATAAATAATATATTATTAGAAATAGAGTCTAAATTAGACGTATAATAGGATCATCAATGGAATAAATAAAGTGCAATGTCTGTGAGAATATAAATAATTATAAATGGCTTGCAAAGTTAAGTATAAGCAAGTAAAATCAAAGAAAAGAAAATAAAGAGAATTAGAAAGAAGATATTACAAATAAAGACTAAAAGATCATTTACTCAAGTAATACTTTGCTTTCGGTCAGCATTTTCAAAATATTGTTTTTATTGTCTATTTATATTTCATTTTATATCTACCTAGCATCACTAATGGATGAGTTGATGCTATCTATTTAATTAATCGGTTGAATTCAGAATGACTATTCATGTATTAGTGATAATTATTTATTTAAATAAAAAATGGAAATTGAAGAAAAGTATAGCTTATTGATAATTGGAGGAGGACCTGCTTCTGTAAAATTTCTATACAACTTGTTCAGGACATCGAGGTATTGGTTTTAAATTCTATAGCGGAGATTGCCTGAATATTTGAATGGATTGGGAATAGGGATTGTCGAGAAGGGGAAATGTTTTGGTTCTGGAAATCTGGAGAGTAAAATGAATTATACCACCTATCCTGCGAGTGAACTATTGAAATTGATGTACTTCCATAAAACCAACTAAATGATATCGATCTGTAAGGATCTGACAGATACTCAGGCTTACAAGACTCTGGTTCAGTATGGAGAGAAATGCCCTCCGAAATCATTGGCAGGATATTTCTTGAGATTGCTGGGGAGTGTGTTATTGAAACATATATACACATTAAAAAAAATGCAAATATTTCACCCTCAAAGAGAAGCAATAGCAATCCGACTGTTGGCTGATGGATGGTTTTAGATAAGAACGCAGAGCTTATCGTAAGAGTATTAAAATAATTTGTAGAGCTGATACTTAAATCAAAGACAAGTATAGAACGATAAAAGCAAGAGTACAATAAATGATTGATTTTTAAGCATGTATTACTTTGCACAGGAAGAGAGCAGACCCCTGCAGACATATTTTGTTAGGAATAGGGCTTGATCGAAACTCTAAAACAGAATCCAAGACACATAGTTGGAAGTGGATAGAAAGCATTCGAGTGTGCTGAACTCTTACTAAGTGGTCCTGTCATGTACATTAACAATGAACAAATTAATGCTTACACTTAAAAAATATACACTTGTCCCTTATGCAAATCAATGAAGTGTTCATGTTTTGGATCACTTGTACCACAAAAATATATATGGCATTACACAGTAAGACATGATAATATAAGGATGTTGCATTGCCTGAATACAGAAAGGGAGAACTTAAAATTTATTTTGCCAAACCTCCAAGACCGTATTTTAGCAATCATCAGAATGATTACATCACTATTCCAGAGTAGTAGATAAATAAAAAAGGAGAAGCAAATTATCTTACTGGATTGAGGGGTAAATCAAAAATCCTGTATTTGAAAATGCTTGCCACTTAAGAAGTTCGTGTAGCACTCTCTCAGGATGATCCAATTTCCAACCAATTCATCGATGGAAAGGAATGCAAGTGCAATCAAATAGAAATCAAGGACACAGATGGCAATATAGTTTAATTTCAGTATAGTTTTGGATTGTATTAATTGGATGACAAAGGCAGATTGAAGACACAAAAAGGGAGTCTAAGAAATCTATTCTGTTATGGTTCCAATTGCATAACGTAAGAGCAATTGGAGAGGGGATGCTAAGATGAGTATGGAGATTGCAGCATTGGTTTTGATGAATACGATTTATTCTTTATGAACATCAAGAATGAAATCAATAATTAATGGTTTGACAATAATGAATTTCCCTTGACTGCACAATCTCATGTGTCCAAGGGTGGTGATTTTGATTCAGATCCAAGTGTTCATTCTGAAGTGGTGGAGACAGAAACATTTGCATTAAACTAACTATAGGAGTAATTCAAATAGAAGAAGAAAAAGAAATGAATTGATTGAAGAATATGAATTTTGTTATGATATAAATTGATAAATAGACATTACACAAGAATATTAAAATTATGTTCCCCTTGTGATATATAACACTCTTAAATTGAATACCAATTTCACAAATATATATATATTTCAAATAGATCCACTTTCCTTTTGTTTGTCTTTGCCCTCGTAAAACTTAATGTATTGACTCACCATCTCATTCACTTGAGGCTGTGTGACCACCTTACTATCCCTCTCAATCACCTTTCTGAATATGAAAAAACCAACCAATAGGAAGAACACAACAGAAGCAGTTATTACTAAGATATATAGAGCAATCGAATCATCTATTACTGGAGGTGTATATCCTTCAACTTGTGAACTACATTAAGAAGGAGTAGTTTGAAAACCTAGGTTAAAATGTATGATTTACTGTTGCAGATCTCTCCGAAAATTCCGCTTCCTGAGAACTATCCTCTGTAAGCCAATGAATTCACATGAACTGATGGGAACCCATTAATTCCTGCAGCCTTGTAGATGTACAATTAGTGGTCTAATCTGTAGTTGTATGCATTAGATTCGTTTCTGGTCTATTAGTTAGTTTAAACATCAAGAAATGAGGTATCGAAGCATTATTGAATCTCATTTTTAGGGATCTCCAATATGTCCATCACCTATTGACTACACACAGAGTATGCTTGAGATTTGGTACATTTGAAATTGAATTGGTTCTAAGGTTTTAATAACATTTGTACCATATAAGCAAACCATTTCTATTGGTGCAATTCGAATATGCAAAGTTATCTTAATACTTCATAGACAACGTCTCTGCCAGTTCCAATGGCTGCTCCATCAGGATCGAATGCACAATATTTATTCTAACAAATGCAATCAGAATTTGGTTGCTAGACACCATCGACTTCATTATTAAAACTCATAATAGAGTAGACGAGTGTATAATTAATATTTTGATCCTTCAATTGGGTGTAGTATGGTTCATATTCATCAATGATTCTGAAGGATTCTCTATCTTGAATGTTCAACCCAAATATCACTGATAGATTGTCCGATTTGACAACGTCGAATTTTAAAAGCAACATGATCTTCTCATCATTTGAATCCTCCACTCTGTTTACCTTAGCCCTCTCTCTTATCAGAGTAAAGTGTTTATTTGTAATGAATATGGAAGGGATTGATACCTAAAATAAAATACTCCATATTGTTCACCTAATATCCATGGCCGTCATCAGCCATAGCAAAGTCAGATTTAATGGGATCGTCATTGTAATTCCCAATAATTGCCAATTAATACCCAGCCCTCTCAGCATTCCTAACCTTAGTTACGAATGTGCAGTCTCCTCTCTCAATCATAATAAATTGAGCTCCATAAGTAGGTGTTAGCTCATCACATCCATTTGGTGGATAAGCCAAATCCACTGCTCCCATCAAGCGATGTCCAAATGGTATAATTCTAGTTTTCGTAAATAACAAAGACTACCCAAAATTGGCTATGCTATAATCAATTTTCTCATTAATCAGGTTTGATGGCCTAATAACCTTAAGCTTGGATTGTATAACTGCGATAATGCTTACAAGTAGGAGAATATTATACATAATTTAATTAATTATGTCATTGTTTATTACTTTGTATTAGATTAATACTAAAATACTAATGTTATAAATGTAATGAGAAATTAAAAAGAAGTGTAAAAATTGAGAGTTAGGTGGATGTATAACGGAGTACTTAATATTTTGATATGCTAACTTAAAGGAATTGTCGATTTTCTTAGATAGAATAAATGCAATTCAGGACTATACCAAAGAATATATATCATTTGAGAATAAAGGTTATGTTGTATATTTTATATCTGAAAGTAATTTCCTTAATCATCTTATAGTTACTCTTTACATTTCTAATCATTATTACTACTACATTTAGATTGCTATAAAAATATTCATGATGCTAATGTAATTTAAATATGAGTATTTTATATTCTAATTGAAGGGATTATATATGACAACTATTGAGTTACTCACTCTGTCCAAATACTCTCTAATATTGCTATGTTTAATTGTTATCAATATTAATTAATTACAATAAATATGCAATTTAAATTGCTTTCTCAAAATCGAGTCCAAACACAACCCACCTACATTCATACTCTTGACAATAAGTCATTTATCGTCAGCTATACTGATAAAACCTTCGAAGCCTACACAGAAGCGAGGAGATACAGTTTAAAACAAAATTTCCCATCAGCTCTTTGCGGGTATAATATTTCGGAAGACACGGTTTTGATGTTCAACTGTATTTTTATAGTGCCTGTTGGGATTGGAGAATGGAAATGGATTGCTTGTGCGAATCAGGAATGATCAAGCTGATTTCAATCTATAAGAATGGCGGGAGAAACAATACAATCTGACTTTCTCAGTTGCCATTATCTTTATTGGTATCATCCATAAAATTATGAGGCAAAATAAATTAATAATAGTACATTGCTGTCCATGAAGATGGAACACTACTTATACTCCAATAGTCGAGTGATGTTCAATTTAGTAAGATCACAAAATTAAAATACCATTTAAATATAGGGTAGGCCTATTTCAATCAAGAGATCGGAATCATCACATCCGCCAATCTTATATTCACTTTCAATGCTAATTAAATATCCAATTACACTCACTGGGAATTAGATAAATTCAGACAGCTGAGTGCATCTCAACTCAAATTGTTTGGCTAGACCATCAATCAATACAATGATTATTGGAAGTAGCAATGTTAAATCAATGGCACCATCTACAAGATGATCTATCACAAAACTCTAATTTACCTAATCACTGAAAAGGGATACTTTTACACATTATCTCACAAAGTCAATTCAATTGAAATTGAAAAAATAATTGATTTGAATTACTCAAAACCACTTCAATTAAATCTTATTAATGAGGACTCTCTGCACATATCATTTCAAGGTTCCTAATTGTTATTGTACAATCTGAAGAATAAAGTGGTCTCAACACTTTTACAGTATATTTTTAATTGGTATTCTTAGAATCAAATCAGACAAACAATTGATAGGTTCAAGAATCGAAAGAAAAGATGGCAATTTTCTGATTTTGGTTATCTATCGAAATAAGCCTTCCAACTTTTTGGAATTGTATCCACCCAAATTGTGCGATGCTCATGTCAAATTGATATCTGGTACAAATAATGTGGAATGATTTATATGAAGTGTATATATATACTGATAACTTCTGTGTTGTATTATTTAAAATATTAAGATATCAAAATGATCAAGGAATATGATTATCTGTTTAAGTTAGTGATCGTGGGCAACTCAGGAGTTGGCAAATCTTCTCTGCTCCTCAGATTTTCAGATGACACCTTTAGTGATTCCTATTTAACTACAATCGGTGTAGATTTTAGATTTAAAACTCTCGAAATAGATGGCAAAAAAGTTAAACTCCAAATCTGGGACACTGCTGGCCAAGAGAGATTTAGAACCATCACCAGTGCGTATTACAAAGTATCCTATAACATATGAAATAAGGGTGCTGATGGTATCGTGTTGGTCTATGATGTTTGCTCCCTGGCTACCTTCGAGGATATTGACAAATTCTGGATCAATGAGGTGGATTCATATGCTGAAAAAAATGTTGAATTATTATTGCTGGGAAACAAAAGTGATATCGAGGAAAAAGTGTAATTGCCCATCTCCTCTATTATAGAGTAACTACACAAAAGGCCTTAGACTATGCTGGCATAAGGAAAATGGCACACATGGAAGTAAGTGCCAAGACTGCTGATTAAGTGTCTAAAGCCTTCCTCTCCTTAGCTAGAAAATTGATTGCCAAAAAGGATTCTCAAGGATAAAAGGGCACAGGGTATCAATTTTCTTAATATTCCAAGGCCTCAAAAGACTCAGCAAACACCCGGCTAGAAAATTGGATAACAGAGTGAAGAGAATAAAAAAGAAAAAGAAGGATGCTGTTGAATGTATAAATATATTTGAAGTATTTACTTATTTTAATAATATTTATTAATATTGAGAACACTCAAAATTCTTATCTAATTTTTAAACTCACACCAAGCAGCTAATTCTTAATTTTCAATCCAAAATATTCTCCATAGATTATGTAGGTGAGGATTTGACTCTCCATATTTTAAAATTAAGTTTTAAGTTCCCTTTATTCTAAATTTAGATCTCATAAGAACATAATGATTTCTGTTATTTCCATTGAGGTTTATCTGAATCTCTTAAAAATTGATCCCTCTTCCTATGGTGAGTTTAAATTGGACATCAAATTAATTCTGATGATCTATTTTTGAATTTGAGGGAGATTTAAAAATAAAGCTTTCCTTATTGCCTTTCCTTATAAGTTATCATAGGGTTTGAGAAGTTAAACATTCCCATTGATGATGGAGTAGATATGACAGCACACTTTGAATTATTATTAAAAATTAAATAACTGATCATAATATTGCGTTTGAAAAAATAATGGTTCGCATTAATCAGGGTTTGAAAAGTGATTCAGAGTTTGAAGCAATTGTAATAATAAAAATATCTCAGCAACTTCAACATGTATAGATACATCTCCGAACTTGGATTTAGAACACCAGCCATCATTAATTCTCTGAAAATATTCATCAGAGATTTCAAAGATGTGCCATCTGTCTCAGTAACAAAATTAAATTCCGAACAAATCTACTCCGCTCTTGAGATTCATTCTCTACCCTGGAAAACATCAAGTGACTCCTCCAAGCTTACCAAAGAATTCAAATTCAATTCATTCAAAGAAACCTTTGCTTTCATGGGATCAATTTCTACCATCGCCGATGAAATGCATCGTAATATTTTAAAATCTATTAACATTAGATTATCCAAAATGGACACAAAAAGAAAACGTAGTTACTGTAGAGATGACAACTTCAGAATGCTCAGGTGTTTCAGTAAAGGACATTCTTTTGGCCTACGCAATGGAATAAGTAGCAACTGAAGTCTCCGCTACTAAAATCACAACTGTGTGCGACGGCCCAAAAGTTGTTGACTCATAAATACTACAAAATTGGAACTCAAATTTCTCTAAAACCGAGGAAATGCTCCAAAGTTTTTAGAAGACTACAGCATAACTTTGATTTTATATCAATATATTATAATTTCTTTACATAATTTACACAATTAATATAAGATACAATAGAAATTATTATAAAATATATAATCAGGGATTCTGTAATTATTGAAATTTTAATAATTTTATAAACAATCTCATCGACATAATAAACGCAAAATATTATAATAAAAACAATTGTTTTGATTTCAAAGTATTTAAACTATTAAAAGGAGGATAATACCTATGCAATTAGGAGGGATAGTCACATAAATGAGAGAAAATAAATAAAGAATTTCATGAATGAGTCTTGGAATTGTGTAATACAAATTCAATCATCAAAATTTCTTATTCCAATTAATATTTTGAATAATTATTCATTGATTTAAGAAATACACAATCTCCTTCCTTGAATAACTATAGATTTAGTACTCTCTAAAAGGAAACTACTAATGATGGAATCTAGTTTTGGAAAGATCTGTGAATATAATTTATTAATTATAATGCTAAATTCATAAAAATTAAGTTTTAATGATTAATCTCATTTGAACGAGGAGTATGTTAGTGTGATAAAGTAAATGCATGAGATTGCTGATGAGGAAATCATCAATCGTTTGGCTTAGAAGATAACATAGAGTAAGTCATTTTTGAGGATCGCGAGGAAAGATTACGATTTTAATTTAGTTCGATTGGGATTGTATTTGATTTTGATTTTGGGAATTTGGATTTTAAGTTATGTGAAGATAATTTGGTTGTTGACTGCAATAATATATCCAATGAAATGCAAATTGAGCAATGAGTAGGACTAGATTCGCTAAATTTTGTACTATGTGGTTTTGGGTGTGATTCTGTTATTGGATCCTTTGCTATATGTGATAATTGAAAAGATGATTCCTTTGTATGGGATCGTGAGATTTTTGATGATTTATTGGTTGGTACACAACAAATTCTACGGGTGCGGTGTGTTATATGTGCTGATATTTAAGAAGCTGAAACAATTGGATCCTGAGAGAATCAAAGAAGATTTGTTGGATGTAGTTGATAAGATGTCTGCAAGAAACTTTTGATAATAATTAGATTTAATATTTAATGAAATAAGCTACGATTTTCTTGTCTGCTGCTTGTCCTTCAACAGATGTGCACTTGGCCCGTGTGATGTCAACCATTAAGGTAGCCAAACCAGACACTGAATTCCGCTTTGTTGGAATCGGAGGTCCTTAAATGGGCCATGAGGGATTAGAAACAATTGGAGTAGATTATCACGAATTCCAATACAAACCATTCTTCCCCTTCAGAAATTTCTACAGATTGGCGTACACTCTATTGCTAAGTTAGTACTGAGAATGCAATGCATCCAGTCCATATGTACAAGAGATGGATCAATAAAAAGGTTTTGAATAAACTTGATAAGTAATACTTCGAAATCGTTTAACATTACCAACCATCAGCATTCTTGAATTTCGAAAATGAATTCTTCATGATTCAATTCTACAAGAAATTAAGAGACTCCTATCGTCACTTCAATCGCATTTGTCCTCCCACATTCCAATATGGTTTGACCCATAAAGATTAACCTCAATATGGTTAAAAGTACGTAGATCATTGGTTCACCAGAACCCCATTGAGACAAGTACAATATCATAAATATCTATTCAAAGAGCAATTGGGAGAAATTCACCTTCCCTCACACACAAGTTGGACCAGATGGACTTTATAGAGCATTCAGACATCTCCTGTCCAACAGTCCTCAATACAAGGATTTAGTCACAAATGATACCATCTATCTCCCAGGAGGTGAATTCTTCAGATTTGATGACTTCCTTGCCGATAGAGTCAATGAATAAAGAAAGAAATATAGATAATAATAAAACATTGGAGATCAGGAATTACTCATTTTTGTTGCAGGTGGTAATACATCCAAAGAAATACCATTCTGTCTCAAAACTGTAGCTGAGGGTATCTCAAGATTCCTCAAACTTGATGAAATGAAGAACTACCCAGCTGATCAAATCAAAATCATAGTGTCAGTCCCAGAGTTTGTTGAACACAAAGACAAAACCATCAAAGCTATCAATTCCTTAAAATGGCCTGCCAAAGTCATCCAAGTCGAAACTGAATCTGAAAAATTCTCAGCCCTTGCTGCCTCTGATATTGGCTTAGCTTGCAATGGATAAATTGTTGCTGAATGTGCTGCATTCCAATTACCAACTGTATACATTCTATCCCTATGCATATTAGATCATCCTTGATCCAAAACCAACTATCCAAATGTATTACACTTCCCTCTACAATAGCATCGATAATGACCTCAACATTGCATACAATGGAATCGTCTATCCGTAATACTCCTCTTTATTATAATTAGAGAATTGGTCATGTCCACAATCCCAAATAAAATTGCTTACTCTTTATTAGAACATTATTAAGATCCAAAACTCAGATATTTCTATGCAAAATAATATGCTCCAGTCTTACAAAAGACCTTAGCCAAAAGTCAATCTGCAGTCCCCACAGAATTAGTATCTTATTCATCAAATCTTCCTAGGCAAATAGATTCAATAGTGTCTAATTAACTGGCTACAGTTCTGCCTATCAAGTCATTGCCAATACAGTCTTGAAAGCAGCTCAAGTCTATGAACACATCCACTCCTAAAGCAATTTTACTACTTAGTAAAATGAAAACTTAAGAATTGAAGCTTTGTAAGGTTTGGGATGGGCTAAAGGATTATGAAAAAATGGTCACATTTATAAATCAAAATAATATAATATATATTATATTTCACATTAATGTTACATAGCAATCATTTTTTAAATCTACTCTTTTATATCTGAATGATTTACTAAATTAAATAAAAGAAGTGCAGTAGTGGATTACTTAATTACGAAAGTATTACGAATACTATCATTTATTTTCACATATTCTCACTGAATTATCTTAATTTATAAACTTTCAATCCATCTACAGATTCCACAATCCTTTCTGTAATATAGGTAAGATTATAATATCAAATAATAATTGGAAGTCTATAAACTAAAGGTTGAAATCAGATATCCTATCAAAGATATAAATTAATATTTAATTTCTATTTTCAAAGTTATTATAAATGAAAAACTAATGGAAAATTAAAATTCTGACTGTTTATACTCAAGATAGATAATGTTTGATATAGAAATTATATCTTAAAAGCATGAAGCAATTCAATCAAATAACCATTTAGATAGTTATTCTTCAATATATAGTCACAAAGGTTAGATTAAAATTTATCATTGTATTATATAATACTCATATGAATAAAAATTCTTTGGTTGCTTTTTAACTATCCACTATTACAATCCATTACTGAAATATTAACTCGATATTTTAAATCTCCTCAGGCCATAATTAAAATAAATATATCGTTTATTTTTTAGGAAGATAAAATTTCCCAATAATCTGCTTAGTAATTTACTATTAGAAAGCAGATATTTAATTTTTTAATTGCAATATATTTATATTACTTTTAATTTCTAATTCAAAAATTCAAAGCATTGCTATGCAATATTATTGATTCGATTCATGTATTGAAGAAATTCCTTATTCAATCCAAAAATATATTTATTTCTTATTATTGACTCTAACATTATAATGCAATGACCACATAACACTTATCATTTAATTAAAATGAATAAGCTTCATTTAGTTTATAAAAAAGATACAAAGGAGATTTTCAAAATATCTGTTTATATCTTATCTCTTTTAAAATGTCCAACTCATCAATCTATCTTAATTCTTACTCATGGAGTAACAGAAATAACTTAACCATACTTACGTTTGATAAATATGTTATAAAAGACATTTAAAATACAATAGTAAAAATCAGCTTCTAATCTTTTCGAAAAAAGACTTAATCTTACGCTCACTATACCCTGTCATTAAGTCTGTTTGAGTTCCCATGTTAAATAAACAAACTGAGGGAACTTAAGCCTTCTAATAATAATCAATTATAACTTATACCACGCATTAATGCACCACGTCATAAAGCTCATCATTGTTCACGTTAACTAAAACCAACTACCATTTTTCGGTATTCTTCTCAGCCTCTTAAATTAATTATGGATTGAGTTTGCGGCATGGGGCACACCTAAATATAATTTGTTCAACAAAATACCAATCAGCAAAAAAACTGACTACGACAGGTCTCTAATTGTTGACTACCTATTCAAACCAATCCTTTAGTGTATTTATTTCTAAGCAATTCATTAAAATATAAAATAATGCTTTGCCTTCAAAAAAATTAGAACCAGTTTAAAAGATTGGATAATATGTAATATGTATGATTTAATAACAAAATATTATATATTTCCATAAATCAACGTATGAAAAATTAAATATTCTATGCAAAGTTTAAATAAAAGAAAGCGCTTTCTCAAACAGTTAATAAAATAATATATTCACAAATTCAAAACCAAGAATCATTAAACTAATATTCCAAGAAAATCATTGATCACATTCCACTTTTTCATAGCTAGAATTCAATTTAATCATTGTGATTCTCATATGATAATGATTCTATATATTTTAGAAATACTTAAAATAATTTTTTTTAAATAATAATATATAGTTTATAATATAACTACAAAATTACTATTGAAAAAATATGATTTTTAATTAGTAAATGTTTAGCAACAGTTAAAATAGCATTACAAAATGAAAAAATCCAATTCGATCACCATTCAAAAATTAACATAAGTCAAGATTTAAGATTATTTTCAATGAATCTACCTATTTTTTATTTTTCAAGTAATCATCAAAACATAGATTAAAAATATCAATTTGTTATTTCTAAATTGTTTTAAGTTAATATAATGTAAAGTAAATCTACTAATAATGAGTCTAAATTGCAATTATATTGATATTATATGCATATTTATGAAGTTTCTTTAAAAAATCAATCTACTTTATGATCTGGACTTTATTTTAGATGGCTCTATGAAGTCTTTTTTTATAACCGTATTGAAAGCTTATTTAATGAAAAAAAATAGGATAGAAGAATGTATTGTTATCTTTAAACAGAGTAAATTAAATTAAGAATGTTTTCAAGATTTATTTAGGCGTTTTTCTATAGGATTAATTCACTTTCACAACAACTGATTTTAAGTTAAGTCTGCATTAGTTTTCATTAGCTATTTATAGATATTCTTTAATTAGAGGGATTATTAAACTTATTATTCAAGATATATATTAGAAATTAATATTAGACGTATTAAAAAGGAAACATATATCCTATCTCTTGCAATTGCTATGTCTTTGGATATCTAACTTTTCGGTTCTTAGACTTTCCCTTTGATAAGGGTATAAAGTTAGTTTTTATGATGAAAGGAATCAGAAATACCATCAGAAGAAATTGCTTAGTTGACGACATTTTTGAAATTCTAAATTAGAGAGAATATGAAGAATAAGTAATTTTTTATAAATCATATGATGATCTTTTGAGATGAGCTCTTGTTTGTCCGCACATTAAGATTAAAGCATTTTGTTAAGATTTAACAATATTATTGAAATATCTTTTTTTAATAAATCTGTTCTTCCAAATAAGGCTTAGTTTAGCTTTTAGTTTTCTTAACTTATAATTTCTGTCTTTCTGTTATGAATAAATTTGATATTTATAAATAAAACGTTTTTTAATATCCAACTTAGATTATACATTTCATTTATGGTGTCTTAAAAATGCTGTTTCGGCTTCCCATTATGAATTAAAGAAATGAAGCATAGAGAAGCTGAAAAGAATTAAGTGTTAGAATATTAATATTAATAAATTTAATTATTCGATCTCTAATAGAATTTGGTTCATGGAAGCATTTAGTGTAATTTTAATCGTCTTGATTGCTATTGTAATATTAGGCTTTATCATTTACCTCATAAAGATAAATATTACAAAAAAATAAAGCAATTAAAAATATCAAATTAGCGAGAAAGGTGAAAAGGGATATATTAATCCTAAAGACTAATAAACCTAAAACAAAAATAATCAAAACAAAGAAAAAAATAATTAATTAGATTACAAACATAATTCTGAGTTGAAAAAAAATGCGAATCCAAATAATCTTTAAAATAATAGATAACAAAATAATTTATAATAAGCAGATGAATTAAAATTATAATCACAGAATATCACTCATGAATCACCAACATTAGAAAAGTTTGACTCTCAACTACCTATTTCATAAAATAATCAATAATAGAATTATCCAGAAATGCCATTAGGTAATCAAAATGATTATTAATAATAAATTAACCAGAATTCACAATTATACAATAGTAAAAATGACTAAGAATAAAATATTGAAAATGATTTATTATATAAAAATAAGGATAATTAATTACAAAATAATCTAAATGGTTATTTAATTAATGAGGATAGCTAAGAACAAAATTAAGTTAATAATTAAATATTTAGGGAAAATTAATAACCAAATAATAAGGATGCAAATAGATCAAAAAATACTCAGGATAAAGATGAAGTAGTGATAAAAATATGGGGAGAAAGTTAAGAAAACACCGTGATCAATTAAGAGTATCATCCAAAAAAATAGATTCAATAAGTCATATCCTAAATCATTAATGATAACTAATAAGATAACACTCTTTCAAGTTTTAAATCAAAACCTGAGCCTATACCTAAACCAGAGCCTGAGCCTATACTTTAACCCAAGCCTATACCCAAATCTAAGTATATACCCAAATCTAAGTATATACCCAAATCTAAGTATATACCTAAATCTGAGTATATACCTAAACCTGAGCCTATACCTTAACCCGAGCCGATACCTGTACCTGATCCATTAAAGCGAATAATTGCTGAGACTTCTAAAAAACGAAAAGTAGCAGTTGAATATAAATATTATATCAGAAAATTTTAGAATAAATCAGAATTAAAAAAACATTATGGCCTAACATTAAAAGCAAGTGCAGAGTTATATAAATATTGCAATGCATTTAGAGAAGTAAGAGGAGATGGTAATTGCTTTTATACTGCTTTTGGATTTTAATTCTTATCTATTTTACTATTTAAGTATTCCTTAGACTAATTTAATGATTTTTTTAATAAAATTAGACAAATTGAGTTGCCAATGAAAATATTTGTTCCTGGTACAAATTTAAAAATTGATGATAAAGAATTAGAAAAATAACTATTAAATGAATTTTAACGTAGAATAACTAAACTAAAACTTATAAAAGATATAAACTAAAGAGAAGAATAATTTCGTACTGAATTTGCTGCCTATGAATAATAATCAGATGAAATAGATGGATGTTTATATGGATTATCAACTTTATTTTTTAGAAATTATTCTAATTACGCTGTCGATTTTAGTGATGCCAAAGATGCAGTATATGATAGAGTAAACTTATTAAATTGGGAAGTAGAATGTAATAGCAATGAAGTTGTTATTGCAGAATTAGCTAAACAATTAAATATGTACATATTTATTATCTATTATAAGTTTTGTTTAATTAATTTATATAAAAAATAAAGAAAATGTAGTCATTAGGAATTATGGAATCAATGAACATCATAAAATTATATTATTAGAGCAGCCTGGACATTATAACATTGGTTATTTTTAATCCGAAAATAACCTGAATTAATGATTTATTAATTAAATAATTAATTAAATATTTTTTATATTATATTTATTTTTACTTTCTTCTTATATATATTTGTTAATTGCATATTATAATATTATTATCTGCAATATTTAAATTATGTAACTCTATAAATGTGTTTTATAGGTATAACAAAAACCTTCAGAATGGTATAATTGAAAGAAGTAAAGTTTTTTGAGAAAAGAATGTGTTGGCAGGATAACGGAATGTAAGAAATATATTTTGTTAGGTAAGAGTTCATTTTTTAAACCAAGGAATTAGGAGTAAAAATAACAATTAAATATTAGGATTCATTGTTAACATGTCTTTGAATTTAAATGATATTTTTTTATTAGTTCATTTAATTTTCTCAATTAGTGTACCTTGATATAGCTTTTAAGGTATGATTTTATTCTTTCAAGTCATACAAAATTACATTCTCATCGTACTTAGTGGTTTTTATAAGAAAAAGAGTTTAGTAGTAAATTCTTATAATTTAATATTTCATAGGAAAATATTAATAAATAAATAACTTTAGGAATAATATTAATCATAGTAAATCTTTAAATGTATAATGTAAAAAATTATACATTATTTCTCTTAAATGAATATTATTAAAAGAGAAGTAAGATCTCTAAAAATCTTTTTAATTCAGAATTGTAGATATATTAAAAAATTAATTCTCTTTAAATGAAACTAAATATGAAAAGCCTTCAATTATATTATAATCTTCGATTTAATTAATTATAATTAATAGTGTATTAGAATAATGAGTGACTTATTTCGAAATTGTTATTTATTAGAAATCTACAGCAATTTTTAAAAGAAATTACAACCAAAAAATTTAAAGAAAGAGAAGGATTCTATTAAATTGAATACTTCAAAGGGTATCTTATTTAATAATGTAATGTTTAAATAATATCAAAATTGATTTTTCTTTTTTAAGGTAAAAAATAATTCTATTAAAATATTTTAAGAGATAAGTCATAAAAGAGAACGGAATAATGATTAATATATGTCAAAAATTTCGAATCCACTATCTGATTGAGAATAAAAATATTATTTTTTAAGATAATTATTTAAAATAATATATATAATGATGCAAAATAGTTCATTATGTATAGACTTATCAAAGATCTCTACATTTAAGAAGGAATATAAAATGATTCTTTCTCACTTATTTCAGTAGTACTAAAAGATATAGGACAAGCTATCGTTGAAGTATGAAAAATATCGTAAATAGAGTCCCTTATTGCAATCATTTTAAACTAGCTAAAATATTTAAAATAAGCGAGATTAATTAGGAGGATAGTTTAAAAATTGACTACTATTATGATGGTCTCAATGGAGAATAGGTGAAAATAATAATGAAGGAGCCTGAGGGGAAACAAGATGGTTTTATCAATGACTTCAAACTTGAATAATAAGACGTGTTGATGGCAAAATAAGTGTTACAATGTCTAATCGAAACATTTCATTGGACTGCTAATTTTGGGTATTCTATTGGATTAATTTCAGGCAGTTTTTGGATCCTACAAAGGAAAATTTAATTTATCATAAGGAATAAGATTTCTTTTTGTTAATTCCAAACTTTAAATTGATCACCAAATATCTTCTTAAAGATAAGTTAGAGTTTAATTGGGAGAAGTTTGTGAATTACAGACTCTAAATGTATTAAAATGCGGTAATGAATGCATAATAATATGAAGACTTATAAATTTTTTTAGGAATTTTTGGACACTTTCTTAAATTTTGTGAAGGAACAAGATGATGACAAACAATTTTACAAAAAATAATTTGCGATTTTACCGAGGAATATTCAGAATATCGAAGAAATATTAGAGATTAATGATTATTATGCTGGAGTTGATAGTTTGTATTCAGAGGATTCAGTCAAAAAGAAGTCATGGCGATATAGTTTTAAATAGAGCATGATCCTGTATTAATTAGACTCGAACAAAGACCTTCGTGATTTATTTTTAGAGAAGAAACGAATTGATTAGGAACAATTTCGGATTGGGAAACAATAGCCTAATATTACAACTTAGACTGAGAATTTGCTTGCATTTTTAAGGGCTTTGTCAGATATAGAGTCAGAGAGTCATGATGTGTTGACTAGTTTTGCGTTGAAGATCAAATCTTATTTGGATACCAGAGAGGAATTAAGATTCAAAGAAAATCGAGTGGCTGCTGTTTTCAGACCTAATTACAAACATGTTGTGAGTAGAAATAAGATGATAGATATTGCGAAGTAATAACAACAAGACAAATCAAAAATTGATAAATAGAAAATTGATATTGAGTAAAACAATGGGAATTTTGATTTTGTATGGTAATCCGACATAAATTCTTTGAACATCATTTCCTAATTTATTCAATCAGGTAGAAATGGAGGGGACGCTCAAAGCTCGATGAAAATGGGTGCTGATGGTAAACAATTGATTTTAAAATACAAATTCGAATTATTGGAGCAAAAGAATTGCTACATTGTGAGAACTTTGATTCCAGAAATCCTGTTTACAATAGAAACTGCAGATGACATAATGTTCTTAGTGAATGTTCTTTAGAAGGAACAAGGTTAGACGAATTTGTATGTAGATGACAACAGAAGGCTTATGCTATATTCATCCATAGTTATGGTAAATTAATGATCTATGTTAGGGGTAAAAAATAGAGATACTTAGTGCCATAGTGAAGATTATAGACATACATCAGATCTATTTTTATTTGATTCTGGAATTCTATGCTAAGAACATAGCAGTAGGTAGATGTGTCCGAGAGTTGAAATACCAACATTTTGTAAGGGAGTTGTTGCATTATGTGCAAGATTATGAGAATGATTTTGAGAGTCAGATGAAAAACATAATGAGTGATAAGATATAAATTGGATTTTGAAGTTCAATACCTATTAAATAATTGAATTTTACATTATTATTATTTATAAAAATGAGTCAATAGGATGAAGGGGAAGAGAAGCAGGATGTAGAGTAAGTTGAACCAGTCGAACCTGAGGAGCCAGATGTACCACAAGATGAGTACTATGCTCCAGAAGCACTATAAATTCAAAAGTTACATAATGATATCAAGGAGGGACTTAAGAGAATTGGTAAAACTGCCAATTTAAGTGGGTACACATTTGTGGAATTACTATGTGAAAATAAAGTACAATTTTGTTAAAGCAACCTAGAAAATAGACAAGTTGTTCAATGTCATGCTGGATTATGTGAATTTGAGAAAAATTAGTTTCGCAAATAATCTTTTGCAAGATGTGAACAGTCTGTAGACTATAAAGTACTTAACGAATTTGAATTTGTCATTCAATCAAATAAATAATTTGGATTGTTTCAATGTTCCAAATACATTCGAATTCTTGGATGAGTTAAATTTGGACAATAACAAAATTACAAACTTTGGATAAATCAACGTCCCTAGATTAAAGAAGTTGTCATTGAAAAATAATTTAATTAAGAGTGCACAAGGATTTAATGGACATAATACCCTTGAAATTCTTGAGTTAAGAAACAATAAATTAGAATCATTTGAAGGGTAATATTGGATATAGATAAATATTTAGATTTTAGAATTTATTGAAGCTTAAACAGATATGGGCTGCCCAAAATGCCATCATTTCAATTTGGCATTTGGATCAATTACCTGAATTGCACACATTGCATTTAAGAGCAAACAAAATTGTTGTCCTAACAGAAATCCCAAATTTACCAAAATTACACCATCTTAATCTTAGAGCGAATTTGATTGAAAAATTGGATGAATTTAATAATCTCAAATCTTTGGAGAGTCTTAAATCAATTACTATGCATGAAAATCCAATTGCAACTGAAATGGGAGATGGAATAAGAAAAGAAATTATTATGATTCTTCAGTAGATCGAAAGAGTCAATAAAGAGCCAGTCCCCCCAGAAGAAAAGGCAGATGCACTAGCAGAATTAAAGGAGAGAATAGCTGCTGCCATTCAAAAGAAGAAAGAAGAAGAAGAGGAGGCCGCAAGATTAGCTGAAGAAGCAAGATAGGCTGAGGAAGCTCGATTAGCTGAGGAGGCTGCCAAGGCTAAGGAATTAGAAGCTGAATAGGCTGCTGCTGAATAAGAGGCAGCAGATAAAGCTGCTACTGAAGGAAAGTAAAATTAACCTAAGGTGGAGTAAGAAGATGATGAGGACGCTTGATTATTAAAAATTTAAAATAAATTTCAATAAATGCATCAATAATAGGATGAGCAGAAAAGATCTCTAGTGCAGGAGAAAATGTAGATGAAGTAACAAGGAATAGACAATGGGAATTTGAGGAAAATCAATGATGAGGACATCTAGAAGATCTAGGCTTATGAATAGATGCAAATAGAGAATGCAATGAAAAACTCAACCTGGAGTACTCTAATGTTGTTAAAAAGCAAGGAGATTGTCAAATCAAAGTAAAAATGGTGTATTGATATTTTTAGATGGAGACCAAAAAAGAAATAAAGATTGTGGGATTAATATAAAATTGATAAGATCTTGAAGAAGTATTCCATCATGATAGAAGGCAACGATCCTCCCCCTCCAATTAAATCATTCTAAGACTTACGAGTCGATCACAGAATTTTGAAAATCCTCAGCAAAATGAAAATTAAGAAACCAACTCCAATTCAAATGCAAGGATTACCAGCTGTGTATCCAATGTTCTTTATATATTTAAGCTTAATGGGAAGAGACATTATAGGAGTGGCACCAAGTGGTTAAGGCAAAACCTTAGTGTTTTTGTTGCCCGCTTTATTATAATGCATAGAAGAAGAAATGAAAATGCCAGTAATCAGAGGTGAAGGACCATTTGCTTTGATATTGCTCCCATCCCATGAATTGGCAATTTTAACCTATGAGTTGGCAAAACAATATTGCCAGAAATTCTAAAAGAAAGTAATGAATATATTCAATAGATAGGGATTCCCAGCTATACATTGTCTCTTAGGAATCGGAGGTATGGATATGTCATCACAGTTGCAATCAATAAGAAATGGAGTTCACATCGTAATTGGAACTCCTGGCAGAATTAGCGACATGGTAAATAAGAAAAAAATCAATATGGATTTGTGCAGATTCATAGTTCTGGATGAAGCTGACAGAATGTTGGATTAAGTGTTTGAATTGGAAATTAGAAATATTTTAGAGCATTTCACAGTATGATAAATTAACTGATACCTTAGTTTAGGGTCCTAGATAAACTATGTTATTCAGTGCTACTCTCCCAAAGAAAATATAAGAATTCACAAAACAAACATTAGTCGACCCATTAGTGATTAATGTAGGTAGAAGTGGTTAAATTAACTTGAATGTGATCCAGGAAATATTATATGTTAAACAGGAAGAAAAATTACATTATTTATTAGATTGTCTCAAAAAAACTACTCCCCCTGTTGTCATATTTAGTGAGCATTAAAATGATGTTGATGACATCAATGAATATCTCTTAATCAAAGGAGTTGAAGTAGTTGGATTGCATGGAGGAAAACAATAGGAGGATAGAACTAAGGCATTGAAGCAGTTCTTAAATGGGCAAAAAGATGTCTTGGTGGCTACTGATGTGGCTGCTAAAGGATTGGATTTTCCTGACATTAAACATGTTATCAATTATGATATGCCAAAAGATGTACTAGATTATTCTTATTTAGATCGAATCTTACATTCACAGAATTGGAAGAACTGGAAGACAAGGCAAAACAGGTAGGGCAACAACATTTGTCAATAGATAATAGGAAGAGTCCATTCTATTAGATTTAAAGTATCTACTTGTGGAATCCAAATAAAGTAATTACATATCATCATTTCTAGAAATTCCTTAATTTTTGGAGAAACTCAAATCAGATGAGGATTTGAATGGCTCATGTGGTTATTGTGATGGAATGGGACACAGGATGGCTAATTGTCCAAAACTAGAAAAGTAGAAGATGAGAGTATATTCATTATTCATACTTAGATTCTAACTAATCCAAACAAAGAAAGTTGTCCAGATTTCCTCAAAGGTTAAGACTATAGAGAGAGTTAAAGTGCCGAAAGATAAAATTAAATGGGATGATCTGAATTAATGTTCAAATTCGAATTTCAGTTATAATAACTAATTTTTTCTTGGTTTCTTCTATCTCTTGCATTAAATATTTATTAATACATTTTTAACAATATAATTCACTATAAATAATTTAAATTCAATAGTTTTTGATCATCATCGTTAGAAGTTTGATATAATTCCATATATTAAGTTAATTATTGCAGTCAGAAAATTAATTCCTTTATAAAATAATTTTTTAAATCCTAAGGAAAATTAATAAATTATGATATTATTAAATTTTGACTGAATCGTATGGAAAAATATTCATTTTTGATCATCAAAGTCAGTTTCGATTTATTCTATCTTACAATTTCTTCCTCATCTGAAGATTTTTCTTAGATTGCAAAATCAAGTTAATCTGAACTTATTGTGTTTTATAGTCCTCATAAGCCTGATTACCTTAGAGAGAGAGAGACTGCCACTTGTATATTCCACTATGTTTGTTTGTTTTTAATTTAAATTATAATGTTTAATATAAAAACATCATACTCAGGGTTAGAACCTAATTCCAAATTAGTAGTTTATTTAGATTTAATTACCTTCTTTTAAGTAAAACGAATCTTCTGCCATCAAATGATTTAACATATATAAGTTCCTAAATTTATTAATCGATTTATATTCCTTAAATTCCTTTAAGTAGATCTTTACGAATTAGATCTTAAGTTTTATTATTAATCAATTAGGTTTTCCTTTCTTTTAATTATCAATAATTCTAATGATATTTTTAATAAAACAGTTTATGCAGATGTAAATTCGAAATATGCAAATATTCTTAGAAATTTTATTTTATAAATTTCAGCCTAGCTCTAGAATAAATTCCAATAATATTTAGGATGGGCTCATCTTCAGACAAAAGATGGCTAAATTCAAGTTTTCTTACATTATTATATAGTTATGTCCTAAGTAATAAGGTTAAGCCAAGAGCAAAACAAATTTATAATACCATCACATGCAATTAAAAGTTACCATATATAAATATATAAGAGTCTATCAAACTAAGTTTGTATTTGCAAGTATCAGTAACTTTCATCCATGCTCCAAAGTAATTTGCTTGATTTATGAATTTTTTTTAATTTGATCCAGTAGCATAGGTTGGTATTGATCTAAATAGTAATTAGATATTAAGCTTATACCTTTTAAATTCTGTTTATTTGAGGCATCATAATTATTATTGATAATAACTCCAAATACACCTAAATAATCTCTGGCATATAAAATCTTTATATGGATTTTTTTTCACTTCATTATAATCAGTTAAAATAGAGGTGATATTCAAATAATCTACAATTAATCGCTAAATATCTTTATTTTAGGAAAAAACTATTTTTTGATTAAAATATGAATAAATTAAATTATAAACTTATATAGTATATATTCACAATACTGTTGGGTTAAATATGAATCTCAATTATAAATGTTGAATTAAATTAAAGGAGTTAAATAACAACCGTTACATTTATGCTGCTCTAAAGAATATTTTATAAATTTAACAGGTAGATTGATGTAAAGTCATAGAGGTGTTTAAATTTATAAGATACTTTCAGAATGGAGTCTCATAATCTCATTCTATTTATGAACTTATTAATACATAAGCACTTAAATACTTAAAAATATAACATCTAAGTAAGTGAGAACTTAATATTTTGATTGAATGAGAGAATATAATCTAATTCATAGAGGTATTTTGTAAGATTATTGATTCTCATATTTGATATATTTAGTTTGTAAAATAAACAAATATTATAATATAATTGCATAATTATTCAAACTGTCACTTTCCTTTTCTGCTTTGTCTTTCAGCTCTTCTTTTTTTCCACAATTAAGCACCTAGCGGAGAAGCTATTTCTTCTGGAATTTGTGGATTTTGTTAGATGAAGTCTATGACCTTTTTTGCTTCTGCATGGTTGAATTGGTAATCAAGAACTTGTTAGCACTCGTCATTAGTATCAGCTACTTGTTGTTGAATAGCTTACATTTCATATCGACATCTTTGGAGAGAAGAATGAGTTAATCCTGCAACTTGGTCTCTGTAATTCTTTTTTGATTGTAGTCATCAATAAGCTCGAAAATATACCTATCATCCAAAATGACAAGCTATGTAATGCTAGATGGGATTACTTTTTTGAGTGCTCTTCTTTCGATATCATTAATTCTCTTATTTCTGGACAAGGCGCAAATCTCGTAATAGAGTTGTGAGGTGGGTAGATGCAAATTTTACATTAATTAATAATGTATGGTTGAATGGTTGTGTTGGTTTTTTCACAAATAAAGGATAGAGTTCTGATGTTATAATATCAAAATCAGTACTTAATTGCCTTATCGAATCAATGGCAGAAAAGGGGATCGGGGATTAAAATCCGTTTTTATTTTATAATTAAAAATTATGACAAACAAAGTTGCTATCTTGCTGGTGCTTGTGGGGCTGATGAGCTGTATTTTTTGATTGTTATCTCTAGTTGCAAGTGCCTCTTTGATAAATGTGCAATCATTAGCTCAGATCGACGTAGAGAGTTATGGATGTGACAAATCGAAGCTGTATGATGCCGAAGAAGGCCTCCAGAAACTCGGCGAGGCCCTTAATTTCGCCCAGACAGGAAAATTGGATCAAGACATAAAGGAATTGAGAGAATTACAAATGTTGGCAAGGAAAGGAATGGAAGAACAAGTGCAGGTTTCATTTGTTTAAGTTCACAATCTACAATACCTTTATATGTTGAAGCATAAATTTGATTCCTTGGCACTTATCGAAATGCCAAACTCATTTGCTCGTCCCCATATTGACGGAATGAAATCTTAAATTAACTTAGTATTGGCAGCTACCGACACCCAAACCAGAAAAGCCTGCTGCGAAATGTTGTTCAAAATGATTGAAGTTCTACTTCTAGACCTACTCGAATTGGAAGAAGAATGCTAGAAGCCCATCACAATCAACATCGAAGGAGAAATCAGAAAAATCCAAATCATCAGAGGACATTGTGATAATACACCCACTCCAGAATAACCACCAGTCATCCCTGTTGATCCCATACCAATCAAACCCAAGGATCCAACTCCTACCATTGTCATCCCTCCTAAACCAAGGGATCCAACTCCAACCATTGTAATCCCTCCAAAACCAAGGGATCCTACGCCCAAACCAGGAGACCCAACTAAGCCTGAAGATCCAACTAAACCAAGAGATCCAACACCCAAACCAGGAGATCCAACACCCAAACCAGGAGATCCAACTAAACCAGGAGATCCAACTAAACCAGGAGATCCAACTAAACCAGGAGATCCATCTAAACCAGAAGACCCAACTAAGCCAGGAGATCCAACTAAGCCAGGAGATCCTACTAAGCCAGGAGATCCTACTAAGCCAGGAGATCCAACTAAACCAGGAGATCCTACTAAACCAGGAGATCCAACTAAACCAGAAGATCCAACTAAACCTAAGGATCCAACTCCTAAGCCAAGAGACCCAACAGCTAAACCACCCCCTAAACCAAAAACACCAAGTCCAACTCCTTAAGTCGTTATCGATTGTGTCAAGGGGGCTAATGTCGTAGGTGACATGAGTGCAAGCTCAGATTAAGCCATTGCTGATTCAGTAATTGAAGGTAAAGACATTGCTGGAGCCACTGATTATGGTTATGGTTTCTGGATAAGATGGTTGAGTAGATATCCAGATGAATTGGTCTCAGGAAGAACAAAAAACACCTATTACTTCGTATCCAGATTGACAACCAATCAAAAGTTCAATGATGCAGAAATGGGAGATAGAGTTCTGGCCATCTGGCATTATGATACTGGTTTCCATTTCACTACATTAGACAAAGCATCTCGTAATCCAAACGTAAATCAAAACATCCCAACAGGAGACATTGAAGGATTGTGGAGCTACGTCTACTATTCATATAGTGGAAGATTAAAGAGGGCTGTTGGTTTATTGAAATTTGGAGCCAGTGGAAAAGTACAATAACTCTCCTTAGATGTTACTCACGATATCCCAACATATTTGAGATTAGTTATAGGAGGTAGATAGTTTAGTTATCCTGGATTCAATGGGTAATTCACTAATCCAGTCTTCAAGATTGGAGATGGAGCTTATGTTAATTCTGAATTGGAATTATTCGATTACAATCTTAAATGCAATCCTTATCCAAAATTAGATTGTACTGAAAGAGCTAAACAAACCTTAATCCACAAGGCTGTTAGATACAATGTTAAGACTACAAAAGTACAAACAGTTAAAACTAGTCTTGAAACACCATTCCCTGAAGAATACTCAGTTAGTGGTTGGTTTAAATGGAAGTAAGTAGAGAATTAGGAGCCATGGCATTTGATGTTCAGAGTCTTTGCCACAAAAGAGAATAACAATGCCAAGAACTTAGGAGACAGAGATTTGGCAGCTTGGATTGGTACCGCAAATGATGGTATTGTGTTGTTGTCCACTTATTCATATAATAACTTATTCGGAGAAGGTAACCCAAACATTATGAATCAAATCCAACACAAGAATAGAATTTAAGAATGGACATTTGTGTACTTTGGATATTCATTTAAATAAAAGACTGCTCATTCCATCGTTCACTTCAAGGAGGCTAGAGAAGAGAGAACATTTGAGAATGTCAACCATTTCTTAGTTTAAAGACTCTCAATCAATTTGGCAAAGGATGACCACTATCCTTCTTGGAACGGTATCATTGGCAAATTCAGAATTGATTTGTGTAATGGTGCTTATGATCCTAAATTCCCAAGAACTGCAACACCAGTTCCAAGTCCATCACCATTAGGTCCAACTCCACCACCTTCAAAGACTGTTGAACCACCCCCCAAGACTCCAACCATCAAACCACCTCCTAAACCAGTCAAACCACCCACACCAGAAGTTGTAGTGTCACCACCTCCTCCCATCATCAAAACACCAGAAGTTATGCAAAAATGTATTGAAGGACAAGCTGCGATCGGAGATTCCTCTTCAGCACCAGATGTTAAGCCAGTTGCTGACATCTAAGTACCAGAAGAAGCCTTGAAGGATGTAACAGAATACGGTTATGGATTCTGGAGCAGATGGTTGACCAGACATCCAGAATAATTGTTTGAAGGAATGAGTGAACCATGGTATTTCGTATCAAGATTGACATCAAATGATCCATATGACAATATTAGAATGGGAGACAGATTGTTGGCAATCTTCTTGAGTAAAGATGGATACACATTCATCACAAATGATAAAGGAACATCTAATCCAAATCTCTATAAGTAATAACCATACAAAGATATTGAAGGCGTTTGGACATACATTCATTTCAGTTTCAGTCCATTGAAAAAGAAGGCTGTTGCTTTTGTTCATGCCAACAAATAAACCTCATAAATTGAATTGGCTGGAGTCACACATGAAGCTCCAAAGAAATTAAGATTCATCTTGGGAGGTAACGATCTCAAACTCTATCCTGGATTCAATGGTTAATTCACAAGACCAGTATTGAAGATCGGTCCAGGTTCATTCATTGGTTCTCCTGAAGATGTTCAAAAGTATGCCTTATCATGCAACCCATTGCCAGAACCAGATTGCAAGAAGGGAAGAGGAGTCAGCAATTTGATTGAATCAACAAAAGAATTCAACAAGGGAAGCGAAGTCACCTTGTTTGTTGCTGATAATGAAAGACCATTCCCAGATAATTATGCCGTTGGAGGTTGGTTCTTGTGGACACCAACAGAATAGGAAGACTGGCATTTAGCTTTCAGAGTTACAATTAATGGATAAAAACACAATAAGAATGATCAATTATTGGGAGACAGAGATCTCACAACCTTTTTTGAGCAAGTCAGGTAGTTATCACTTTGCTACCTATACCTACACTGATAACTTCGGTAAGGGAATTCCCAACAAGTACATTAACACTGAACATTAAAACAAACACACTGAATGGCATTACATTTACATGGCATATTCAAGAGAGTAAAAGAGAGTATTGACCATTCTCTTCACAAAAGGAGATAGACAAGTCAAGTACATCGATGAAGTCAATCATTATCTTGCTCCATTGTACAAGATCTTCTTAGGAAAGGATCAATTCTACCCAGCTTATAATGGTTATTTGGCTAATGTCCAATTCTTTGCATGTGAAAGTGCATATGATCCCGATTACAAACCCCCTGGATAACCAGAAGTACCAAAGTAACCTGAAGTTCCAGTTAAGCCACCTGAGCCATAAAAGGAACCAACATGTTTGAAGGGTGACACAACCATTGGTGATAGTGCTTTTGATTCATAAAAACCATTGGTAGATTTTGTGTTAGACAAACCAGAATAATTGTAAGATGTAAGAGAATATGGATATCAATTCTGGATGAGATACATGACTCGTCACCCTGTCCCAATGTATCAAGGTAAGAGAGCTCCTTGGTATTTCGTTGCCAGATTATCAGGCAGAAAAGACTTTGAAGATGTTGGAAAAGGTGATAGATTATTGGCAATCTATTAAGGTCAATCAGAATATACATTCGCTACTAATGATCATAAGAATAACAACTTCAATACAATTGCTGGTCGCTTTGAATTTGGAGATATTGAAGCAGTATGGACCTTTGTTCAATTCTCATATACTTCTGCAGGTAAAGTAGTTTCATGGATTTAATATGACAATAGTGAACCAAAGACTTTTTCAGTTGCTGTTACACATGACAAACCTGAATATTTGGAATTTGTATTAGGAGGTACCCAAGGCAATACCTATCCAGGATTCAATGGTCAATTCACATCTGTTGTTGTCAAAGTTGGATAAGGCTCATTCATAGAAACAGCCGAATAATTCCGTAAGTTTGCCATCAATTGCAATCCTAAACCACTCCCAGTTTGTAATAAGGCTAAGGAAGTTGTGTTGATTGAGAAGTCCAAGAGATTTGAAGCTTAAAGCAGTGAAGTTAATGAAATCACATCTCCAGAAGAGTAAGCATTCCCAGATGAATACTTCGTTAGTGGTTGGTTCAAATGGAGATCAACAGTCATGGAACCATGGCATTTAGCTATTCGTCTTCATCAAAATAAGGGTATGGAGAATGCCAATGCTGCCAAGTTGGGAGATAGAACCATAGGTGCATTCGTTGGAAACAATGGAAACTATGCAATCACAACCTATACATACACTAACTTGAATGGTGAAGGTGATCCAAATAAATATGTTTAAGTGCCTTATAAGGATCAATTAGCCTAATGGCATTTTGTGTTCATCGGATACAGTAGAGCTAAGAGATAAGTTGTTGGTTTCTTGTAATGGAAGGACAGAAAGGAAAATATTAACTTAGAGAACATCAATCATTATCTAACCAATTCAGTTTATGTCAATGTAGGAAAGGATAGATTTTACCCAGCATTCAATGGACACATTGGATCATTGAAATTGTAATTATGCAGTGGAGCATTCACACCAGTATTCCCAGAAGATCCTTAACCACCTTAGGTACCATCTACTCCACCTCCTCCCAAACCAGTTGACCCAACAAAACCAGGTGATCCTACTAAACCAAGTGATCCAACTAAACCAGGTGATCCCTCAAGACCAGAAGATCCAGTTCAACCACCCAGACCTGCAGATCCTGAAATTGTCAGAAAGTGTGTTAGTGGTTAAGTTCAAATTGGAGATATGCCTTCCAGTGGTGATAAAGTTGTTGATCTCAAGGTCACTGAGGATAAATTGGGAAGTGCAATCGAATACGGATATGGATTTTGGACCAGATGGCTCACAAGATGGCCAGATAATCTCATTAAAGGAGCCAGTGAACCATGGTATTTCATTTCTAGATTGACAAATAATGATCCATATGACAACATTAGAATGGGAGACAGATTATTGGCTATTTGGTTAGGTTAAGCTGGTTATACATTCATCACAAATGATGTTGCTTCAGGCAATCCTAATCTTAATAAATAAATACCTTATGGAGATATTGAAGGTGTTTGGACCTATATTCATTTCAGTTATAAATCAGGATAAGCTGTTGGTGCTATTAGAATTGGAGACAAGACTCAATTCACAGTTCTTGATGCCAAACACGACTAACCTAAATTCTTGAGATTGATTGTCGGTGGTTCTGATCTCAAATAATATCCAGGATTCAATGGTCAAATCTCATCACCAATTCTTAAATTAGGTGCTGGTTCATTTGTAAATACTGAAGATGATTTCAATAAATTCGTGTTAGCATGTAATCCAAGACCTGAACCAGATTGCAAGGGCAAGACTGAAAGCAAATTGATTGAGGGTATCAAGAAATATGAATCTACCCAACCAGATTTTTATGAACATGTTAGAGATGAGAAATCTCTCTTCCCAACTATGTATGGTATTGGAGGTTGGTACAAATGGGAACCAACAAAGTAGGAACCATGGCATTTAGCATTTAGAATTACAACAAATGATTAGAAGACCAATAAGAATGCTGAAATATTGGGAGATAGAACACTTGCAGTTTGGTTAAGTGATCAATAATTGTATGCATTTGCCACATATACTTATACAAACATGTTTGGAGCTGGATAACCAAATGCAGCCTAAGTCATTAAACACTAAGATAAACACACTGAATGGCATTATATTACATTCTAATACAACAGAGAGACCAGAGAAGCATATGGATCCATTGTGTTTAAGGATGGTAAATTAGATTTGAAATTCCCCAATACAAACCATTACTTGGTTCCAGTGTTGAGAATATTGATAGGAAAGGATCAATTCTACCCAGCATTCAATGGATACATTGCTGATGTGATATTTGTTAATTGCCAAGATCCATACAATCCACAATTCACTCCAGGAAACCCACCTGAATTACCAAAACCACCTGTTATTCCAGTTGAACCACCTTAGCCATTCCCAGAACCTAAATGCTAGATGGGTGACGAAACTGTTGTGGATTCTGCATTTGATGATTTCAAACCATTGGCTGATATTGAAGCAACTCCAGAGAATTTGAAGGACATCAGAGAATACGGATACTCATTTTGGGTTAGATATTTAAGCAGACATCCTAAACCAATGTATTAGGGCAAGAGTGAACCATGGTATTTCATGAGTAGATTGACAGTCAATAAGGAATATTAGAATGTTGAGAAGGGAGACAGATTGTTGGCCATCTGGTAAGGTCAAGGAGCTTACACATTTATTACCAATGATTATAAGACCAGTAATTGGAATGCAGCCAAGAACATTGAATATGGAGACATTGAAGGAGTTTGGACATATATTCATTTCAGTTACAGCAGTGTTACAAGTCAATCAGTTGGTTTTGTTAAGGTACACAGGCAAAGAACCATAATCAGTCACATTTGATGTCACTCATGATAAACCAACATTCTTAAGACTCGTCATCGGAGGATCAGATCTCAAATTGTATCCAGCCATCAATGGTCAATTAACAAGAGCTGTCTTTAAGATTGGTGCTGGTGCTCATCTTGACACTGTTGATGAATTGAATAAGTTCGCATTGGCTTGCAATCCTCAACCTAAGGAAGTCTGCTCCAAGGCTGTTGAATAAGTCCTCATTCAAGAATCCAAGAAGTTCGAATTAGCCAAGTCTACAGTGTTGGAAATCCCATCTGATCCTGAAGCTGCTTTCCCATCTGAATACAGTGTCTCTGGTTGGTTCAAGTGGAAGGAAACAACTATGGAATAATGGCATTTGGCCTTCCGTCTCCACATCAACAAGGAAGAAGCAAACAAGAATGCTGAGAGATTGGGAGATAGAACATTGGCTGCCTGGGTTTCACCAGCTCAAGATGGTATTTACGCCTTTGCCACTTACACCTATAAGAATTTGAATGGAGCTGGAGAACCAAATCTGGCCAAGGTCATCCCTCAAAAACAACAATAAACCAATTGGCATTTCATCTTCTATGCTTACAACAGAGATACCAGAAAGGCAGAGGGATACGTTCAATTCAAGGACAGAAAGGAAACCATACTCTTTGAAAATGTCAACCACTTCTTGGTGCCGTAAGTTTACTTGAACATTGGTAAAGATCGTTTCTATCCTTCATGGAATGGTCATATTGGTAAATTCAGAATGAATCTATGCGGTGGAGCCTCCAGACCTGTTTTCCCCAATGGTATTCTATTCTTTCTATTATCCCCTTAGATATTGATGTTCCTCCTCCCGTGACCCCAACTCCAAAACCACCTGTCTCTGAAACTAAAGAGTAATTTATATTTAATATCTTTTAGAATCTGTCTTATCAACACTAAATTGGTAGAGGTTACCAAGAACAACGTCAAAGATGTTATCAAATAACTTGAAGCTCTTGAAAACTCAGAACCTACTGAAAAGACATGCTATTGTACTGTCCCCAAGAAGGCCTCCATGTTTATTGAGCTCTATGGAGAAGAATTATCCAATCATGTCGACAACCCAGTCATTTAAAGATTAATAGCTCAAAATCAGGTGCGTTTGAGGATATGATTTATCAAATTATGTATCATTCTGCAAAAAAACATGCCTTACTCTAGTATTTCAGTTATTGGTATGTCTGATACTTCCCACCTTCATTCAGATCTGGCATAAAGCTCTATAACAAAGGACTCGATTGTTTCTTAGGAGCACTGATATGCCTAGTGAATTCACTCTATCTTAATCTCATTGTTTAAGTCAATTATTATAATTTTGAATTATTTGATATTAAGTACTTAACACAGTCAGGTTGTGAATATTCTCTTCCGTATTTTCGTAATTAAGCTGGAAATGCTTAATCTGGATGGTCTTTCCAACTTTTTAAAGACACTTATCCCCCATCATTAATCGTTACAAAATAATCTCGACCTTTTCCATCTCCAAAATAATGCTGAATTCTTTAATGCTAAGGCGGAAGCAATCCTCTGCTTCGAGAACTAGGTTATTACAATTCATAGTACTTTGTTGCACTTTTTGGAAAGATCATCTTTGTGTAATCCGCCTTCGGAGACAAATCTAGTGAACTAATCATCTTCTGAGATAATAAACCGCCATTTGTATGCCTTACATACTGATCCCTTAAAATCTTATATTAATCTCACCTTCCAGTGCCGTCATTGTGATAATGAAAATGCTTCGCGTCAATCTTTGGATACTTATATTCTTGCATAAATTATATTAATACTCTTGATACCAATAGTTATATAAATATTTATATGTATATACTCAATAACTTAACTTGTAATGGTTATCCAAACTATCAAATTTGAAATCCGTCATGAACTGATTCTTGAATGTATATGCTGCCTAACTACTGCCCCTATCTGTGAATCTGAATTCTTAGACTCGAATCCAACTATTCTCATTGCATTTTATGTAGAAATTGTTTTTGAATTGTTTGCTCTTTATTAACCACAATGTGCCATTCTCAGCTGCATTGAAATGCTTCAACTGCTCTATTTCTAAGTCGTTTGCTAATGTAATGTTCTCTAAGTAGAATTCCCTTTCTTAGTATTTCAATTTCAAACTATGGAAATTTGTCCCATAAATCCCTCTGTATTAGTTATATATCTTATTTGCTGTATTGTTGAAATCTGGCCTTAAATCAGCTTGAGTAATCTTTGGTGCCTTAGTTGTCTCACTAGCATTCTGACCCAATCTTTCAAATTTGTCAAGATTTGTAATGAATTCTTCTACTGAATCCGCTGTCAATTATGATAATTTCTATGATAACTCCTTATATCTATCGACTGCAAGGATATCAATTTCTTTTCTTAACAGGATTGCACCTGCATCAAATCTCTAGATATTCATTAATTACTACTTATTTTTTGAAATCTCAATAAATGACACACCAGTCTTCTATTCATCATTCATTATAGCCCTTTGAATCGGAGCTGCCCCTCTATACTTTGGCAATAAGGAAGGATGAATCACGTAAACTCCCTTATTAAAAATATCAATAATCTGACTTGGAATCATGTATCCATAATTACAAACTATTCCAAGATCAGGTTTCTCCTGAATTTCTTAAACAAAGTTGTTAGTCTTGTCTGACAAATTTGGTTGATAAATTTCTTTATTTTTACACTATATTTACTAAATTGCTATTAAGCAGCATAATCTTTAATTTAATTTTTCTCCTTATGTGAATGGTTTGGCACTGTTATCAGACTCAATTTGGGATCAATTGCTGCCAACTTATGCAACCTTTAAAAGATAGGCAAGGGAAACAATCCACTCCCAAAAAATATAGTTTTCATATTCTTAATATACAAAAATAAATAATCAAATTTCATCTGTAAATGGATCTTGGATTGGTTCAAATGTATAAGACTATAAATGGCTGCCCTTGATTCTTAAATATTCATTCAAAAACCCTCCTACACAGCCCAAAACCAAAATAAAAGGAATCAATAGCAATTCTTCAAATAAAATCAGTCCGACTAAAATAGTTTTGTTCTCTACGTCCTAATATTGATATACCAAGTATACTTCAATATCCAGAGAACTAAATAATAGTCCCTATAAGAATCCAATTAATGAACTTATATAAATAAAAGATATGATCTAATTCGGAGTTTCAACAATAGTTCTATTCTAAACATTCTAACTAAAACTAAAAATAAAATTGATTAAGTCTATTGTCAAATAACAGATTGAGGAACTCAATGACACTCCCAAAATTATATATAAAGGAATCTTGGTGAAGTAATTCAATCCTTCATGCCTATTCTATTCTAATATTTTACCATTTTTTATCAAAGTACAAACAAAAACATATGAGTCCTGATGCAATAATAACACTTGCAAAGCAAACTAAATACTTTTATTTTAAAGTCCATTGAGTAATATGATTAGTATTCATAAATATTTTAGTTCGTATCAATATATATACTCCTGTTATGAGGAATGTGAATCCAAAATACTTCATACATAATGAAAGCAAATTACAGCGGAAAAGATTAAATTGAATCGAATCTCTATCAAAATGAAATTCCCTATTGTTGTTGATAATAGACATATTATTGCTCCAAAAAATGCAGACAGTAACAATCGAATATACTCCTTATTAGTAATCTTCCACCAAAACTTAGATTGCATTAAATTAAATAATAAAATAACTTCTGATTTTTAAGACTAATTGATCAAAATAATAAAAATAAAGTTCATCTGTTTATCGTATCCTTCTACAGGTCTTATCTCTCAAGCTTATATAATGAATTAAAGTGCTCTTTAAATGTCAAAACTTAGATACTTAATTACATTTTCAAATCAATTTATTTATTAAAAATATTAAATTTGCTTATATTTATTTATTTGGCATGGATATCATAAATAAATAATAATATATTATTTGAATAAAGATTCCATATTTCCCTTTTTTTAATTAAAATAATTGCATGTTTTTAAACGAAAAGCTTTAAAGCAACATTTAATTATTTTTCAGTGTAGCTCTTCTAATGATATTAATTCTGCATATAGATAATTGTAATACTTTAGGATAATTCAGTAATATATAATATTAATCATCAAATTATTATGATGCTGTGGCTTGGATTCAAAAAATCATCTCTTTAAATTTTGCATTCAGATTTTTATTTTTCCTTGGTGACTTAGGAAATTATTAAGACTGGTCTAATGATTGAGAAGAAGGATCGTGAGTTATTTGTATTTTCGAAGACAATAGCAGTTAACTGCACTGATTATCAACTTAAACTTTCTCCTCTTATATTGATTTATTTATACTTAGTTAATAGAGATTTATTTTTCAATATCAAAGTATAAATCCTCCATTTTATCATTGTCTCCCATAATATTACAAACAAGAGGAGTAAGTTTCAATTACACGATGTATTTATGCGATGATGGTGCGATATCACTCTGGTCATTTTATTTGTCCTGATTCTGAGCTTAAATTTAACAAGTTCCCATGTTGTGTTTCTTTAGAATTATTATTAATAGTGATTAAACTTTATTCAATCCAGATAAATCCTCAATCAATTATAATCATTTGATTAATGATATTAGAGCAAAGATGATTATAATAAAATTATTATTATTAGTTTCTATTCAGTAAAGACCTAAACCCCATTTTGGTGAGGATTTAAGTCAATTTGAACTTAACAATCGATAAATGAATAACAATCATACAAGTTTCAATTTATATCCACATATAATTTAATTTTTCATTCCACATAAACAAAAAGTCAGCCGCATTTTAGTCGAGAAACCTTAATTTCAAACATCCATGCATCCACAACTTTAGAGATCTCTATACAATTTTAAAAAGCATACTTTATTTTGATTAAGCATTCTAACTGATGATGTCCTAATTTTTAAAAAACAAAGTTCTATCAGTCCTCGCTTGATGATTAATTCTGATTATAGGGCTTGTTCATTGCTATCATTATTTTAGGAGATCAAAAGTTTTATTTTAAGTTTTTAATAACCAATCTATTTTTAGATCTCCAGTTCAGCAAAGTTGATAACCCCAATCATCATTCTTAAAATTTTATATTAAGGTAGAAAAGTGGATTTATTTAATTGCCTCAACAAAAATGTAATAAGTTAAAATCAATTTTTCAATATCATTTAATGCTGAAAAAAACAAATATCAATTTTAATATTTTAAAAATGAAATCAATATAATTTTGGAGCAATGCACAAAATATTGTAATCAAATATATATAAAATTTAATTTTTGTATAATAAAGGGCTAGATTGCATCGAGTTCTATTATATTTTGTATCAATTTTAATCTCTTAAATGATATCATCTCAGGAGAATTAATAAAAGTGCTTGGTAATGAACTTGAAAATTTAGAAGTAAATTGACCATTTAAGCCCTTTGAATTTGTAATTACGAACTACGCTTAGAATGCAATATAGAAATAATAAGCCATTATATAAAAACCAACACATTCTTAAAAATTATTGTGATTCAAAAATGTGCAATATACTATCTAAATTAAATGTTATCTGTTGAAAAACAATATATATATATTTTAAAAATGGCTGAATCAATGAAGTTATTTTATTATCAATGTGGATATTTTTATAACGAAATAATTTATACTATTATAAAAATCAAATTTCTATTTTACAATATGGAATTTAATGATAATAGTTATTACTCAAATTTTATTTAGCCTTCAAAAAATATTCCCCAATATTATTATTTAATTGTAAAATCACATTAAAACCTTAGCTATGATATTGAATTAATTATTATATTTAAAAATAGGAATATGTAATTTTAAGGATGATATATTATCAACTTATCATTTTCTATACTTATTTGTTTTCTTTTAAGCTGCACTAACCTATGCAGTCGAAGCTCCACTTGATTTAAATGTGTTTACTGTTTCATTTCCTGCATTGCCTCCTTAAGTTCTGCTATGAATTTATTTCTTTTTTTTCCACTCTTTTCTTTCATGTTTAGGTAACCATCTCTCAGGGTTTGGTAATGGACCAGGATTGGTTTTGTCGAAATTTTTAGGGTATCTAATTCTCTTCTTCTTTTTCTTTAAAATCTTCTTAACTTAGACTTCCACCTTCTTTGATAATCCAATATTTTTCTCTAAATTTTCAATTTCATTCATATCAGTAATCCCATCAAATTACAAAGAGTCAACAAATTTAGCTCCTTGTTAGAGTTATCCCTTTTCAATGCATAGCAAGGCAAGTTGACTCTTAATTTATTGATCCTAGGTCTAGTATAGTAAAGCTTTATCCAGATTTCCTCTTTTGATATAATAACTGCAAACCAAATCTTTATGGAATTAAGCAATTAATTGAATTTGTTTTTCATATGGAGCATCATCAGACAATTTCAGAATATGAGCCAAGATAAAAGTGCTCAAGACTTTGTTCTAATTCCAATTTTTTACATTGCATAGTTCTATTATTTTGTTTATGTTGTCATTATTAGTAGCAAATATCAGATATTGATAAGGATCTTCGATTGGTTATTCCCATTTTAATCTATTAATTGCTATCTGAACAGGTAAAGGTAAGCCTTGTTCCTTGGCTGGTCTGTTCTTTATAATTTATAAAATAGCTTTATTAATTTTCAACACATGAAGTTATTGAGGTGTAAATTTATAATCTAATGACAATGCTTCTTCAACTCTTTTTAATGAATCATGGTGTGGATGGATAAACTCTTAAAATACTGCCAAATTATTCAATATTACTGCTTATTCGGGAGCTTTCTCTAAAATTTCGTATCTATATATATTAATGAATATTTACTATTTAACTTTGCTTTTGTAATCTCCTGGGTTAATTACATCTAAAATTAATTGGGCTAAAAATAAATCTTCATCCTACTCATTTTCAACTTTCACCATGTTTTCGAATCTGATAGTTAATTCTTTTGCTGTTTTTAGACTAATTGAATATTTTACAAAAATTACTCATTTAATTACAAATTAAGCAAAGCATGGTTTAGTAATAACTCTCTTGCATATTAATTTTTATTCTTTTTGATGAATTCAATTATTTGCTAATTTATTTATTTCATTTAGGTTTAGTCATTTTATTGAATTGCTGCATTTGCTATATTTGTTAAAATGTCTTGAGAGTCTTTTTGAAATTTGGTCTTAAAGATATTCGAATATTTATACTTCTTTAAGCAGCTTCTAAAATAATTGGATTGCTTGTTCAAACTCTCCTAACTTTAAATAAGCTTGTCCCAATAATAGCTAATCTTCCGGCACATTTTTTCTACTTTCTGTTAAAACCTATTGATATTATCCTTCAGCATAGAGTAGATATAATCTAGTAAAAGGATAAAGTTAATGATCTTTCAGTCCTTTCAAAAGTTGCGAGGCTTCTTAAAAATTCTTATTATTTATTAAAAGGATTGACTTTGTCAATTGGATATTTGGAGTTTATTCACATTGATTCGCTACTTCTAACAATTAAGCAGGTGATCCTGTGTGTAATTCTTCCACTAACCTTTGTATTGGAGTTCTTTAGTCCATAAACACGTGTTTACTAATATTTAATATAATAAATATATGGGAGATGAATTAATTTTGAAAATTGTAGAAGTTAACCCTCCATCTTCAGAATCTGGCAGTAAAAATATCATCAAAGCCACTGGTGAATGGTATACTAGAGATAAAGAAGCTAAAATTGTGATTGATTTCGGGAATGCTTTAATATCACTAATTTCTATATGTACTTTCATTTTAATTAATTAGAATAGAGAACTATCATGCAGATTAGGTTAATATAAGACTTAAAGGAGAAAACTCAGATGAAATTTATTATGACAAAGTAATTTGGAAAAAAAATGACGAATGGAATAAATTATAAAGTGTTGATATTGAACCATTCTCTTAAGAAATATATAATTAAATGATTGTTGAGGTGTTAAATTACACCTAGAAGGATTATAAGGGATTAAAAAGAATTAGAGTTTATGGAGAACAAGACAAAGCAGTATATAACGAAAGGAAAAAAATTCGGAAACAACAGAAGAAAGAATAAAAAAATAAAGAGAAAGCTTCGAAAGAAACTTAAAATTAAGAAAAGAGTGACCAAAAGGATCTAGCAAAGAAAACTAAAATAGATGAATCTTCAACTAAAAAAAATGAAAATTGGGAAAAATACAAAAAACCTTAAAATCAACAGAATAAAGAGCCTATTTTTATAGATACTAGAGAAAAATTGAAAAATATTCACAAAGGGCTATCACCTATCAAAGAAGAAACTGAATAATTTGATTAGAAGGCTGTTCAAACTCCTAAACAACCTGAAGTATTTGAAAAACTAGGCATTAACGTAAATGAAAGAAAAATGATTAGATTCAATTTCAATTAAATTGATAAGTAATTTTTAGAGTTGCATTAGGAATGTAATTTCCCATTCATATTTTTATAGTATAACAAACTTCAGGAATCGGAAAAGATAGGTAACTAAATTATGCTAATTTTGAAACCCACTGGCTTCAATGAATTTGAATATTTATTATATATTGATTGTTTTAAGTAATTGATATTAGATTTCTCATACTCCTAATTCATTGAAAGATTTTACTGATTTGAAAAGTTGAGATACTTCATTAACTCTTGTAAATTCTATACAAAATGCTTGTAGCTTATATATAATTATAGCAAACTTACTTCAGTCAGAAGATCTTTAATCACAATCGCCTTAGTTTTTAAAAAATGGCGTATAAAAATGCTGACATATTTAACTATTTTCGTTTATGTTGATTTTTCCTATTTGATTGTATATTATAATTTACTTTAATATTATTACAATATTAAATACAATAATACACATAATATGTAACGAAATCAGGAGGTATTTTCATAGAATAATTTATCATCGCAATTAATTCAATTGTAGCAGGAGTAACATCAATATTGATAAAAACATCCAAGTAACTTCAATTATTAAGTACACTTACTCTTAGAAATCAGATGACTTCACATTTTTGACTAAAAAAAGGAATACTAAGTTTGCATTATTTTCTATTAAATCAGGTAATTTTTATGTAGTAAAACCACAATTTTTTAATAAAAATTCATCATTTTATAAAAAGTCTTAAATCAACTATGCTATAAATTGTTATGTACTTTGAATTCTTGATCACTGACTTAAGTACAACAAGCTTTCTATATAATTTCCTTTACCGAACTCAATTTATCACTGTTGATTTGAAGAGTATAATTCCATTATATATTATTAAGCATGCAATTCTCATTCCAATAAAAATTATTTGAGTTAATGAGGGAAGGAATCGGTCTTAAGTAGTCAATTGAAAACTAATCAGAATCTAAATTAAGCTTCTTTATTTTATCCATTAGTATAAAATGAAATATTTATTATTAAAATATATTTTAATCTATGTTTATTAGGTTATTCTACAAAAAGGTTTGAAATTCATCGGCCCTAACCTTTAAATTCAAAGTCGAGTTGAATCTATCTAAATTCATACTGTTATGGATAATTTAGCAAATTCAAAGACATGTTAACAATGAATCCTAATATTTAAAAGTTTTATTTTTACTCTTAGCTCCTATCAAAGAATCTGTCCATTAACAACAGCATTAATTTCAAGTAAACTTGTAATCATGAGGCATTTCCAAAATAGAAAAATTCAATCTTTAATATTGTTTAAAGAATGTACTCTTATATTCTTCTACGATTCAATCTAAAATTAATATTGGTGCAAGTCAAATTTAATCAAAATACACTCTTAAATTGCATTCTCCTACTTACAAATTCTTATCTCAAAAACTTTACTTCTTTCAATTATATGGATAATTAAAAAATCATAATAATACCATTCTGAAAGTTTTTGTTATACATATAAAACACACTTATTGTGTTATATAATTTAAATATTGCAGATGATAACATTATAAAATGCACTTAAAAAATATAATTAAGAAAAAGAGTCAAAATAAATATAAAAAACAAAATTTAATTAATTATTTAATAAATAAATCAATATTAGTTTTCCTCTTCTTATTAATATTCTTACTTTTCTTTTAACTATTATTAATTGTTTAGTAATAATTATTCATTTTGATTTTAAGGTTGTTAATCATTGAAATTTAAGTTATTTTCGGATTAAAAATAGCCAATGTTATAATGTCCAGGCTTAATTAATAATATAATTTTATGATTTTTATTGATTCCATACTCCCTAATTACTATATTGTTACTATTTTCTATAAAAATTAATTAAACAAAACTTATAATAGTTAATATATATGTACGTATTTAATTGCTTAGCTAATTCTGCAATAACAACTTCATTACTATTACATTCTACTTCCCAATTTAATAAGTTTTCTCTATCATATACTGCATCTTTGGCATCACTAAAATCGACAACGTAATTAGAATAATTTCTAAAAAATATAGTTGATAATCCATATAACAATCCATCTATTTCTTCTGATTATTTTTCATAGGCAGCAAATTCAGTACGAAATTATTCTTCTCTTTAATTTATATCTTCTATTAGTTTTAGTTTAGTCATTCTACGTTAAAATTCATTTAATAAGTATTTTTCTAATTCTTTATCATCAATTTTTAAATCTGTACCAGGAACAAATATTTTCATTGGCAACTCAATTTGTCTAATTTTATTAAAAAAATCATTAAATTAGTCTTAGGAATACTCAAATAGTAAAATAGATAAGAATTAAAATCCAAAACTAGTGTAAAAGCAATTACCATCTCCTCTTACTTCTCTAAATGCATTGCAATTTTTATATAATTCTGCACTTGTTTTTAATGTTAGGCCATAATGTTTTCTCAATTCTAATTTATCCTAAAATCTTCTGATATAATATTTAAATTCGTCTTATATTTGTCTATTTTAAGAGGTCTCAGCAATTATATGCTTTAAAGTGTCTAATTCATTAATTCTATTCACAGGCTGAAGTATATTGATATCATTTGAATGTTGAGGTTGGTTTATATTTTATGGTATTTCAATTTGAACTTAATTTTCTTGACTATTATCTTGTCTATTTTCTGTTTCATTTATTTGCTAAAAATAGCCAATGTTATAATGTCCAGGCTTAATTAATAATATAATTTTATGATTTTTATTGATTCCATACTCCCTAATTACTATATTGTTACTATTTTCTATAAAAATTAATTAAACAAAACTTATAATAGTTAATATATATGTACGTATTTAATTGCTTAGCTAATTCTGCAATAACAACTTCATTACTATTACATTCTACTTCCCAATTTAATAAGTTTTCTCTATCATATACTGCATCTTTGGCATCACTAAAATCGACAACGTAATTAGAATAATTTCTAAAAAATATAGTTGATAATCCATATAACAATCCATCTATTTCTTTTGATTATTTTTCATAGGCAGCAAATTCAGTACGAAATTATTCTTCTCTTTAATTTGTATCTTCTATTAGTTTTAGTTTAGTCAGTCTACGTTAAAATTCATCTAATAAGTATTTTTCTATTTCTTTATCATCAATTTTTAACTCTGTACCAGGAACAAATATTTTCATTGGCAACTCAATTTGTCTAATTTTATTAAAAAAATCATTAAATTAGTCTAAGGAATACTCAAATAGTAAAATAGATAAGAATTAAAATCCAAAACTAGTGTAAAAGCAATTACCATCTCCTCTTACTTCTCTAAATGCATTGCAATTTTTATATAATTCTGCACTTGTTTTTAATGTTAGGCCATAATGTTTTTTCAATTCTAATTTATCCTAAAATCTTCTGATATAATATTGAAATTCATCTGCTACTTTTCGTTTTTTAGAAGTCTCAGCAATTATTCGCTGTATAAACTCTAATGGATCAGGTACAGGTATCGTCTCGGGTTAAGGATTAGGCTCGGGTTAAGGATTAGGCTCAGGTGGAAGTATAGGCTCAGGTGGAAGTATAGGCTCAGGTGGAAGTATAGGCTCAGGTTTAGGTATAGGCTCAGATTTAGGTATAGGCTCGGGTTAAAGTATATGTTCAGGTTAAAGTATAGGCTCAGGCTCTGGTTTAGGTATAGGCTCAGGTTTTGATTTAAAACTTGAAAGAGTGTTATCTTATTAGTTATCATTAATGATTTAGGATATGACTTATTGAATCTATTTTTTATGGATGATACTCTTAATTGATCATAGTGTTTTCTTAAATTTCTCGCCGTATTTTTATCACTATTTCATCTTTATCCTGAGTATTTATTGATCTATTTGCATCCTTATTATTTGGTTATTAATTTTCCGTAAATATTTAATTATTATCTTAATTTTGTTCTTAGCTATCCTCATTAATTAAATAACCATTTAGATTATTTTGTAATTGATTATCCTTATTTTTATATAATAAATCATTTTCAATATTTTATTCTTAGTCATTTTTACTATTGTATAATTGTGAATTCTGGTTAATTTATTATTAATAATCATTTTGATTACCTAATGGCATTTCTGGATAATTCTATTATTGATTATTTTATGAAATGGGTTGAGAGTCAAACTTTTCTAATTTTGGTGATTCATGTGTGATATTCTGTGATTAATCATATATTTCAATTTTTAGTAAATTCTATTACCCTTTATCTCTTTTTTATTATACTTATTATGATTTTAATTCTTCTGGTTATTATAAATTATTTTGTTATCTATTATTTTAAAGATTATTTGGATTCACATTTATTTTTAAATCATCATGAGAATTATTTTTGTAATTAACATATTATTAATTTTCTTGACTGCTCTTCCTTAATTTGCTTTATTTTTTTCATAAGTTTGAGTTTCTTATTTTTTATCATAACAATAGATATCTAATTAATTTTTTGTTTCTTTGTTTTAGGTTTATTAAACTTTATGATTTATATCTTCCATTTCAGCTTTCTCGCCAATTAGAGGATCTTAATTGCTTTATTTTTTTGTATTACTGTTTTTTAAACAGTAAATGATAAAGCCTAAAACTACAATACCCACTATGATGATCAATATTATTAAAGACGGTTCCATTAACCAAATTCTATAACAAAAAAATTAATGATTTTAATTAAATTTATCAATTGTAATATTTGTTTTGTTTTGTTGTGCTTTTCAATATTTCATATTCTCGAATAAAGGTTTGCAATTCATAAGATGTATCTTTCTTTTAAGGCTTCCTATTAAATGACTATTAATTCATTAAGGAAGTTCAAAACCATTTTTAGAAAAAATATTAATGAATAATAGAATTTAATTCTAGCGCATCCAAAAACTCATTAAGAGCAATGTTACATCCATTCTTTAGCAAAGAATGGATTGTGTTTTGTATTTATTTAGTCTACAGTTTCATTATCGGTACCAAGTATTGAATTGAGGTATCATGAAAAGACCATAATAGAAGCCTATTGCACTAGTTTAAATTGGTTAAGATACGCGAGAATTAATATCGTAAGTAAATCATCCTTTATTATTATTATTTAACACATTTAAGGGAATAATACACATTAATATATCATATCATTAATTTTACTTAATCTAGTTTAATGCTAGAATTTTATATTTTTATTTCTCTCATTTTTAGATATTATTGTATGTGTAAGTATACTTACACATAATTGAAGGCGGAGTCAAAATTATTATTGTGTGAGCTAATTTTATTGAATACTTTTTCCTAAATTCTATGTGCATTACTCATGCTGGGACTAAGAATATTATGATTATTGTATATTTTTATATTATTTAAATTGTCCCAGAATTTATCAGATTAATTTATCTTTATGGTGCTAAAACCCTAACACCATACAAAGAGCATTCATGCTTACAGAGATTATTATATCATCCAAAATAACTCTAGTGGTGATATCCCATGCAGATGCATAAGGCTTGGTGCACACTGGATCGAATTTTCTATGATCCAGGAAGCCATCACCCACACCAAGAATTCAATTAAATACAAATAATAATTCATTCTTTATTAATTGCCATTAATGTGAACTCATCATTACTTATTATGATATTTTAAGGGATTTCTTCTATTTATAATCCTTGGAACAAAGTTTTCTGTTTAATCTTGAGCTAAATGATTGTAATCTTTTTATTATTTTTCTATATAGCTTGCTTGCTAAATTGGTAGTGATTGAGTATGCTAGGAAATTTATTTAAAGGTACAACTTTAACTTCTCCAAAGTTGGGGATGATTTGACTAAAATTAGTGTTCCATGAATCATTCAAATTTGATGAATTATGTTCTTAAATATCTGAGAATCCGATATTATAAGACATCGGTTAGTGCTTAGTTATTCTTTCATGTGCTTAAATTATTAAAAGTAATCGGCTCTAGCTTTGGGAGCGGCAATGGGTTGTAGAATTTTAATCCTTATATTTAACCTAATATGTTTATAATATATTCCCGAACATTATTTACATCAAATATCAATTCATTTAAATCATTGACAAAACAATTCATACAAACTTGTATGCTAATTTATTAATATTATCAGAAACCTTGGCTGAAGTATGGCTATTAGCTAATTATTAATGAAACCTACAAACTTCTTGTTTATTCGTCAAAAATTCAATTTTTTTAGAGTTTATTTAAATTCCTGCAAGATTTAGTTACCATACCTAATAAATATACGATGATATAATATATCATTATAATAGTATTTATAGGAATATTTTTAATAGTCATTGATAAGAAACACATATGCTTGAGATCTTCTTATTTTTGGCTTTGACAATTCTCATATAGTTCGATTGCTATTTAATTTAAGAGAGTTTTTTGATTTTTCTTAATTCTTATTAAGCTCATAAGGTTTTGGTTAATATAAATTTCACAACAGTTCGATTGCTTTATAACAAGATAAATTAGATTATAAAAAATGTAGTGAACAATATCTCTGCTTGTGAACTGCTTAAGAATACTGGGCAAAATCCTCCTCCTTATGTATTTGTTGATCTGAATTTATTAAAGAAATTATGGAAAGGACTAGATTATATTGCTTATCTTGTTTTTTGTTGACAAATTATGTGGGGTGCTATTGTTTAAAACATTGAAGTATAGTGGTTTTGAAGAAGATATATTCCAAATGCTATATCTTCTCTTTAAGGCAACACCTTTTCCAAACTATTCTTTCATATCTGACTGCTCCTTTTTGAATTTAACATACATATATCACAAAGTTGAATCAATTTATCTTGAATTAAATTTTTAATTATTTTTTTTTATTTTATCTCCTCTTTTAAATTTAAAATAAAGAAATATAATTTATGGCAATAATGTAATTTATAGAATTTTTTATCAGTAATAGAAATATTTTTCCATTGTTGTTTTTGGTTATTTAATAGTCCAATTAAATTTGATTTATAATTTTGATTCTTATTAAGATATTAATACATTAAATCTCCAAGATAAATGACTTTTATTTCATCTTTCTTATAATTAGATAATATCAAAGTTATTACTTCTAAAAATTACTATGTTTTTAGTCTTTGTATCTAGAAAGAAATCTTGAATATTTTTACTAATAATTTTATTATTGATTAAACTAATTATTATCATTAATCCAGATAGAAATTTTAAATTAGAATTTTGATAAGTAGATTTAAGATAATAAAAGATCTTGGTACTTATCTTTTATGAAACCTATTTGTAATTAAGAATCACATTTAAAAAATAATCAGATGATTTCTTTTTATATCTGAATTTATTGTATTTTTATTATTTTATATTTATTTCCATTTCCAAAAGTAATTATTCAAAAAATTGTTAAACTCATACTAAAAGATCATGATCAATCAAATATTCTCAATGATTTTTTTCCTTAAATTATATCATATATACTTATAACAATTTATTCTTTTTGTATATCATTTCATTCATTAAAAATATTTTAGGAGAATTTATAATCTAACTAAAAATAAATCATCAATTTATTAGTTTTTGATTATTGTATAGGTATTACTATTATTTCTTTTAAAATCTATAAATTTTTGCAGCATTTAATATATTTTAATAGTCTTCGTACTTTTAATGGTATCCAATAATGATAATACTTTTAGCTAAATTAGGGAACTATCATGAAATTTATAATTGAAAAAAAAAGTAAATATCGACATCTGTGTTCCATAACGTTATAAACTCTTCAAACCAAATTTTGATCTACTGTAATGGATTAATTGTTTCAACATTAGGCAATTTAATATCAATATCATTAATAATTATTTACTCTTTAATTTTATAGGTGAGTGATTGTTTAAAGATTATAATTTAATAAATTTGTTTTTGTTTTGATTTTCATTCTGACATATTTTTAAGAATATATGTCTGACTATTTTCTTTAGCTAATCATGTTTCTTCATTTACTTTATTATTTGAATTATTTTTCGGTATTTACCAATTATTAACATAAGTATTAATATGACAAAATGTTTGATTGATTATTATTACAATACTAATTAATAAACATTTTGTATCTTTATTTAATATTTCCTAATATATATATATTTCTTCCTGCCTAACAATAACTTGATATTAATTTATATTTAATTCTATTAAATTTATATAAAAAAATATATATTTTAGTTGGAAGAAGCAAATGAATAAGCTTTGTGAAAAATGGAAAAGGCATAGAATAAAATTAGTATATTAATATGTTGCAATTAGATGACTTGAAGATTGGTTACTATGAAAATTAAGAAAATATTAATTATATTTCACGTTAATGGTAATAATTAAAATCCTATTATTTTGAAAGCATCTTTTTACTTCAAAGTATTATTTTGTTTCAAAATGGCAATTTCACTATATAATTTTTCTATTTTTTCTTCTGCTTCTTGCAAAGTATTCTACTGATTATTGCCATACTCATAATCTTTCCAATTTATCCCCTTTAGTTAATTTAAGAATTAGATATATTAATCAATGATGGTATCTTGTAGATAATATCCAATATTATAATGTCCAGGCTTAATTAATAATATAATTTTATGAATTTTATTGATTCCATACTCCCTAATTACTATATTGTTACTATTTTCTATAAAAATTAATTAAACAAAACTTATAATAGTTAATATATATGTACGTATTTAATTGTTTAGCTAATTCTGCAATAACAACTTCATTACTATTACATTCTTCTTCCCAATTTAATAATTTTTCTCTATCATATACTGCATCTTTGGCATCACTAAAATCTACAACGTAATTAGAATAATTTCTAAAAAATATAGTTGATAATCCATATAAACACCCATCTATTTCTTCTGATTATTGTTCATAGGCAGCAAATTCATTACTAAATTATTCTTCTCTTTAATTTATATCTTCGATTAGTTTTAGTTTAGTCATTCTACGTTAAAATTCATCTAATAGTTATTTTTCTATTTCTTTATCATCAATTTTTAAATTTGTATTAGGAACAAATATTTTCATTGGCAACTCAATTTGTCTAATTTTATTAAAAAAATCATTAAATTAGTCTTAGGAATACTCAAATAGTAAAATAGATAAGAATTAAAATCCAAAAGCAGTATAAAAGCAATTACCATCTCCTCTTACTTCTCTAAATGAATTGCAATTTTTATATAATTCTGCACTTGTTTTTAATGTTAAGCCATAATTTTTTCTCAATTCTGATTTATCCTAAAATCTTCTAATATAATATTTCTAATTTTCATCAACAGCGCGTAATTTGGAAGAATAATCATAAATTTATTTAATTTTATTTACACTCTATTAAACAATTTGTTATGATGTTTAATATATTAAGAGATTACCGCAAGATTTATGCTAATATTCTACCTGTTTTTACAGTTTTTGAAATTATTTAACAATATTTGACATTATTAACCGATTTTGATCCATCTAAACTGTACTCTAATTTTCTTGAATTGAAAGCTTCTATTCCTCATCTTATTAAAACTTATAATACATATCTTTTGATCCTCTAACAACTTTAATTGAATACCTTCATTTTCTTTTGGTTAAATTTTCGATTGCCCACATTTTTTTCCGTAACAGAATAACAATAATAAAAATAACACAAGTATTAAAATGTACCACAATAAATAAGAAGGTTGTTCTGTCTCTTTCTCTGGCAAATCTTCGCTCATATATTAATAAATTCTTAATAGAAATATAAATTTAGTTAACTATTTTCAAATTAAGTGATTTATTAATATAAAGTACATAGTTAATAAAATTATAATATAAATCTCAATATATATTGATTAGTTCATGTTAAAGATTTTTCAAGCTGCTTTTTCCATGCAATTTCAATATCTGCTCTTGCCATTTTTAATAAGCCGAGTTCAAATATGTTTTTGAAATCAGTTTCACCTTCTCTAAATCCAATTAATTACAAAATTTATCTTCCTTCATCATATTATAAAATGTTGAGATTCAAAGTCTTATTTGATTTTTAAATTGTTCTGAATTTCTCGTCATTCGGGTATTGGATAATGTTTGTAATTAATTTTATAAATAGATTATGGGAGCTCAATAATATTTATTGAGCTTTAATCTTTTTCAACCATCTGTCATAGAGATTGATGATTTCTTATTCCCTGCTCAGTTGTATTATTTCTTATTGCTTTTAATTTAATCTATTATTTTCTTGCTACTGTTATTACTAAATTAATTATTCAGGTGTAACTTAAAGTGATCTTAACTATTCATTATATTTTTAGATGTCTTCAGGATATATTAATAACCCTCTTGCCAAATATTATTCAATCGCCAACCTAGCAGCTTTCATACCTTAAGATTCTTTACTCGAATATATTAAAACAATATTGCTGCCCATTTATTGTAAATTTTGCAATTATGGTATCAGTTCCTTCACTAATTTTTACTGATTTATCTATCCAGAAGGTTATTATATTAAATTATAACATAATACTTTGTATTAATTTTATCCTAATTTTTCACTAAAATTCCCTACTTGATAGAGGAAAATGAGATTTCTGATTTATAGATTTCTATTATAGAGACTGATTTAGTTCTATCGTATTAGTATTTCGAAGGCCTCCTCGCTATGAAGGTAGATTCTAAAAGTATCATCCCCTCGTTTTGTTGCATCTTAAACATCCTTGTAATCAAATAATAACAAAGGATAATAACTATTTAGGATGCTGATCTCGCCAAGCATCTAATAATGTTCAATAAAAGTATTCAGGGGTTTAGTGAAGAGATATATTTATTTGACCTTCACATTGATCTCCTTGAATATATTTAACACTTATTCTATTTCCTCTTGATTATCTCTAAATACCCAGAGATTTTTAAAATCAAATAAAAATTTATATTGCTTTTTATCTTCAATTATTTTATCAGGTCTGCTAATATCAATTGGTGTGAATCCACACTCAAATATGTCAATTTTTGCTTTTTCGGAGTATAAGTAAATACACTAATAATCCTATTCTTTTGAAACTTATTTTTGCTAATTAACGCCCAGTCTAACAATAAAATTATACGCCATCGATTCAGTTACTTCAATGATTTTAATCTGCTCAAAAAATTTGATCATAAATGGTAACCCTATGCCCAACTTGGGCTTTGGCATAGGATATTAATCCAATATCACTTAGCTTGCATTTTAAGAGATGTCAGATTTCTTATTCTATTGAACATTGTTCCTTTTAGTTGCTTAACACATTCCCATTATAATTTAATTAATAATAACATTAAATCAGTATTCTCAAAAAATATAATTTTTATTCCATAAAGATTTTTCGATTGATCAACTCATGCTTACTGTAAAAAGCAATTAAAATTAATAGGTAGCCTTAAATAGATTCCCTAAGGGATATCTATTATTATATTTAGTTAATACTGTTGCTTAATATATTAAGGTATTTTTGGTGATTCATCGTATGTAAAATAAGTTAAGCATGATTGATTATTACTGAAGGATCTAAGTGTATGCCATTTCAAATAAGAATTTTCTATTTTGTTATTGTAATTAATTAATTTTATTAAGCTGGAAATGTTTTAGAATCCGATTTGTTAAATTAGCAAAATGTTGAAACTAAAATCTTTAAGGATGTTTCATTTTATTGTTTATGTTTCTTTAATTTAACTCGAAATCGAATATTGAAGCCAAAAGTATTGAACCAGACATTATACCTTGTAAAACAAGATCATTAGAATTGATTAATAATCAATAGAGGATGAATTTCTGCTAAATGATCAAATCAATTACTTTCTAAAAATGAAAAAATAGAAGTAAAGTTTACTCTTAAAATGTGAAATATAATGTAAATCCAGACTGAATTTATTTAATTTATATAAGAGTGTTGCCAAAAATCAGAAATAAAGATTATATATTATTAATAATATTATGGATTAACATGTGGAGATGGAAGCAGAAAAACTGCATATTTTAGGTTCTTACTTCTCAATATGAGATAGATAACTAAGAAAATGAGATGATGGGAGATGTGGAGAAATATTTTTAATCTTCTCATGCAAATTAAAAGGATATCCCTATGATTCGAGTATATGAGGATTCTGGCTCGGATTTACCGCAATCAGATTAACCTTTTGAAAATGGGGAAGCAGTCTTGGATGATTTAGGACTTGAAAAACTGAGAATCTAATCTGTTCACAGTGATGGAAGAGCAACATCTTGGAGCCACACCGATGATAACAATTCTTAGAACATGCAATATCTGAAAAGACCCAGAACCAGACAATAGTTAAGCAACAAAATTGTTGAAAGTAACTAGGAACTTTTTAATGTACACTATGCTAAAAGTCTTTACACAAGCAAAATCAGTTAGTTGGTTGACAAACAGATATCAACTAACCCAAGATCTAACAGAGTTTCGTAAAATAAAGAATTTATAATATGTTAGGAAGAGTTAATAGAAGGTTAAAAAAAAATCATCACAATAGCTTATTGAAACTTCAGATTAATCTGAATAAAATGAATAAAAGAGTTTCTTATAATCAGGGGGTGAAATGTCAGAAGACAGATTAGCAAGGAATAGAGTTGCTGCTAGGAATTCAAGGGCTAGAAAGCGGCTGTATTTTGAGTTGTTGGAAAACAAAGTGAAGGACCTATAAGATGAAATTGATCGGTTGAATGAGCTTTGTTAAAATTAGGCTAAATAAATATAAAAGTATAGAGAATGCAAAGAGGATGTAGAAATTTAAATATTACCTCAGTATTAGTTCAAATTGGAAACCCAGAGAAAATTAATAGAATAATTAGAGGTGTGTTAAATAAAGGAGGAAGATTCAGAAACAACAAAAATAGTTTTAGACTAACTGAAAGAATGCTAATTAAATTCTGAAAAGAACACAGTTGGATATTAGTATATAGAAAACCTATTGGAGATTTTGTTACCCATTGAATTAAGATATATTGCTTATAGTTCTGATGAAAATAAAGACCTATTATCAGACTTTTAGGGGTATCTTTTAAAACTAGATTTTAGGTCTTTTCTTGAATGGACCAAAGAAACATATTAGCTTATGGACATTTAGAAGGAGTAATTCAGAAAGATAAGAAAACACAAGGAAAAGCTTAATTGTGTCAAAAAAAATATCACAAGGTAATCACTGATTTTGATTAATTAAGTTGTATAAATAATCTTTACACTTCAGTAGGGACGATAATTAATGAAACTTTGAAAGTAGATTCAATTTGGAAGGTAATTTATGAGAGTTTGGAGCCATTGTAGCTGAGATCCTTGCTTTTGACGATTTATTAAGTAAGTGAGTAGATTTAAGATTATAGAATAAACACAGATCGGTTTTAGATTGCAGCAATTTGTTTAGCGATTGTAAATATTTCAAATAAAACTCATAAGTATAAATTTCGAAAATTTTATATAGAGCTAAAATGATTCAAACTGTTAACGGCCTGCAAATCTAAGATAATATGTGAAAAAAAATAATTGATTAATGATATATATATATATTTTTAAACTAATAATTTATGAGTGATCCTATAATTAGCGAGCAATATTATTTCAACGAGTAATTCAACTAGGTATTTTATTTAGATCGTACGATGTGAATGCTAATTAAATTGATTTTTCTGGAATACCAGATTCATTTTTGAATAATTAGCCATAAAAGAGATAACAATTTCCAAAAATCTAAATTTTCGATGAAGCTGACAGTGGGATAAATAATTTGGAACCCAATCAGATTCAATTTGAAGAAATAAAGATGGATAGGCTTCGAATAAAGAATGACAGCTCCATAGATGCCTAGCCTAGAAGTGGGAGTGACGGGGATAACTCAATCGATGCAAGTTTGAATAACCGAAGAAGGAGGAGGTCAAGTACTTTATTGTTCAAATATAGAAAAATATTCAAAAGAAGAATAAAAACATTTAAAAGATTCATTGTAATCTTAGATCATTTTGAATCTAGGGCAGACAAAGAGCACTTACACTAATAAAATCCAGAATTTGGTGAAAAATGAAAATAACGGGCGATTATTGATCACAACTAAAGCCAGACAATCGTATTACAATATGTTGATTCATTTTTAGAAGGAGTTAATAGAAATTGGAAAGGAAAAATGAACAGTAGCTTTAAATGAATCTTGAACATAGTGACTAGTCTTCATCTGAAAATCCAGATTCGCTTAATGATGGAAATATGGATCCTAGTCGTTTAAAACAAGTGAAGAACCGAGAATCAGCCAGGAATTCAAGAGCAAGAAAAAAAATATATTTTGAGTTATTAGAGACAAGAGTTCAAGAGTTATAGGATGAAAATGACAAACTTAGAGAATAATGTACTACTTTATCAAAATCAATTGAAAATTTCAATAAATAGCAAGATAAGGTAAATAACGTAGTAATGGATAGTTTTCTTAATTCTTAGAATAGTAAGAGAAACTATTCGAGAGATTAGAGGATTGCATTAAATAAGGCAAAGATGCAACAGAAATCGAAATCTTGCTGGATGCATTGAAATATAGAACATCATCTAATAAATAAGAGAGAATAGATGCTGCAAAATCCTATTCCTATTCAATCTTAGATGTTTGTTTACCCTTACAAACAAAATACTTATTTAGTATTTTAGATGACAAAGACTTCTTTTCTAAAGATTCGAGGTAAATGTGCATCTCTATTGTAGAAATTACACTGACTATTTGAGAGATGTCTTTAAGAAAATTGATACAAAAACTGATGACTTTGGAAATAATGAAAAAATTAAATAAAAGCTAGGATCAGCAAAATAGAATATGCATGAGTAATAACTTAAATTTAAAATTAATTAGTTCGTTTAAGAAGATAAAAAAGGAGATTAAATTAATTTAGAGTGAGGCAGGAAAGGTAGATTTGTTGTGGGAGTAATTGAAAGAGAAATTATAACCTCAAATACTGGCATAGTGTTTGATAACACTGCATAAGGTATAAAGTGCATTAAGTATGTAGAATGAATTTCGAGCAGAGTTTTAGGCATCTACCTTATTTAAGAGACAAAAAGACAAAAAAGAGTAAGTAGGAATGTCAATCGAATAATAGTTATTGTAGCGAAAGTAAGTAAAAAAATGTAATTGATTTTAATCTGTTATTAATAATAATTAATTTTCTTTATCTTGGAAACATCTATTATTTATGGATACAGGAGTTGTAAAAGAGGAGAGCTGGTTCTGAGTGTAAACTTATAAATCTAGACAATTATGTTAGTAAACAACTTGCAATAGATAGATTAAGAGTTTAACATTCTCAAAAAATGAAATTATGTTTGGGATTCAAATATCAGTAACAATATTATTTTGTAACTTTGAGTATTGAGAGACTCTAATCTACTCTGCAGTTAATTAATCTATTAATATTCTGTATTGTAAGATTTCTATGGAAGGTTGCCTTTAATATCCAAAGTATAATTTTATGTAATACATTAATTTTAAATAAATCGATATTAAATGATATCCAATATCCAAAGTAGTAGTGCAGTGCAGTATAAACTAATCATATTTTCACTGTGGAATAATGAAATTATATTTGAAATTAAAAAATATAAGTTTAAGAATTAATGGAATGTAGATTAAGCTGAAATGAATTTGAGAATTTGATATTAAATTATGATTAATCTACTTTTCTAAACTTTTAAAAAAAGAAAATTAGTATGAGTTTTTTCTGTAATTATTAGTAAAATTATTAAATAATATATTTGGCACATTATTTTTATCAATAGAGTAGGAATATGTATAAGATATGTTTAATTAAGCGATTTCAATGGTTGTTACTCTAGTTCCGGTGATTGAGTGTACTGTTTACCTCCTTAGTAAAGTTAGTTACACATTTAGCTAAATATTAATAACAAAAAGTGGGAGAACTGAATTAAATTATTATTTGGTTATTATTTGTCACTCCAAAAATAGATAATATATGTAAGTCTTGACTTCATGCAATGCTTGTGAATTCAGTGGTAGTTCAACATTGAAAAGAAGAAGGTTTTACTTTGGATGTATATTTAATTTTCTCCTAACTTTTAAGAAGGAGGATGAGTTTAGTTACTTTAGCTGTGCAGAAAGAACCTGGTGAGGCTTAGTAAGCAAAAGGGGAATTATCTAGGATGTTTTGATGGAAGAATGAGTTCATAATATTTTGGAATATAATCAGTTAATATTCTGAAGAATAGTTTCACAATACGATAACTCAGCATTGTTGATTTGTGATAATTGTGCGTGAATTAATTTAAATATATATTTCATTATTTAGTTGCTTATGGTTTGCTTTTATTTTTGAGTATCGATTGTGAAGAATTTCTGGCTAGTGGAGAAGGTGATTTGAACGATTATTGCCTTTTTGAGGATCTGTCAAAAATCCACACTTGATTTTGTAAACTGAATCTAAGGGTTTTTATGGGTTTACCCTTACTTTCTTCAGTGTTCAAGATTTATCCGAGATCGTCTTTGTCAGATTCAGGGACTGGAGTATCTGAGTCGTCGCCATCAGTTTTGATGAGTTTCTCACTCACTTATTGTTGTGCCTATCCAATACAGCTCATGTGAGCTATTATTTTTTGATATTTATTTGATTTATATTAATGTGTAGAATTAACTACTGGATAAGAAATTATGATAGATAACTCATTATTATTGTGTATATTGATATATTGTATATCATTTCATTTTTCTGCCTTTGCAAAATGTTTTTGACATGAAATTAGTAAACAGAAAACATAAATCAGATAGGGAAGCAACGGACAAGCATTGCTTTCCTCAGTGGCACAAGCATATGTGTCTCCAGACACATACATCAAATAGTGATGATCCTTCCTATTGTCCTATACTACAAACTCAATTCAAAATCATACTTTCATTATACACTCTTGAGTTTTCCAAAGTAGTTCCCTTTATCAAACCAGTGTATTAAATGAGGAATGTAGCAATGCAAGCTCCAATCATAATGGCCACACTCCCAGCATGGCCCAAAATCGATCCAAACATCAAAATCATTATTGTGACAAACAAAATGTTATAAGCAACGTACAACATACTGTGAGTATATTTGAATTTAGTAAATTCAATAATTCTTATGTCTTTCAAGTAATTGAGTTTTCCTTCTGCTTCATTAGATGGTTAGAAAATGAACTATTTATTAATTTATCAATTACATAGCTTTTCGCAACATTTATAATTCCCCAAATGTTGATGCCTCTACATACAAACATAATACTGAAACCAATGAACAATCCCAAAAATCCTTCATTTTTTACAAACAATGAATTCAATGCAGTTGGATATTAATAGAGTTGAGCACCAATAATTCCAATGGATACAAGGAATGCTGTTCCTGCATTGGTGGCTTTGAGGAAGACCATGTAATTTTTGGCTTCCCAATAGATCTAAAAGATTTTGCCTTACACATCTGATATGAAGTGAGCAAAACATGTTAATTTATAAGAATCAGAGGAGTTGCAACCTATAAAGAAAATGACTCCATAGATAATAAATAAAGAGATGTAACCGGAAGCTGCAAATAGCAATCCAGCAAATCCTTCAATTGAATAGACTATTGATATCAATAGGAACATCAAGATAGTTGGAATAGCAGAAAACAAATCTCCCAAATAGTTTGAGTAGATCAAATTCATTGGCAATATACGATCACTTGTTGCTAATCCCTATTTGATCATAATAATTTACCATATTTCTGACATTAGGGCATCCATGAGATGTATACCACTCAAACAAACTGATATGAAGTACATTGAAGATCAATCCTAACAAATAACACCAACAAGCATGCATATCGGATTTGCCTTCAAAATCTATATCCTTTGTATTTTCGCCCTTGAGTGTAAATTTATCAATTAGAAATGAAAATGGGAATGAAACATGAATGATGAATGAAATCAAAGCAGCTATAATGACTTACCATCTCACATTAAGTGCAGCAAATGACCCAGTCTCTTGGTCTGCACACATTGTTTTTAAAAAGTAACATACAATAGATCCCAAATATCCAATACAAACCAAATAGATGGGTCCCAAAATAAAGGCACTTCTGTTTTTGCTATCCAATACTTCAGGACTATTGATAGCAATTTATGAAACAGCACAACATAAGAACACCAGTACAAATCCTGTGTCTAAAAAGTTGACAATTGTGTTTCCTGCTTATTAAGATACCATGTATGCCAATCTAGTCAATTATGAGATATTGTTGTTGCCAACACTCAAATTTAAGTCAGCTCTTATTAAGCCAAACGAAGCAGTCTTCATTGATCTACACATCATCGATATGCCTTCTCTATATATAAATCCTCCGAGTATCATTCCCATCAAGAACCCAATCATCAATATTGATACCTTCTCATATTCTTCCTTCTTCATGTCGCCTCCCCAAACAGCCACATTGAAGTAATACATTAAGACATACATTCCGAATAGTAAACTGAACAATAGACTCACAATTGCAAAGCCGCATTAATACATGTATCCAAAGCTCTCCTCCTTTGAAAATTGTGACTTTTAAATTAGTGTAATATAATTTACTTGTATCAGTGCTCTAGTCAAGGATTTACTATTTGTTGCAGTGACATAATATGCAAATAGCATCACAATCGTAGCGCCAATAATTGCATTGAATATAAATGAGAATGGATATTCTATGAACCAGATGTCCACAACCAAAAAGAATAGAAATAAGAGTAGAATCATATACAAAAATTGTGCTAACCACAATCCATTTATTGATGTTTCAATTAAATCCACAATTCCTGATAAATATTCTGGTTCTACTGTTGGCCTATAGGAACTAGGCTAAATATCGTCGACTCCCAAGAGTCCTCTAAGTTGATCACTTACAAAGTCTTATTCATCCTTATACTACACTGTAAAACCCTAATAATAATGATGTGATTTCTTACTTGTGCTATCAGATGCACAAAGTACCAAACTATCCCCACAATGGAAGTCAAAATTATCACTACCAGAGATCCTAACCAACCCATTAATAAAAACGAATAAAAATTAATTTATTATAAATGAATAGTAGCTCAAGTTTGCTAACTCATCAAATTCTCGATTATCTGAACAAGTACACCTCATTCAGACCTATTAACGATGATCTCACAACGCTTTCCAAAGAATTCTTCCAATAGTACTCGACTCGTAAATAAATGCTCCTAACCAAACTTAATGAAAGCAAGATTAAGCAGTTAGATTTATCAACCAAGATTGATCAGTCTAAGTATAAGGTCCTGACTTATCGCTCTCAATTGATACTATTGTAATAGTCACGGGAGTCTATCATTTAATAAATTGACAATAAACAAAATGAATTAATTTAGTTGGAGAAAAGATAATCATTGAACAGGCCTCATTCTAAACAGTAGAAACTACTAGAATTAGCAGAGGGTATGGAGATATGCGAAAACACCTTGGAAACAGTGAAAACCGAATTCAATGACAACCATAAAATAATGGATTGGGAATCTTCGCTCAATTAATAATTAAAATAAACTCATGATTAAGTATAGCATATCATATAAATCTTTAAGTTGCAAAGACAAAATGATCAAAATATTCTCAAGATCAATCAACTCAACCAGTCCATGCAAAACAACACCAAGAAAATCATTAAGCTTCTGCAATTGATATCCGATCTCCGACAGATGATAGTTCAATCAAAATCATCCAATCAAACAAACCCACTCCCTCTCCAAGTCGACGACAGCAGTAATTCAACATTCATTTATATAATAGAAATAATTAAATCTATTATCGAAAAAATCGAAAATACCAAGCTCCCAGGCAAAGAGCAATAGGAACACGAGATTCTCAACTCAGTCTCTTAATTGCTCGACCTAAGAGAATAAATTAACACAATCAAACTCACTCTACCTCTCAAATTAGATTAGAGTGACGATTTAGTAACTTGCGATCGCACATTTAGCACCCCGAGATTTCAGAGCAGTGTGAGGTTCAAGGCCAACGATATCTTGCCACAAGCTAGAATTAGGACAGAGGCTGATGATAAGTTGGACTATGGATGCGAAAAGCGAATTGCTACAGATTGTGGATTCTACGAGGAGGACGAATAAAGCAGTGACGACGACAATCAAGTGTTGAAAGTGCCGTTTTAATCTAAGAAGAGTCTAAATTGCGAGAGAACCAAAAAGAAGAAGTAGAGTTATATTTCAGTAGCTTCATTTTCATCTTAAGCCTCCAGCGATCAAAAATACATTAATTTATAGGATGAATTAAATTATTTAGGTGAAATTAATGAATATTACTGCACTAGAAAGTTCGTTGATGATCAATTTATTGTTGCACCTTGTCAGACACCATTGGAGCAATCAATTGAACTCAATTCCAAGCCACCTATTCAGGAAGAATAACCTAAATCAACATCATTCATTAAAAAGATTTTGGGAGTTGGTCTGGGAATTGGATTGAGCTATGCTTGCTATAAGTTCTTTAAAAAATGATATGAAATACTTATGAAAATATTTGTTATAAATTTTTAACGGAAAAAAAAAATTCATTAATTAAAATCTGTTTGTAAAATGAACTACTATTATCCTGCCTATCCCTCCCATCAAGCCCCAAGCAACTTCATCAATTGCGTTCTTGATTTCGACAGCAAACTCTACATAGGAGATGCTCAAGCATTCTAATATTACCAGAATTACGATGTCAAAGCCATAATATCCTTCTCCACAGAACAAAGTAAGCACTCTCTCTCTACTCAATCCTTAGATTTCCGAGCCAACTCAGACGCAGATCAAATGGTCTTACAGGTTAATGATCGTCCATAGTGCGACATCTCCGGATATTTCGACAAAACCAATAAATTCATCAGCAAACACATGGATGAGAATCACAACGTTCTTGTACACTGTGTGGCAGGCAAGTCCAGATCTGCCACCATCGTGTTGGCCTATCTGATGCATTCTCAAGATTGGACTTTGCAAGAGGCACTCATCTACTTGAAAAGTGTGAGACCACTGGTCTGTCCCAATCCAGGGTTCATCAGATAATTGTTGAAATACGAAGAGAAACTCTTCGGCCAAGTCAAAAGCAATTTAACTCACGACATCACACCCTATTACAATGTCTAGAAGGCAGACACCATCATACCAGAAGGGCCTGCTGTTGGACGAAACTACCAGAGCGATTAGAATGCCTATGGCAGAAGATCCTCGTTTGTTTCACCACCATCTCAGCTCCTTGGACACTAGAGGTCTTGTTAGCAGTTCTAATACGGGTGGAGGTATTATTGATCTAATTCTTTGTTAATATATGTGCTTTTACTTAAATAAACACAATTTTTATAGTTAACGAAGTTGTTATTAATTTTAATAAATTTGTAAATAACACAAATGGTAAACTCTACAATATTAAGCAACACCAAACAAATTAGAGGATTTAGCTTCTAATTGAAGAAACCAAAAACACAGAAATCAATATCCATGGCGTCCTAAAGAATAAGAAGGGGTTTTTCCTTTGTAGTTGATTAATGGAAAATTAGTAAATTATAATCATAGCTTTTCTCACAGAATCAGTCACTCATTTAATCCTCAATCTCAATAGCTAGTTAGGAAGCTTCCCTAATGAACTCGGAATTCAGTATTGGCAAGAAGATTCGTGGTTTCAACTTTGTTAGGAACAAAAAGCAATTATGAATATGACCATTATAATCAATTTTTCATATTATTATTAACCAATCAATAAATGCATGAACCTTTCTAGATTCCGTCATTCAGATCAATCATCAATTAGGCTATAAATTCTACGAATGCTTGAAAAGAGTTCTGTACAAAAGTAGAATCTAACTAGAAAGTTCTAGGAATCAAAAATGCATATGCATATGCATTGAGGAATCATTGATAAAAAGATACAAGAAATGAGGATGGTATTAACTTATAAGTTGTATATCGTATACAGTTTATAGTGCATCTTAAGTGTAGGTATCAGTAACATCGAATTAGTATTTAAAACAACCATACTCCAATTATTTATATGAGAAAGATGAATGCGTAGATTGTGAAATTATTGATTTATTAATACAAATTATTTATATATTTAGAGGATGGAGGATGTAAGAATTTAAAATTCTCTAGGAATTAATTAGATCATTAAAGAAACCATTTGAAAAAAGAAGTGAAGATGATTTATACCCAATTGAGAGGATGGTGAGGAAGATCGAGTTTTTCTAAAAATATTTTGCTGATCAAAATGATCTCAATTTTAGTTACTATTTCGAACACGAATATGCGATCTAAAACACAGCCATTATTAACATAGATTCGGTGGGCGACAAATTCTACGTCATTCTTCAAGGGTAAGTTGGCATATACGTTAAACCTAATGTTGTGGAAGATAAGGCGTCATCGACTAAATTACTGGAGATGGTTAAATTGAGGTTTAGACAAGCTGTCAACAATAATAAATTCAAGGATTATTAAATAAATAAAATCCAATCTCAGTAGTCAGATTTGGCGCTGATAAAAATCCTATTGCCAGGCCAATCCTTTGGGGAGATGTCCCTAATACACAATAGGCCAAGAGAATTTACAGCTGTGGCATTGTAGCCGTGTCATTTTGCAATGATAAGGAGGTAGTACTTTAAGGATGTAGTGCGGATAGGTCAGGAGAAGTCATCCGTGAAGGAGATGGGGTTTTTTGCCAATCTGGAGATTTTTGAGGGTTGGAATGTGAATTCGATCTACTAAATTTACAAGATGTTGGAGCAGAGAAGTTACAGGATGGGAGATGTGGTATATTTGTCAGGGGAGAGCGTAAACAAGATCTACCTCATAAAGGAAGGGGCTGTAGATGTATGAAAAAAGAGCTATATCATTTAAGTTATAACAAGTGTTCATAGAGGAGAAGGAGGAATTGGAAATACGGTCAGTGTCTCCGTACATGAAGCAGAGAGGGAAGAGTCTGCACAGGAAGATTGCTACGTTGAGCAATCATCAATTCTTGGGTTTGGATGATGTGCACAGTCAGGAATAGAAGCACAGATTCTCTTGTGTTAGTTCCAGTTCAGATACTGTTCTATTCATTATCCCGGTGGAACTGTATATGCGAAAAATTTACACTCAAACTACAAGTTAGTTGTATGTGTAGGAGTTTATATAAGTTTAGAGCAAATACCAAGATCTGAGAGTATGTATTTAAGATTTATGAAAAGAATTCTTAATTACAGGTAGCCATCCATTCGCAAAGACAATAGTAATAGCAGATGCTGGCTAAGATAAATCAATACAAGAATGCTGACATGTTATAGTTTTTTCAAAATTTGTAAGGGAGGTTTAAGACACTCTCACAGGAGTCAGCAAAGAAGTTTCAAAAGAGTTCAATTGGAGAGCGATCACAGAACATAAGTGCTCATGATAAGTATGTGGACAGAAGTTGTTTCACTAGAGCCAAAGATCGATCTCTATTGGGGAAGGTGTAGACTCAGAGTCTCTACTAGAATTAAGCATATAAATAAGTGGTCAATGAATCCAGGATTGTTGAGAAGAACTTGCCAAACCTTTCTCAGTTTATGGAGAGACATCTGCCCAGTTTGCATCACTCTAAATCAATGTAAGTTAGATGCAGGAGACAGAGTCCATAGAAGCAATAGTATTTGCAATTTCAGAATGTTCAAACCTCTTTGAATGAAGACGAATAACAATTAGTATCTAATGTTCTTTCAAAGGGAGTGGTTTATCAAAGGAGAACCAATTTAGTAAAGAGAGTGAGGTCAACAGAAAACTATTCTCAACGAAGAGCAATAAGATTCCAAGACCAATCCAAGTACTGACATCTTTGCAGAAGGAAATTGCATTAATTAACTGAAATAATTAGTAATTAATAAATATCTATTGTACATATTGTTTGTTAAGTCAAGACATTTTTATACGACGTTCTGCTAATTTTAGTGTATTTCGGAATGAATGGTTAAGCAAATTAGCCTGCTGGAGTACGTAAACCCACAATCAATCTGCATATCTTTGTTCGACAGGTAATAGTGAAGAATTTACAATCGGCTATTTTTTCAATGATTAGATCCTCATGTCTTGCTTTAAACTTGCAGGAAGATTATGCACATGCAAAACATATAATGGTTGCGATAATCTCACTTGCAACGATGGTTATTACTAAGTTGGATAATATATTAATATATCATATTATATAGATCTTGCATCACAATTCCAGACAACAATTGTGCCAAGGTGGTTTATCGGCTGATGAAACAATCATAGTGTGTTATAAATGTAAAGCTGGTACATTGATTGGTATATTTAATATTTATATAATAGTTGGAATAAGTGTTTAGAATAATAATTGTTAAACCTTCGATGTGAACACTGGTATTTGTACAAAACTTTCCAATTGATTCTACAACGTAATGACTGAATAAACTCCCAGCGAATATTATGACAAAACAGTGCCCACTTAAACTTCATCCAATTATCCTATATACTTCCAAAATATCAATTAATGTAAGTCTTGCAATGCAGATCGCTCATGCAAAATATGTAATTTTCTTTAATGATATTCATGATGAATTAATCAAGCTAGTATGTACTGCACAGACTGTATTGACAATTACCATTTGAGTGGAACTAAATTTATTTAATGTATTATGGGATGTCAAAAGTGTAGTGATACTAAAATTTATACAACGTGTATTTCAACTACTTGGCCACCATATTATTTAACAAGTACAAACCCTTTTGTGTAATGTATTGGAACCTATTATCGGGATACATGATAGAAAAAATGTGTCGATTGTATAAAAATAGATCCCAATTGTACAGCATGTACTACCTGTAGTGCTGGTAACTAAGCTGTCAATGGAGTCTGTAACATATGTACAGGATACCCATCAACATGTTCTGCTTGTGATGCTAATAGCAACTGTACAAGTTGTTCTTTAGTCATACTAATCTCATACAATACATAAAACAATACTACAGTGTGTTCTTTATGTCAAGATCTTTACTATGTTAATGCATTAGGACAACGTGCTAAGTGTGATTCAGCTGGAGAAAGTAATGCTTTGAGATGTCATTATGATGCAACTGTTACTGGTAATATAGTCTTTACCTAATGCAAACCACAGTACTTCTTGGATAATAACAAATATACTCAAGATTAATCTAGTAACACTTATGCCAAGTTACAAGTACCAGCAGATCAAACTACAATCAATAACTAAAATTGTGCTGAATGCTGGCCTGGATGTATTCAGAGTGATACTACTTGTTTCAATTGTAGTTTTTGCCAATCCGGAAGTTGCTCAATAAGCACAAGTAATTAACCATCTTGTACTTTATGTATTGATGGATACTATGCTGATTCAAATCAAAAATGCCAATCCTGTTTTTTCAATTGTACTTCATGTAGTGGACCTGCAATTAGAGATGGTACAAATTACTAAGCTGGTTATTTCAAGGGAACCAATTCATGCACAGCTTGTACTTGTTGACAAGAGCAATCACGCACTTGTTTGGTTTGCTAAGATGCAACTAACTCTTCCAGTTGTATAAATGGCTACTATGTTTCAAATGGTTAATGTTTGGCCTGTTAATATGGATGTAGTTAATATACTACCCCAGGAAACGTATGCACAGCATGTATCATCGGATACTATTTATAAAACGGAGGTTGTGTTCAAGACAATGGAAATTGCTATTTCACTGATAGGCTCAATGTATTCACCACAATCCAAGCAAATTAAATCAATGGTTGTTAGATCTGTAATTATGGTTTCTACTTGACCAGTGGATGGTTAACTTAATAAACCTCATCATAGATTCAAGATTATGTTTGCATGTAATGTGTTTATCCTTAAACCGCTGTATTTTTATTTGTTTTTATCTTTTTTAGTTTGTTTACAGAACCAACCCATAAGATGTTACTGTCTAATCTCCGGTGATCTCATTACCATTTAGCAGTCAATAATGGTATATGCACATCATGTACTAATCTTACTGCTTGTACCTAAATTACATGCTCTGCTAATTACTTCCTAACCAATATCAATAACACCCAATTATGTGCACCCATACCAGCTGGATGCAGTGAATTAACATACTCAACTACTCTACTTGCCTTAGCTTGCAAAAAACGTAACAATTGATCTACTCTTTTTGGATCATAAATCTGCGTTTCAAATACTGATTGTCAAACTTAAAATCAATCACTGAAATATGTACTCAATTATCAGATGGTTTTACTTCAATTCCGATTTTGTCTTGAATACATAATCAACTTCTCCAACCACCAACACCAAATATTACTCCACATTAAATCAATTCTGTTCAGCATATTAAGCAGGATGTTAGACTTGTCCATCCTAATACACCTGTACTTAATTTTTACCAAGATATTTCTGGTATTAATCAACAGTCACAACTAACACTGGTGCATTTATCAAGTACAGTTCCAATTTGACATCAAATATATCAGGATAATGTGTCGCATGTCCTAAGTATTGTGTACATCGGCTGCTACTTACAGTACATGTTATCTCAATTTCTAACAAGATTCTAACTCAACTGTCAGCGCTTGTAAGTGCCCATCAGGATATAATTTAATAACTTCTGGTCATATCTAATAAGCATAAATTACCGCTACACGTAATATAACAGCTTGTTCTTAATGCAATGCTGATAACACTAAATGCTTGGCTTGCATAACATAGTATTAAGGAAAATCCTATACTTTAATGAACATGTGTCACTTGCTCATAAGTTGCAGTTCATGCACATTGATGACTGGCAGCACAAGTTAAACCACCTGCTAGGTTTGCTAAAATGGATATTATAAAACACAAAGTGCCAATGATCAATCAGTCCTCTGTTCTATTTGCTCATAAACTGGAGCTCAATTGTGCAAGGTCCTTTGGAAAATGCCACCTTCACCCAAGTAACAATTATCCAATGTCGAAAAAATTATTACCTATATGATGTTGCAGTAGCCACTACAGCTACTTGTTATACAATTTCAACTTCAAATAGCAGCAGTTGTCAATAATGTCTCCTTGGATATATATTATTTGGAAGCACTTTTTAAACATGCGCCACAAGCAAGAACTAGAAATTTTGTAATGCAATTCACATAACTCTGGATTGTAATACAATTCATGTTAAAATGGATATGTGATTGATTCTACCAACAACGTTAGAGTTGCATGCACAAGTGGATGCACTAAATGTACCTTAATTGCAGCCACTCAAAACACTTCATAGAGTATATCATGCAGTGTTTGCAACGATGGAAATTACTTGGACAACACCTCTGGAAGATTTTTTGCTTGCCCATATGATTGTAAGACCTGCTATTCAAAATATGTATCTATTTTATAATATCTTAGACATGCACAACTTACAAGGATGGATTTTATTTGAAACAATCACAAACTACATTCAATGCCAAATAATACACCCCCAAAACATGTTAGTCTAAATGTGCAATATGCTCAGCAAATGGAAATGTCTGTTTTGACCTGCTCAACTGAATATGTCTTATAAAATGGTGGATGTGTCAATTTGTAATAATCAATCGCCAATGATACCAACAAGTACAATTATGTCAATTGTTATTAACTTGACACAACTAACACAGGATGTCTTAACTGTTTAGCTGGATTCTACTTAGATGCTTCAAAAGTATGTCAAGAGTGTGTTTCTCCATACAATAACGTAAGATACATCAATTAATAATTAGTTTTTTTGTGGCCTCAATCAGTAAATCCAACAAATCCAGATGATTCAAGTAATCCCAATCCAACTCCGACCGAGACAACCATCTAAATTGGATAAATAGAGCTCCACAAAGTTCATATTGAATCATATTGGGAATGTTATACTAATCATAGTTTTACAATGATCATTTTAAAGCATAATAATTAAATATTTAAATTAAGAATCAATGATCTTATTATACTTTTATCCTCTTTTATCTTTTCCATCAATAAAAAAGGTAGATATTAATTAAGCAATAAGGAAACTCATAAATATAAAAATTTCAAATGTAATCTTTTGCTCTATCAAATAAATTGATGATTTTAATATTTTATATATTTATTTGTATATATATTTCAATGTGACTCTTTCTTGCCTGGTAATAACTTAGCCAAAAATCCATGATCGTTACTTTCACCTTCTGGCAATTTGAAGCTCTTCTTGATCTTGTAATAAGGAGGTCCCCAATTCTTTTCCAAGTAGATATCTATGAATGCCTTCTTGAAATTCTTGCACCAATTATAATATCTACATAATCATAAATAGAGTCTACCTCAAAGCAGCCAAGAAGCCTCCATTTGAGAAATAAAGGTTGTGCCAAGCATTCTCATTGTTGTACTTGTGACACAAGAAGGTCAAGGTATTTTAACCTAACAAAATTGGCACCTTACTGTATCCATCGTATTCGGCATTCAGTGACTTACCTGCAATGTTTCTTTCTATATTATTTCTAACAACATGAAGTTGATGGAACCCTGCCCAGAAACAATTTGTTGTAGGAACATCATTCACATCACCAAGTCCGAAAATGTTCTTATATTTGTTGTGCTATAAGGTTTTGATGTTGACATCCAACAATCCCTTTGATGTGGTGAGACCAGCCTTAACTAATTAGTCATGAGGCTTGGTGGGTGCAACTGCATACAAATGATTGAATGGTCTTGTTTATCTGCTACCAGTTTTGATGTCTTCAAAAATGGCAGTGTTTTGTTACTTATTCACTTCAACCAATTTCAAACCATATTCCACATTGATATTTCTGCGCTTGATTTCTTCCTTGAAGAATTAGTCTCCTGCATCATTATACTAAACGAATCGCTCATTTGGTTAAATAATTGTGAGTCTCTTTATTGGAGATTGACGGCCATTTGCTGTTTGCCATTCCCAAATTCTTTAACTCAATAGGAAATTGTAAGATTCCACTTCTCCACTGAATGGGAATTGAGGAATGCAGAAATATGCTTCACCATGATTGAAATTGTAATGCCATCTGGTGTATGTTATGATTGGATGATCTCCAACTTGGATGATCGAGGTTTGTGAACACTGGAGAATCAAAATCTTACCAAGCTTCTTCAAATCCCTTGATTGCATCATAATTCACTTATTAGCCTAGAAAAATGTTAACTTATAGATATCATACCCATAGCCACAACTAATTGACCGTAACTAATACGTCTGCCATTTCTCAATATGATGGCATTCTCTTCTGGCAATATCGTTTGGGATCCCACTTAATCTGAATGAGCTGTGTACATGTTAAGTGACAATTTGGCATTTAATAAGAAATCTGTCTTTGCTGTCTTCTATTGTTCATAGATCTATCTGATTGGTGTTATTTAATTGATATTCTAATCCAAAACTACCATGGTCTTGTATTTTCCATGTGAGACCTATTCAATTAATTAGAATATCCCAATACCTTGTCTAATTGTCTGCTTAACACACCTCCCAAATTGCACCCAATAATTACAACATCGTAATGATCAAGATCTTTCTTCGTAGGCTTTCGCTTGTTAAACACACCCGCAAAGTAGCGAGGGGTTAGCGAATGCCTCAATTGCATTCCAGATATGAGCATTTTTAAATTAATCAAATAATATACACTAAACTTTCATACACATAGGTATTTTGAGTATTCCTTTAATAATTACATTATAATAGGAGATATGAATAAATTCTAGAACCATCTGATATTAATTGAAGTAGATGAATCCATTTATTAATACATATTTAATATTTGGATCATGCAATGACTTTTATCTCCCATTAATTTTTATTCTATATGATGGTAGAATTGCTGGATCTATATATACCGAAGAAGCAATCAAATTTCGATATTAATAATTTAATTATTTAATATGGATAAGGCCATATATTGCAAAAAGCATCCTAAATTTTTCATCTAATGGTTAAGGTTTTTACCAGAAAATGTAGAATTTGGCTGTAACAAATGTTAAAATGATTTGAAAAATGTACACACATCCTATATTTGCCAGATGTATTTTAATAAAAAATATATAGATTATTGAAAATCCGAATATCATCATACCTCATCTTCCGATTCCGATTGATGCGTAGATCATCTAATTTTACGACAATTTGTACAAATTTTCTGAGTAAGAATTGGAATAATTTTATCTACCATTTGAAATGGAGCTGATCAGATTAAGGGACCTGTTAGAGAATCTTATTAAGAATGGAAGAGAAAATTTAGAGAAATCCAAAGAGAAGTTTAAAGAATCTAAATAACAGCTGTAATAAGTATAAAGAAATAACTATTATTAGGAACTCAAATTTGAAAAAATTGCTCAATTACTTAAGGAACTTTAATTAAAATCATATGAAGATAAAAGTGTGCAGGATTAAATTTTATAAAAATTGTTGAAATCAAAATACAAATAAATGAAGATTTACTGAAAGAATAAAGCAGTAAGATTAAAAAGATATTAAATGAATGTTCATTAACAATATACAAGTAAGTTATATCGTAAATATTGAAGATTTAATTTGAATTGCAATAAGTAAATCAATGAAATATCAACTTAAATTAATCAAGCAACAGAAAACTTAAAATAATACTTCGTTAAATCGTTTAATGCTGTCTATCGCGAAAATACGTAGCATCTTCTTTTCATCAATCCATCAAATTAATCAAGAAATCCTTATTTACAATATAATTAGAGTTAAGCTCCGGTTACTAAGCCCCCAGTCTAACCTTACCCTCATTACTGTTCAAAAATTTTACCACAATATTATTATGACTACATTTTAGAGAAAGTCAATATTAATACACACTCCTAGCCTTTGGGTAATAATATTTATTATGAACACTCCTTACCAATGCCTTTAGGTAATAATTTCAAATAAGAACCAGTATAAAAATATTATGAATTTACTCCAACAAACTAAGATATCGCAAAAGGATTATGTTTCTGGATGGTTATTCATGAAAATTAAGTTAGGGCAAAATTATTGATTTTTAAATCTAATAATAATGGAAATCCAATTTTTGGTTATTTCAAATCTAATATGATAGAGTTTATTTTTTCATTTACTCATAATGAAATTTATCCAAAAAAAAATAAGGTCAGCCAAATTAATTTTAAAATAAAGTATATTAAGATGTGAGTCAGAGTTTTATAGTCGGGAATATGGATATATAAATTTATCCTAACCTGATTGATGGGCAATCGAATTTGGGTTAAGAGTTCCTATGGGATAGTTAAAATGACAATATTGAAAAGACAGAATACTTGTTTGGAGGACCAAAGCCAAATATCATGATATGTGAAGTATTTTATTTTTGATAAACATATCAAACAAAAATCAATACAATAATATTATTGTATTTCCTGATATGAAGAGTTCATATTTTCATAAGAAATTAAATATTAATATTTATACTTTTACATAAATAATTTCTATTTATATACTGAAAGCTATTGATTTCACCATTTTCTTTAGAGTAAGATTTAGATTTTATATGAAAAGAAACTGACAAAAGGGTAATTTTACTAATTATTGATAATCACTTTTAAATGGAATTTTAGTATTAAATTTAAAAGTATTTAGATAAATAAGTTATTTTGAATATTGGCAACAATATATATAAAACATTATTTTAATTCTCAAAAACATATTCTTACTCAATAGAAATTAGTATAATTATTTAAATTTAAATTTTTTACTTAACTTGAGGTCGGAAACTTGAATAAAAATTAATTTTAAGTGATTCCTTTTGAATGTTAGAGAAATACACTTTAGAAACAATTGAAAATAAATAGATGCATAATATATGAAGCCCTCTTATAAAACTACCCAAAGTGTAAGAATAGAATGAACCTAAGGAAATTTCTTATCTCTCTACTCAATAATTTTCCATTTCTATATTCGTTTATTTTGTTCATTTATAATCTGATGATTTGAAAAGAGTTATGACTGAGATCATTTATTGATTTGAATTCCATTAAGAAGTCTGCTATATAAATTTAAATATAAATTTTCTAAAATAAATTAGCGAATAAACTCTTCAGTTAAATCAACATCAAAATCTTCATTCTTTTTAAAAGGACAATAGACATTATTTGATAGTTGATAAATAGCACATAGCCAGATACATTGATACCTGATATTTATTATCATTTCTGAATAATGAACTTAAAATTATGTTTGGTTTTATTGATTATTTTAATGTTTTCTTGGCTTTTCTTCCGGTGACAATTAATCGATTGTTTATTGTTTGGTAAAATCTACTTATTCTTGGCATGGTGAATAAAAAAACAATTTGTATACAGTATTGCATTCACTTTCAATTGATGAAAGTAGTGAAACCGATATCATAAAACAATCATAACGTAATCAACTACAAAAAGGAAGTAAATACTATGACAATAGTAAAACTACCATTATTTTAGGACCACAGACATAGTATCTAAGAATTATAAACAGTGGAGTAAAAATGTTTCATTGAGAAAACCAGCATGGATCTTTATCTATATTGATATATATTTGTTAAGACAAAAATGACTTATAATTTATCAAGTCCTAGCTTTCTTGATCCTTTTAGCTAATGCACATTTAAATTTTAAAAGATTTCTATAAGAAAGTTCATCATTTGAAGTTTCAATGACTAAAAAGCTTAGTCGTTATTGATAAATTTCTGTCCTCTTAACAGTTTGTGCTTCTTCACATATATCTGTTTTATCACTCCATATTGTAACTGACTCGTCATTGTAGCAATTTTAATTCATTTGTTTGGTTAATTGGCAAAAAGGTCTGAGTATAGGAAAACTTTATTAAATAAATAAATAAATAGAGGCTTGAAAACTAAAACTATTTAAAACCAAAAAGTGATTGATAAAATTGAAGAAAATCTACTTGTCTTCGAAGCTACTTTAAAAATTTGCTCACAATAAAACAAACAACAAAACTCACTAAAACGGATTTTATTGTGTTTAAGAATGTGCCAATAATAGTACTTATTAAAGGAAATTTATAAAATAAGCATATAATTAAAGATACAAAAGACATGTGAGAATAAATATTATTTTGATTTAATCTTTATTAATTTCTCTGTTTGAGTAAATAAGACAATTGGCATCGTTGAGCACTTGGCAAACTACATAATAATTAATATCAAAATTAGTATCATTACATAAATATAAGAAATTAGAAATTGGGTCTTTTGCTATTATATCCATTAAGTATTCTAAACCAAATTCGCTTTAAATCAGATATTGAAGTATCAAAAATACATATCTATATTTAAGTAAAATTAGTGTTACGATACCAACTAACTTTAAAGTATAGTGACTTAATCTTCCAACCTCAGTAAACTAGAGTTTACTATTTCTTCCCTTGTTTGGTTTACTGAACTCATATAAAATGAATTTCATAGCAATCCAACCCTCCTTAAAATCTATTATTCTTTGATCAATTATTTTTATATTTATACAATTTTTCTCACCCAAAATTCATGCTATCCTCATTCTCCCTATTATAGTAGAACAGTGAAAAGATAGAATGCTTATCTATAAATAGTATATTATTAAGATAGTTTTATTTTGCTTGATATAATTTTTTTTCAAAAAAAATTAATTATAATAGGTGACTCGCGCATTAAGAAAAAGTCTCTGATTTCAAAGGTTTTTTATTACAGAGGAGAATAGTGGTTTTTCCCCACAAATATTTAATATCCATCTGTTATAAAAATTAAATATCCAATTTATCTTTGTATATCTGCATATATCATAATTGTGTGGCTATTAAAATTTTTCAATTTTTAAGATTTATTAATATACTCAAAAGAGTATTTCCAATAAACTAAAATATTTACCATCTAATGAATAAAATCTTCATTTTTTAACAGAGATTTGTTCGTTAGTGTAAGATCACATTATGAAGGACTTTTCAAATTTAAGCAATTATTAATCTTACCATTATAGATCTAATCTCAAATGCTCTTTTACTAATATTTGTTATTCGCAATTTAATTTCATATACTTAACAAATTGTGTTAATGATTACATAAAAATAGAAATATTAATTATTATCATTACAATTCCATCTGTGGATCTTCATTGGTCTACCAGCCTGTTAGATCAGCCATAGACTAGAAATGAGTGATGATTAGATTGTTTTAATTGATTTGAGCTTATTTTTAATCGATAAAGCTTGTTAATAACTGTTTTCTCTTTATTCTTGCAAAAGGGTACCAAGATTTAGTTTCTTTTGGAGGATACTATACTTGTCCACCCTTTTTTAAATAATGTTAATGCTTTATCTTGTTTTGAGGATTATCCAAATGTAAACAGGTCCTCTTAAACTTCGGACTTTCAAGAGTGGAATGCTTATTGCTCGAGGTGATTCTATGAGAATGGATAACAACTGGTTAACATAATTAACTCATGAGAATTTTGTTGTCTTGTAACTGTATAATCAATTGCTAAGGCTCCTTTGTAGCTTCTTACCCTAACTATTTAACCTACTTACGATTCTTCGTGATTGGTTTTGCGACATCGGCTTTGGAGTTTAAGTTGGATTCATCTATCTATCTTGTATCATTCTAATATTTGATCTCATTTGTTTGTTGAGCATGGTTTCCATATAAATACAATCCACCGACGAGCTAGCCTTGTATTTCTTCATAAAAATATAAAATGATATTAATGATATAATTTATTATACACAAAAAATAGACATAAACCATATACTCAGTGAAAGAAATAATCTAAATTCATTTCATCCCTTTATTATATCGTTATTAATAAGCTACTTAAAATATCAATTATTTGATTTACTGCTTTATTGAAGGATAATTAAGTGTTATAATATTATATTTTGCTCTATCTATATAGGATTATTTATCATTTTATTCTCTGCTAGGGTTTAGAATGATCTTATTTTTTGAATATTATATTTTACAAGATAAAATATTTATTTTACTGGGAATTATCAAACTTTATATTTTTATGAATTATGTATTAAATTTACTGCTTTTTGAAGTCAGCATATTAATGTTGAAATTGTATCAAATTATATATATATCAAGAAAATTTGGATTTGTGATGTCCTTTAATTAATTTGGTTTTGAAAGCATTTTTGCTTGAATATACACCTGATGATAGTTATTATTGTTTGAATTCTTGAAGATCAGTTAGAATATTGTAATTGTCTTCTTCTTCTTCATCATAGTCTTATTATTAGAACACGTCCTTATATTCTGAGTCATCATACTTTTTGAGATCCTAATCATTCTAATTTTGTTGATTCTAGTATGAGAACTACTTTTGTTTGAATTGTTCGTATGCCTTCAAAGCATTCTTTGCTCTACCCAAAGCCTTTTCCTTTTTGTCTTCTTTTTCTGCTTAAATTTATTGTTTTTACTAATCCTTTTGTTATTTACTCCCATACAATCGATCCAGTAATTGTTGCTTAGATGAACTGATTTGTCCATCACTTTTCTCAACTTTGGTTGGGATAATCGTATCTTTTAATTCCTCCAATAATTCATTGGCTTCCTATTCTGCGGCTTCAGCTCTAGACTTTTCATCTATTCTGTAACCCCAATTAGCATCATGGCCCAAAATTAATGCACCTATTTTTGAGATCTATCCATTTTTAAATGCCCACAAATAACAACAACAATCAAATGAGGATGTTGCAAAATGCGACCCATCTTTGCAAACCTCTATGAATGTAATACCATCTTAATGGGCTTTTCTTTAATACCCGACTTCCTTAATGTCTCCTATAACAAATATCTATTTAAATTTCATAATTAAATACTTAAGCAATATCTTCTTATCCATAGTCCATGGCTGTTACAAATGTGTCAGCATCATTGTTCTTTCTCGTCTTTATCTTTTACTCTACTTAATGAAGATCCACCTTATCCAAGACTTGTTTAATATTCCAGATCTTTAGATTACCTAACTCATCGCCCAAATATAGTAAATCATCATGGTAATTTATTGAAGTCACAGGAAACTATCGATATATATTCATAATTTACTGTTTCTTCCTAATTAGTCAAAGAGATGGCTTTATAGGTCTTTTACAATAGTAACTTAGATTTGAATTTGCTTTCCAAGACTCCTATGAAGTATACATTCCCAATAGAATCAACACTCACGATACAATTATGGGTATCCAAAAACATCACTTTTTTCAACTCATATTGGCCTTTCCAAACTAACTCTTGTCTATAAGAAACCAAATCTATAATAAAGATGGCTCCATCATCAGCACAACTGACTAAGTGTTCGCTGTCCTATTTTACATGAAGTGAATTGACACTTAGATGATGTTACTTCATCTTGTATCTACAAGATTTGTGAGCATCTTGAGAATCTTCATCATGGATATTAACAGTATCCTCTCTACTGCAACTAATGACTCTCCTATTGGTGTCATTACTCCAATGAGCTAAGTCAGTAATCATTTTATGATGTCTTTCAAATTTCTTCATTTTTGCACCATTTTTGATATTTACTGTAAATATTCTGCCTTCTGCATCTCCGATAAACAACTTCCTTTATCTTGCATCAATAATCATTGTAGTTAATTCAGCAACACTCAATTCTCTATAAACCTATTACAGTTTTCCAGTTCTGGCATCCCAAGTCTTAACACTATCCGGATGAAGAGTGATGAAGCAAGTTAATGTTTAATTATATAAAACCTTGAGACACATTTTCTCATCAGTCAACATCTAATCTTTAGGCTCATCGTATTCATAGAAAAACATCTTTCTTGCTCCAACCACAATTTGTTTCTTTGGATATGTTAATGTAAATGCTTGGATTTCATCAGCAGGAACATTGAAGGTTTATATTTGAAGAAAGTTTCTGACATCCCACACTTTAACCATTCCTGATATGTCTGCTGTCACTACTTAAGAAGTCCTGGGCAAACATTTAACTCCAACTAAGGGATGGTTGTGTCCTCTCAGTAAGAAAATCTTTTCTTTTACGTAAGTATTCCACACAAATGCTTCATGATCTAATCCAGCACTTATCAAACATTAATTCATTGGACTCCAATCACTCCAATCTAAACTATACACTCCTTTTTCGTGGCCTCTTAACTCTTTCTTAGGCTGATGAGTAGCACTGTCCCACAAACAAATATTGCCATCTAAACCTCCAGTCACTAGAGTGTTTTACTGATCTATTGCCAGTATGTCGCCAATTGGAGATGAATGTCCATACTGTTATGAGTCTCTTTTGATGAATGGGTTCCAACCTGATAATGTTCCTCTTTCCTTTAAATCATATGTATCATAGATGTGAATTATAGAATCCGAACCTCCTGTGTATAGAAAATTAGATTGTGATGAACTCCATCTTGCATATCTCATGCACAATTATATTTCTGGGACGGAGAGAATTTACTTTAAGTTAAAACTACTTGAGTCCCAGAAATTGATTGTCAAATCATTGCTGCTGCTCGCAATTAAATTTTGATCAGGAATAAATTCTGCTGACAACACATATCCCTTGTGGGCATTTACATTCCAAATCAATTCACTTGTGTTGGAGTTATAGACCTTAAACTTTGGGGACTCCTTCTCTAACACTAAAAGCATCTTCAACCTGTCAAAAAAATACACTCTATCTATCACAGTCTCATGCTTCTGCTCATCCTTTATGTTTTCAGCTGGGTGGTAACTCTTTATTACGTCCTTAAATGATCTATCGTTTCTCAATAATCCTAATTCAATTATGTGATTGCTAAATTCAACCCACTCCATTGTACCGTCACCATTCACATCTATTTCCTTAAACAATTCAATCAAGGCCAATGTAATTTTCTTTGTCTCCTCTTTTGAATCCTTATTGTAATCCAAATGCTCTAACATGACTTTCAGAAACTGTTAGATTGTCAATCCCTAACCTTTTGAATTTTTGTCCGGAAAGCACCTTTCTATTACTGCCATTTTCTTCTTATGTAATTTCTCCATAATGTCTATCTCCTTTTTTTCATAATCTTAATCATATTCCTCATAATCTTGGTTTTTCATTATTTTTTATACAAATATTAACAACAATAAATTAATTATAAACACATATTGAATTTTGAAACAACCATATACATCTGATTCCTTAATTAAATATTACTAATATCACAATCATATCGATCGTAGTTTGGATGAGGAAACACTTAATTACATTCAATCCTCATAGTAGTTGATAGAATTAAGAAAATGACTGTCATATTTTTCACTTCGAGCCATTTATCTCTGATACATTCAGACACAACTAATACCCTTAAAAGCATTCTCTCTAAAGTCACAGAGAAAACAGAAAACTTCCAAAAGCTATTAAGATCTAATAAGACAAATTTATACATTATATCTATAATCTGACAATTAATGAATTAAGTGTAAGAAGATGAAAATCAAAAAATCTGGATTTTAATTTGATCTATAACTGTATTACTAAAGATATATGAATATTTAATCACCTTAATAAAGCGTGTAATGATACTATTCTAAATATCATATTTGCATTTAAATTAAATTTTACTGTCCTGATTGCTTTTCATATATTTTAGATGTACGATCTAATAAATTGCAATTAAACTCACTTCTAAAAGAATCATTACTAGGATAATAAAAAATAATGAAAGATCCCTAACAAAGGTAATATTTCTCAACTGTCAATTGAATCTTCTTAGAATTAAATCTTAATATCATATGGACAAAATATTTAAAAAATATTAAATAAAATAGTTCAGCCTGATGATTAATGAAAACTGGATTTCAGACTATCTTATGGAATGTAATGTAAGGGAAATTCTGGATAAATCTTTTGAAACCTGGCTTAGGGTACTTCCAATTTAAAATCAATTTTATCAGAGGGATCCATTGATGGACTGTTAATAGAATTAATTCCTAATTTTTATTCATGTTTTTCTTATTAGTCATCATGGCTATCTAACAAATCAGTTCTGATTCTGCCTGGGATTTCTAAATTATTCATCCTAGAAAATATAAAATATTGATTACCGTTTAAATTCTAATATCTTTTTAGCTTAGCATATGAGATGCACTCTTAGTTTACCATACCTCTCTCTGATCCTATCCTATTTTTTCTTTTTGCTCTCAAATAACTCATTCAGAAATGGATACCTACTGATCGCTTTTGGAAAATGACTCTTGATAAAGTCCTTGACATAATCAATTTGATCATGCAATTTTTAAAAATAGGCAAATAATATTTTAACGAGTATCTCAGCTATGAATAATGCATTCAGGATTCCAATAATCACGTAAAATGGCCAAACAATTTCTTATAGATTTGATTATTAGGCAGTGTAAATGGAACTGCCTAAAATAATTGAAACTGCACAAGCAATGGTGGATTTGGTGTCTAAGTAATTGAGATCGCCTGACATGTAAGGTTTTTGAGCAGTAGTTAGAAAGCTATATCCAAAGAGGACTAAAAACACAAGGGACGCTTTAATCGGGATGTGATCCTCATAATAAGCCAACACAATTATAATCAATTCCTTCTACAGGATTTTGATCGTCTCCCAATAATAAGCATGCAACTTGTATTCATTATAGAGGTAACCCCAGATTTATCTAACTTTCGTAAGATCCAAACGATGCAAATTCTTCCTAACTCCATACCACAAGTAAATGGGCATAATGGCTCCAAAGAACAGCAACAAGGGAAAGCAAAAGCCCAACAACCATTTAAAATGCTGATATGTGTCATAGCGATAGGCCACATTCCCTTGAATCCAATATTCGTCTGAAATTAGTCTATAGGATATTAAGGAGATCAATCCCCCTATCAAATTCGGCTACAAGTAGATGAACACATAGATGAGAGCTGTAGTGATATAAGAGAACCTAAACTTTATGGAGTTAAACAGAATTGCTACTCCTCCCAAAGTAAAGAACACCGTTATATAGGAAGATGCCATCATCAGACTCCATACGATCCTAAAGTATATGATCAAAATATCCGAAACGTTTATTAAAAAGCAATCTAGAGAGTATGCCATAGATTCAATAGGGTTGCCAGCACTATTAATGATTGATGCCAGTCCTGAAGGCACTTACAGTTAGAATGTAGAAATAGTCGAAATGATTTATAGGTAGTTAGTGAATACCTTAATTAATATGGCTGTGGAAGCCTATTTTATGACAACCGTGACTCCGAATGCTTTCAATCGAATTCCAATAATAAATTCTTCAATCATCTGGACTGTGCTGCTTACAGACATCAAAATTGAGACTAGGGTCCATATGCTGATGAAGAATATAGTTAACACATTTCCAAAGATTTCATCGCAACTACCACAGGAATACGAAGAACTTAGTGAGTAAGACCCATCTCCTCGAACATTGTACAAGTCGCATTACTCACACAAAGCACCTATGTGTCCAACTATGCAAGATTCATCTCCTGGTGACCATCCTCCCTCGCAATTCTCAGTCAGGTGATAACAGTATTCAATAGTTTGACTATAATAATATGCTCTCCAATAGCTTGATCTTAATTCAATCATTGAAGATTCTATTGATTTCATTTTTAAGTCATCCTTATAACTGCAACTCTGAGCACTCCATTGCACCTAGTACTGATTTTGTATGACATCACACAATGTGCAGCCTCCAGAGGTTGAATTTAAGAATTCTCCTAATTAGCAGTTGAAAGTCTTGATGTCTACTTACAAATTGTAGTTAGTTATGTAATTCTTAATTAAATAGGGAGGATTAGCATCGTATTCTGGAATTGAGATAATGTTGCACTAGATGTTCAATCTTAAGATGATTTCTTCTTCATACTTCGGATTGAAGTAGATGATTAAATCATCTAGATTGTAATCACCAGTGCTCTCATTAAATTTCACTTTACTGTAGGATAAACTTCCGACTAATCCTAGTGCTACCACTTCGCTTGTGATGTTGATTATTGTAGGAGTCAGAGTGCAGGTAGTCCCAGCTAATTTCTTCTCTTGAGTGTTATATTTGTTAAGAGCGATGATACGAAAGGTTAAATTATAAGGAATATACTAGGATTGATATTGATCAAAGAATTCATATGACTCTATCTGTCTGCCAGAGGGGAATGTTAAATATTTCACCTTTTCAGATGATCCCAAAATCTTATATGGAGTGACTACTATTTTCTCAATGATTGTAGTTGAATTCTGGGTTACTTAAACTTTGGTTAAAAAGGTCTGACCTCCATCGACAGATATTGTCAGAGATCTTGGATTCTCAAAGACATCTGAGCCAAAGAGAGTTGAATTGTTATTTGATAAAAATACATCCAATTACATCGTTTTCTGCAGCTACTACTTATTCAAGTACAATCCTCCAGCAATTTTGGCCTCATTTTCAATTATTTCACTTTCAAATATTATCATTTAAGATTCATTAGAATAATAATAGATTGCACCTCCTATCTCTGCTTTATTTTTCTGAAACAAACAATTATGAATTATTGTTTTTAGTTAAACAATGAACACTGATCCTCCATAGGTTGCATAGTTGTTTACAAACTTACTATGTATTATCCTAGCTTAATGATCTAATTTCTCTATCAAATTTATGTAATCATGTTTCTGGAGCTGCCTTCTTCTGTTCGTTGCTAATAGATCACTTCTCAGAAAAGATTAGTCATACTGCGATATCAATGAAAGACATCCTGTCTACCCACATTAACTATTTTAGATCTTGATTTTATTGAAAAGGATGTTTTCATTATCTAATTAATATATACCCTTAATCCTGAAGATACCATATTGACACGACATACATATGATGGAATCAAAATTCAATTCTTGAACCTCAAAACTATGAGATGAATTCAAGTTATCTATCTCGAATAAGCTGAAATTATAATTTGCAATTTTATAAACATCATTTTAATTACAAAGTTATTACAATTGCTAATAGAGAGAGGTATCATAATCATCTATAATCGGATTGTCCTTAGGGATACTTCCAGGACATGTTAACGATTAAATCTATTGAAATGTCGAAATAAAACAAAAAGAATCTGAATAATCAGTATACTGCTATACATTCTCCGCATTGATATTAATTAACAATATACTTCCACTAGCCTCTATTTATTATAAATAAATTATTACATTATCTTAAACTTAATCTTATCAAAGGAGAAAATAAGATTGTGGAATTCAAGATGAAAATATCTTTTAAAACAATACTAGTAGCAAACTCAAAATCCAACAAGAATTAAATGTGGGTTGAAACAAAGCTGCAATTCTCCATATAAACTGATCCATATTTGACTTTAATCATAGGATTGTTATTTCTAATCTCATCTATATCGTCAGTCGTTGGTGATTCTAAAAGAGATAAAAATTTCATAAAGCCAGTTTTTGTCGCTACAAACTATATACCACCAAAACGAACTTCCGAATATATGCTCTACAAACTTGATAATATATATGAGAAGAAACCATGTTGGATGGAAAAGCAATTTATTATGGTTAGATTTTGTAGATCAACATAGTTTTATTGTTATGAAGGTACGATATAGATGCCACCTCCTTGAATCCTGCTAAATGAGTTTTCTATCGTCGTTTAATATATTCGAAGCTTTAACTCTGACAATTAGGCATCGATATAGAGGCAGCCTCCTGTTGAAAATGAAGAACTTGATAAGCTAGTTAATGTATTTTAAAATACTGAGTTCTAAATAGTGATAGCACCTGTAACTTAAGCATCTAAATAGAACCCACCTCCATATAATGAAAATGAATTGTTGACTGATGTCTTATTTATTGAGATGATATTGGCTATTATCAAACCATTTCCACTTTTTGAATTGATTGGAAATACCTAGGTCAAACTCATTCCATCAATCTGTTCTTAGTTTTCAAATAGCAGTAGATTCTAGGCTAATGTCGAAAGTTACAATATGTTATTGTTAGAAAACTGATTTTTCTGGAATACAACATTGATAGATTTTATGTATAAGATAGAATTTGTTGAGTTGGTGACGATATTGTTTTTGAACACTGAATTGGATATTTCAACATCACCCTGCTGTGATTAAAGCAACAAGGTAGATGCAGATTGTCTTGATAAATCTTAAACATACTCATTTAAATGATTCTTAATAAATACTACACAGTTTATGCTTACTTTGCAGTTCTATTCTGAAAATAAAGATATAAGCGAAGTAGCAGTGTTTCTTTTTGTTATTATTAACATGTTTGAATAAAATTTACTATTGGTGATGCTGATGTATTCATTTTGTATTTTCTCCATCAAATCATAAGCCTTAATAATTATAAAAGGGTTGTTAAAAGCTATCGAACTGGACAATTCTAAATTATTTATTGTGATGTTCTGATACAATCCTATGTACAAGTAGAAATACATGTTCTCATAGGCATACTTGAGCATGCAATCAACGGATTAATGAAGGGTTTTGGAGTGATATAAAGTTGATTAAGTAAACTTGATCCTATTTAATGACAGACTCTAAGAGTTTAGGATCGTTATTTCTGGTAGACCATACCCTCTTTGAATTTCAACTTCCTCCAAAACACAAGTTTAACATTCTAGATAGATGATAGATTATTGATAGGATATATAAGTAGTCTTCACTTTTACTGTAATCACACTTTTTGATAATGTAAATTACTGTATTGAAACAATTAGAGCAGATATCTTTTCTAATTAGATTATTTTTAAGATAGCCTGTTGATTATTGTAATTAACATTTTCAATTGTGCAATTAATAATTGACACTTTAGCAGCATTAATTAGTGCATTATATGATAATGAGTATTCGACGTCGTTACTGAATATTGTGCTGCTAGAAATACTAGTATTGTTTATATAGATATCCTGTAATTGAAAGATATTGCAACTGTAAAGGTAAGAGTTTGATGAAATAACGCTATCTGACATAGTTAGACCTTAAAGCTTAAACGATTGTGCCCCTTGAATATTGAACAGCGATGATTTTTCTTTAATTGTTACAGCCTTGAGATCGATTTCTTTAATCAATACAGGACCAATGTCATAGTCCAGTTAGGTTTATGACTTCATAAAATTCGAATTTTCAAATATTGTATTGGTCATGGTTATTGATTTCATCATTATATTAAAAGTAAGAAAACTCTATTTTGCTTCAAAGTAGAATAAATCTGTAGATGAAAAATACGAATTGATTACCTTCAAATCATAAACTGTTAAACTGTTTGGATTGAATTGAGATGTTGAAATGAATGAAAATATTTCTGAGTTTATAACCTTTAGGTTGTCAATAATCAAATTATTGATACTCAAAGAATAACCTTATTGAGACAAAAAATAAAATGAGCGTATACTAGGGGTGGAATTAGTTGTAGTAAAAACACAGTCTTGAATAACTAAATTAAGATTCAGGGCTTTATTTTCTAAAATTATGGCAGATTCCATGAAACTCTGGATTTAGGAATTCATTGTGTCCAATTTGATATTTTGAAAAGTAATTGTAGTGAAGTTGCTCAATGTTAATGTTGATTCTAAAGTTATCGTTGTTGGATATAACTGTCCAATAAATTTGATGTTAACAGATTGAACAGTAAAGACATTTTATTAAATTTTTGAAAAGAGTTAACCGCCTGATTGGATATTACAAATCTCTCCCGATTTCTAAATAATTGTATATTCAAAGACAACTTCACGTATTACTTTCTCATTTAGATACTAAAACAACCCAGTAGTTTCAACGGCAGCTAAATAATTCTTCTAAAAGAGTTCAGATATGTGAATATTTTTCATTTTAAAAACATTCAACGCCTCTCCTGACAAATCAGAGGCTGTTTAATTCATATACTCATATGAACAATAAACATTTTAAACTAAGATCACTTGGTAATAGCATTTATTATAGGTTTCACAAAAGGTAATAGTTTTCAATAATTGATCATTAAAGTATTAACCTTCAGGAGAATCCAAATTGAATTTTTCATAGCAAATTTTTGTATATTTTAAATTTGAGGAAGAGGACAGGAAATAAGGATTGAATTTGGCAATGTCTGAAACACTCCTTTCTAAACATGCTCCACAATTACTTGGACATGTCTAACAAGCTCCATTTGAATCATGACTTTTTAAAAATCCCTATGGAGTTTCCAAACATTAGATACAAGTAGCAACTCCATTTATTACTTCACAATCAGTGCATTCTATATCACAATTTTTGATACACTTATGCTTATATAAAATATACCCTAAAGGACAGGATGTGCAAATCAATTCAAAATTATTTTGTACTGTCTCTACAGCATAGGATTCAAATGCATGTGAATCATCTGAATTAAGGATGTATTTATAGTAAGCCTTTATATTCCATTTCCAATAATCCTGATACTTCGAACTCTATTAAGTACAACTCTTACAATTTGAATCACATTGTAAGCATTAGCCAGTTAATATTGCTGAATAATACCCATCTACACACAACATGCAAAAAGTAATTGATGAACTATATTTTTGGATGCATTGTGAACAATTTGAGATTGATGAGCAATCTGTATTTTGAGTTGAAGTCTTACTTGTTGTACTAATTAAACATTGAGAGTCACCCGCAGCATTGATAATGAGCCCAGAACTGCAATCATTAACTTGCTCTTATGAACCACCTCCTCCACTACTTCCTCCACCTCCACCGCCGCCACCACCACCACCACCACTGAATGGATCAGTTGAAGTTGTTGTAGGAGTTGTAGGTGGTTTTTCTTAACAAGTCTATGTTAGCACATTATAATATAGATTAGCCTGGCAGCTGGCACAACCAACTAAGAACTTCTCTTAATTTAGTTCAAGAATATCATAATTTATATCAAGGGTTGTATAGGTAATTCCATTTTTAACATAGTATTAATAGCAATAGATACAATTTGTGATACTACAAGGTTGGCAATTTTGACCATCAAATGTTTAAAAATATTTAGTAGGATCATCACAGTATAAACAAATGCCATTAGAATCACAACTTGAACAATTCATCCCACATGGAATACAAGGTCCATCTGATGAAAGGTATGTTCCAGTTGCACAGGAACTGCATATTGCTATTTCAGATTCTATTGTGCAATCTGAGCATCCTTAACATTGAATACATTAAAAGTCTACTGTTAAAACATAACCAGAAGAGCAGGTTTTACATATCTCTTCATTTTGACAAACTTGACATCCTTTAGCACAGGAGAAACAATTGTCATTACTTAAAAAGTACCCTTCTTTGCAAGTTTCAGAGTGATCAAATCCTTCCATTAGTTATAATTCATAATCTCCATTTACATTTACAATTACATTATAAAATTCTATGTCTTTCTCAGTTCTGTCGACGGTTTAATATGAAAAATTTTCATTATAATCATAAGTGACCGTATCTTGAATACACCTTAAAGATTATGAGAAGGCGCCTGGGTAAAACAAACAATTCGAACATTAAATTACACTTCTAGTAGAAAATGTGGAATAACCAGGACTATATTGATTTATATTTATATATGATACCATTATAAGCAATACCCTCCATATAAGAAATAACCAAATGAACATTCTTTTTTCTCTGTTGTGCAAACATCATATCCTGGAGTATCACACTATAACTCCAATTCTACCTCTGTCATCTATGGAAAGATTTCTGATACTGGTCTGCAGATCGGTTCATTTTCAATATCCACATATTTGGATTTGCAGGCACAAATCTTTTGGGTTACTGACTAGATTCTTTGACTATTCAATGGACATGATAAGCAATTGTTGCTATTAGGACCATCACAAGTAAGACATGAATAATGGCAATTAGGGGATAATGTAATTATAGGAGTTGTGCAATACTAAATTAATTACATATCGCTAATGTGTCCTTCCAAATAATTTTTACTATATTTATCGCCACCAACTGAATAATACATTTTTGTTCCTGTGAAATGTTTTATCTTACTGCTCCATTTGTAAGTTTACTTCTTAACCAATAGTGATGGAAAATACATTGTAAAAATTGGTTCGCCTTAGTTATTGCTTGTTCCGATTTCATATTAAATATAATGCCATTTTATGAATAATTCCAAATATTATGCTCCGTAGTCACTCAAGATATCTGTTGCAGCACTAGTGTACCTGTTTGAAGTTGGAAAATTGTATGAATAAGTGGTTATTTGAAATCCATTTGATTCTGGAGCGATATTCTGATGATACTACAAGTAGATATCTTTATCTCCAATCTCCATGTCATCCTCATAGTTTTGATTTATTGTGACTCTGAATATCACAGTAACGAGGGGTGACTTCTCAAACAATTGTAATTTTAACCATCCTTTTATTACAAATTTTGGATACTCAAATACACTTGTTGTACCAGACGTATACCCCTATCCCAAAAATGCTTAATTGCTACTTGATAATGTATATGCAGATCCAGAGCATTCGGAATTGATAGAACAACCTAATAAGAACGTCCCCAAGTTTGAAAATATATTTACTGACCCCTAACTGAAAACTGTGGAAAGTCTTCCGATAAACTAAGTCAATCTAAGTTGCTCTCCCAATTAATTTGTTATCTCCTATTTCCCTCCTACCGCATGAGTAATATCTTTGACAAGTGCAGGTATGTCATTTACTGTCTATGTTTTCGTTGAAATTGTCTGTTACTATGAATAAAATCCGATAATTGTTTAGTCTGATAAGAGATTAAAATAGAAATAAAATAATATCCATTAACCTTCATAATTTCCATATTCAAAAGTAAATACTAAAGTGCCAGTTGTTTTTTTAAATGAATAAAACACATTGTGAGTAATAGTTAATGTTTAATCAGAAATAGAAGTATAAAAAGCTAACAAATTGAATTTTGTTTCTTTTTACTAGAGTAAATAGATGAACTATCCAGAGGATGCTGAACCCTTTCCTGAAAAACCTGATGAAACCTATCGATAATTATCCAATACTTATATCTGTAATTGGGATGAACGGCTGGTATTTCATCCATAAACCATACCCAATGTTGTCTTTAGAGTTTAAATACCTATTTTCCAATTTAACATCTATCTCCTATTCAGGATTAGATAGGCTTAATATTACAGACTCAGTGCTTATGTAATTGCAACTTGAATTAACTTATCTTTTATAACAAATTGCAATACTCAATTAAAGTTAGAAGAATAGTAATTAGCAAACTTAGACTATTTTTTTACATTTTATTTAATTAAATTAAATCACGAATAAAGCAAAATCTATAATTAGCTCATTTATTTTGAATAACAAATAAGTCAAGAATTAATACCCAAATTATGGATTGAAATTAAATAGCAAGTAAAGAATTCCAACAATATTTTAATTCGTACATCACAATAAATTCTTATTTTTACTCATATCTAAATTACTACCAAGATAAAAATTACAATTGAATGTTTTTTTATCATTTAAGTCTATTAAGTTGAAATACCACTTATGTAACCCTTGTTTTGACTGTTAACATACATTCAACACCATAATCTATTTTTCAACATTTATTGGAAGTAATAATAAATAAGGCCATCAAAAACTCATCAAGATTTAATTGCCATTCCAATATATTCAAAGTTTAATTCTAAATCACATTATTAGAGTTTTAGGTCTAATATCTCTTTCTTTTCGTTTAGCCATTTTGTTTTTCAATAAAAATTTAAATTCTACACTATAAAAATTGTAGATACAAAGTTCAGAGAATATTTTATCTAAATTTTCAAGAGGCAGTTGATTTAAGAGCATTTCGATCTTTGGCTAATCAATATTGGGTTACTATTGAAAGAAATAGAATTTGATAAGTAATAACCACTCAAAAATCAAAATGAGGTCTTAGATTATATGAAAAATTTTCAAATTAAAGTTGTTCTCATAATTCATTTTTTCTGTAGGAGTTATTGCCGAATTAAGGAAGGCCTTGTAGTTTCTACAAAAAAGTTTAAATTTTGAGAACACAAGTGAAAGGAAAAAAATATATATTTTTTATAAGATCTATTCTGTCATAGAATTATTTTAAATACAAAATCCATTTATATATGATGTTTTCATTTATAGACATTTAAATTTGTGGATACTTATATGCAAGTAAAAAAATAAATTACATAGTTTAAATTTTTACATTTTAATTAATTTTATTGATTTTCATACACAAATCATTAATGATGATTCACAATTAACGATTATATATTAATTTATCTATATTTTATTAGTAAAGCATTCAAAAGAAGATTTTCCTATTTAATATTTCAACTCTTTGGTTACAACATCAAGAAATTTTAATCTTTATCTACAAAACTAACAAAATTTAGGGATTTCAAAACTCTAGATTACTGGATAATGCAAATTGAAACGAAAAAGTGTGAAAATGTGAAACCATAATAAAAAGAACAAATTATATTTTAATTGCAACGTTTCTGGTTTCAAAATGATATCAAAGTTGTTAGAAAAAAGAATAATTTATTATAAAAAATGAATAAAAGTATATATCAAATTAAACGAGAATTTAACTTAGAATATGGAATTTACATTTAATGAAACTATTTCCTTTAAACACTCTCAGGTTTCATTCAATTATTAAAAAATCTTCTACCCTCTTTATTCCTTTATGTTGTAATATATGTTATCTATATTTTCATGTCTTGTTGATCATATAATACAATTTATTCAAGAGATGAGTCTATATTTTAGAGAATATATTTGAGATAATATATTCATTTTTATCCTTCACTAATCTGCTTTTTCAAAGAATAATGACCATCCAATGTAATTTGATATAAAAATAAGCATTATTTGAAATAATTTCAAAATCGGATAAGAAACATAATATTGCTGTTTTCCATTTTGCATAATCTATGGTTTTATGATGGTTTATCATCTTATTGAACACTTTTTAACTTAACTTGAATATCATACGTCAGCAATCAAAATAATTACTAATACAGAAATTTCATTTTAAGAAAAATCAATTTACCTCAGGCGAAGCAGTCTGCTACTTGAATGGAATTATAATTTTAATCTCCTCCTAGAGGTATCTTAGAAGTAGGATAAATCAGAATTTAGACAGCAAATGCTTTCAACCAATAATGTCAATAGATAAACATTAACACAAGATTAATATATTAGAAAAAGGTAAACTATAAGACCATTAGAACTTCTTGCAAGAAATGGTGAAATTTATCTATGTTTTAATAATTATAAAGAGAGAAAATGAAAATAATAGATGTATACTCATCCAGTTAGAAATTAGAATATCAATTGCAATAAAATTTTATGGTAAGAAATCTTACTAGCACATTATAAATGTCTATTTAAATCAGATAATATTGCGCTGTTAGATTTCGCTTCTTAAACTATTGATACAATTACAAGAACCTTATGAAATCTTTTCAAGGAAGAACAATTGATTTGATTTCTAGAAAAGCCATTCTACAACATTTCAAAGGTATAAAGAAACTGTGGGATCTGTAGAAAATAATTTACATTCGGCTTAAGTTGTTTGAGATGTTAATTTAAAGTTAACCCTGTAATGAGATGCTTCTCAAGTGTTATTGGATTATTATATCACTTTTTTATAGCTGAAATAAATCTGATTGTTTGACTTGCGTATTCTGTTAAATATAAATAAATAGAAGAGTTGAAATCTTTGTATGTAGTTATTAAACAATTGAATCTGATTAGTATTGCAAGTAATATCAAATCGAATTACATATTGTTTTAAAATTTTGGAAAGTATAATAATCAAAAGGCAGTTTTTGAAATTGAAGGTAAATTACTGAAATTGGTACCCATATATATTATTCTAAGTCTTTCGACTATAAAAATAAATTGAATACTTTAATTCCAAAATTAAATAAATAACATACATTGTATCAAAAAACATAATTATTTTTTATGATAGTATTCAATCTGAGTTTACTATTATAACACCCAAACTAATTAGATAAATTACCTCTTCAATCCTTCTAAAAATGACAACGGTCTTAAATAATCGAATTAATATTGAATAATAAAATTTCAGAAAGAGAAATTCCATAATATATGAAAAAACCATTTGTAACATCAAAGCAGCAATATAAATAGATTAAAGTTTGAGCTCGAAAATTACCAATTATATAATATTAGCAGCCAAGATTCAAACTTTTTGTATTGCGAAATGGAGGGTAAATTCTAAGTTCTTCGATCCCAATTAAATTCCGTTATATTATCTTTTTCTTAAGAATTAACATTTATAATGAAAATTATAAAATAAAATGGTTTAAATATTTAATTAAATCGATGAGTGAGCTAGTCTTAATCAAAGGATCTCAAAAAAATAAACAAGCTATAAGAGAGTTAATTTTTCCTTCCTTGTTAACAGCATTTAGTTTTATCTTGGGATATTTTCCGAATACAATTTCAATATACTTTATTGAATACAAGGAGTAGGATTCAGTACTGGTTGGAGCATTAGGATTGGGTATTTTGATTACTTAGGCTGTTGGTATGGGACTTTTGAATGGAATTGCAACTGGTTTGGAAACTTTGGTATCACAAGCGTATGGAGGAAATCAATTTGAACTCTGTGCAAAATTATATTATCGATCATTATTTGTATGTACATTATTTATGATACCAATATCGTTATTTTTATTTTTTTCAACGCAATGGATGTCACTTATAAATAGGTAAAAATCACATTCATTTTAGCAATGAATAATTAGTAAATGAAGCAGGAAAATTTAACAAATATATGATTTTGGGTGTATATTTAGATGCCATTTTTGTGAACACTAAGGTATTTCTAAATGGTTAAAACATCTATAATTATCAATTTTTCACATAACTAATCTCATGTGTATTTTTTTTTGGAATGAGTTATTATTTCATTGTTTAATAGGGAATGGGAATAATAGGATGTTCTCTAGGTTGGACTTGCTTTGAAATCGCGAATAACATACTTTTATTTGCCTTTATCTTTGCAACAAAATGTTGTGACGCAACATTATTTCGATTTAAAATTTCCTATTTGCATAATACTATTAAATTTCTCAAAGAAGCTATCCCAATTGGATCCATTTTATTGCTAGAATGGATAAGCTATGATATATACTTAATAATAGTTAGTTATTTGGATGAATCATCAATTAGTGCCCATGTTTTGATGGGCAATTTTGCATCCTTCATCTATTAGTTCAGCTATGGAATTTCTATTGCATCAACTACATTTATTGGAAATGAAATGGGGAGAAAAGATACAGTCATGGCTAAAAGTTATGCCAAAGCAACTTTTTTGATTGCCATAATATTTTTAGTAATTACTTTAGGATTTTTCTCCATTTTTGGAAAACAATTGATCGAAAAAGTGAGTCATGATAAAGCTGTTGTTGAAGAAATATAGAGTATCATGTATCTTCTTACGTTCTTCATATTTATAGATGGTAAAATATAACAATTTTATCAAAGGATTACAAGCTATAATATCTGGTTTGGTAAGAGCAGTTGGTCGAGAGGCCAGTGCCTCTTTCACATTTATATTTTGTTATCTGATTTTAGGAGAAGCTGTGGGATACCTTTTCTGTTATACTTTGGATTTTAAACTAACAGGAATATGGATTGGAATGACTGTGGGATCTTTAACTTATGATATTATACAATTTATAAATTTGATTTGGAAGAATTGGAATGAATAAGCAGAACTTATAGAAAAAAAAATCACATCATTACATTAATTATAGGTCCAATTGCTAATGAATGAAGAAGACATTTGATAACTGTATTCATTGTATTTATTTAATATTTTCAGCAAAAATGCGAAAATTCAATATAAATCTATATTATTGTATTCTTAAGAATATACTCATAAACAAACAACATGTATAGAAATTATTTTTATTTAAAATATTTTTCGCTTATATTATTATTATTTTTGTTTTAACTGAAAAATATCAACAATTAGAGTTTGTTCGAGATGAATACAAGAACTAATTTGGCTTAATAAAATTTGCTGTAAGACAGCAATTCTAGAAAGTTAGTTTAGTCAATTATTTAGCATTAGAACAAATTTATTAAGTTATTATTTTGAATAAAGAGGGAAACAATTATGTAAATTAAGATAGAGAATAAAATTGATTGTACTACATTGAATAAAGATTAGATAAATTTAAGTCATAATGAGCTTTAAATTTATTTCTTAACAGCACTACAAATTGATTTACAAGAATTTTGATTTTGGTTTTAAATTGATAATTCCAAATTTAAATGATTAAGATATTACTATCTGAGTAAAGAAAAATACTACAAACTTTGCACAATAAATAAAAATCCTAAATTTTTCGTCAATAATATATGATGGAATAATATCACAAATAAATATTCAGATTTCAATTTTCAATAATAAAACTTATTTTTCGGCATTATTAACTATTGATACTTAAATAATTTCTATTTTTGATTCAGACATATTGAATACTAATTCTTTTTGAGATTCAACAATTTATATAAATGTTGCGTCATAATTAAAGATATTATTTTGAGATGGACAATAATGAAAAACGGAATATTGTTCGCCTTCACATCCATCGCAATTTCTGAAAAAACTTGAAATTTACATTCCTTCTTGACATTAAACCATAATTTATATAGAAATTTTTGAAATATTAGCATTTACAAGCTTTTAAATTTAGCCAATTTCATTCATAACCAGATCTAATTCATCTATTTTAAGTTGGAATTGGAAGATGGAATTAGTGTTTAAACTAAATACTTGATTAATATAAACAAAAGAACTTTATAATGGAGGTGCTAATTATTAAATAATTTATTTACCAGGAGTGCATTCATTATTTAACAATCCCCATTTTTTGATACATCTAACACATTCATAGACTATATTCCAAATGCATTCCTCACAACCAACTTTACATTTGGCTAGATACAAGTCAAAAAATGAAACCCCCCAATATCCAATATCTGTCAAGTCTTTTACCGATTTCATATTTATTTTTATTTCTGGAGATGTATGATATGTATTTGCATCAATATTAAATATCTACACTTTATATATACCAATCTAAAAGAGTGAATCAAAAGAATTGATCTTTGCGGAATACTTTAATTGATTATCGATTTCTAAATTAAATGTATCATTCCATCTGCCAAATACCCACAATTTGACAACTACATGAACCTTAAAGTGAGGAGGTAAATATTAAATGAGCTTCTCTATATATTATCCTTTTAAAAGATTACTAATCCCTCCTGCCATCGAAAAGATACCGAATTGACCATAACCAAGTGATTAACTTGTATCAGTCTGCCAACCAAATGATTCATATGAATTTGACCAATATGAAACAAAATTAATCCACAAATTGCATGCAAATGCTTAATCTTGACAAAATACACAACCTTCAGGACATTCTTCAATTTCTATTTTGAAATTGTTAAATCCCCATGATTCCTAAAGATTATACAAGCTATACTTCATTGGGATATGTATCTAAAGTTGAAGACATAAAAAAATATAGAGATGAAGAGATGTGAGGTGATAGGTTAACTGTTTAGTTACTTTTAAGGTCTTTAAAGTAATCCCCATAACCACCACATATATTTTCACCTTGGAAACCAACAAACTTGGAAAAGTTAATTTAGTTGTCAATAAAGTATGCAAATTTCTCATCATCCCATGAATCAATTCTAAATATCAATAATTATATTACTTCCAAAAATCAAAAGTAATTTGTATAGATGTATGAGCTGGAAGTTTGAAATTTGCTTAAACATAGGCTTACTTACCAAAAAGAGAATATCCTCCAAGTAGCTTTGAATCCCCGCAATCACTAAATTAACAACCATACTAGATAGAGCAATACCATGGATATTCTCTTTACTATTCAGTGAAATTCTCCCAATTTTTACTGTTATAAATTTCTTTCCATAAAGATTGAGATCCTCCAAACTAAATCACTAAATATATTAGATAGATAAAGAATTTCATTTATTTAATTTATTCAATCAATTACAGTTTAATGTTGGTTTTTGAATATTGTAGGGAGACAAAACAAATGTAATGTATAAAAGATGTAGCATAAATTTAATGTGAGTTAGATTTAAATAGTAAAAAATTGACTCAACAAGTTAGTTAGTAAACTACAATATCATTATTAAAATCATATTTGTAAATTCTTTATTATACAAATTATAATCTAAGTGAAAACAAAAAATTATTTTCATTTTCGAGTTTACACTTCGGTTAAATTTAAAGAAGATTATTTTTTATAAAGGACAACTGATATTAGACTTCGAGTATTCTTTAATATCTTGAATTGTAGATTTAAAATTGATATCTCAAATTAAATTATAATTATTTCACTCGATGTTCTTATTCATGGAATATACACTACTTCTGAATCAGGTATAAGAGTGATATTTAAAACCAGAAACTTCGAAAATATAAATATGTTGCAATTGAATTGTTTCTTAATGTAATAAATTAGAATTAATTGAGAGTCAAAATACATTACCTTCATTAATAAATGTGAAATGATTATTTGGATTGAAGGAAAATTTTGAATCTGTTTAATCCACAACCTATACGACTGTGTATAATAAACCATCACTCTGATATTTTTAACGATATCCTTTTTTGAATTAATCGACTCAGTTTTATTCAATCTCTAATACGATTTAGGCTGCTTATAGTTCCTTGAGTAATTTAGCTAATTTATATTACGAAACCTAATAATAATACATAGAAATCCTTACTTATATAATTTATTGATCATCAAACATAATCAAGGCTTCTGGGAATTAGCTGGAGAAAAAATTACATTAATTTGGAACATCACTCCTACCCTATCTTACTTTAAGATTAATCCTACCTTAACTAAAAAAGATTTTGCTTGTTAGATGCAAAATAGCAACTAAGCATCAACTTCTTCAGTGATTTCTACAATAATACTTAATTTTCAATTAAATGGTTATTGATGCAAATTTCTTAATAATATTCCCAATTTTATTCAATTATATTATATTAACTTATTGTTAATAAATACGGAATTTATCTCCTCGTCAAAAGTTAAAAGAAAAGCTTGAATTGATCTAAATAAATTTATAAATGAAATTGGATGTGATTATATTTAGAATTAAATTGTAATTAAATAGAACAATTAACTTAAACTATTGAGGCTTCAAGAGAATCTTAAAAAGTAAAAAATAACCTTTTAAATTCATCTTGATTTAATAAATTGATAAAATGTTTCATTCCTAAAATATTTCTTTTATCTTAACTCAGTAAATTATAAGACTTATGATGCGAGTAGCATTGTTTAAAATAAGATAATCACCATACTAAATAACCTGCCTGAATATACCTTATCAAAATACAACTTCTTATAATAGCACCTTAAAAGCCAACTGAAACGCTAGAGGTTTTAAGTTTGTAGATGGGGTTTTGGTTTTAAATATTCAAAAAAAGTAGAATTCTTATTAAATTAAAGAAAATAAGAAATTCCGACAGTAAATGAGAAGTATAAAATAAAGAAGAGCGTAAGAGTTAAATAGAGATAAATAATTAACATGTGAGATATTTATTGAAAAGAGACACTCTTATTTTTTTAACCACAGATGCGTAAACTATAAACTATATTGTTATCCAATAGTTTTAGCTTTAATTAGGAGAACTATCCTATCAATCGATTTAGCCTTTCCATTTTATCTAAATAAGATTGTCATTCAGACTTTACTAGTAGAATCTATCAAAGCAAGAGATTTTTAAGGTTATAGAAATAGTTTTGATATTAGGAAGGGTAGTTATTTTATTAAGAATATATATTAAATTCATAATTAAAAATTATAATATAATTTCATTTGAAGAGATAACAGAATTCTACTAATGTATTTAAGCATATGAATAAATTTTAAAGAAATTGATATTCGTATGTATACAATTCAACATAGATCTCTTTATAATTTTGATAGAAATAAGGTTGATAAAAGCAATCAAACGAATTAGGAATTGAAAATAATTTATAACATTTTGAATTTAAAGACCTCTAAGTTTTTGATATTTTCCTCTAAGATATAAGATATCTCAAACTATAAATTAGAATTTTTAAATTAAAATCATAAAATACTAGCAAAAAGGAATATTGCTTTTAACTTTAGTTAAAAAGAGAATTAAAAATGTATTTTTGACGATTATAATCATTATAATATTTTTCATTAATATTTTCTCCCAGTTGAATATTGTATTCAATTACTACTATTGCTAAGTAATATTTTTCAAATTAGCAAAATGAAAATCATAATGTTGAATTATATAGAAATTATTCTTAGCAACATTCGTTTAGTTATTACTTTTAATTTTATTATTAGAACTTGCTCTATATTCTTTAGGAGGTAATAATTATTGGGTTTAAGATCAATCAAATGATTTTTGAAAACGTGACAATACAAATTAAAATATATATTGGTAATGTATATATATTATTTATATTTATTTGAGTATGATATTAATTATTATAAATTTAATAGAATCAAATAATTAAAAGTAATAAAATTAATTACATGAACTTATTTATACGCATTTTTAGGTTTTATATATGAAACTTGTCAAAACCTATTCAAAGATAATAATTTAGGTTAACTAAACAACCAGATCTATTTCTTTTTTATCTATTTAAGCATTTGATAGCATCTACTATTATACGTCCTTATAAGATGAATAATTGTATAAAAAAAAATTTATTATAATTTGATTGAATTATATATATTTATCATTGTTTAGGACATTAGATCAAATAAAGATTTTTAGATAATTAACTATTCTTAGTGCATTTATTAAAATTTTTGATATGAAGATATTAATTTAAAAGTCAAATAATTTTTTTCCATCTTAATGATGATAATAATGGAGGAATAATCTATCATTAAATTAAATCCATACAGTATATATTAATTATAAGCAGGGGTAAGATTGAAATTAAATTGATACACTGATCATTACCAATCCGAATCTATATAGCAAAGATATTTTTACTTTTCTAACAATTATTTTTTATTCTATGATAAAAGTGTCCATTATTAATCCTCCTCCCATACTTTAAATCTTTGTAATTAATCAAAATAGAACCCTTCTAAAAAAACTGTATATTTATCTTAAACAATCTCTAATCTAGTTTATAATATATTATCTTTTGAATATATTTATTTGAACAAATTATAGAATTATTTTATTTATTAAATCTCAGAAGGATTGTTGGTTAGTTCAGAAAAGAATCCAGTAATAAAACATTCATGAATATATGTAATTATCAATGTTATAAAACATCTATGATAATTTTTTCATCAAATTTTGTTTTGCCTATTTTTCCTAAATCTGATTTTATCATAGACAAATATGAAATTGAAAAAATGCAAATTGAATAATTAAGGTTATCTAAAAACATAAATGCATAAATCAACAAAAATTAAAACAGAATTAACATAAACACATTAGAATAGGAAAGAATTATATTTGGTTCATAAATTTAAGCATTTCAATTGTAATTATTATTTCTATCTCTTTTTTTATAAAATCAATTTGTAAATAGTGATTGTTTGGATAATTTTAAGAATTAGGAATTGTAAGTTTTTTTACGACGCATCATTATAAAATCAAAAAATACAATATTTAAATAATATGTGTTCATTATTTAATTTGTTATTAAATATTCATCATGCTCCTTCATCTTCTTCAATTATATTTTAATCTACTTCTTCATAATCCTTTTACAAACCTGCTAATGCTTCTCTTGCTTCGAAGAATTATGCTTCCTCCATACCTTCTTGTACATACCAGTGCACAAAAGCTCTTTTTGCAAACATTAAATCATATTTTTGGCTTAATTTTGAAAAGATTTGAGACAAAGCAGTTGTATTTGCAATCATACATGCAGATCTTGAAGATTTACATAAGTCATCCTCAGGCAAGGCTTATTAAGCTTGGTAGTTTATTCCTACCCTAAAGCCAGTTGGACACCAATCAACAAATCTAATGGTTTTTTGAGTTTTTATTTAGGAAATCGAATAGCATATATCTTTAGGAATGATATCTCCTCTATATATTAGAGAGCATGATAGAAACTTCCCCTACCTTGGATCGCATTTTGCCATCATATTTTCTGCCTCAAAAGCAAGTTTTGTAATTTCAAAAGTTGAAAGCTTCTCGTTATCCATTATTTAATGAGATGTAATAGGAGCCTAAGAGCAAATCAAAAATTATAATTTTGGATAGGGAATCAAACTTGTTTAAATTTCAGTTATGTCAGTAAATAGGGCTCCATCAAATCTTATTGAGGCTGTTATTGATGAGATCGCTTGGGCTATTATCCTATTCAAATTAGAATATTTTGGTGTTTCAACACCAAGTCCATTCTTACAAATATCATAAAGAGCTTAATTATCCATAGCGATACAAACTTCAGAATGTTCTAATAAAGATGAAGTTGCAAAAATTGAATTGTAAGGTTCAACCATAGCCTCAGAAGTTTCAGGGGATGGATAAATAGTAATGCTCAATCTGGATTTTTTACAATAATCAACTGATAATTTTTCTAATAACAATGTTCCTAAACCCGAGCCAGTCCCTCCCCCTACTGAATTAAGCATCATAAATCCTTAAAACGAAGAACAATTATCAACTATTTTTCTGATTCTCTCCAAACATATATCAATATATTCTCTGCCAATCGAATAATGGCCTCTTCCAAAATTATGAGCAGCACCTCCTTTTCCACTTACAAATTATTCTGGTTTAAACATTTCCTTAAATTTACCAGTTTTCACTTAATTTATTAAGGTAGGCTCTAAGTCTAATAACACAGATCTTGGAACTAGTTTCTAATGATCAGATTCTGAAAAAAATGTTCTTAATGCGTCATCTTTTTCTATAACTTGTTGATTGATCATCTATCCATTAGGCTAAATCTAATGTTCCAAGCAAAATAGTTCCCAACACGCATTTCCAACTTATATTCCTCCCTACCCGACTTAAATTGTAATTATTTCTCTCATTTTAAAGTGTCTTTCGATGTAAACTCTTTAAATAATAATTTTCCATCATGTTTTATCTAATTTATATATTGAAATTACAAAATAGAGGGGGTGATTATTTTATAAAAGAAATATTTTACAAAGATGGATAAAAATATTATTTATAATATAATCTAATAGAAAATTAATGTTCCAAAAATAAAACATTTGAGGCTTAAAAACAAATTTTGACCAAAATTTTCTTTGATTTCATTGAGGATCATTTTATTTCCTTGTTAAATTGAATTCAATATATAACTTATTTGGAGATTGGCTAAATAAAGGTCTATTACTTAATAACTTGGATGATCTTAAATCATGATAATTATTATTTATTTAGTAAATAATTTTGTATAATATCAACTTAATTATTTTTAGTTTTAATATAGGTTTTTTGTTAAATTTAGGATTAAAAAGTCTTTACTTATGATAAAATACTCTGATTATGAGTTATAAATTCTAATAGAATATTTTAGAAATAAAATGCAAATAATAATTAATGTCTATGATGATAATACAAGTATATTTATCTCCAAAAAATCGATTTTTTTATTTTATTTATGATGTCAACCACACTCTTCTTATTAGTATTTTTATTTAATTTGAAATTTATTTTGTATTATTTATTTAAGTATGAGTTAATCTAACGAATAATGATTCAATGTTGGAGTTCAGATCATAAAAGCTGTGTTTAATAAGTATGCTTTAATCTTTAATACTAAAAGGGATGATTGTAGTATTTATAATCCATCAAAAAGGAATAACACTAATTGCATCTTAAGGATCAATTAGATTAAAGATATTATGGAAGATATTTAAAATGTTCAACTTAAATTTGAGGAACTTGTTGCTATGCGTAGTTCTTATGTTTGTCTTAGAGAAGGTGAATTCACTTGATCGAAATAAAGTATACTAAAAAAATATTAAATCCCAATTAACAGACTAATCTAATTAAACAATCATAAATCAATATTGTGTTGATACAATACTCCAATTTTAAGAATCAACAAAGAAAGAAATTAAAATAAAGAAAAATTGAGTAATGAATTCATTAAAGAATTTAAAAAAATATGCAGAGTTAGGGTTATACTGAATCTATCTAATATATATAAAGATTATTTATTTTGACTTATAGAAGAATTACACTGACTTTATGCAACTGAATATTTATATAAAACCTATTAGATCTAATAAAAATAAACTCACTCTATGAAAATCCAAGAAATATAATGAAACACTCAAATTCTTAGATTAATGAATAGCCTAAAATTAATAATCTACTGGCATTATATTGTAAAAGTATTTTATCATTATAAATTCTAGCCTATTGTTTAAGTCAGAATTTGAATCTATTTAGAATAAGAAAGTTTAGTGAATTCATAAAGCAATATTGTGGGCTGAGAAAGCATTATTATAAGATCCAAAACATCTGCATTCAATATTTATTATCGGTATATATATTAAATTTATTTAACTCGACGTTTAGCTATAAATCTAATTTCAGAGAATTATATGTGTCAAATAAAATACACCGAAGCAATTAAATGGACTGATGTAGAATTAGCAATAAATTCTCTGATTACAAAGATTTTATGATATAAAAGGTTTCCTTTATATAAGATGATTTAGTGAATAGTTTAGAATTTATTACAAATTTTATTTATGAATAATCTCAATTGGATAATGTAGCAATGACTTTGTTCGATATAGTTTTATCAATCCATTAGGATGATGAAACTTTTTAAAGTTAAAGGTTTTTTGAATTACTTCATCCTATGGCTAATAATGAGTTAGATTAAAGACTTTATTTTTTTAGTGAAATTAAAATATGATGGGTGATCTCTATCTTTAACAAGGCGCTAAAATATGATAGTAGTGATGAATTCATTTACTTTTTTAAAGGTATATTTCAACTTGAAATTAGGGGAATGCTTAATGTGCTTTTCAAAAATAACTGTAATACAAAATTAAGAAAGAGTTTGAATAAGCAATAATATGATTTTGATTAAGCTTTGTAAATTTATCCAGAAAGTTCATTTATAAAAATAAGAAAAGCATTTAATTAATTAAGAGAAGCTGAATGAAAAACTTACTTAAAAAAAATATCACTGAGATTTAATTAGATTTCTTTTTATAATAACTATAAATATATTCTGAATAATATATATAAAAAGTATAATGAATAATAATATCTTGATGAATGAGTAATAATTATTCAATTTTGTTTGATATTTGTTAAACTCGATTACTAATCCAATAATATTTATAGTTTTTTTACCTAGTTCTTCTAAATTTATGAAAATAATTACATCATCAGATATAATAGTAGACTGATGGAAATTCAAAAATATAAACATTATTTTTAATGACATAAATTAATCTGGCTTAATGTCTTCATAATAATCCAAACAAATACATTCTTATGAATTCTTTACTAAATATGGAGGAAAGATAGGTTTGTGAAATCTGTCTAGAAGAAAAATAACTGTCTTCTTAAGAGTTCATTTCTTTTTAATAAGCAAGCGATTATGTAAAGAATTACAGTGAAAAAATTTAAAGATCATTGGAGCCTTACCTGAATTTGATGGAAGAATATTTCTAATAAATTAAATAGCATGTTGATTAATAAAAGAGTCATTTGAATAATGTGTTAAACTTAATTCTCAAAGATGTCTAGCAATGGCATTAAGCATAAGTAAAAGCGATTGTTATTCATGAAAATAACGAAGACTTTTTAAAAATTATTGACAATATAAAAAGGAATGATGAGGATTCGTTATAAGATTATGAATTAAAAATAACCTATCAAATGTAGAAATTAGGGTATACTTATTACCATAAGATTGATAAACATTTAAAATAATATGCTGATTAGTTAATCAATTTTAAGTTAGCTGACAAAGTGATTAATATGGCTAGAATAAGCTAAGAAAAGTGTTGGAACGTTTATATTGATACCTCAAAAATCAAACAAAAACAATTAAAAGTATTTATCTTTATAAAAATAAGGACAAATTTAGGCTCATTGATTGTCTTGAACATAAAAGAAAAGCAGAAAAAATTAATATCGAAAAGAATGTTCCCAAAGAATAAAGAATTTCATGCCAAGAGTGTTAATAAAGTGGAATAAACATAGAGGAATTCATAAAATTATGGGACAAAATTTAATTTGAGAAAATATATGAGTAATAAAATGCCTAGAAATATATGCAAGAATGCTATACAAAATCTCTTTCAGAATTAGAATGGTTAAGAAATGCATAATACAAAAATTTAACTAACATGATCGATTCAGTCTATCTTAAAATTGTAGATGGATCAAAGTGCTTCTAACAAATATATTTACAATCTCATGATTTTAGCATTAACAAGTTTCAAGAAATGGCGGAAATGTGTTGTTATGAGTAGGAAAAATGCGAACTTTAAACAATTTCATAATTTCGATTACTACTATACTAGCAAGGAAAAGCTATGGTTTAAGATGTTAAATAAATTCTTATCAATTCTAAATATCCAAATGGTTTTGAATTTAAACAAACTAAGGATTCTATTAAAGAAGAAGAATAAATTAAAAATAAATAAAATTAATTATAATAGCATTACAAATTACCTAATACTTGTACAATTGAATTTTTGTCTTCCTACTTGTAAACTAATAAATTAGAAATATATTCAATGGCATTTAATAGAAATGGGTCTTTATTGTTAACAGGAGGAAACGATGAGATACGAGTTTTTAGCTTTGTAGAAGGGCAATTAGAAGCAATTAAGAAAATGCCTTGCGAAAGAAGCGTTAGTGTGTTATAATTTAGTTAGTAGTCAAATAATTTTTTTTCTGGGCATAATGATGGAAGTCTTTATATCTGGATTTATTAGAACCGAATTTGGTATGAAGAGAAAATTTCTGAAAATATACATACCGAAACTATAAGATCCTTAATCTTGAACAAAAAAGAAACAGAATTGATATCAATTGCTGATGATTCGATTATTCAAGTGAACTTTTTACATTGCCATTAAAAACTTAAATAATCCTTAGACAAACATAAAAAGCATGTTACTTCAATTTGTTTGAATCCATCTGAAACTATTCTATTATCTTGTAGTGAAGACGGTTAACTAATTATTTGGAAAAAAAATGAATATGATGAGTGGATATTTAATAGTTTTATTCACCATTCAGTCAGATAATATGGAAACAAATTAGTTTTTATTAGAGATAATTAGTTCATTTGGACTTAATTTAGTGAAAGTTAAATTATTGTATTTTAGGAAGTCAATTAAACATTTATCTAAAAGTCTCAAAAAAGCATAATAAATTAGAATAAGTAAAATGTTAAATTTCCATTCATTTATAATTAATAATTTAACTTAATTATTTGTAATCATGGTTAAACCATAGAATTGGCACAACATAAAGCAGATGGAATATTTGAGATTGTGTCAAGTTGTTAAAATTAACCCAAAGGTTTATAGAGAGGAGCTTTAACAAATGACTCTAAATATTTGGTCATTTGGAATTAAAAACAGCTTGAATTTAAAGTATTTAAATTATATTCATGATAATATCAATAATAAATCTATATTTTATAGTTTTGAAGAGTTTGAAAAGTTTAATTACAGAAATTTGTAATTAATGATATTTTTTTTGAATATTTGATTATTTCTTTAGTGATTCTTAAATTTATAAATCTTTTATCTTGAGTTGGCTTTCTCAGTATTAATAAATAAATCTCCTGTAAAAATTATTAAGTATTGAAATAGAAGACATCATCTAAACTAAATATAGATGTTTAATTTAGTTAGGTTGATGAAGATAAATTTTGAAATTTGAATAATTATTGAAGAATGCAAAATGTCTTGAATTAAATCCTAATAATTTCAGGAAATCAAATATTTATTTTGGTGTAACAATGAAAGCAAAAGATATTATTTTTAATTAATTCTCCATGAATTTTGTTTAAAATTATTTTTTTATTTTA